CGGTTGCTCTCGGGGTTTTTGTGTTTTTTTTATTTTGCTTATTGTACCTTTCCCCCGCCTCTATCCCTAAAAAATCCCCGGCAACCTCAAAATCCCAACCCCCCCCCCCCCAATACCGGTAATCGAAGATCCCACCGATGTATATATTGTCCATGAATCCCACCTATTGAAAATAGATACACTAGACTACGAGGGAGAGACGAAGGGAGAGACGAAGGGAGCAAGACTTTGCTCAAGAGAACAGTCTGTACTAGGAATGAACTTCAATACAGTAAATATCATTACTTTATACATTATAGATCTCCATCAATCATGTCAGAAAAACTTCCACTACCACGCCCAAGGTCGGGGCTCCGTGACAATTCTCCGGTCTGCCCGCATCTCCAAGTCCTTCAAACTGTTGATAGACTCATCATCATCATCCTCTTCACGAAGTCCTTGGTTCGACTCCAATGCACGGTCAAGGTCATAATGCTCAGTGAGGAAGCTTATCACCATCGCCACAGCAGACACTCCACAGCAGACGATCCAGACCGTGCGTAGACTGTCCGTATAGGCTTCCTTGAGATTCGCTTTATCAGCGCCATCTGCCATCGCCTTGATGACTTGGACCAAGCCAGCGGCATCCTTGCTGTACGCCTCGGCCATAGGCGCCAAATCAGCATACCTGGAGATGTTGGTGAACATGCGATTCTGGAAGACAACACCACCGACAGCAACGCCGATAGCCTGGCCGAGAGCACGGAAGAAACTAAACATGGCAACCGCAATAGCGAGGTTCTCCGGGTCCGCAGAGGCCTGCACTGCATAACCGAGAGATGGGAAGAGAATGCCCAATCCAAGGCCAGGCACGATATTGAGGAAGATCCAGCCGACCATACTGGTCTCCACCTTGATCAGACACATCAAGCCTAGCCCGACAGTCGAAAAAGCCCATCCGAGCCAGATAGCCCATATGTAACGACCCGTTACCGTGATCAGGATGCCGGCTACCATCCCACTCGGAGCCACGGTGAATGTCTCGGGGAATAGCGCAACGCCTGAGATAATCGGGCTGTACTCCTTCACTGCCTCATAGTACATAGGGAGGTAATAGAGGGCACACCATAGGATGAAGCCTTGCAAAACACTCCCAATGAACGAAGCTACCGCCGTGCGGTTTTGGAATATCACAGGCGGGACAATAGGATCAGAGGCGAAGTAGTACTCGTAGAATCCGAAAACGACCAGCCCTACGCCTCCGACACAAAGCGGTACAAGTGTGTGCCATGAGCTCCAGTCGTATGAAATGCCACCCCAGCTGAGGGGGATCAGGAAGGATGACACGCTTCCGACGAACAAGATGGTACCGAAATAATCGATGCGACGGAGCTTGTCGATTAATGAACTGGGGGTAAGCTTGAGGTTCAAGAATAGGATGACGAGAATCCCGCCGACTCCGATGAATGGGAAGTTGATATAGAAGATCCATCTCTATTCGTAGTTAGCATAAATACTTGCGGAGCTTAAATGGATTAGCTCAACTAACCCAAGACACATTTTCCGAGAATCCACCACCGAGGATAGGCCCCGTCACGGATCCGAGACTCCACATTGCACTGAGGATACCGAAGTACTGACCACGCCATCGCAGAGGGACGAGATCGGTTATGATGACCTCGCTTAGGGATATAAGACCGCCTCCACCGACACCTTGGATGGAACGACCGATCAACATGTAGGTGAAATTGTTGGCGATTGCTGCGATTATAGCGCCGACACAGAAAAATATAAGGGAGATCATGATCATGGGTCGACGGCCGAAGATATTCGAGAAGGAGGCGAAACTCGGTTGGAATACTATGGCAAGGTTAAAGGGTTTGATCGTATTGTAACATATTGCCACATACCTGTTGAGCATAACAGGAACGAAGTTCCACTCCAGAAAGCTTCAATAGCCGTTCCATTGAGCTCTTTTGCAATTTCCTGGCCTGGTAAGTTTCAACATATCAAATCATTTGTTGACGCACTCACAGGTAAAGCAACCGACAGCGAAGTTCCGTCCAAAGCGGCCATCAAGGTGAGAACAGACAATGTAAAGAAGACTAGTTTTCCTCCCCGACCCAAAGCAAATTTATCCTCATCGACATTCCTTTTCCGTTTCACGTCTGTAGATGCTCTGCTCGTGTTATCGGCATATTCGGACCTCGCGGGTCTATAGAATGGGAAATCTGAGTCCGCCATGGCGATAGATCAACGGCGACGGCAATCTAGCGATCAGAAGATGAGTGGAACGTTAATAAATGTATAAGCTCCTACTAGAGAAGAAAAAAAAAAGAAATTGAAATGGGAATCTGCATGGTAAATAGATAAACAGCATCGAGTACAACACATGTCCACGGCACGCGGAATTGACAAAATCCCATATACAATTTAGAACAGGGCGAAATATTGCTCCGTCGTGATCCAGAATTTCCGACTCCGCTGGCTATAACCTGAATCCTCGCGTTATAATCGCGAGATTAGTCTCAAGGGTCTCTAGGATGGCTCTGATTGGGTTGGATATGGCTAGCATTCATTGGCTGCATCAGCCCAGTTGGCTTGTCAACAGTCGGCGCAATATTTCGCCGTCTCACCAGTCGGGGCCGGGTGAATGCATGAATACCATGATTATGCATCAGTCCTGTCTCCTTCCTCTTTTAGTATTATGCGGCCCGCTGGTCGGGATTATGATTGTCCCAGGCTGAGTTGATGGGATCTCAATCCCGACTATCCCTACACCGGCTGGCTTATTCAAGGCTGAAAACGCTGCTGCGCCTTATTATACGAGACCAGACTTTAAATACTCGAGGGCTCGAGTCGAGTCTGGTATTTACACTTGTGCCACTCTAGAAAGCCCAAGCCATAATGCTTGATTGTCGAGGGGTGAAACATGTCTCGATTCTGAAGATCTGGCTCTAGCCAAGTTGAAATGTCCCCGGTCAACATTTAAATAGCTAGGTCTCGCATCAAATCCCCCATTCTATGCTGATCGGGATATAAGACCCAGCAAACTCTCGGGGTCACCCCGCATTCTTTCACTTCAAACCCACCAATTCCAATCAACATGCTCTGAGACAAAGAAGAGACATGTCAAACGACTGCTCTAGGAAGCATTTTGCAGTCGCTCCCACTCGCCACGAACAATCTCCGGTAGTTCATCCACCAGACTAGGCCGCGAAGGGTTCCATCCCAGGATCTTGCGTGCCCGCTGTGAGCGACCACGAGAGTTCATGCCCCAACTAAGAGACTCAAATCCTCCATACTGCTTAGCGATAACAGGGTCAAGTACCTCGGTCTTTGCCTCTGGCAGGTACCCCAGCTTCGTGGCTGCCTCTGCTGTAGCTTTGGCTAGCTCACCCCAGCAGTGTTCCCCATTCTCAGTAAGGTAGTAGGCCTTAGGACCCCAGAGCCCGTCATCAGTTCGGCCCGCAATCGCCGCGTCGACTAGTAGAGCATAGACGTCACTCAGGTCGTTGACGTGAACGTTGTTCCACAGTGACTGGCCGGCACCGATTATCGGGCCCTTCTTGAGACGGAGCGTCACATTCGCTAATACGTACACCTGGCGCGAACGTTGATTAACCGGACCTCTTCCTTTGCCTGCTGAAAATAAGTAAATGGTTTCTTTCTTTCCGTTGCTGGAAATGCGTACCGTAGATCGTAGGCGGACAAACAAGTGCCGTCTTGAGCACATCGGCATGCTGGGCTGCAGCCTGGAGGACGAGCTGGTCGACATTCCGATGGAATGCGTGATCTGGCAGATTGAGTAGTTCATCCACCCCATCCCAGTCATCGTACACGTGCTCACTTCTATTTCCGTATTCTTTCTTGTCGCTGTCCTCCCAGGACAGGATACCAGTTCCTCCGGTGTGTAGCAAGTAGCCTGGGTTTTCCTTGCTGTGGCCGGCTACCAGGCCGGCAATAATGGCTTTCGCGGCTCCCACGTGATCTGACGCATCTGCAGTGTCTGTTTTGCAGGCTTAGCAGAATGCGGATAGGATGCTCCTCGCATCGGGGGCGAGTTGGATACTTACGCAGCACGATGTCCGCGGCGGCACTTTCTCGCTCCAGTAAAGCTGAATCATCCAGGTCTCCGATTACGATTCGGATAAATGGGTACTGGGCCTTCACTTGTTCGGCCTTTTCGGTGGTCCGAACAAGAGCGGAATATGAGAACTCTGGGTGGTTGGCAACAAGTGTGGCTAGAGAGTCACCGCCGATGTAGCCTGTGACACCGGTACTATGGAGTTGTTAGAAGCTTAGTTTTTTATATTCAGATAGAGTCTCACATGAATAATTTGGTCATTTTGTATATCCAAGGGGATGAAAGTGGGAAGCTCGGCGTTACAGGTTCACTTGAATACTTTGAATGAAAGACACAAGATACTTGGGGTTAGATAGCCTTGGAAATGACGTTTTATATTGCTTTCCAATCAAAAAAGAACAAGTTTTGATCTCTCCATCTTATACCCCGCAGTCTTGAAGTGGACCCAATATTGGATTTATAAGCGGCTTCTTGGCTTGGGGAGCCCTGGAGATGATATATGACACCTTTGATATATAATATCATACCGGACCCCTACTCTTTAGCCCGGACCTTGTTTTCTGGTTCAAGGAAATACCACCTTCACTTCATCTCTCGATGTCTTGATGTCTTGATGCCCGCAACCTCCTCTCTCTATGTCCAACCTCCATTGCTAGGGCAGACCTTTGCTCCCCTGCTTGAGCTTCCTCACCCTAAGTCGGTAGGTTATTTTTCAAAGCAATTGATATTCAAAGCAGCGATAATATCTCTTTTTGGTATTTCAATATGTCTCTCCATGTTTGTGCCCCAGTCCTGAACCTTATTCTATCAACTGCCCGGGTGGTCTAGTGGTATGATTCGCGCTTAGGGTTAACCCAAAGCATTAATGCGCGAGGTCCCCGGTTCGATCCCGGGCTCGGGCCCACTTATCTTTTCTTTTTTTTAAACACCACAAGAGACTTCAAGACATGGCGCAGCGATAAATGATGATTTGCTTTGAAGTCCCGGTTTTTCTACTTCTAGCGTGCTAAGCTTCCTGAAATAATCCGGTTATATTTGACTATTAGGCGAGCGTATCATCGCCACCTGCGCGTAATCGGGGTACGGCGAGAAGGAATCAACCTCCCGGAACCCATATTTCTGATACAACGGTTTCCCAGCCGGAGACGCGGACAGATAAACCTCCAAGCCTTCAGCATCAGCGCGTGTGAGACCCCATTTAAGGAGTCTCGAGCCCAGTCCCTTGCCCTGGTAGGAAGCGTGAACACCCAACATATCCAGATCTATAACGGTTAGTGGTGTTCCTTCGTATCTGCTCGAGAAATACCAAACCCAAAGATTTGAAGAAGAAAAAGAAAAACGTACAATAATGAGGCCTCTCCCCCATCCACTTCTCATGTCGCGCCTCCATACCATTGAAAAACCGATCGCATAGTTCCTTATCACTACTAGCAGGCCACACGATCTGTTCCTCATGCCGATTGCGATCTGCAGGCACGGGAAACTTCCATTTCGCGAATGCGACAATCCGATCCCCGCCATCCTCCGACCCCTCCGTCACCTTGAGGAATACATCACGGGTCTCGCCTTCAATTGAGCGCGTGATGTCGGCGCTAAAAAAGCGTTCGAACCATTCTGTCACGTCCGGCGTGTTGGGGAACATGGTTTTGTCGCAGTCGGTACGGAAGCTGGCGTAGAAGACTTGCGCGAGTTCGGGCGCGTCCTTGGGAGACGCGGGGTGGATTTCCAGAGACATCTTAGGTTGGGTTTGAAAATTGCGTGTGACGATGTAGTGAGATGGGTTATCCAATGGCTTAAGTTGTGTATTGAATTGATTTTTGTATCGGAGTTGAAATTGGAGGTCTTGTGCTATGCCGAGTGGGGTGGAGAAAGCTGAGGTTCTACAGCGACAGTACTCCTTACGGAGTATAGGAATGCAGGTCTATGACCCGCTTCTTTGTAAAAGACAAGGGGCCTGACAGTATATTATTAGAGGCAATTTCGTGCATGTAGTTTTACCGCGGATATTAAGCTTATGATAACCATTTATTCCTGTGGCTATCTAAAGATGCTCGTTCCATGGGAGTGACGCGTTTGGGCTCGTATGCGCATATAATCCATACCAAGGCTCGTGGAGTATGTCTACAATGAAGATCATTCATCGATACATATAAACGTAAATTATCTTGACCCGTTTGTGTAGGCGAACACTGTCGAGTCCGGTTAGTAGACCACTCGTTTCGACCAGAACGGAGGAGGCTGAGGTATTCTGGTGTAGCTAGCACTCAGGCACAAACTCAATTCCAGTAGAAATGATATCAAAGATGTGATTTTCTGTTGATGGTGTCATTCTTGTTCTAGAAAGCTCCTTCAACTTATTATAAAGCCTCGCACTATACTAATTCGTGCGCTGAGACCATATCTAATCAAAGTGTCGTCATACCACGCCATCTGGCATAAACCACCACCATCTCCCCAAATTCCAATAAGAAACCGCCATCCGATCCGTTTATAAGGAAATGTTAGCCTTGGAGATGCCGAATTGCCCTTTTGAGCCACCGAGGCGGGGAAGATAAGGAAAACATTGCCCGCGCCCTGTGAGAATTCCCATTTAAAGCCCCAAACCTCTTTTTTGGTCACACACTTTGAAAACTATCTATCGCAATTATGGGCGACGCGCCATTGTCACCGGAGCATGTGCTCGTTATTTTCTACCCGACGATGCCAGAAGAGGTGAAGGAGGTTATCCTACAGAAATTCTCCCATGCCGAGGTCACTATCTACGAGTCTCAGGGAACCCCTGTGCCATCTGGTAAGTGGCTATCATTCTTGAAAATCGAGGTCACAAAAACTAAACTCGCGCAGAGGTATATCAAAAGGCCACCGTCCTCGCGACTTTCAGCGATCTTCCTGATCTCAAGGACTCGAAGAAGTAAGCTCCTACCTCAATCATTCCTACTATGTATTAACCATTACTATAGTCTTAAACTAATCCACACCTTCTCTGCTGGCGTGGATCATATTTTGCAAAACCCAATTCTGCAAGAAACTGATATCCCCATCACTACAAGCTCGGGTATCCATGGTCCTCCGATTGCAGAATGGACTGTGATGAATTGGCTGGTATCATCCCGGAGATACGCCAAGGGCTACGAGGCACAGAAATCCCACGTATGGGATAAGGCCGCGTATAGGCCAGGTCTTCATGACCAAGTGGGTAAAAAGGTAGGTATTCTAGGATATGGAAGTATCGGGCGCCAAAGTATGTTTCCGCACATCCACTCGCTGGAAATTCCATAAACAAGATACCAAAAGTTAACCATCGACAGTCGCCCGCGTCTCGCAAGCATTGGGCATGACCGTGCACGCATACACGGCCACCCCACGCCCAACACCCGAATCCCGGCGTGACAACGGCTACATCGTGCCCGGCACGGGCGATCCCGACGGCTCGATCCCGGCATCGTGGCATCACGGCGCAGACCGCGAATCCCTCCGCTCTTTCCTGGCTACCGGGCTCGATCATCTGGTGGTCTCACTTCCGCTGACACCGCAAACAAACCGTCTCCTCGGTGCCGAGGAATTCACCATTCTCTCGGACCATTCTCAGCACCATTCGAGTAAGCCTTACGTGACTAATATCTCCCGGGGTAGGGTTATCGATCAGAAGGCTTTGGTCGATGCTTTGAATTCGGGGGTTTTGAGTGGTGCTGCGCTTGATGTCACGGATCCGGAACCGCTTCCTCAGGATGATCCGCTCTGGGAGGCTGCCAATGTTCAGATTAGTCCGCATGTCAGCGCGCTTGGGGTGGAGTATTTCCCGCGCTCGCTTGATATCCTTGAGCTAAATCTGGAGCGTATCGCGCGGGGTGGGCCGTTGATTAACTCTTATACGCGGGGCAAGGGGTATTAGGATTACATGTATATATTGATTACATGAGACTACATAGAACAACGGGAGCAAAAGACAATGCCACGGGGTTGTTATTATGTTATTAAGTGAAAGGCTAGTCTGCTAGCTATGATAGGAGATATGTCAGCCCCAGAAAATATTCATCTTTGCCAGTATGCTGTCTTTCTTGATCGGCAAGTTGTCCGGGTCGTTGTTGGCCTCGTCTATCGCTTGTTGAACCGGTATCGTCCTTAGAGGAATGATATTTGTGCGGCGGATCAACTTATAAGCCCCGTACGCAAAGAGGACGAGTGGAATGTCCCTAGTGTCAATGTTAGCAGATCGAACTCAATGGTACGAGAAGAAAACTCACAGATACGACGAGATGAACGAGGCGGTATCCCAGTTTCCTGTTGTGAAGACTGTGAATCCTCCAGTGAAGAGAATTATGACACATGCGACCAGCGCAAACCAGCTTGTGTATCCTTGATAAGGTCAGTATTAGAACCTCAAGACTGATCTGAAACCAGACTGATACATACTGGTAATTCGGTTATGCCACGGCAACTCTGTTGGCGATATGCCCTGTTTATCCATTGCTTGCATCAGACGAATATGGTTGAAAGCGATAGCAATCCACGAGACCAAGGTACCAGCCGCAGTCAAATCAACGAACCACCAGAAGACGTTCATTGCGTCGTTGGAAACACACATGTAAGCCAGTAGAGAGAATGCCATCTGCAGCAGCACACACATGTACGGCACTCCCCACTTGGAGGTGCGCAGGAATATCTTCGGAGCATGGCCCTTGAGCGCTAGACCATATAGAGTTCTTGTTCCGGCCAGAATACTCTGGTTCGATGCAGACCACGCAGAGCTCAAGCATACTGCGTTCACAACGGAGGGAATAGCCCTGATACCTGCGTCGCTGGCGGCAATGACGAACGGACTCGTGGCCGCCGTGCCGGAGTCTGCGCTAATACGGTCGTCGGCGCTAGAGACTAACATGCCCACGATCAAGACGGTGGCAAGGTAGAAGATAGAGACTCGTGCGAACACCCTTTTGCAGGCCTTGGGGATATTCTGTCGTGGGTTTTGCGTTTCGGCGGCGGCCATGGCTAATGATTCCACGCCAGCGAACGAGTAGACTGCATTAGTCATGACAGCCCAGAACCCGAGAAATTGTCCCCAAGACCCGGTGGCAATGTACTCAACGAATGGGCCGGGGTCTTTCCAGTAGTGGAAGCCGCGTCGGGGCACACCCGGCGCACCGCCGAGATCGATAACAAGACCGAGAATGACCACGAAGACAACCAGCAGGATCTTCAGAATGGCGAAGATAAATTCAATCTCGCCGTAGACGCCAATAAACGAGACGGCAACCACCACCGACACCACTATGAGGATAGTCACCCAGACGGCGGCGTTGATATCCGTCCAGTACTGAATAAGAACCACGCTGGCGGAGATCTCACTGGGAACGCTGAGAAAGCATCCATAAACGACATTCCAGCCGATCGCAAATGCGAGCGCGGGATCGACCAAAATCTCTGCATGTCGCACAAAAGAACCGGTGACTGGTAGCAGCGCTGAGACTTCTCCCAGCGCAAATTGGATGCAGCAGACTATCAGGCCGATGAACATGTAGCCTAAAAGGGCACCCAGAGGACCACCGGTGGCGATCGAGCCACCCAGACCGAGAAAGAGACCCGTACCCTATTTAGGTCAGTCACAAAGTTGCAATCCTAATAAACAGTTTGCGTACAATTGCGCCCGCAATGGCAATCATCTGAATATGGCGCTGCCCCAGACCCCGGATCAAGCTTTGGCGTTCATTCTGGGTAACGATCTGCCCGTCGTCGGGGATGGCAGCGCTCAAAGGACCTTGTGGGGTGAAGGGTTGATCTTCCACATCGTGAAAATTGTGCACGACGTACTGACTCCCTGTCTTAGAGCTCTTTTCCTCGAATACCCCTGCCATGGCGTCGTTGCAGGAAAGAGAAAGGCGAAAACATTTCCAGGGCCAAATACTACATAAAGCAATCACACCATTTTAGTGGTCGATGAGGAGAGGCTAATTTTTGCTTATCTGCCTAGTTTGGGGTTAAATCCGAGGTCTCGCGTAAGGAAATTATATTAAAACGTCGCTTCAGCCGAACCACCGTGGGGTCCGGGGGTAACTTTGGTGGAATGGCATTATTCTGGGATCCTTATTGGCTGATTACTGCAGGATGGCGCGCTTGTAGGATGCAATGTGTATTGCGACAGAAAGAACAGGCCATAGAATGTGCATTGTTTACTCTCCGAACGGTTGTACATGCCACATTTGGCCTGACAGGCTAGCCCTATATGAATGAGATAGGGTGGCTGCATCCCGTGCGATGTCGAGAAATTACTGGCTCTGTTTATCTCTCTTAAAGAGTGGGACTGTAAAATGCAGTAGTTTGACATACACGGAGTATTATATCAACTGCATGAATCTCAGCTGTTGTCGCTGCCAAGCAAATATCGAAATTAAGCCTAAGATCGCTCCAGGGCGGTGTTGGCGGTGCTGAGTAATCAACGCGGGTCCGCGGGTCCACGGGCAACACGGAGGTAGGGAAGTGACTCAAGCCTCATGTATTCACTCTCTATTCTCCAGCTATGTCGTTGACTTTGAAGCTCTCCTCCTTGGCAATCCGGACCCTGTCCAAGCCCATCGCTGTAAGCTTGCATCCCAGTCCAACCTTGCCATATTCATAGACTGACCCACGCAGTCTCAAATTAAAGCCCAGGCCCGCGAACATGAACGGTTTCGCAATATCTGCGTGTCTATAGCCCAGGCTCTTCACCGATTCGATATGCGTCTTAGACTAGGCTCCCTGCGCGATACTGCCGCCTCACAGCGTCAAGCCATCGCCGCCGCCGAAGCGCGAAAACACAAGCTTTCAATCCCCACCGTTCGGAACGCCGCCGACACGAAAGCCGCCGAGGAGGCAGAGGCCAAGGCCAAGGCTGCGGCTGAAGACGCGGCCAAGCCTCAACACTATCATATCCGTCCCCTCTCCGAGTCGAAAGCTATCGAGTCCGGTGCCAATTTCATCTCCGAGTCCTTCCTCTTCCTTGTTGCTGGAGGTCTGATCCTATTTGAGTCATGGCGGTCACGGAGCAAGGAAAGCACCCGCCGGGAAGGCGTCGAGGGAAGACTAGCAGATCTAGAACAATCCGAACAGGCCGCACGCGAAGCTCTGCTGGCACTAGAAAAGGAGGTACTGCAGCTCAGAGCGAAGCACAGTGACTTGCCTAAGTTGCACACGAAGAGGATTCTGTCTCCTGAGATATATGAACAAGCCGGAGAGTCGGATACGCCGGACATCGTACATGGGTGGCTCTCACGACTTGCCTCGTACATTCCTTTCGGTCAACGCGCCGAGGAGACGGCCGAGCCTGCGCCTGTTACCCAGCCTACAGCAGAAAGGGCTACCGCAGAAAAGGCTGCATCGACATCCCAAACCCAGGAACACTCTGCATCAGCCAGTCCGACATCATCACCTGCATCGAAAAGCTCGTGATTGTTGATTGATACTCGTATCCTAGCGATATCTTATTATATAAGGTTAGGCGTGCATTTGCTTTTTACATTCAGTCAAGATACCCCATAGAAAAGACCACTGGAAATATCACAAGCATTGTTTTGTTTTCGAGAGAGTAGGGGTTGCGAGGCGGAGTCACTTGATATTCCGCTCCTTCCCTGAAATGTACATACACACATCACGTCCATAGAGGCAACCACTCTTCTCTTCTCTTTCATTCTTTTGCGCCTGACAATTCCATTTTTGTTCAGGTTTTCTCTCTACTCAATCTTTCTGGCAGTCTCATCTCCATTTCCATCCTCAAACGAGCGACAGTGACAGTACACAATCTCTCTTCTCTACTGTCGTAATGACTCCAACAACGCCAACGCTCGGTCTTCGGGGTGAATACAACCCAGAACTCCGCAAACGTGATGAATGGGCCAGGCTGGCCACCACCCTGACTGCATTGGAAACAATGAAAGAAGGTACAATACTCTCATCCATTGAGTCAACATGTGGAGCTGACCGTATCTTCTAGCCTCGCCGGAGCCCTCCAAGAAAGATTTCAGTTGTAAGTTCCCTTGACTCCGTCACAAAAAGTCCAACCATTAAATCTCATCAAGCTTTGTGGGCTGCTCGAGATGCCGACTTCAGCTTCAAGCTAATCTACCAGAGCCGAACCCTATCGAAGTTTGACGTACTCGATCAGACTCACTCCCTCAAGCTCAATGCACTTTTGTTGACCCCCAGCCGGCTGAGCGTAACCACTAGACATCAGACTGCGACTGCAATCCAGAAGTTCACCGAAGCTAACAAGAAGTCCTTGGGGGTCATCATGTACTTAATGGATGCGAGATCGTCCGGTAACGAGCAGATCGAGGCAGTGCAGTCTCTCGGTGCACTGCACCACTGCCTTTCCTTGGGCTTCTCGGAGCCACCCCCTGTTCTTGTTGTGTCCGACGCATCATACCTTCTGGATTGCGTAAGTGCTTACATGAAGGGTGTCTCCCGAGCCAATCCAGTGAGTGCCTGATGACAAGTCTTAGTTCGGTCGTTTGCTCATATATCACGATTAGATCTTGGTCAACACCGCAGATGTGTTGCCGAAACCGACTGCGCTTGTACCTGCATCCTTTGCAGCTACATCATTCCAATCCAGATCTTCTCCAGCCGCATCGGTTCCACCCGCGTCGGTCCCACCCTCGCCGTTCCAGCCATCGAAATTCTCATTTTCATCCCAGGATAAGAAGTGAACTCCCAGATTGAGTTTGTTGGTGCTAGTTTTTTTTCCGTCATAAGTCTTACGGAAGAGGGTGAGCCCCGATGGTGTGTTACTCTGAACAATATGGATAGTTATGAACTTAATCAACAGTTTTATCCCCTCTATCGCTATCATACCTTTATCTTCAAGTCTTTGCCATTCATTGAACTTCTAGAACGAAGTAAATGCCCACCATCAAACCTGGCGGGCCAGTTATACAGTCCCAGAGCCGCCGGTGCAGTCTTTGCCGAGACCGAAGTCAGCTATGGGACGGAGGCAAAATCTAAGGGAATACAAAAGATGTGTTACAGGCGTCAAGATAGATACCGACACCGTTACCATGCCTCGGCAACCAGCAAGGCGGTCTCTCAGACTCGAAGCTACATAGTTAAGAACGATAAGTGAAATTACATGCAAATTGAGTAGACCCATACATAATTTCATGGCTCCAATTCATCTGGTCTGGACATATCAATCGAAATTGGTTAGGCAGTATATATGCCCAATGACGTCGTGCATCTATTCTTAACATTAGCCACATGCCCTGACGTGAGTGGCTGGCCAAGGAGGTTCAAGAAAAAGGAGTATCGACAAAAATTCAATAGATCAATAAGAATAGTATCAAAAAAATCATTCTAAGAGCAGGCGGCTAAATTGATACCCAATTCGCCCCTGAGGCAGCGACGGAACCAGAAAAAGGGTCCTTTGTGGCGCAGCTGTTTGCTTCGGTTTGACCAGTTGTACGTAAGTCCGCCGAGTGGGCACTTCCCTCTTACAATTACCTTGAATTGGTTCTAGACTGTTTCCATTCACTCTCAATTCCTCAATCTCAACTTGTCACTAGAATTCCCCCATTTGCTTGACTTAGATTTGCACATTGTCGCCTGGGCGCGAGATCCCCGAGAGGTTGACACAAGATGGTAGGTGGCCTACTTGCGCAACGACCAGATAAGGACCAAACTGACCCTGGGATTGCGGTTTAGGGTCAGTCACGACGCCCCGTTGGCGGAGAGAAGAAGAGCCGCTTCGGGCGCTCCAAAGCAGCCGCAGATGTTGGCGATGGCCGGCAAGCGGGGGGAAAGCCGAAGGTCAGGAAGGCCGCCTTCGAGAGCAGCAAGAAGAAGGAGATCGGCGTGTCAGATCTCACGCTGCTCAGCAAGATCTCCAATGAGGCCATCAACGATAATCTGAAGCTCCGGTTCGAGCATGACGAGATTTATGTAAGGGATCGCTCTTGCACGCGGGCTGCGGGGTTGTGCGCGAACACGAATACAGGCTGACAGGAGACTTCCAGACTTATATTGGCCATGTGCTGGTCTCAGTAAATCCTTTCCGGGACTGTGAGTTGCTCCGCCGAGAGAATTCGGTTTCCTCCTTGCTAACGGACTTGCGACTACAGTGGGTATCTACACAGATAGTGTCCTCGATTCGTATCGCGGCAAGAACCGTCTCGAAGTCCCTCCCCATGTATTCGGAGTCGCCGAGTCCGCATACTACAACATGAAGTCTTACAAGGACAACCAGTGTGTCATCATTTCTGGAGAGTCGGGTGCCGGAAAGACCGAGGCCGCGAAGCGGATCATGCAATACATTGCCAGTGTCTCCGGCGGCGGCGATTCGTCTATTCAACAGACCAAGGAAATGGTTTTGGCGACGAACCCGTTGCTGGAGTCATTCGGTAATGCGAAGACGCTGCGCAACAATAACTCGTCCCGATTCGGAAAATACCTAGAATTGGAGTTCAATGCCAACGGTGAGCCGGTGGGAGCCAACATTACAAATTATCTGCTGGAAAAGTCGCGAGTTGTGGGACAAATTGTGAATGAGCGCAATTTCCACATCTTTTACCAACTCACAAAGGGGGCCCCACAAAAGTACCGTGACAGCTTCGGTCTCCAGCAACCACAATCTTACCTCTATACGAGCCGTTCCAAGTGTTATGATGTGCCCGGAATCGACGATGTTGCCGAGTTCAAGGATACACTGGATGCGATGCGGGTGATTGGAATGAGCGATGCCGAGCAGGACAATGTGTTCCGCATGCTAGCGGCTATTCTCTGGATTGGAAATGTTCAGTTCACCGAGGATGACTCTGGCAACGCTGCTATTAGCGATCAGTCAATCGTTGACTTTGTCGCCTACCTGCTGGAGGTGGATGCTGCTCAAGTAAACAAAGCGTTGACTATTCGTCTGATGGAGACTGCCCGAGGAGGGCGCAGGGGTTCTGTGTACGAAGTGCCGCTGAACAGGGTCCAAGCTTCAGCCGTTCGCGACGCTTTGGCCAAGGGAATTTACTTCAATCTGTTCGATTGGATTGTAGAGCGCGTCAATCAGTCACTGACTGCTCGAGGCTCCATCACTAATTCGATTGGTATCCTGGATATTTACGGATTCGAAATCTTCGAGAAGAACTCTTTCGAGCAGCTGTGTATCAACTATGTCAACGAAAAACTGCAGCAGATTTTCATTCAATTGACTCTCAAGGCAGAACAAGATGAGTATGCCCGCGAGCAGATCAAGTGGACTCCTATCGAGTACTTTGACAACAAGGTGGTGTGCTCGTTGATCGAGGACAAGCGCCCTCCTGGTGTTTTCGCCGCTTTGAATGATGCCTGCGCAACTGCCCACGCCGATTCCGGTGCGGCCGATCAGACTTTCGTTGGCAGACTCAACTTCCTGGCCCAGAACCCCAACTTTGAAGCTCGCCAGGGGCAGTTCATCATCAAGCACTACGCTGGTGATGTCAGTTACGCCGTGGAGGGAATGACAGATAAGAACAAGGATCAGCTGTTGAAGGACTTGTTGAACCTTGCCCAATCTAGCAGCAACGAATTCGTCCACGCGCTGTTCCCCAACGAGGTCAACCAAGATGACAAGCGTCGCCCACCTACCGCCGGTGACAAGATCAAGGCATCCGCGAATGACCTTGTGGCCACGCTCATGAAGGCGCAGCCATCTTACATTCGTACCATCAAACCCAACGATAACAAGGCCCCCAAGGAATTCAACGTCGGCAATGTCCTGCACCAGATCAAGTACCTGGGTCTCCAGGAAAACGTCCGCATTCGACGTGCTGGTTTCGCCTACCGTCAGACCTTCGACAAGTTCACTGAGCGATTCTACCTGTTGTCCCCGAAGACTTCCTATGCCGGTGACTACACATGGACTGGTGACGTGGAATCCGGCGCGAAGCAAATCTTGACGGATACCCGCATCCCTGCCGAGGAGTATCAGATGGGTATCACAAAGGTTTTCGTCAAGACTCCCGAGACACTATTCGCACTAGAAGCCATGCGAGACAAATACTGGCACAATATGGCCATCCGCATTCAACGTGCGTGGAGAAACTATCTCCGGTACCGTATTGAATGTGCGATCCGTATCCAGCGCTTCTGGCGCCGCATGACCGGCGGACTCGAATTCATCAAGATTCGTGACCAGGGACACAAAGTGCTCCAGGGTCGCAAGGAACGTCGGAGAATGAGTCTTCTCGGCTCTCGTCGCTTCCTGGGTGATTACCTTGGTGTCGGCAATACCGGTGGTCCTGGTGAAATGATCCGCAATGGTGCAGGCATCAGCGGTTCAGATGATGTTGTTTTCTCTTGCCGTGCCGAGGTTTTGGTGTCTAAGTTTGGTCGTTCTAGCAAACCTGTTCCGCGGATCCTGGTCTTGACGAATCGTCACGTTTTCGTTGTTGCACAAAGTATCGAAAACAACCAGCTTGTCATTTCAGCGGAACGAACCGTTCCGGTTGGAGCGATCAAGAGTGTCAGCACCTCGAATCTCAAGGATGACTGGTTTTCGCTGGTTATTGGAGCTCAGGAACCCGACCCGCTAATCCACTGTGTCTTCAAAACCGAGTTCTTCACTCATCTCACCAATGTCCTGCGTGGCTCTCTGACCTTGAAGATTGGAGAAACCATCGAATACCATAAGAAGCCTGGCAAGCTGGCAACCGTCAAGGCAGTCAAAGATCCGGGTGCCGGAAACGTGGACAGCTACAAAAGCAGCACAATCCACACTAGTGCTGGTGAGCCTCCTAGCTCTGTCTCCAAACCTACTCCGCGGCCGAAGGCGGTTGCTGCTCGCCCGGTCACAACGGGCAAGCTACTTCGTCCTGGTGGCCCCGGTGGCGGCCCTTCGAAATTGTCTCAAGCTGCTCGCAGACCTGTCCCTGCCGCTCAGCCTCTGCCCCGGTCTACCCCACAGCCTGCCATGGTACCGCAAGCTGCAGCTCAGCCTCAGCCGCGCATCGTGCCCCAGTCTATGGCAGCTGCTGCCGCCGCCATGCACTCTCGGAACGAGTCGCGTAGCTCAGTGAGATCTTCTGGCTCCATGAGGGCTCCTCCGCCTCCCCCTGCGGCACCCCCTCCAGCGTCAAGAAAGCCTGCCGCAAAGGTCAAGTACGACTACAACAGCGACCGGGCCAATGAGCTTTCCATCACCAAGGGCGAAATTGTGGAGGTTGTGTCCAAGGAAGGAAATGGTACGTACCCATAGCATACTTCATTTGAATCATACTAACATGTTCTAGGATGGTGGCTGTGCAAGAACACAACAACATCGGAGCAAGGATGGACCCCCGAATCCTACCTCGAAGAAGTAGCCGTCGCTCCCACACCGAAGCCCGTTCCACCCCCACCTCCGATGGCACCCCGCGCCACCCCCAGCCCTGTTCCAAATGGCGCTGGAGCTGCAGCAGCTGCAAAGAGCAAGCCTCACCCTCCTGCTCCCCCGGCCAAGCGTCCCAACATGGCCGGGCGCAAACCCGCAGGCGCGCCCACTGCGCGCGATAGCGCCGTGAGCATGCAGTCAAACGACTCATCGGGCGCCAGCGGCCGCGGCACGCCCAACAGCGCATCGAACGTCAGCCTGGCAGGTGGTTTGGCCGAGGCACTGCGGGCACGACAAAGTGCGATGCAGGGCAAACACGACGACGACGATGAGTGGTAGAGTGAGCAGTAATTGTTTATGGTCGGTCGCGGTGTTGGACATTTCTGCGCTTAGCGTTGACCTTTTATTTTTGTTTGTTGGGCCCGTGGCATGTGCATGTACAGGTCAGCGAGTCATTGTTTTTTTCTACCCTTGTCGTTACATTTTGTAGAGTCAGTTCAATATATACCGTTTCGCGAATCAAAATCATACAATATCATTATTCTATCAACGTCCACCGATATTTCGCCAAGACCGCTCGGAGCAGATAGATGGTCGAAACGCGGATTAACACGGATTAATATATTTTCCTTAAAGCTAAATTAGCGGTCCCATTTCAACATTCGATCAGCTGTCGGCCGGGTATCTCCATGTTAGCAGATGAAGCTATTCAGAGATCACATAATCCGAAGCAAGTTAAATTAATTCTACTATCACCAGTAATATACATAGTTTAATTCTGAAAACGGCAATTCAATGTTAGATGCTAGAAAGGATCTAATTGATCAAATCGGGTGATTGTCACGGGATTTGTTTAGGCCCGAAGGCTTCATTTTTTTGAACTTGTCCAGAGCGGTGTGGAGAGCGGTGCTAATTCAGGCATTCAGGCCTCAAGAATCTGTCGGAACTTCCGAGACGATGTGGCCCGCCAAAGTCACGTGACCGATAGCCTATCTTATCTCCATCGGTTGGATCAATAAACAGGTTGGATGAACTGTCCGCTGCTTCCACACCGGTTATCCTTGCTAAGGTGTATGCACCTTTTTGGCCTAATTAGTGGTAACATGCCATGTTTTCCTCCGGCCGAATCCCCTCTAAAGGGGGTTTTGAACCCTGAGCGCTATGGGTCTTCGTAATCGGGATCCGGAGTTATGCTTACGTCCGTACAACAAAAGCCTTTTCTCGGAGATATCTTTGTATTCGGATTTCTTCTGTGCTGTTCATGGTCTCTCCTTGCAATAGTAAACTTTTCTATAAAATAGGGATATCCGCCATTTTCAATTGAAGAAGTCTACCCAATCTATATTCTACAACGACGCTTCGTTCGTAATTCATTATTTAACCCTAACGAACAATGGCTTCTTCACCCCCCAAGACCTACAGAGCAAGTACGTGCTTTTGTCATTATGTTTGCATTCATTGGTTCATTCTTACACGTATTCTGTAGTCCAATGTGCCGCACCTCAGAGTACCTGGGACGTCATTACGTTAGAGCTGCGTGATCCCGCACCGACAGAGGTACTCGTGCGCGTGCACGCGTCTGGGATCTGCAACTCCGACCACTTCGTCAAGGATGGCGCCTGGCCTGGCCTTCAGTACCCGCGCATCCCGGGCCATGAGATCATCGGCCGTATCGCCGGCGTGGGCTCGGAGCTACTACAAAGCCCGGTGAACAAGGAGCGTTTCGCCATAGGTGCCTTGGTCGGCGTTGGTTGGAATGGCGGCTACTGCAATCAGTGCGATTACTGCCGGAAAGGACAGTTTTGGACCTGCCGCAACGTGGATTACACTGGGTTTACGATAGATGGTGGTCATGGGGAGTATATGTACGCTCCTTACACGGCTATCATCGACATTGCCGAGGATGTGCTGAAGACAGCATCCTATGCTGAACTCGCTCCTCTCTGCTGTGCCGGGGCGACTGTATTTGATGCCATAAACACGTCGAAGTGGTCTCCGGGCGACATCTGCCTCGTCCAGGGAGTAGGAGGACTAGGCCACCTTGCGATTCAGTATGCGAACAGACTAGGATTAAAGGTAAAGGAGAGGATATCTTATTTGCTATAGCATAGCTGACTGGTCTTTTCTTCTAGGTGTATGCTGTTTCGTCGGGTTCTTCTAAACGGGATCTCGCATTGTCCTTGGGGGCCTGCGAATACATTGACTCGAGTAAAATCGACGTTGTCGAGTACATGTCGTCTCTTGGTGGTGCGAATCTCATCCTATGCACTGCGCCTTATTCCAAGGCCATCAATGCTATTATACCGGCTGTTACGAAGAATGGTAAGCCTCCATTCCATTTACCATTCGCGATGTGGTGCCGTTGGCTGACATCCTCTCTAGGGACGATCACTTTGGTCTCTGCCGCTACGGATGGTCCAATCCAAGTCGATAATCTCCTCCTCAACATGAACCGTGCTACCCTACGTGGCTTCGCTTGCGGCTGTGCACCAGACATGGAGAAATGCATCGAGTACTCTGCCACCAATAATGTGAAGGCGATGATAAAAGTATTCACGATGGACGAATTCACGCAGGCATACAACGGTGTCATGGACAGCACAGCCAAATTTCGACATGTTATCGTGTTTCCATAGAAAACAGGGAACAGATATGATCATCGCGAAAATGTATCAATATTTATTGTACTTGACAAAGTGATATGGCTAACTGCATGCACTGTTATGCGGGATTTTCATATTAACTTTACCTTGAAATTGTAGTACATTAGAGATGGGTTTGACCATCTGAAACTACGAATTTGTTCGAAATGCCTATAATGTGTGAATGCTGAATAGAAGATTCGAAGTTCTTTCAAACATCGCCCTTATTTCCTCGCCTTCAGCTGAACCATCAGATCGTTCTTCTCCCACAGGAAGAAAGTTTTCTGTTTGTCCCAACCAACAGACTCCGGCAGAAGAGAAAGGTCAAAATTAAACAGCACCTTGGCCAGAATGAGACGCATTTCATGGTATGCCAGACTATCGATCATTAGCTAGGACCATTCGAGAGCAAGACGAAAACATACTTCTTCCCAATGCAGTTCCGAGGCCCAAATGAGAATGGCTGAAATGCAGCCTTGTTATCACTGGCGAACTCATCCCCAATCCAGCGCTCAGGGATAAACTGATTTGGCAATCTGAAGTTTTGAGCACTGTGGTAGGTAGCCCAATGATGAACCGAAAGTGCAGTCTATGATCATCCAAGATTAGAACCAACCTTCGAAAACACAACGGAATGAATACCTTTCCTGGAATATGTTCTCCGCAAACAAGCAATCCCTCATCAGGAGCAATGCGTGGCAGACCAACCGGAACTGGAGGGTACATGCGCAACCCTTCCTCAATGCACGCATTGAGATATGTCATATGCTCCAGAGATCTCATATCAATATCAGAGTCTTTCTCAAAAGTCGCACGAACTTCCTCTACAATAATCTCCATCTTCTCCGGCGTCCTCAGGAGGTGATAGAGCAAACCACTCAGCGCAGTCGCAGTCGTCTCAGTACCCGCCACCATGAAAACCTGCGAATTGGCATACATCTCCACCCGACTAAGCCGGAGGTCCTCCTTCTGGCTCATGACAATACCCCAGATATCAGGTTTATGCACATAGTTGCCATCGATCCTTCTGTCCACACGTTCCTGAGAAGCCTCGTAATGTTCGATACTCTGCTGCTTCAGTTCCTTCGGGATAAGCCGCTGGACAATGACCGCCGTCCAAGGGGCGTAGCGCGCCAGTCTGCGCAGAGAGTTCGTCTTGATACTGACGAACACAGCCGACACCCAACTGCAATTCCCAGTCCCAGCCAGCAGATTCAACGAGTCACCGAATGTTAAATCGCCCATGATATCAAACGTCGTCAGATTCAACATGCGGACCATATTTATTTTCGCTGCGGGATCCTCCCGGATCGAGTTGTGGAGGGTGTCGATCAACGCGTCCGCATATCCACAAATCAAAGCCTGCTGTTCCCGCAGCGCGCGGTCCGAAAAGGCGTGGGAGAAGTTGCGTCGGAAACGCGAGTGGTCGGGGCCTTTTCCGCGGATGATATCTGCAGCACCGTTGAAGGATGGGCCGTAGAAGCGGGTGTCTTTCTCTGTTACTGGTTTCCCGGCTGAGGCGTGCCCGTAGATTCCCTTCCAGGCGTCGCCGGTTGCGTAGCTTAGTTCATCTGGGGCGACGCGGACGACGTTGCCGTGGGTGTTGTGTAGTCCGGTGACCCATTCGAGGAGGTCGCCTTTTAGGGTATGGTAGATTTGAGGTATGCGTGATGTGGCGGCGAGTCTGGGGCCAGGGTATTTGCTGAGAGGGTTGAGGAAGATTTGGTAGTATGCATGCGAGACTAATGATAGTAGAATCTAAGCAGAGCATGTTAGACTGGCTCAATTGAATAAAGTTGTAGTAAACGTACCGAAGTGGCGATGACGGAGATATAGTGTTCCTGAATCAAACTTGAAGCCGATTGAAGGAGCATTTTGAATTAAGAAAATGCCTAATTGGACAAAAGGAACATACTAGAATGACAGGAAGGCAGAAAATAATTGGAATAGTATATATAACAAATTCCTTGATGATCTAGTACGACCTCATCTGTTCATTTTGAATTGTGCAGGCTTTTTCCTGCATAGTTGTGATAGCACGGATACTTGACCCCTCGCTCGGCTTGGACACTCAAGAATATATGCCGTGTCTATAGCGCGCTAGCGATAAATGCATCGTCGAAATTCTATATTGGAATTGATCTACATGTCGCTGAAGAATCTACGTTGACGGTTAGGACGGGAGTGGGGTATGTCATGAAAACTGGGGATAAGCTCAATGCATAACTTGGCCCCTGGAAGATTACTTAGCCAATGCCAATGCCAATGCCAATGCCATTAGTGGTTATTGGGTATTTCATAAGGTATCTTCATAGATAAACTAAGAGAAATAGTGGACACCCCTATTCTGGTATATACCGTTTTCAATCTCGAGAATTGAATTGCCGAATATCAACCAGGGGTTATTAACACTATAGTGTGAGTGCACTAGGGAGTACTCTGTAAGTGATTAATTAAGAATACGAGATTTAATCGGACGATCTTTACTCTTCTAAGAGGATCGACAACTGGGTTGATAGGGTACTTGTTGCGGTATATCAGTGGCTTGGCATAAAGCTTTGTCGCCGGCACCGTTGGCCGAGACAGATGGAGTTATATTTAGAATATGACTGAGCGAATTCAGAGGTATGCAGTATTATTGCAAATGAAGTGGTTGATATAAAACGGTGGGAGTAAAGGTTAGAGAATGCTTGAGTATACATAGGCTCTGCAACCCTAACAGTTGTTCCGAAGACGCCAACAGTCCCCCAGTCAAGTAATACGTCCCAAGTAACCAGGAACGCTAGACAGATACGCTTTCTCATATGGGATACTGTTATCTTCTTTTGGCTGATCCCAAGATTGTTTGTTCAAAAGCGGCGTAAGCTAGAATGAAAAGATATATCTCAAATGCCAGACATCATCCAACACATTCAACAAGAAGAAACATCTACAAGAACTTGCTCGCAAGACTCATAAGCCCGCTAGCACCAGAACCACCAGAGCCACCCTGGTTCTTCATATACATTTTAAGAGCCATCTCGGCAGCAGAGTTGACAGCAGACTGCTTATCACCGGACTGTAACACCATTAGCAATAACCCAACCAAAAGAAGCACAAGAATAACATACCACACCACCACCAGAACCCCCCGAACCACTCTTTTCATCCCACAACTTCCCAGCCTGAGACATAGCAAGCTGAATAAGCTTATTCTTATCCAAGCCGCCATCACTGCCGCCCCCACTGCCGGAGCCAGCGAACATCTTCAAAGCCTGCACCGCAGCGCCCGCACCAACAGTGCTGGAATCGTGCTGCTGGTTCGACGAGCTGCCGGAGCCGTACATGGCCTGGTGGGCATTGGCGACCTTCTGCTCGTCGACGTCGCCGCTGGTATTGCGGTCTTTGAGGAATTTCAAAGCGGTGCTGAACAGGGAGCTTTCTTCGCTGCTGCTGCCTTGGTCGTTGTGGCTGGAAGAGTGCTGGTTGGAGGAGGAGTTGTTGTTGTCGCCGTAGCCGCCGCTGGAGCCGCCGTAGCTGCCTTGGTCTTGGTTTTGGTTGTAGCCGGAGGAAGAGTTGCCGTGGCTGGAGTTGCCGTAGCCAGAGGAGGAGTTGTTGTTATCGCCGTAGCCACCGCTGGAGCCACCGTAGCCGGAAGAGTTGTTGTTGTCGTTACCGTAGCCGCCGCCACCGTGGGACTCCTGGCGACCGCCGTAGTTACCCTGGCCTTGGTTCTGGTTGCCGTAGCTGTCGTTGCGGCCCTCGTTGCGACCCTCGTAAGGGCGGCCCTCGTTAGAGGAGTTGCCGTAGCCACCGCCACCGCCAGATCCGCCGTAGGAGTTGTTATTGTTATTGCTGTTACCGCCGGAGAAGTCCTCGTTCTTGTTGTAGTAGCTGTCGCTGGCGCCGCCACCGCTGCCGCCGCCGCCGCCGTATTGCTGGTTGTTATCGCGGTAAGACATTTTGGATTAAAATGGAGGATGTGAGTGAATATGATAGAATTGTTCAAGAAAAAGGTGGAAATGGAGATATGCTATGGATTTAATAGAAAGCTAGAGGAAAAGAATGGAATGGAAGAGCTTCAGCTGAGGCTGGAGGAGGGGTTGCGGGGCAGTTTTTTTGTTGATCGCGCCGATTTGGGTGATTCGCTGTGAGATCGCATTGCAGGTGGATCGAAGCTGAGGTGGCCAATTACCAGAGCGGGCTTTTTATTGGATGTTTCAGACGTTGACTATCGAGTTGGGTTGTTTTTTCTTGGAAGATCTGGTGATCTGGTGATTTCAGTGTGTTCTAGTCCGGAGTTTACATGGAGGAACTACGATATAGAGATGATAGAGATGAAGCTGACAGAAGAGTAGTGGTATAGCAGAGGAAGTGATAACTTGAATGAATTCAATCAGAAAATAAATTGCCAAAGTATCTTTCCTCTTGGCTCTACACGGCGATGTCCACGTATCCAATGCAGTGGATATTTGAGGCTTAGTAATCGGAGAATAAATACGCCGAGATGTGATGTCATGTGACCAGCAAGTATAAAACGTATGCGACGACTAGTTACAACTATTATTATGAGCCACAATACTCTAAGAAAAAAAAAAAAGAAATAAATATAGATAGCCTCCAACACCGCAACCCAGGGTATCAGATGCAGATAAAAGGCGCAAAGAATACCACCCAAAAAAGAAAGAAAGAAAAAGACAACATAACAGTCATAAGAGAATCAAAGAATCAACGCATCATGCTCCTCATCCGATAAAGTCCTCAAAAACCTCAACCCCCGCTCCCTCCTACTCAAAACACACCTAGGATCCACCGCCAACTCCTCCTCGGTAACCCACTCACACGGCAAATCCGTCAACCCAACCCGCTGCCCCCACATCCTGCGCTCATACTGCATGAAACCACCGAAATGGCGATCGGTATTAGCAACCCATATCTCGGCGCCGTCAGGCGCATAGTCCGCACCCCCAATCTCGCCGAAGAAATCATGCACCTGTCTTGAGCGGAAGAGCTGCGCATCGACGATGGAGATGCGATCCGCAGGCTCGGTGCAGAGCAGGGTGCGCGGGCCGCCGCCGACGGGCGAGAAGCGTAGCGAGCGGTAGCCTGCGACGTCCGAGTCGATGGTTTCGAGCGGACGCCAGGTGCGCGCGTCCCAGATGATGACGGTTTTGTCTTGGTTGGAGGTGGCTATGTGGCGCATGTCTGGGGACCAGGCGCAGGCGAAGCCGAAGTCGCGGTGGCCGCGGAGGGGGTGCACGGGTCGGCCGGTGTCGGATTCGATGACCCATGCGTCCGGTGAGTCGCCGATTACGACGCGCAGACGGCCGTCGGGGGATGTTGCGGTGCAGTTTATTGGTTGGGAGAGTTCTTGGTCGGAGGTGAAAATGTTTGTTTCGGTGTCGAGGATACGGAGGTGTTTGTCGTTGGAGGCGAAGACGGCGGTCGGGGAGGGGCCGGTGCGGCTAGGGATTATATCGATGTGGTTGGTGATGCCGTCGTTGAAGTCGGGGGTTACGAGGCCCTTTATGCCAGGGTCGGATCCGCTGGTGCTGCGTAGGGCGTATTCCCCGCAGAACCCGCCGGCGATTGTCAGGCCGTGCGCTGTTTTCATGGTGGATATTTTGACTGGGCTGAGGAAGCCTAAGTCGGGGTCGGGCTGGCTCAGGTCGATTATACAGCGTGCGTCGCCGGTTTTTGGGGTCCACGAAAACACCTTTGAGCTGGAAGCGAAATGGACGGTATTAGATGCAGGGGCCGACATCAGATTGCGAAGCTGGAAGTGTTCAATAGACGCTTTGTGTGAAGTGTGCATAGAGTTCCCGCGGAAAAAGGTTTCGTGCTGGGGAAGGCGATTTGCATATCCACGGTGCGAGTAATCCAAGTTATGATACGAAGTATACCAGGCGTCACGCACAGCTCGTGCATCGAACCGTGTCACCCGCAAGGTTTCTGTCCACGGGATCTGCTGCAAATCGTAAAAATCGCGTCTCCATCCAGACGGCCGAACAATCTCCGGCGGCGGCTTCCAGCTGATCATCTTGGAGAGTGGGCGAAGCTGCGGTGGAATTCGACTTTCAGAATGGAACCCATGGGGGATGACGTTTATCGAGACCATCCAGCGCTGGATGAATTCATCAATAGTGAGGTTCCGCTCGTATGCTAGAGAGAATTAGCTAGGCCTGTATCAACAGTCATTGGGTCTTACTTGACGTGTGGATTATAGATGCGGGGTGAGGTCCAGCGAAATCCATCTGACCGTCGGTGTAGTTCCCCATAGGTACGTTTGGGTGATCCACCTCGATATCTTCATAACTGATACTGTTATAAAAGTCATCCAAATTGCAGTCTGGCATTTGGGGTTCGTGCGTCGGCCGGTCCATGCGCTCGTAGTAATACTCCTCTTCATCGGGATAAAACTGGAGAAAGTCTTCCAGCTCATCATCGGATGTTGCTGCGGGCGATGGCTTGTCTTCCATGGTAGCGGACTGATAATCCATAACCATATCCTTCTGACCATCCCCGATGTCACTGTCCGGGGCGATGGCGATATTCTGCCCGCCGGCGGTGCGGTTAATCAAGTCCCGAACGGATGTGTCCATACCCGTGTTACCACTCGGGTTCGCGCCGAAGACAAACACCGGTCCAGCCGAAGGGGTAGGTTGAAAATTACCCCATTGTACCGGCATAGGACCCACGGGATCTAAATGTCGATGATCGGGAGGACTGCCCGCACTCGTGATAGCGTTGACGACTTCCGACACGAGAAAAGAATCCCCGAGCGCAGTATCCAGGGCACGCGGGTACTGAGACACAGCAGCCAGAGCTGCGACACCCACGTCATGGAAGCGGCGATCGATCTCGGAGGTCATATTCGCAGGCGGGGCAGATCGATCGGTAGGAAGTATATTGAAATCAGGCGAATTCCAGGCCGTCGCGTGGTCTTCTCGACCAGACAGTCCAGTACCGGAACGATGTAGAGGATTCATAGCTCGGGGTTGAACTGGAGGATATAACACATGACGCGGCGGTGCAGCGGGATCTCGCGAGCGGGCAGATGAGTCGGAGGGACGATTCGTAGAGTTACAGTTGTCGGGATGAAGCATCGCCCGCCATGGACATCCGACCCGAAACTGATAATAGCGGTCGCACGAGCGGAGGAAAAAAATCCAGTAACCAGAAACCCAGTGTCTCGGTTTCCAGGATTTACCAGATCTGTCCTCTCGTGCAGCGATCTCGACTAGAGTTCAACCCCACACTGCAGGCGTGGCGTTGGAATCCAAGTCAGGGAAAAGGCGGAGAGCGGAGAGCGGAAAGCGAGAAAACGCCGAGGGCAACCGAAGAGGGGCAGAGTAAGGAGCGGGAAAAGGAAGACGAGATCAACGGGGCAATCTTATAGCGGCTGCTATTCTAGTGCGAGATGTGGGCTGATCCCAAGAAAAATAGAGGGGGAAAACAGGACAGTGCGCGGTAGGCTTTTCCGTTCAAATAAGGGGAAGAAGGGGATTCGTATTAATTCTGACACTCCCATGCAGTCAGATGGAACGTGGGGAGAGAAACGTGCGAGCTCGGGGCGAATATATACATGGAAGGCAAAAAAAGAAACGAATGGCAAAAGATGATACTTCGCGAGAATATGCAAGGATTCGGTCCTAATATTCAGTCAACTGTTGTCCCGTCCATTCTAGACCTCGCTCGATCATAGAGCTGATCCGACATGGGTTAAGCATTAAGCACGTAAACTAATTTAAAGTGCATCGTCTTGATCATATATTCTCGCATGTGTCAATATTAGAATAATGCAGGGAGCACGTAACATGCACATCCAACCCGGACAGCCCGGTGACTCACGCTTGGATGCTGTTGGGCACGACTTGGGCTGACGTGATCTGTGGGAAGCCGTGGTAGAAGTACGTATTTGATAGTTCATGTTGGTTGACAGGGTTCATGATGCTATTTTGGTTACGCTATGGCCAGTAGGATGACGATTATTTCCTAACATACAACGCGCCCAGTCCAATTCGCCGTACAAGACAGCAAATGCTTGAAACAGAAGAAAGCCAAAAATATGTAAATAATCAATCGTCAGTCGTGTAACGCTCTGAACTATATTATAAGAATGTTTGAACGCCGATATGTAAATAGTACAATAGATCACGTGCATCAGGGGAAGCAAGAAAAAGCAAATAAGAAATGAAGCGCTGACGCTTTCGTTAGTAATGTGAATAAGGCTCGTACTGCGATGGATGAACATCCGTTGTAGGGGGCTGTGACCAGGCACTTCGTAGACGACGATCTATCGAGAATATTAGAATCGACAAATCATTCCAGGGCAACCTAAGACATACCTTTTTCGAAATCGCGCCACCTCTTCATCGTGATCTTCGTACTATCAAACTCGCCCTCGGCATCGCCGTGTCCCTTATCCTTCTCGCCCGCAGTCTTACGGGTATCACCCCAACTGAAATCGTCGAACTTCCAGAACGCATACATGGGCAGAACGAAGTTCCAGATCGGAAGCGAGAGGAGGTAGATCAGCATCCAGAGCACATAGACCAGTCTGTGTGCAGTGACCACGATCAACACACCCGGCAGACCCAAGACCAGAGCGAGCAGAACCAGCGGAATGACCTGGACGGGTTTCTTGACGATGGAGACGACGACGACATAGACGGTGAAGGAGATAGCAGCGGGCAGAACCAGGGTTCCGATAAGCTCGATGAAGATGACGAATTGCATGCTGAAGCAGAAGGTTCCGCACAGGTCGCGCACAAGGACGAGTTCAAATAGGTTGTGGACGGTACTGTTGATCCAGCGACGGCGCTGGGAGAGTAGGACGAGGAATGCGTCCGGCACGACTGTTTTGCAGACGGCTTGTGGGACGAAGATCTGCTTGCGTTTCGGGAAGGTCTTGAGCATCAGGGTGGTCAGGTAGCGATCTTCACCGAGAAGGAGCAGGTTCTTCTTGTGTAGAGTATCCACGACGTTTTCCGAGTAGTGTTCAACGATATCTGGGTTGGCGAGAATGGGCACCCAGTAGTTCTGGCCGCCCTTGGGGGCTTTGATTCGGTACATGGTGAAACATCCAGGGAGACAGGTTACACCACCGAACACGGATTCGAATGATTTCGCTTGGTGATGGGAGATAAAGTACCTGTTTTGAATTAGTTACTGCGCTGCTAATGGACAGTGGAGACTTACTCGAAGACCTGGATCATTGTTACCCAGCTGTCAGTCTTGTTGGCGATCTTAGTTTCTCCACAGAGACCCATGATTTCTGGGTCCTTGACCATGGCCGAGACCATGTGGGTCAAACTGTCTGGGAACACCTTTGTATCGGCGTCGACCATGAGAACAACCTCGTAGAAGTCTGGGGCAATGCCTGTGACGTTCCACAGGCCATTGAACATCTCGTACTCTAGTTCCGTCATGCGCTCGTCGAACATAACCTTCTGGAGGAAAGACATGAGAATGATCTGACTGTCTCGCTTGCCACGGTTACCGGGCTTTGACTGGGTCGACTCTTGAGGAGTTCCGCACTTGACAATCACCATCATGGGAACGCGCTGCTGCTTATCCGCCGGGATGATCGAATTATGGCCGTAGTCGTAGAACCCAGTGTAGACCTTGGCCATGTTGTGTCGCTTGGAGCCAGTAGCCACAGCCACGTAGGAGTAGGGCTCGACCTCGTCCTCGGGAACAACAGGCTCCCTGAGCATGCCTAGCACAATGTCTGGCGTGGAAAACGATTCTCCCTTACCTTTAATGATACCATCACAAATGACCAAGATCGTTTTGTGACTGTTCGGGTAGTCGGTCATGGCAATAGAATCTAAAGTCGACCGAATACCCTCTTCACCCTCAGAGTAGCAAGTAATCAGACAAAGACTGTGGGCTAGAGGGTAGCCGAATGGCTGCCATTCAGGCGGAGGTTGCGGAACAACAGCCTCGTGAATGTAACCAGCAGGACCTAAGCCCTCGTAATCCGTCGATAGCGTGGCATAACCCGTATCTTGTTGACCCTGGCCGGTCGGAACCAAGCTAGTCCGACTGGCACCAGGATTATGCCGGGAATTGTCAGCGCTCAGAGTGCCCCCGCTCCCGCTGTGGCTCAGCTTATACATAGTGCCAGGATTGGAGCTGGGCATGAGCCGAGACGTCGAGTTCTGGCTAGCCATCGTGACATACAACGGCTTTTGCTTGCTCCCAGCGCTGCTGTTCACATTATACGGGCTGGAGAAACGAGAAGTGGTCGGGAGGAAGCTGGCGCGTTTGCTGAGGCGATCGGGAATGGTGGGTTCGGTCATTCGTGGAGCGGGTCGATATATGTCGTTGGACCAGTCTTCGATCTGCTGATTGCGAGTCCTAGCGTCGGAGGCCATACTCGTGGTCTGCGCGGCAAACCTGGGTGCCAGGAACCACTGGAAGAGCAGGGCGAAGGCGAATTTGACACCCACGATGGAGAGAATGAAGATCAGGGATACGTATAGCACCACTTTTGACGCGATACAGCCAACAGTATCAGTGTCGATACTGCCGACTTTGATGATCTGCGCCAAGCACTTGCCGATCTTCTTCTCCTCCCCGCTTTGCAGGTAGTAAGTCAGATCAACACCGCGGACATCAGGATTCTTGCGGAGCTCGTCGAATTGTTTGGGATAGGACACCTGGCTAGTGTCAAACCAGGCGAGAAGATCGAGGTCGAGTACATTTCCGGAGTATATGGCCAGATTTCGACTCTTGTTCTTTGTATCCTCCCAGGTGTAGTACACATCCCCTTCACTGTGCAGGGTATAGAAAGGCTCGCGGGCCGCCTTGCTGGTATGACAAGCCCAGCCCACATAATATTCAACAGTCGTATTCGGTTCGGACGAACCATCCTGGTTGAAGGGCGCACAAGGGAAGTACCAACCGAGATCTCCATCGGAGTTTGTTGGAATATCGCTATCAGACGTGGCAGTAATCAGTCCCTTGCACGCACCGTTGACCTGTTGGAAGAAGAAGCTGCCATCTTGTCCGCCATACTTGTGTGGTAAGTCGTAGAGAACATTCGCATTGGCAGAGATACCAGTGACAGCGGGGTGTTTCGAACCGGACAAGTCATATGCCTTTCCATGGAAGATCATGTAGTTGGAACTGACTTCGTTGACCTTCAATCGAACCGGGGGCGAGGCACAAACTGTAGCCGTGAAACCGAAAGTCAGGAAACCGACAAAAGCACCGATCATCATAATGATGCTGATAAGGCCGATCTTCTCCCGCCAAGCAGTGCGCTGCTCTTTCTGTGGCATTCCACAGCATTTCAGCAAAAAGTCCGGGATGAAGAATGTGAGAACTACACAATATGTAGGCCATAACTCGGGCGGACCACTCTGCTCAATTGCCTTTTCACGTCTCTTTTCCTCCGCAACGCCCCTTGACCTTCGCGAGCCTCTCTTCTTCTTCTTCGAGCGATGTCTGCTAGGGACACGCTCCATGGGTTTGTTGATATTACCCCGCGCGTAAAGACCCTTGCTCTTCATGTCCATGCTGCGCGAGCTGTTCGTCTCCACCTCATCTCTCTTATCCAATAACGGATCGTTTCCCGTCGTCGAGGGAAAAATACGCATGTGATTTGATCGCTGACGGTAGTGATAGTTGGGTTGGTCACGGTCGTCTTTCCTGCGCTCTGGTTTGACCATGCGCTTTTTGTGTCTCACATCCCCGCTCCGGTCCATGCGTTCTTCGTCCGTGTCCATTGCTCTCCGATGGCTGGAATGTCGGCGGCGATGCCGATGGGAGTGGGAAGTCGGGTCGTCGCTGTAAGTTCCCGAGTCGATATCCCGTCGACGGCGCTGGGATGGTTCGCGAAATGCGCGGGCTTCTTCACGCCGAGGCGAGGGTCTCCCTGGCCGCTGCGGCAAAGACATCTCCTAAGATTCCCGATGTCAGCCAATCAGACCCCAGTTGTTAGTTGGATTGAACTTACTGGCCTACTCACTTCGGTTATTTTCCGCTGATCAACAGCGAATGTGTGGATAAGACTGTTCACAATATGTCGCTTGCCGACTGAAACATGTCAAATGCGCAGACCCGGTCCTCGACAATGTGAGCTATAGGATTCGTCTTTCCGTACGAATCTTAGATTTCTTTCAGTTTTCGATATCTCTATTGACCAGCAACTAGAGTTGAGACTTCTCAGCGAAAGTGGTACGGTCGGCCTGTGCAACGGGTGGAGAATAACAAAGTCCCCACTACGCAAGAAAACGAAAGGGTCCAAAACACAGAGACGAGCGAATGCAGCAGTAGAAATAGTAATAGCAATTGTGTCTAAGGGAAAAGGGAAGTTCTGAGACAAAGACCCTGTACGGAGTAGTCCGTACACGGGACTCCCTCTGCGCTTGACCTGGGGAGGTTAGGCTTGTTTTGCCATATTAAGAAATAAAAATAAAAATAAATAATTTCCTTGTCGCTAGGGGCAATACCCCAATCACCTGCCCAGCTGGCCGCGGAGATAAATTAAACTCTCTCGTTTCCACGGTTAGCCAGATGTCGCCCAAGGTTCATAATTAATAAATTCATCAAATGGAAACAACAGCCGAGGAACAACCATTTTCCTTCTGATCACGGGGTCCTTGTTTCTATTTTGGGCTTAGACTGTTGATGTTTAGTTATAACTGCCACGCCGACTAGTTAGATATTGCCACTGTTACACGGACTCCGATTCTAGATAGTTAATAGTCCGACACGCCTTGTGAAAACTGGCAACCTGCTTTGTGATACATCTAGATAAGACCGAGCTCACATATTGTGTTTGAGTCGGTGTGATTCAGATCCAAGCTTCAGAGAATACTAATCGAAAGGTAATGCATGCCATATGTGCGAACCCTTGACAAAACACCAATATTTGTACCACCAGGCTGGATTCTGGTCAGCAGAACGCGTTAGTTCTTTCCATATTGCTCTTGAAACAAGTCAAAATCAATATGGTTTCGATATAAAAGCTCAGGATAATCCTGTACGGGGTAATGCCAATCCAACCAGTGATCGACAACAGGCCGCCGATCATCACGGCAACCCCCAGAATCCGTCCAGCCCATGGCCCCATAACTAGTGCATATGCATCAAGCCGTTTCGAACTCGAAGGCCATATCTTTTCGATCAACCATCTTGAACGAAAAAGAAAGGAATGTATCATGTCCACAGGCAATTACTCCCTTTCAATTCGAAATAACCCCATTGAGAAACCAACTTGGCGTCGGATTTGCTGGGGATCTTGACTGTGGAGTCCGGTATCCTTGTCCGGCCACGTTCTTTGGCTCTTACTAGAATGCCGACAGTATGTCTCCAGAGGTAGCACAGAGCTTCAACTCCAAATACCGAATATCTAGTACTTACTGCGAGGGATGCCGGTATCAAGTTAACCAGAATGAACTCACCGCGTAGGAAATGTCGTCATCTAAAGATGAGATTTGCTTTTCGTCCGTGCTTTGACGGTGTGGTTGACTGCTGCAAGGAGTATACATGGAGATGGATTGGATAAACTCAATTGATTAGTTTGTTTCTCACATGTTAGAGAAGGACTCGAAAGGGGCAATATATTCGCCATTTACGCTCAAGCCTCTGTTTCAAATAGGAGTCACGGAGTCCGGAGTAGATATTAAAGCTGACCTCCAGGACGGATATATAGTGTACTTCCACTTTCCATCCACATCTGCCACGCACAACCGGAAAGGTCGGACACTAAAGACACTACTGAGCTACCAAGACACTAAGGAAAGACTAAAGAGAGACTAAAGAGAACTAAAGGCGAACTAAAGACGTGAAGCAGCACATGTTGTCTCCACAGTGAAAGAGGGGATTTGACCTGAAGGCATGTCTTATGCGCTGTTAGACCGGCGCGGCTGATGAATGTCTCGGAAAGCCCTATTTACAGATCCGATAGGCATCAACTGATGGTATTTAGGTTAGACGAGGGCATGAGAGACATAATAATAGTTCATCCCCACCCGTATTAGGCGCATGAAACATAAATTAAAAGAAAAGAAAGAATGACGATTTGAAAGAGACCGTTCTTTTCTTTTGCTCGCTTCGATGAGAAATATCAATAGTGGTCGTGTCCACTCGTTCTCCACAGCTCGGATTCCCCATAAAGTCCACCTGTTCGCGCTTTTCATGGATCTTGAAATTCCGCTCGCTTTCGCCCTTTGATATTCCCAACTCCACCATGGCCAGTCCTGCCCCGGGACACCGCCAGGCATTGCCTTCTCCCCCACCAGCCTACCTCCGATCATCACCGTCATTCACCCCGTCCGAAACACCACGGACTATCCCGAACCGACCCCAGAAGTTGAACCTGAGCAAACCAGCCCACCAAGCATCGCGATCGGAAACCTCCCTTGTCATTCAACACTCTCCGCGCTCGCCGGTCAAAATCGCACATAGCGCAGATATTCCCGATGCCTCGAGCGTGCGCATCGAAGGCGCATACAGTGGGCCCACCACGCCGCAATTGGACCTCCCTGAGTTCACAGACCTGTCACTTGACGACCCCGTACAGCCGCCTCAGCACACCTGGAATCCTGCCCATCCCCAGCGGCGAGACTCATCACAGGCCCACTACACACATTCGAATTCGTACGGTCATACCCCAGCGAGCAGCGGCTCGTGGTCGGTGATAGATCCGAAGGATGACGGACACGGAAATAAAAAGAGCCGCCCCTCGTTAGAGCGCGCGGGTCAAAGCCATAACGGCTCCTCGCGGGAAAGCTTGGATAGCGTGCCGCTAGTGGAGGACAACTATGAACCTCTGGCCTACCATCACCAGCAACCGGCCGCGGCAGTTACCAGGAAACCTGCACCCAATGGAGATAACCCGTCTGCCTCGACGGATAAGCTGGCCGTGAGGCGAACAAGGCTGTCGCGGCCCGTTTCGGCATACTCCTCAACCTCCGATGGGCGTCACCGACGTAACCTCTCCGCATCCCCGTATCTAAATGCGCGCTCCTCGTCAGGAACCCCGGAAACCAGGTCTCTATCATTCCTCAATTTGCTCAACACATCATACCCGCAGCCAGGCCCAACCACGCAATTCGACAACTCGCGTCTCCAAGCCTCAGTCGGAAACAACGCCTCCCTCCTTAGCCACAAAGAGACATTCGAGATGTACCTGGCGAATGTCAAGAAAACCGACGAGCCAACAGTGCTGTACGAATTCGCCGTGTTCATGGTGAACTCGATGCGCGAGATGCCGCCCGTGGACGTCGAAGACTCCAGCCCGATAACGCGCGCCCGTCTACTCCGAGAATCAAAATCCATCCTCCAGCGCCTCGCAGACCGCAGCTTCCCCTTCGCACAGTACTATCTCGGCGACGGATACGCGTCGGGCCTCTTCAGCAAAGGCGTCGAGGACTACGACCGGGCCTTCCCGCTCTTCCTCGCAGCTAGCAAACACGGCCACGTCGAAGCCTGCTACCGCACAGCGTTAAGCTACGAGTTCGGCTGGGGGTGTCGCGTCGACGGCAGCCGCGCAGTACAGTTCTACCGCCAGGCAGCGTCGAAAAACCACCCGGGTGCCATGATCCGCATGGCCAACGCCTGTATTGCTGGCGATATGGGGCTAGGCAAGCGGTACCGCGAGGGCGTGAAATGGATGAAACGCGCGACCGAGTCTGCAGATGCACAGTATAACTCTGGCCCGTACGAGCTCGGTGTGATGCACGAAAGAGGCTTCGGAGATGATGTCTTCCCTGATGCCACTTATGCAGCGCAACTATTCACTAAATCTGCCGAGCTGGGCCACGTCGAAGCTTGCTATCGGCTTGGGGATGCGTATGAGCACGGAAAATTAAATTGTCCACGCGACCCGGCGCTCAGTATCCATTTCTACACCAATGCTGCGCAGAACGGACATCCGCTGGCTATGATGGCGCTTTGTGCGTGGTATCTCGTTGGCGCGGAGCCTGTGCTCGAGAAGGATGACAACGAGGCGTATGAGTGGGCTCTCCGCGCTGCGAATCTCGGCCTCGCGAAGGCTGAGTATGCTGTCGGCTACTTTACCGAAATGGGCATTGGCTGCCGGCGTGATCCTCTCCAGTCGAATGTGTGGTATGTCAAAGCCGCAGATCAGGGCGATGAGCGGGCCAAGCATCGGATTGCTACAATTCGGGCTGCGGCCGAGGGCAAACATCCAGCTGCTGCGCGCAATGCAGCGACGCGCAGCACAGCCCGGCTTAAGAAAGCCGAGCGCAAGGCTCAGGCCACAAGTCATGTCCAGGGTGAGTAAACCAACCGAGTTGTATACACATTTTGCTAACTGAATTATTTAGAAACTGAAGATGAAATCGACAAGCCTGCCAAACAGAAACGATTCGTCATTTTCTAATCTCAACCCAAATAAATCGCACCCTTCCAAGCACCCAACCCCAATCCTGGTTACCTTGAACCCTCGGCATTACAATACTAGCCTGAAACCTCACGAGAACAGTCTACGAACGAAAATACATACATAATCCCTATCACATCACCATCTCTGCATACACCCGCGCCAAGCAAAGCGCGAGCATGAACCCTGTCATTTTACAAGCGATCTCACATTCCATTATTCAAATCTTCGCCTTTCCCGAGTATCGAGCTGATATCTCGAGCCTGTTTATACCACTCTCCTTTCGTATCTATTCTGCATCTGTCATCTCATTTCTCATCTGATCATCTATCTATGCGGCGGTTTCATTCTGCATTCATTCCTTGCACTAACACTCATCTTCGTTGGTTTCCTAATTCTTTGCTCTCGGCGGCTTTGGAAAATCTATTCTGCTAATTTATCATTCTACTGGGCATATCTGTAACTTCTTTATCGTATTCTGGGATCTCTATGGTTCCATAGAACTGAGCTTAAATTGTCTCGCTTTTGCTCAAGGTTTTTGTGTTTATTTAGTGCTTTGTATCTTACTCTTATCGATTTGTGTCAGTAAAGGCGGACTCATTCGTGTATGTAGAGATGTTTGTTAGTCCGAAAAGGAACAAGGAATATATAGTTAACGGATCTCACGATTGATTACATAGTTGAATTTGAATAGTTACGTGATTAATTCGATGACAGATCTCAATATAAACCAATAAAGCAATAGAATATCATTCAAAGATATATCTGTCATGCACAACAGTGCATAATCGGGCTGACTCTCGCCGTCCCAGCTGGTGGGGGTTCCCCGCCGGATGATCTCTATGACTCTGATCAGTAATCCATTCAGTTTAAAAGAATCAAGGAATCTGGCGAGGCTCCTCCCGGATAATCTTCATGAATCTGTTCAGTAATCGAGTAGCTTACAGAACTAACTCATTCTCATCCGCAATTTCCTCACGACCAAACTCACCATGGGCGTTCATGTGGTTTCAAAGCTGGATAACCGCCAGCATGCGAGCTTCAACCTCGAAGCCACTACTCAGAAGGAACTATCGGATTCTTCAGTAAGAATTCGCACGCAGCTGATCAGCCTCACTTCAAACAATTTGACCTACGCCCTAATGGGTGGATTCTTGCATTGGTATGTTCCGAATATCTTCCAGACTAGACGAGACTGTCAGAAATGCCCTGAAATAAGATTCTCATCAATTACTGGCAGGTGGGACGCATACCCCGTATCCGAGTCCTATCCCGCACCATACAACGATTCCTTGGCATGGGGAATCGTCCCAGCCTGGGGTTACGCAACAGTAGAAGAGACAACGATCCCAGAACTACCCAAAGGAACCCTCCTCTACGGATTCTGGCCTACAACCAGCACGCCAACCGACCTAGAACTCAAACGCGGCTCACCAAAAGACCATTGGCTCGAGACCAGCGCTCATCGCCAACAACTAATGCCACTGTACAACCGCTACACGGTAACTCGGACATCGAGCCCGATCTCCGATCTGACGCACGCACCCAACCTCCCAGATCCCGCACGGGACGAGCTAGACCGCATGGCCTGGACCGCGCTGTACATAGGTGGGGTAGCCGGGTTCGTTCTTAGCGAATACGTTTTCTCGTCCAACCCGAACCAACCTCCCATCCATCCACTGGGGAACCAGGCTGGGTTGCACTGGACCCTGTCCGACGGGGAATTGTCGTCCGCGGTTGTAGTAAACCTTGCCGCGTCGACGAAAACGGCCCGTGTTTTCTCGTACTACGTGGCGCGGAAGCTGGGTGGTTCCGCGCCGCTGGGCTTGTTGCAGGTTACGTCGGCTGTGGCGTCCATCGAGGAGGCGGATCGGAATTCACCTACTGATGTTCCTTCTAAGGTGGTTGGGTATGGGGGTGTTGGTTCTGAGGAGTGCGCGGAGTGGCTGGTTAGTCGCGGGCCTTCGAAGATTGTTATTGTCGACTTTGGTGGTCAGGGAAATGCTCTCAAAGACACGCTTTCTTTGATCAAGAATCATGCCGAGTTGCAATCCTGCAAGGTTGTCATTGTTCAGGTTGGTAATGAGCAGAAAGTATACTCGATGGAGGAGATAATTGCTGGGAGAGCGGCGATGGCGGAGCTTGGAAAGGTTCAATACAACACTTCTGGTGTTCAAGACACGATACTCGAGTCTGTCGACCCGGAAACCTATTTCAAAACAAGAGGCGAGCAGTGGGAGAAATGGCTGGATGATCGACACTTGAGCGTGCCGGGAATGCAGATTGTGTTTGGCAGTGGTGTCTCCGGTCCTAATGGTATCGAGGGAGGGTGGGAGAGACTGTGTCATGGACAAGTAGGAGCTGAAGAGGGGTTGGTTTACAAGATGCAGTGAGACTTGAGGTCGACGGAATAGGTTGGATATAGTATTTAACAGAATGAGAAGGGGTTGTGAAAGTGAAGCGCTCAAGACTCCGATATTTATTCTGAGATTCATTAAACTCATAAACTAAAAGTAGACAAAAGTCCAAACAAACAGACTATAAGACCTCTTCGTATCGAGGAGCAGGCTCCATGGTATGGATACTTGCACCGTGCTCACTCAAAGAACACGGATATTCCGTCTCCGCTGGTATAGAATGCTCACAAAGATTTAGTTGAGAAGCTGCCGATACTATCAGGTCCGAAAGACGATCGCCGTAAGCTGGAGGAGGGCTTTGGCTTCCCTGCATGAGTTGGATATCTTGCCCATGAATGGTCGCATCTTCTCCAATCACATTAGATGCCATATGAATCTTAAATGGCATAACTTCCGTGATCTAACTCCTTGTTAGCTGTATATCATAAATCTCTGCCTGAGTTTCTTTACATACCACAGCTGTAGCAGCCCCTGCCTCATCACAGAACTCAGCAGTGATAGAAAGCTCGTGCGTAATCTTGAGATGTCTAGTCGAGATACTCTGCGAGCAGGCATCGAGAGTTCGCGGCAGAGAAACTGGTGTAGTGAACCGCCATTCAATTTCCGAACCGTCTACCGGAGACTCATCCCCTTGAGAGAAATCCATGGTCTTGGAGAGAACAGTTTGAGTTTGTGCTGCAGTGATAAACTGCATGTTATGTCGCACTGAGTCTGCAGCAGTAGCTTCTAACCGCGCAGTTTGTTTCTCAATGACTTTGATTGTGACAGTGTTGAGCTTGGCATATTTCAACAGCGGTGCAAACCAGCATTCCACAGGGAACGTGCAACCAAAAGGAACGTTCCGGTCAGTGATGGAGAGGCAATACTGGATATTTTGGCTGGAGTGGCCCTCGAGAGTCTAATATCTTCAGTCATCTATGTAGCAAAGTCTATCAGATGCAATAGACTCACCAGTGGACAATGTAGTCGTAAATAGCTCGTTTCCAAATTAGAAACCTGGTAAATTCTAACCGGCTGCGAGACAACAAAATCGCTTTTGAGGCGTCGCTCGACAATGGCCTCGACGCAATATGTGTGATATTGATGGTTTGCGCCAGTGGCTGTGTCGAGGATCTTGCTAGGAAGCGGAATATCGAATAAAAATGCGTGGTCTCCTGCCGGCATTTCGAATGATTTGAGCGTTTTCGAAGAAGCTAGAGGCTGCTCTCGCTCAAACGTGATCTGTTCACGGCTGTCTGATCCCAAGATTCCTTCAAAGGGGCTATGACGAAGTAAGAAGATAGTCAATACGAAGTATGTGGAGAGAGTCTCACATTGCGAATGTTCCCCTCAACCGCACTTTAATATTCTTGACCGATACGACTCGTGCAAGGGAGAGATTGAATTTTCCAGTAACAGACACTGGATGCCGCTGTTCTGAAATAAAAATGCATGCTTGATCAAGACTATGGAATATGCATTAGATCATGTCGGAAAAGCGAACAGGAACAATCATACCTCAATTCGGAGCTGGTGATGTGTTCGCGGAACATCGTCAAAGACCAAGGAATATTAGCTTAATAAGTCAGAAGCTATAATATGAACTCAATTGAATCGGGTCTGGCAAATTTACACGGGAAATCATGGCACATTGTCTGTCTTTATACTCGTCCCTGCGCAACGGAGCGGACATTCCTAAACGGGGTCGGGAACTGATTTCAAGGACTCAAACCTACAAGCGCAGCTCTTCACCGCGGAAGGAAATACCGACATTCTTGTAATGCTGTCTAAATACCTATGTTACAGTAAGCCGCGAAAATCTTTCAAGGTTGGTCCTCAGAAGCTTTTTCTGACATGCTGGGTACATTCCTTGATCTATACTGGAACATTTTCCCATGATCACACGACTGCTACTTCTGAAGTATGTAATATATCATGTTATTTTATCCTTGAGATACTAGAAGAATACATAGGATTGGTTTTCATACACTATAGTGATTGATACATGAACATCTCTTCACGAGGAAGCTATCATACAGCGGAAAACTCCCCACTAAGCTACTTCGGGTAACTTTTCCGATGGCCGCTATCCACAACTAGGCTATCGGGATTCTTAGATAAAGTATTTATGACGATGGCGTGGTCAGAAACAGCGGCCAGCGGAAAACATACTAAATGTGGTCTAGCGGGAGTGTGTAGCCTTCTCTTCACATCTCATGAGTTTGATATTTCCTCTGTAGTACCATGATCAGATGACTCTATCAAGTAGCGCACTCAATGTGTACTTACACAAGACTTGAAACCGAGCTGCCTTCTCATCTTTGTGCAGCTTCTCAAGCTAGACCGCGAGGAGCAAATTCAAAGTCTGCCATGTCGAGATCTAGCAATAATTGATCATTCGAGCAGTTTGGAAAACCGACATCAAGGAAATTGCCGAAAAAAGTATCGAAATCCTCAATTTCAGTTGCTGTTAAGAATGGCATGCTGTCTACTTCGAGATTCAAAGGTTGGTCCGGTCCCAGTTGATGACCGGCCAGAGGGTGTGTGCTCGGAGATCCTGCATTAATCCGTCTCCCCACATTCGGGATGTCGGCAGCCGAGTGCGACTGCATATCCTCAGTGGAAGCAAGTTGCCGTGGAGATATATGAGTCGATTCATGTGCAGAGTTTAGTCGGGTGATATCGATTTCTGGGCCTGTGGAACGTTCCTGGTCTACAGTGGGTTGAATGTTGCTCAACACACGCTGGCCTAGACGAGTCATCACAGCGGCCGACCACCACGTAGTCCTCATTTCCTTGAGAAATTGATGAAATAAACGGATCTGGGAAATGGCTGTGCGGCGCGCACTTGTCAGTTTGCTTTCTCTGAGTTGTTTGTACGTGACTGAAAAGGCGAGCGAGACGGTGTAACCGATCATGGGAAACGGCACTAGATTCCGAATATCCTGATTGAAACTTAGCGACGCGATGGTAAGAATTGAATGACCTTGTCGGATTTTTGACACTCTTGGCTGTGATCGGCCTTGCAACCCGCTGGAATGTGTTGACAGAATAATCACAGAATGATAAACAAGCTCCAAGGACTCTGCGGTCTAGGGGTTAGACAATGTTGCAACTAAACGACGGAAAGTTTCATACCAAGCAGGTCTGGAGCCATGTCCCAGGCCTCACAGTGCTCCACAAGGTCTTCAAAGGAGGGAAGATCGAGTTCACTTTGATCCACGCTTTTTATGATCGGTCGGTAGAAGTGAATCACTTCTCCCAGCTTATCGGCAATTCGAAGCCAGACACGAAACGGCGATCGGAACGTTGAAATAACGTCGTCCACCCCATGGCTTCTGTCTCCGTCGTGTATCATTAAAGGCCTCCCATTCATAGCAGCGTTCCATCGGTCTAGACTCCACAGACACCAGAAAAGATTCCTGGAAGATGTATCAGAATGTTGGTCTGGCCTCAGCAAATGCAACCCCATGGTCTGGGCATGGTGGATAGCCTGGGCCAGATTCAAAGAACAATCCTCGGATCCAGTGGAGCCCCATTCGTGCAGTGACAAAAGCGCCAATATTTGTATTGCAAGTACTTTTTTCTCAGGCCTTCTCGAGATGTTTTGCATAGCATCAGTGTACAGAATGTTGCTAAATTTCTCCAGTGGGAGGGGATTTGAATCCGGACCAAGGCGTAGGAAAGGCACCGCACCCCGGTCCTTCGCTGCGACAAGACACATCACCTGCAGTAGTCGCGCAGCGAGAGTTCCCGCTCTGTGTTGGCTTCGCACGTTATCCTCATCAAGTAAAGGCAGTAATGGATGTATCCGACGAAAGTATATGTCGATCAAAGCCTGTTGGCAGTCTTTCGAAGGCAGGCAGCCGGGGTGAACATGGGTCCCTAGCAATATTTGTGAAGAGTCAGGGGTCTCGCCCCGATCAATGGAACTCTCATCGGTGCCCAACCATGCACCTACATCTCCTTTCTGGGATCGACCGCCCTGCAACCTTGACTCGTTCTGTTCCATGAGAGTCGCTATAGGGTTTGAATCACACGCAAAACGACGAGATTCTTGATCGGCCTCTGCAGGTGTATCTGCATTAGGGCCAATGAAGGATTCGGCCTCTTGTTCCACCGGATTCTGGAGTGAGGGAACACCTGATCGCTCACATCGGGGAGATGCAGATCTATTTCGGACTGCTCGATCCCGCCTTGAAGCTTGAGGTGCAGGATGTCGGCTATCTGCGAGACCAGAGAAGATGGGTGAACAAGTCACATCATCTACTTGCTCCGGGGAGGTATTGTGATAACACCGTTTCTAGAAAAGTTAACCTCCGACTCCGACTATTGCAGGGCTGTCTAGAATAGAACGCGACACCTTTTTGTGACGACAAGAGTTACACGCACGCCGTGCATGTCCCCTCTTGGCATTTTTTCCATCGCGACTAATCAAGAAAGTCAGCTCCATTTTGAATGATTTATACGTTGTATGTCTCGTTCATCTTGTTGACAGGTCGTTGCGGGGCACTTCCCTCTCGGGGGCGGGAACAAGCAGTACGCCACCGGAGCGGCGGTCGTGTCCCAAAAGGGCAAGTCCGAATTACGTATCGTGATTAGCCCGGCATGTCTAACTACCACTCCGTACTCAATGCTATTATTCCCATTTCAGCTGGCACTTTCGTAGCTGATTATCATTGTTCTAGCAATAACACCAAAAATTAGAGAGCTGGGTCCTGTATTATGCCTTATACCGTCGGGTTCAGTGCAAAAAGCCCAGAATATCAATTAGTTAGGGCTATCTCCTATCCTGGCCTGGATATGCAGGCTACCATAGAACGCAGGCCGTCATAACCTAAGGAATAGAGCCTTCTGGATCTAGCTAGATCATATCATTTGTCATATATGATTCCCTGCAATTCATAGTTCAACCATCAGAGATCTTGCACAATACAATATCCAATTTTTGATGGTCTTACATTCCTATCCTTTATATCTGTCAGTCATGAGCCTAGGATCAGTATGATCTTGATTCGACAAAGACGGCATCCCTGGCTATCTCTGCCTTATATTTACGGGGAAACAAGTTCATGTCTAGGTTCTTTGGGACAGTAACTCACAGAATATCCTAGTCATCAACAGTTGGATGACATTGCCGGCCTTCTCTCCGGATTGTCAGATAGCTTTTGAAAGGGACTGTTACGGTGTCAAAGTTCTGTCCCATCCATCCAATTATGCCCATTAAACTAGGCAAACTGAGGTGTAAGTGGTGATGTTTGAAGAGAGGTATCAGGATCTTTTTTTCAATAAGTTGATATGCATTTCTGTCTAAGAGAAAACGCCTGGGAGTAGAAATCGGAAATTTTATGTCTTGAAGAATCTCGATAAAATTAGATTCCGCAGAGAATCAGACATGCTATCTAGACTTAAACCAAATATTTTGCATTAGTATTCGAACTAGGCATAGAATCATCGCCAGCAGAAGAACCCTTAACGCCAATGTGTACGGGTAGTCCGGAACTGGGAAATTAGTTTACGTAGAGATTAGCCGCGTAGATTGCGCCTTTAAGCGTCCAGTGCTTTTCAGCCTCGCCTTCTCCACAAAAAGGGGTGTGCTGCCTTGGCTAGCTCAGGCAGCACCAAGGCACCCATAGGCAGCAGCCTCATTAATGCCCGATCCCCCAGGCCACAAACCTTGACAACATCTCGTCTTTTTTTTATTTAAAAGACGACTTGTTTCTTCATGTTTTCTTGACTGTCTCTTCCTCTGTACTTTCATCCCAGCTTGCAACCTTTTGATTGATTTTCGATTGTGTTAGCTCCCGCCTGGTAGCTCTTTCCCTTGACATACACATCACCTGGGGGGCACCTCGTACTTGATTCCTCTTCAATCTCTACCTTTTCTATTCCTATTTGTTACTCTTGGTACTTGGCCCTATTGCCTTTTTTTTCAATTGAGCAACATTATGGCACCTCGAAGTTTCAAAAACCTCGTCATCACCGTGGGCGGGACATTTCCCAACCTGAGACAGGGTATGAGCCCCCTATTCGCTAGGCTTATTTAGCTCACCTCCACCAAAATCCGTATGCTGACCACTCTACTACTCCTAGTGGACTTAAAAACACTTATTGAGGGGAATGGTGCGACTTTCAGCACAGCGGTCACGGATGAATGTACCCATCTAGTGACCACCGAGAAGGATGTGGAGAAGCAGACTACCAAATGTGAGTACACTACCACATACACGATCTCGGAAGTTTGATATTTTGTGAATTTGGCAATGGCCAATATACTCCCACCCCAATGCTCCAAACGGTGACAGACCGCATTGGGGATGATAATAGCTACGGCGATGTTTCGATATTATGTACGACCTCGGGGCTCTCTTATTAACCAATCGACCAGATAAACAAGCATCCCAAGTCGCCAATTGCCACATTGTTCCACTTTCGTGGCTTCTTGAATCAGCCGAAGCGAAGAAACCATTGCCGGAGTCCAAGTATTCATTCGGCCAGGCGTCGCAGCCAGATGACGACACACAGAAGACTGCAGATGCTGCTCCTGCAGAAAACAAGCGTATTACTAGGAAGCGAGGTGCGGATGCGGCTCCCGCTGAAACACAAGACACCCAGAAGAACGGTGCAGATAGCAAAGCTAAACCATCCGAGGATAAGAAGCCCGCAAGCAAGAAACGAAGCGCGACTGAAGACCCCGTCAAAAATGGTTCCGACAAAAAGACAAAGGACATCCAGAAGACAACCAAAAAGACGATTAATGTCCCAGTCGATGAGGGCTTCATGGAATTTGGTAAAATCAAGGGTAAGTCTTCAATGCGACACCTAATGTGGGGGTCACAGACTAACACACGGCACAGATCCCAAGGTTTACATTGATAGTGCCGGTCTGATCTGGGATGCCACCCTGAGCCAGACCGTTTCGGCCAACAATGCCAACAAATTCTATCGTATCCAGTTGTTGAGCGGTACAAACTCAAAGTACTTTACCTGGACACGCTGGGGTCGAGTTGGGGAGCATGGGCAGTCAGCCTGCCTCGGAGAGGGCAGTTTAGGAGCCGCGATGAAGCATTATGAAAAGAAGTTCAGAGACAAATCAGGCCTGAAATGGGTGGATCGGCTCGATACCCCTAAAAACGGAAAGTACACATTCCTTGAGCGCAACTATGAAGAGGACGATGAAGATGAAGAGCCGGTGAAGAAGGAAAAAACCATCAAGGAAGAAGAGGACCAGCCCGAGGTAGAGAGTGCCTTATCCAAGGGACTTCAAAACCTCATGTCTTTCATCTTCAACAAACAGGATGCTCTCGACACGTTGGCTGCAATGTCCTATGACGTCCACAAACTACCACTTGGGAAGCTGAGCGACCGGACTTTGAAAAGCGGGTTCTCGGCTCTAAAAGAGATCTCCGAGCTGATGATTACACCAAGTGTGGCGCAAGCAAAATATGGCCAATCATATAATGATGCCATAGAAACGTTGAGCAACCGATATTTCACCTTGATTCCTCACGTCTTTGGCCGCCATCGGCCCCCAACCTTGAACACAAATGCGCAGATCAAGAAGGAAATTGATTTGCTGGAAGCACTGACGGATATGGACGTTGCCAATGAAATCATGGTATCGTCCAAGCAAGGCGACGACACCCACGCGCTGGATCGCCAGTTCCAGAGCCTGGGTATGAAGGAGATGACCGAACGTGAGTATAAATTGCGGAACGTACAATTTTACACCAAACTGACCTTGCCCAGTGGACCACAAATCAACCGAGTTCGTAGAACTCGAGAACTACTTGAAGAACTCTCGCGGCGACACACACAACATGAGCTACAAGGTCGTGAACATCTTCCGTATCGAACGCCAAGGCGAAAACGACCGCTTCAACACCTCCCCCTATGCCAGCATTCCAAACAGCGACCGCCGCCTCCTCTGGCATGGATCTCGCAGCACAAACTTCGGTGGTATCCTCAGCCAAGGCTTGCGCATTGCGCCGCCCGAAGCACCCGTCAACGGCTACATGTTCGGCAAGGGTGTGTATTTAGCAGATACCTCGAGCAAATCCGCAAACTACTGTTGTGCCTACAACAGCCGGGGGATGGGGTTGCTTCTTCTCTGCGATGCCGAGCTCGGTGCACCCATGCTGGAACTTGTAGATAGCAACTATAACGCTGGCGAGGATGCACGCAACTCTGGCAAAATTGCTACACTCGGCAAGGGCTTGAACGTTCCTGGTGGATGGAAGGATGCTGGATGTTTGAATCCGGCTTTGGAGGGTGTGAAGATGCCTGATGTGGCTATTGGCAGCACCCACCTATCTGAAAACCGTGGCCTGTTCTACAATGAGTACATTGTGTATGATGTTGCGCAGATCCGACAGCGCTATTTGTTCCAGGTCAAGATGAACTGAGTGGTTTGCTTTAGCATTTTTTGGAGTATTGGGTTAGTGATGGAGTTATTGAGCGGCTCGTTCTGTATGTGTTAGCTGTTTTGAGATTAGCTATGTACAAATAATCGAAGTGTGATAGCAAGCATAACGTTCACTATAAGACAAGATTGGCTGAATATTTATTTGGATGGGAAAGCCGAGGATTTGGGGCCAAGAGATAATGGCTCCATTCGTAACATCCCTTGTAGCAGCCTATTGTATAGCATATTTACATAGTCTTTTTTATAGGCATAAACCACAGCTAAGAATTAAACTCAGGTAGAATCAATAAATGAATCAATTGAAAGTCTCCTTTAAATGAACATGCTGTAACCTCTTCCGGACGAGAAGTCTCCTTCAGAGACACTCCTTCCGAGACTCTTGTGGTTCAAGACCGTTCCTTTTCATTCTCCTCTTCAAGGTCGAAGCATTGTAGATATGGTTTAATGTTGATTTCTGATTGAAGTGGTTTTTAGGATGCAGGATCTTGAAGCAGTTGATTGAAATCATTCGAGGTATTTTCTTTCTTCTTTCTTTTCTGTTTTTGTATTGTTGTTGCAAGCCTGCCAATTGCCCTGAAGCTAAAACCCGTCACAGGAAGGCTGAATGTGGATGCTTGAAATGGCTGTTTGAATGTAGATGATTCAAGTGGTTGTTTGAATGTGGATTCTTGAATGTAGCATCTTGAAGTGGATGCTTGAAGTGGTTGTTTGAAATCGTTCGATGTGTTTTAATTCTTCTTTTCTTCTCTTTTTCTTTATTTTGCTTTCGTGTTTGCTGTCGTAGCAAGCCTGTCAATTGTCATGAAGCCAAAACCGGTCATAGGAAGGCTGAATGTGGATGCTCGAAGTAGTTGATTGAATGTGGATTGTTGACTGAAGTAGAATTTGGATGTGGTTGATTGGATGTGGTTGATTGGATGTGGTTGATTGGATGTGGTTGATTGGATGTGGTTGATTGGATGTGGTTGATTGAAATGATTCGACGTGTTTTCTTTTGTCTTTCTTTTTTTTTTCTTTTTTTGCTTTTGCTTTTGTGTTTGCTGCCTAAGCCCGTCACAGTAAGGCTGAGCGAGGATACTTGAAATGGTTGATTGAAGGTGGATGGTTGAAATGGAATTTGGATGATTGGTTGAAGTGGATTATTGACTGCAGTAGAATTTGGAAGTGGATGCTTGGAAGTGGATGCTTGGAAGTGATTGATTAGATGTGATTGATTGAATGTGGATGTTTGCTTGAAGGTAGATGGTTGAAGTGGAACTTGGATATAGACGCTTGGATTTGGATGGTTGATTGAAGTGGATGGTTGAATGTTGATGCTTGCTTGTCGAGGCGACCATTTTTTTTTTACCACCACAGCAAACGGTCTTGAGAGTCTCCTTTAAATGGGTACACGCTGTGACCTCTTCCCGACGAGAAGTCTCCTTCAGAGACACTCCTGCGGAGACTCTGTCGATCAAGACCGTTTCTTTTCATTCCTCCTCTTTCAGGTCGAAGCATTGCAGTAGTCGAATGTAGATAGTTGATAGAAGTAGATGGTTGAAGTGGATAGTTGAAGTGGATGGTTGGTTGAAGTGGGTGATTGAAGTGGAGCTTGCTTGAATGTTGATACTTGCTTGTCGAGGCGACCATTTTTTTTTACCACCACAGCAAACGGTCTTGAGAGTCTCCTTTAAATGGGTACACGCTGTAACCTCTTCCCGACGAGAAGTCTCCTTCAGAGACACTCCTGCGGAGACTCTGTCGATCAAGACCGTTTCTTTTCATTCCTTCTCTTTCAGGTCAAGCATTGTAGTAGTCGAATGTAGATGGTTGGTTGAAGTGGAATTTAGATGTGGATGATTGAATGTGGATGTGAGCACATATCTAGTACAGTCAGCCTCATGTCATCAGGTATTAACCAAGGTATAGAACACAATGATGGAAGATGAAGAATATGTGATAGCACAGATAAGAAACAAACCTCATAAAGTGGAAGATGGACGATAGACGGTGGAAGGTGGAAGGTAGAAGGTGGTTGGGTTGTCTGAAGAACGAATATAAGAATAGACAAGTCATGTGATGGATGATGGACACGATAGGTAGGCATGTTGGATGTGGTTAGGTTGATCCAAAATGATGAAGAGAGAGAGAAGAAGTAAGTTCAGAAGTGGGAATCGACCTGTTTATATAGCTGGATTTACTGCAAACGATGCAAAACTCGAACGACTCGCTTAGCTCGAGTGCAAACAACCCTGGGAAGGAAAGAACAAACAAAAGAACAAAGGAAAGAGGCAAATAGCAAACAAGAAGCGACCAAGTGACCTGGAAAGTATCAACGATCTATAGTCACGTGAGGGATAATCATACAGATCGTGAGAACATGACAGGTACTAGGAGCTCAATGCCATACCAACTTCTCAGGTTCATGGCCCTCTCATCTGGACATGGAAGGTTTAAAATATGGCATACAGCCTAAGAGCTAGGGGATAAGTGAATTTGAGGTATTCATAGAGAACGAGGAAAGAAACATGGGATACTCCATTTTGACTACAGGCAATAATTAATAAATGGTATGCCCGAGTGGCGGACTTAGACCACCATCTCCAATAAAGCGGAACGAAGTTTTGTGTGGGTTTGGATACAAATTTGGTAGAATACCTGGATCGCCACATCTGACAGAAGAAAAGGGGTCCTCAATCGGTGGACTAGACGTATAATTTGACCCATGGCTTGTTGAACCCAGCTCTGCACACCGGTCTCGTCCCCAATGTTACGTGCCAGGTTCTTTCTAGCAGAAGAAGTGCATTGCTAAACGAATATCAAGTATGAAGAAGGAAAAGAAAAGAAAACAAACGTAAAAATAACAAATGGGTCTTTTTACCCCTTCGGGGGCATAGCCCTATTCTCGCTTCTCCCAGAAGGAAGGTACGACTGTCTGCGCAAACGAGTTCCTTCGAACGGGAAGGAACGACCAACGGTACAACCCCAAACGGGAAAGTACGAGTCCCGCAAGTGCCAATCGTGACACCCAACGTGCACTACCTTATCATAGCGACTGTATAACTAGGTATCTCTCCAACCTTATTTGTAGACCAGCATGGATGAGCTTCAGAGAAATCCAAATCCTCTCGCCCAAGAAGAGGCTTCGTTGATGAGGGTCACTCATAAGAACAGCATGAAGGTATAAAATGGCACATTTGGTGATACGAAGTAAATTGAAACGTGTGCAAAAGACAGCCAGGTCAGATCTCTGGCTGGAAGCGTTGTATTGTACAGCACGAGCAAAAGTCAATGCCTTTAGCTGGTTGTAGTCGTTGACAAGGATCACTGATTTCCCCTCGCTATACGGTTCAGTCGTCTCAACCAGGATCATATCTGAGCTCCGGTTTCAACCCTCTTGCTCCGGCCGCATAGCTAACATATGAAGAGGAAATGATGTGAAAGCGGATGCTCGAGCTCGGAGACCAGCGAATGCTTTTGACGTGTCGTTCTTGATCATTCCTCAGAGCGACACAAGGTCGGTGTCTATATCCAGAAGTCACGGCCTCCGACCAGAGCTCCGTTAGAATGTGATCCGTGGTTGATGGTAGGCGTGTGTGTCACTGTGTAAGCTCTGGGGAAGATGATGATGATCCATTGTATGTACTCGCGACCGGTCTCTGGTATAGTGATGCAACTGATATGCTGTTTTGATTTTTCGGAGTGTCCTATTCGTTGGCTTCGACATGGGTAATCCGACGAATGGCGTGCCCCGTGTGGATTATTGACGTACGGGTATTGGTGGGGATGAGTGGGTTAGACGGGAGATGGGCCAATCTTGCCGCGTTGCGGGAAGGTCTCCGTCACGTGCGCCGGCAGATAATGACTACCGGTCCTCGGGATAGGCCCGAGGTCCACGTGGCCGTACTGTCATAGTGTGTGCGTTCCAAGGTTGAGTTCCTTCAAGGCTTCGGATAGGCTGCGGTTTTGGTGTGTCTTTCCTTTTGTTCGCTCCGGCCGCCGATGTGGTAGTTCGCGCATTACTCACTCGGGACCTGTACGCAGGCTAGGAAAGGACAGTTTCCACCGATACAACCATCGCGTCAACCTGGGCAGGAAGCTTCGCTTCTGAGGAATCAGGATTCTCATCTCTAGGCAAGACGAATATATATAGTTTCTCATCCATTTATGAGTCATCCAGTTCTCGGGTTCATTGTGCGGACCTCATCGTCCCATTGAGTTGGTCGTTGTGGGCCAGTGAGGTTCTCGTTGTAACGAATATGAATAGACTATCACCGTAGCTGCCCGAAGCGATGCCGTATACAGACGTGCCAGAAGCCCCAGCCTTTTCTTTCAAACTGTGGTCCACCATGTAGGACATTGGAACACCCCCTCGACCCTACCAAGTCTTTTGGCTTCTACGATATCCATATTAGTGACTAGGTTCTGAGCCCCTCTGAACCACGAGAATAGTCCACGAACCGTGACTTGTTCCTTTTCGAGAACCCACTCACACTTGATCGCGAATTTGTATTGCAAATGTAGGGAGTTGACGGAATTGATACTGGAGATAGATGCAGTAGATCCGATCAAACTGGGATTGTTGTACTCTCGCTTTAGCCGAGCAGAGTAGTGAGCATAATCGCATCGACTCTAGACTGGATCGACGGCTCATTTGCGAGCGAACCCTTCATGGTTAGGTTATAAGAAGTGGAGAGGAGAAGAAAGGATAAAGGGGAGAGGATGATAAGAATGAAGGGCGAGAGATGATGAAGTGAAATGAAAATGAAGACAAGGAGAAATGGAGGGAAGATGAAGAGGCAAAGGCAGAGTTTTACTTCACTTTTGTCTGTTTGTGAAAGGCGTAAAACTGCATCTGTTAGGGTACAAAGAGAGCATCACAGAAAGAAGATTTAAACAGGTCTACAATAAGAGAAGCAACTTACAACTAGACTAAATTCGACACTGAGATCACACCACACAAGCCTCATTTATGTAGAGCCCGCCCTAAAAAGTAGGCTCTCTGATGTCTCATATACTGAGCGAGGTGCGTCTACCCTATGGCAACGAGGAAACTGTTTTCAGGCTAGCTGCTGTTAAAGAACCTTGGGGCCCTTTTTCCCTTTTCCTTTTGAAGCCATTCACACCTTTGAACCCCCCATTCTTCACCAGATCTGCGTCTCGGCCAAGACCTCGATATCTTCGCACGGTACTGGAAATAAGGAAGAATTCAGGCATATTAAGTCATCAATCCTACAAAATCAGGCATTCGGCCACTGGCCTCGCATAGGTTGGAATGTATACTACGTATACCACCAGACTAATCTTGTGTGACCTTTTCTTTCGCATGTAGCTTGCCGGTCCTTGAACTGCGGTTCGAACATCGTAGGGTCACAATCTCATCGGAGCAAATGAAGGACACTAGACCGTGACCAAACAAGTCACACCCGAGCTCTCCCCGAGTTCATACCTCAAGCTCTCTCTCGATACTTGAGTCCGCACAAAGCATTGAACATTGAATGCTGAGATATTCTATACCGTTGCTCAGGGAGAATAATAATCAACAACACCCATATCACCACACTCAACAATAGGAAGCTCATGTAGTTATTACACGCTTTATTGGTTTCCTCTCTTTAAAGGGAATCTAGACTTAGCACGACTCTGCGAGAAAGCCCTTCGAACCATGTAATATGAGTTGTTAAGAAAATACCACAGATGCGATAACTCTAATACAAAACGACAACCAATGACGAGAAATGTAGAATAATACCACCAAAGCCCAGTCATTATTCCTCAGGAGATACTCGGATAGACCTTGTTGCTTGCCACGCTAGCACTTTCCAACTTTTCCAGAAGAGTCTTAGCCAGCCGCTCGATACGAAGTTTAAAGAATATCTCTGGGTCATGATCGCCAAGGTCAAGTCCCAAGGGACCCACCACCTGCTGTAGGTGAGCAGATCGCGTACATTCAATCTTCCAGTCTCGTGCAAATTGCTGGATCATGGTGTAAAACTCGGGGGCCGTGACCTCTCCATGGTCAATCCCAGCCTTTTGTACCTGATCAGCGGCTCCCTCTGGTGCATGGCGGCGCATCCGCTCGAGCAGGTCCCCAATCGAACGGGAGACATAAAGATCGGCGCTGGCGTGGACTACACCAGTTGTGCCTTGGGCAACATGAGCTAGACAAGTACGAGCCACGAGGTCAACTGGGATCTCATTGCAGGCTGCATGGAAAGGTAGTGTCTGCTCAAGCTTCAGAGGTCCATATTCCGCGTCTCCTAGGAGTATCTGCAGGAAGGAATGTACAGGTATCGCACCATCACTGCCGTAGAGCGGGTAGGGCTCCGCAATAGCTGGTGATATGAGACAGGGTCGCACAATAAGGATGGGAAATTTGTGGTCACCACCCAGAAGCAAACATTCAGCCAGGTGTTTGGCCAGTGCGTAGGGAGCCGCGAATTGTTTCGTATAAGATGATTTTCCTGTGGAGAGAATCTTCTCTAGTTCCTCTGCCGGGTCTTCATATAGGGGGTATATTTGCTCCTTGACCACGCCGTCAGGGAGAAAGCTGGAGACATATGTAGTTGATATGTGGAGGAAACGCTGCAGCTGAGTGAAACTGTCTAGTAGAGCAGCTAGTGTCAGGTGAGCAGTGCAATTGACTGGTATAGTCTCTGCGAGATCCCGAGAGAGAGCGATGTCACCAGCAGTATTGATCACCACTGTGACCTCATTTCGTAAACGTGATAGGTTGGCGGGTGAAAGACCGAGGTTAGGCCGGGTCATGTCACCGAGGAAGAATTGGATCTTGCAAGTGGCGATAACATCCTCCACTTGCTCTGGCATTGACTGCTCCCATGCTTCGATTGCCTTTTGGACAGATCCCCGTACCAGCACGAAGATCTTCGCGGTTGGAAGTTGAATGGCTAGCTTGTATAACAAGCAGCCGCCGAGGTTACCAGTTGCCCCCGTGACGAAGACGACCTGTCCTCGAAACCATTCGCTGTCCATCTTGGTTAAAATTCGGTTGCTGCTCCTGGTTAGAAGTTGTGAGTATCTTAACATAGAAGGTGTTGTACTAACGAAATTTTCTAGGACAACCAGACAACGTACCTGGGTGGCCTGGATAGTTCTCAATCGGATGAGGATAGAAGTACTATTGGATTAGACTTATGCAAAATCTCACCAGCAGTTACCAGTAATGATTTTTGTAAGCCACGGTATCTTGTAGAGTGGTGATACATCATTATCTTGCTTTTGGGCCTCGTTCACACGGCCAGCTCCGGCATAGAATCATTCACTGCTGACCAGTTTTAAGGAAGCTTCAAGTGTCTCACCCCTTGACAAAGCGTAAATATCCGGATCTGCGTCGAGCAAAATAAGATACCGTCCATATCAGCACACAATAAAGTCGGAACAAATAGTCGAGATCGCCACAGCGCTTCTTAATTCCGAATAACGGAATGCGACGACATAACCGACCTAGATCATTACCCCTTGAGGGTCATTGGGTTGTACTGGGCCGTGTCTAACAGTATATTTAGCACGAAGTACATTCTGTGTGCCACATTAGACCCAATACCTAGATGAGGGTGGGTTACGGTGAACACCCGGAAGGTAGGAGATTGGGTTGGACATGCGGAGGGTTGTAAGCTTTTTTGGGCCGAGCTTTCCTTCTGATTGTTCTAGCCTTTGTGACAATATATCTCAGTGATGATGAACCACCACCTGGTGGCCAGACTGAGCTTTGCTCTCATGTAAGCTTAAGATCTCCAACAAGAACGTCGCCTATAATGAGGCTGCTTGTTTTTTTCTTCAATTCGTAGCCTTGGATATACTTACTTCAATATGGCAAGTGATATAGAGATAGAAGGTCGGTGACTAGTTGTGTTGCAGTCACATTTGCGAGTCTAAGTTGGAGCAGCGTTGAACAGGGTTGAGAATGCCCTGTTTTCGGAGGGCAGGTTGGAACTACCTGCCGGTTTCCTTTCTTTGCAGTGTCTGGAAATACGACCTAGTCGCCATTCAGGTACATATCATTCCTCCGGTGGCGGAGGATTTCGGAGGAAATGTGTTTCCTGCATCTTGCAGAGCTGGGTATGTAGGTACATATTGTGTGTAGATTTGCTTAATCGCCAATCTACTCGTGAAATTAATCGATCGTCAAAAGGCCGTACCTTGTGATATCAGAGCTCCAACCCTAGTTCAACCTTTGCTTTGTCTGCTATGCAGCCATCTTGATCCAGTCTCAAATTATTCATCATTCAACCAAAAATGAATTCAATAACTGGACAAGGACAAACATCATGCAGAAATCACGAGGAGGACTTTGGGGACCCAATTGCTGTCATTGGTATGGCAATGCGGCTACCAGGCGGTGTTCGATGTGGAGATGAATTTTGGGAAATGCTCGTGAATAAAAGAGATGGCTTTTGTGAGGCACCTCCCTCGCGCTGCTCCCGAGAGGCGTCTAGCAGCGCCGATTGTGGAGATCTGAGCAAAACGAAAAGAGGATTCTTTTTGCAAGAAGATCCAGGTTGTTTTGACACTTCCTTCTTTTCTGTCCCTCCCCACGAGGCGGCGCGCCTGGACCCTCAGCAACGGCTCTTGCTGGAGGTGGTTTGGGAGTGCCTGGAGAACTCGGGGGAGACTAAGTGGCGCGGCGAGAAAATCGGTTGCTTTGTTGGCGGTTTTGGGGAAGATTGGCTAGAGATATCGCATAAAGATCCCCAGCATCTGACGCAGATATTTCCTATCGCAACCGGTGGTTATGCATTAGCAAACCAAGTGTCGTATCGATTTGATCTCCTAGGTCCGAGGTGAGTGCGATCTGCTGTCTTTATTTCAAAAGTCTCTGACCCCTTGCAGCATGACCATCCAGACAGCTTGCTCTTCGTCCCTGGTCTGCCTGCATGAGGCCTGTCAAGCACTCAGATCTGGAGAGTGCACAACAGCTCTGGTGGGCGGGACGAGCCTTATATGGAGCCCAACCATGACAGATGCCATGACTAAAAATATGGTTTTGTCACCAAGTGGTATCTCTCATACTTTTGATGCTGAGGCAGATGGCTATGGTCGTGGTGAAGGGATCAACTGCATATATCTCAAACCTTTACGCGACGCGCTTCGGGGCAACGACGCGATCCGCGCCGTCATCCGCTCCACAGTGAGCAACCACGACGGCAAGACCCCTAACTTTTCGCAGCCATGTCCAATATCTCAGGAGAGGTTGATCCGTCACGCGTATCGGATTGCGGGAATTGACGCGATACAGCAAACACCTGTTTTTGAATGTCATGGGACCGGAACAGCCGTCGGCGATGTCATCGAAGCATCAGTCGTTGCAAAGATGACCCGAGGAGAAGCGACATATATCAGTGCTGTTAGTATTCCCTATTTGCAGAACTGTCTACAGCCAAACCACTTACTGATGTTGTACACCAGGTCAAACCAAATGTCGGTCACTCGGAGGGTGCCTCAGGCATCACTAGCATCATCAAATCAATCTTGTCACTTGAACACAGGACCATCGCACCCAATATCCATTTCAAAACGCCGAATCCCCAAATTCCATTCACCGAGGCAGATATTCATGTCCCTCTAGAGCCGACCCCGTGGCCTGCTGGCAGGCCCGAAAGGATTAGCGTAAATTCGTTCGGTATTGGCGGATCCAATGCCCACGCTATTCTGGAGTCCGCCTCTTCGGTCTCTCCAAAGTCCCAACCCACATCGCTCGGGCTTTCCAGCCCTCAGCTCCTAGTTTTGTCTGCACACACAGCAGACACTCTTCGCAAGCGTATCAGCCAGACCACCGACTATGTAAAGAATCACTCAGACCGCCTGCATGATCTTTCGTTCACTTTGGCTGCGCGAAGATCACATCTTTCCCACCGGGCTTTCGCTGTGGTGCAGCCGAGTAATCCAGCGATAGATGATGCGGCATTTTCAATTCTTAACACCAGTTCCCCAAATGTCACCTTCGTGTTCACAGGTCAGGGTGCTCAATGGCCCGGAATGGGGCTAAAGCTCTTGTCTGAATTCCCAACATTCAAGGAAGATATCAAAAGAATGGATGAAGCATTGCAGCAGCTACCTGATCCCCCGAATTGGTTATTATATGGTCAGAAAGAGGGCTTCACCCCTGAAGTTACGAGAATATTTTCACTAACGTACCTTCCAGATGAACTAAGCCAAGAGAGTTCAATTTCTCGAGTCCACGAAGCCGAGTTCTCTCAGCCTCTCTGTGTTGCGCTTCAAATTGGACTAGTAAATATTCTTCGGGGCTGGGGAATCGAGCCATCTAGAGTTGTCGGGCATTCAAGCGGAGAGATTGTGGCCGCATATGCTGCCAGAGCTATTTCTATGAGAAGTGCTATCGTTATAGCATACTATCGAGGCAAAGTCGCTAAACCGCTAGAAGGCTTAGGCGCTATGGTGGCCGTTGGCCTTTCCCCGGACGAAGTGGCACTGTACCTGACACCAGGAGTGGTTGTAGCCTGCCACAATAGTCCGCATAGTGTCACCTTGTCAGGGGATAAAGACTCGGTTGACGATGTGACCAAAAACATCAAGACAGCAAACTCAGATACACTCTGCCGGCGGCTTACAGTTAAAATCGCCTATCATTCTGGTAAACCCCCCCTGTGCCCTGCGCTTTTACCCTTGCGCTTACATTATTTGCAGACCAGATGAAACAGATTGGCTCTGAATATGAACATTGTATCTCTAGCCACATCGAATATGAGCAGGAAATGCTTCCTTTCTGTTCTAGTGTGACTAGCAACACTATCACCGACCCTCGCAAACTAGATGCATCATATTGGCGACAGAATCTGGAATCACCGGTATTGTTCACCGAGGCTATCCAAAGCCTACCTACTAGTGGAACCCCAGTCTTCCTAGAAGTCGGGCCGCATTCAGCCCTCGCCGCCCCTCTGCGACAAATCCTCCGGACTCTTGCAACGAAGTCACCAGTCTATATTCCCACCTTATTTAGGTATGACGAGGATGTCCAAAGCCAGCTACTCCGGACAGCGGGACAGGCCTATGCGAACGGCGTAGGATTCAATTTGTCGAGCCTAATTGAGCCCGGGAATACGCTGACAGATCTTCCACCTTATCCTTGGCAACATGATCGCTCCTATTGGAGTGAGAGTCGACTGAGTAGGGAGTGGAGGCATCGGAAGTTTCCGCATCATGAAATCCTCGGCTCGCGGGTCGTCGATACGACTGATCATGAGCCTTCTTGGCGTAATCTGGTCACGCTGGACGACGTGCCCTGGCTTTTGGATCATGTAATCCAAGGGGCCGTCACATTCCCTGGCGCTGGGTTCGTCGCTATGGTAGGTGAGGCAGTCCAGCAGCTGTATCCTGACAACGATAGTTATTCAGTGCGCAATGCGACATTTATAACACCACTACTGTTCCATGAGGAAGACCAAATCGAGATCGTGACTAGCCTCAGTCCGGTCGAAGTGGCTGACAGGGTTCCATCCGGCTGGTATAGTTTCAAAATCATGGCCCATGATGGAGAAAGATGGACGATGCATTGTCAGGGTCAAGTAAGAGCCGGGTCCGATCATCCCCCAGAGCCATTCCCAATATCTTCCTATAAGCGAGCTTTGCCATCAGAAAGTGTGTACCGAGTACTTCAAAGGAGCGGTATAGATTACGGCCCTCAGTTCCAGGGCTTGGAAAAGATTACAGCCGATCCTACTGGACCGAGGGCAACTGCGACCATTCTGGGTAATCGTGGGCTGCCTGGGAGCAGGTATTCGCTTCATCCCACGGCGATTGATCAATGTCTCCAACTCATGGGTGTGGCCTGTTCTCAGGGCTTGTTGCGACACCTCACAACAATTTATGTCCCGGCTATGATAGATTCCTTGTTCGTCGGACCAGGTGGTCCACCTATGCCAGCAAGTGCCCGGACCAAGAGCGGTACAAGGGATGGCCAATTGGGCGATGCCGTTGCCATGCTTGACGATCGGGTGGTGCTCTCCATCCAAGGAGCTTATCTTTTTGCCTTGGAAAATGATAATATAGATTCTGAAACTGGACCCGCGGGCTCAGTAACCCATCTTGAGTGGAAATCGGATATTGATTTCTTGCAATCATCAGCACTTTTGTCTACGCCACACGATTATACATCACAGGCTATGAATATTAAAGCCTTGGGTCAGCTATCTGCGCTTTTTGTTCTGGAGACCGCGGAGCAAATTCGGGATTTCGAGCCAAGATCATCACATTTCGTAAAGTGGAAGAAATTCATCATGGACGCAGCTTCTAATATCAAAAAAAGTGGACAACAATCAATCTACCCAGATTCATCTCAGTGGGCATTGCTAAGCTCGGCAGACAGACAGGAAATGACACGGAAAGTGTTAGCCGAAACCAAGTTTACCTTTGATGCTCCACTTGCGGATTGCATGCAGGTTGTCTTCGATAACTGCAAAGCCTTTATATCTGGAGAAAGTAGCCCATTGGAGGTCCTCATGAAGGACAATCTGCTGCACCAATTCCATGCTGCGCACACACAGTATGCCGGTTGGGAGCCGTTCCTACCGTCGCTCTGTCATTCCAACCCAGGCCTACGAATACTTGAGATCGGTGCAGGCACCGGGTCTGCAACTGCCTTGGCTCTAGAGCTTCTCAAGTCCACGAGTGGGGAGCGCATGTATAGCCAGTATGTTTTTACTGATATCTCTTCTGGTTTTATGGCTGCAGCAACCGAGAGATTCGGTCATGAACAATGCATTGAATACAAAGTTCTTGATATCACCCTAGATCCCCTCGAACAAGGGTTTGACCCTCATAGCTTTGACTTGATCATCGCTTCCAATGTGGGTATTTGACTAGTATGCCTCAACCCAATAACGTTGAATTCACATTCTCTACCAGGTTCTCCACGCTACCCCCAGTCTTCATACCGCACTCACTCATGTGCATTGTCTTCTGAAGCCCACCGGTCGCTTCTTACTCCATGAGATTAGCCCGGGTACGTCAAATCCCTCCAGCTTAGATGACTAAACTGACTAGGATACAGAAATCTTAATTGCAAATTTCACCATGGTAGGTACCAAATTTTCCTTATACCAATATCTGGTTTTCTTACATATTTTAGGGTGTATTTACCGGCTGGTGGCTAGGGGTGGATGATGGTCGAGCAGAGCAACCGTACATCTCACCCGAGCGGTGGGATCGGGAGCTACGAGCAGCAGGTTTCACCGGAGCAGATGTAACAGCTTATGATCAAAAGCCGCCATATCATATATCTGCCAGCATGGTGTCACGGCCGGTAGACGATATATCCATTCCTACCGATATCTGGTTGCTCACGGGAAATTCTAGCCCGTCCCAGTGGGCGAGTGATGTCGAATTGCTATTCCGCGACAAAGGCTATACCACTCACTGGACTACCTTGCACGAAATCCCACCCAAAGGCAAATTCATTGTGTCTCTGCTAGATCTTGAAGGAGCTGCAATAGGTTGCTTGCCGAAGAATGACTATGGGGTATTCCAACGGTACATTGAGCAAGTGCAAGAATGCCGAATCCTGTGGGTCACGCAGTCAACGTCCCGCACCTGCTCAGATCCACTGTTCGGTTTCATCCATGGGTTCGCCCGCACTTTACGATCAGAGCTTTTAATTGATCTCTCAATTCTGGAGATTTCCACATGGGATGCAGCGGGTGCAAAGGCCGTAATTCAAGTGTGCGAGAAGATACAAAGATCCCGCGCGCACTCCCTTCCTTATCCAGAGTATGAGTTTGCATTGCATGAAGGCGAGATTAAGGTCGGCCGGTACCACTGGACACCTCTCGTCGAGCAGCTCGCAAGTCCACCTCGATCAGATGCGTCCCGAAAGCTAACTCTCACGACGTACGGGCTACTGGATACAATACACTGGGCCGAGAAAGAGCCATCATATGAGTTGAATGAGGGGCATGTTGAAGTTGAGATGGACTACGTAGGACTGAACTTCAAGGTAAGTTTTCTGCGCCCAAGATAACCTTGCATATCGTTGATCAATATATTCTAGGATATGATGGTTGCAATGGGCTTTTTCGGAAACAAAGAAGATCTCGGCCTCGAAGGCAGCGGTATTGTGCTTCAAGTTGGACCTGATGTGACGGATATCAGGGTGGGAGACCGTGTCATCTTGATGCATTCTGGGGTTCTGGTCTCAAACGTTGTTGTGCCTCAAGAAGCTTGTATCAAGCTACCGCAGGGGTTGTCAATGGCAGATGCGGCCACGATGTTAACAGCCTATGTGACTGTTCTCTATTCACTACTTGAGATTGGTGCTTTGAAGAAGGGCCAGGCGAGTCACCATTTAACTCGACTATTGGTAGTTACTGACATGAAAACAGTCCGTTCTCATCCACTCCGCATGTGGCGGGGTCGGGCTAGCCGCTCTGCAAGTATGCCGAGCTGTTGGTGCCGAGGTAGGTCAACCTCACGTTATCGTTTTTTTTATGTGGAGCTAATAATAAGTCAATATAGATATATACCACGGTCGGCAACGATAAAAAGGTAGCCCATTTGATGGAGCATTTTGGTTTACCTCGAGAACGGATATTCAACTCTCGCAACACTTCCTTCCAACCGGACCTAATGCGTGCCACCGCTGGACGGGGAGTTGATGTAGTACTCAATTCTTTGTCGGGAAACTTACTGCACGCTTCGTGGGAATGTGTCGCAAAGTTCGGACGGATGGTTGAACTCGGAAAACGTGACTTCATAAGTCACGGAATACTTAATATGAGTCTTTTCGAAGCTAACCGAGGATTTTTCGGTGTTGACCTCGCACAAGTTTGCAAGGAAACCCCGGAGATTCTCAAAAGGTTTGTCTCAGATGAGCCTTGAGTGAACAAAAGCTGAACTAACACATACAGCACCCTGGCAACATTTTCAGATTGGTATCGTCAAGGGAAAATCGGACCTATCCATCCTGTCAAAGTCTTTGATGCGGTCGACATTGTCAGTGCATTTAGGTATATGCAGGCAGGCACCCACTTAGGTAAGATCTTGGTGCGTATGCCATCCTCCGTGGACAGTTTGCCTCCTCCTATCGTCAAAAGATTCCCGACATTCCGATCAGACGCCGCTTATCTTCTGATTGGCGGGCTTGGTGGTGTTGGGCGATCCGTATCAACATGGATGGTCGAGCAGGGTGCGCGAGAGCTCATCTTCCTCTCGCGATCAGCTGGCAAATCTGAGGAGGATCAAGCATTTATCGGGGAGCTTGAGGCGCAAGGTTGTCATGTTAGCTGTGTGCTAGGCAATGTGACCGATCTTGAAGCTGTGAAGCGGGCTGTTGCCACATGCACGCGGCCCCTTGTTGGTGTCCTCCAAATGGCAGTTGACTTGAAGGTAAGTGTTTTTCTCCCTTTCTCCTAAATGCCATTCCTAATATAGCATCTAGGATCGACTGTTCCTGCAGATGAGCCACGAGGAGTGGGAGGCTGCGTTGGCTCCGAAAGTCACTGGAACCTGGAACCTGCATCATGCCACATTGCAGTACTCACTCGATTTCTTCGTCGTGTTTGGCTCAATTGCCGGGGTATGTGGTAACACCGGCCAGGCCAATTATGCAGCAGCAACTACATTTTTGGAAGCATTCACCCGGTATCGACGACAGCAGGGGCTCCCTTCCTCTATTTTCCACCTCGGGGTGGTTGGAGATGTAGGTGCCGCAAGTCGGAGCTCCCGATTCCTTCAAAGAGTACAGTCAATCGCGCTGCATGTGCTCCATGAAGCTGAAGTGATTGATGGACTCGCCGCGGCGATCAATATATCCCCAGTCAGTGATTCTAATGCGAGTGGTGCAATTGCAATGGGACTTGCGCACACGAGGCGCCGCGGTGATGTCCCCAAGGAAATCTTCCTCGGTGGACGCGACGCTCGTTTTTTGATCTACCCCAACCTCGAGTCTACCAGTGCTGGCAGTGGTGGGGATCAATCCTCTCATGCAAATGCGTTAAAGGCCCTCCTTGCCCAGATACAAGCTGATCCCTCGCTGACGGGGAAGAGAGAGACTGAGGTCGCCTTGATGAAGGAACTAGGCAAATTTATCAGCCATAATCTTACAGGGCAGATGCAGGATCAGGGATCAGATTCTGCAGATGACATTGAAGCAATGGCGGGCATGGCAGTTGACTCCCTCATGGCTATAGAGGTTAGGAATTGGCTACGGAGGTCTCTGGGTGTGGAGATTCCTACAGTGGAAATCAACCGAGCAGGTACATTAGGTGGCTTGGTGAAGGTCGTTTTGAAGGGACTTGGGGAGAAATATGATCAGTGTGCTACCTAAGAAGCTGCTGCGGGCCAGTTGCTATTAGATAGCTAGACAGAATTCTTGATGTGCAACCCTGCAACTTTTTTCAGTTGGTTTCTTAGTCGTATCACACCTACATAAGTGTTTTAGTCTTATCTACGAAGGGCATTTTCAAGATATTGAGGCTTTAATGCCCGAATTTACCGCTTTTCTGTATCTATTTACAGTGACTATGCCGGCACGGAATAACCAGGTCCGATGACCCTATGAAAATGAAGCTTTTAGCACCATACAAATTCATGTATGGCCATATTTTTGGGTGGTTTAAATGAAGCCTTTAGTTAGCGCCAAACAAACAAATCCCCATTTTTCCAAGTGGTATATAGGCTCCTTCTGTCATACAAAAATACTATTTCCCAGTGAGATTCTAGTAGAGATGAATCCCTCTTGGGCGGAATGTCTCTGCCCGATCATAACCACATGCCTGAGTGACTCTCTCGCCCGCGTAATCTCCCGAGCTGTCCACAAGGTATTTCGAGTTGAGGCTGACACTCTCGTAGGTTAGGGCGCGCTTTGCTGACTGATTTCTCTGCTGTCTCAGATAATTCCGTCTCGCCAAAATATCCGAAGAGCTCTGCTGCTTTCTGAGCTTGCTCGTCTGCGCTCCAAACCATTCTGGAAGCACTTGCTCAGAGTGAGCTTCTTGCATTCCTCTCTCTTTCGCCGGGGCGATATACTCGCTCAGCTTCATGGCCTTTTCTGTCTGCCCATCTGCTGCATATGCCCCAGTGAGAAATGTTTGAGGTCTCAGCCCAGAGGGATGTTCTTCACAATGGCGGGTTTGGTCCCATTTGGCCTTTTCCTTCAGTAATTCCATGGCCGTTTCCACCCTACCATCATCTATGAGGCAGGACACAACTTTTAAGATGAGCTCATACCGTTCGTGTATATCTCGACCCTCTGTCTTACGAAGAAGTTCAAGAGCATGAGGTACGTACGCCCTCCTCGTATGTTCATTGGTCTGGCCCCGCGGTGAGAATGTCTTGACCATACGCTGCGTGACCTTCCTGGTTGTCTCTAACGCTTCGCCTTTTTGGTCAATCCACCATAGCGTTGCGAGCTGAACTATATCGTGAATTTCAAGCGTGACTCCATCTGTCCCTCTGGTCACCAATGCATATTCACATAGCGTATTGATTGCGGATTCAGTTTGCGCTTCCGATTTGTACAAAGGCAGGAGAGACCGTGGAATGGCTTTCGGCGCAATGCAAGACATGAACTGCAGTATATCAGCGGCGATAGGATCTGACCTTTTGATCTTTTCGAATGAGATACGCCATATTTGAGCAATAGAATTCTGCAGCTGCGGGTAGCGAGTATCATCATGAAAATGACAACTCGCGGGGGTTTCTTTGTCTTCGTCTGTACCATGCATAAGATCGAGATAACGTGAAACTGATACATTGGTGAATTCAATGTAGGAAGCTGCCTGCTTGATAGCCAAAGGCAGCCAGCTGAGCTCTTCGAGTAGCTTTTCTGTCATCTTTCGACTGTGGATGAGAGTATTTGCCACGAGTTTCTCGAACAAAGCAATCGCTTCATTTGCTTCCATTGGCAAGAGTTGGATTGTATCTCTCTGTGACGTGAAACATTCCGCCACCCGACTGAACCGGGTGGTAAGCAAGATAACGCCGGTGTCACTAGCTGGAAAGTATTTGCAAAGCCGACCTCGCACACCGTCGCTTCCAAATAATATGTCGTAATCGTCTGCATTGTCCACAATGAAGAGCCACGGCCCAGCTTCCTTGGAGCTAAGATACCGACGAACCATCTCCATATCGTTTTCATCTTGCTTTATTCTCTGGATACCAATGTCTCTCACAATACCCGTACACGCTTGCTCAAAGCTGGCTTCGCTGAATGCCGGGATCCAAAATATTGAATACTGTGGCATGTTGTTCTTTACCCAATAGGCAAAGTGCAAGGCAACCTGGGTTTTGCCAATGCCTCCGATTCCGTACAAGGCCACTTTACGGGCGGTCTTTTGAAGAAAGAGCCTTTCTTGCAGCCTGCTTAGTACAATCTCACGTCCAGTGAAGTCTTCATTTGCAACAAAGGGGATCATATGGTAGGCCTTTAGCTTGCCTAGAACCACGTCAACTTTTTGAACAGGGTCGACTATTAGAATCTTCGTAAACTGAGGTTCATTCAGCTCATTTTGTTGACTCCTTGCCCCATACGTCTTCACATATTTCTCGATATCCTTGGACTTCTCGGAGAGATAAATGCTTGTGTATGCAGATATCCTGCTAGCCTGCTTCCAGTCTGACAAAGAGATATCTCCAAGGCCATGTTGCACATTGAATCGAAAATACTGGCCGCTGTCGCCATGGTAGTCTTCCATGTTGGTGTTTACCCTGTTGGGGGACGTAGTCATCCTCTTCAGTGCACCAATGATTGACAGGCGCCCATTTTTTATGCCGACCACATCTCCAATGCCGGTTCCGATACTCAGAGTCTGCATATCGCTACGTCCAGGGAACACCTTCTTAGCTTCTGCAATAAGCTGTTCGCATGGGTTGTTATAGCCGAATCCTGCATCAATGTACTCGATGTTGTCTCGACCAAGTCTAATTGACTTGAAGAGCGTGGATGCAGCTGAGGTAGCGCGGGCAACTTCCCAAATAGCGCAGCCATCAAGCGCAGTGGATTTGTCGTATGTGCGAAAGAGCGTAGGTCCCGCGTCAATATTCACTTTCGTAACCGCAAGAACAACCCTGTTATTTGTCAATACTAATCTAATCTCTGCATTAAATAGCTACATACGTTTTGGTGCATGTCTGCTCACGAAACGGTAGATCAGAGTGTTGACAGTCAGTTATAGAGAGACCATTGCGCCGACGTTCCACGCATTCTTTTTCTGTGCAGAACTCCCGAACTACCTGTTTGATAGCCTCCTGCAGTGCGCGCGCAGAGAAAGCTCCCCTGGGCCGTGCTGGAATAATGGCATGTGCCTTGCGAGTAAAAGCACGCTCCGCGACCTTTCGGTATGCTCGAATGCATTCATCCACGGTCATTCCCAGCCGACCCAGCATAATAGCGATGATCCTTATAGTATATTAGTACATTAACCCTGTATGTACCACACACAGACATACCCTCCAGTGCTTGTACCCCCGATCAAGTCGAAATGGTCACACGGGCGTGGGGTATAATCAAGATGATGAACATCGCGGATCCTTTCCATGATCCTTTCTAGGATCAGTAGACTCGAGATTCCCCGAATGCCACCACCATCTGAGGCATATTATTAACCCTCATTTTCTATCCAAGGGGATTAAAAAAACAAACCAAGTGAGAGGATTCTGAGTGGCCCCGAAGCCCTTGGACGCATTTCGAGTTCCATGTCTGCTGATAGTCTTACTGAATACGTGATTGGACTGATGTCATGTGAGTAATAGTAGACTTGTTAAGAAAATAATCCTAGAGTAATAATACGTCTGTTAAGAAAAGCAGGCACCTTATTATAGAGCAGAAGGTGATCGACAGCTAAGCGCCAGCTAAATCCGCCCCGCAATGAAACCACTGAAACCCTGCCACCCAGATGAAAAGTACCAATTAACATGTTGACGCTGTAGACTAACTGCTTGAGGTTGACACATTTTTATTATTAGGCCGTGGATAATTCTATGGGTTCCAAGCTTAAGCAGTGCAAGGCGGTTCAGTAAAGTACCATACCTTTGCAAACGATACTTTGAGGCTCAACAATATTTTTACAATGCAATCGCAATATAGTTGAAATAAATATTTAACTACAGATGGAATGAGAGAATTTTCGCATCAAGATTTCAGATGGTAAGACTTCAAGCATATCGAGGATTAGACTTGAATGTTCGACTTATTTATAGAAGTATTCCGGGATATAAAATACTTATATTACAAACTATATATTACTGCAGGCAAACCCTGATATGGCACACTGGCGGTTAGAAAGACTGCCGTTAATTACCTTAACCGGATAGCTGCATGGTGGGAGTAAACTATCTGTATTGTGAAACATAATATAGCACATTTTACCATTAGACCATAAGAAAACCAAGATACAGATCTGTTATGGTTGGTATCAAAGGCATTTGACTGTCTTCATGTATGTTGGTAGGCTTTTTTTTCTGCCTTTGTGTCTTTCAGGCCTGTGTTGCTCTATTCCTTTATCTCTATGACGCTAGTTACAGATCTTGATGACGGTAGTGAGATCCATCATCAGCATCTATAATGGGAAAGGAAATCATAGGCTGTATGTGTGTGTTCATTAAGAAAGGTAAGATCAAACAAGGTAGGGAGCAGGTCCTATCAACCTAAGGCAGAAAGGGTCTCAACAATTCATTCCTAGACGCCTACGTGCATCAGTATCTCCCCCTCATTGTCGGTTGGGCATACCTACCTTCTCACCTGCTGCCCGACTTCTCTCGTAATCTCCTCCTCCTTCTATCTTCTCCTATCCCCGGAAAGTCTCCAATTTTGTCTGCCTTTTACGAAGAGAAACTTCATCTCTCAGTCTATTTGATAAACATGATGGACCAACCAACTCATATCATAGATCCAGACGGTGAAGTGATCATAATATTGCGTGATGCAAACTCTCCTTTTGCACAAGCGCCTGGAGATACGGTAGCTGGCATGACCGTTTCATATTCCGATCATTCTCTCCAGAGTCCTGCAGAAGCGATCAAACCCCCACCAACCTATTCAGGGAAGCAAAAGAAGAAGAAGAAATCTAGAAAAGGATTGAGAGCCATTCGGTCCTCTTCTGAGCCAGTATCATCTCCTGCATCACCACCGATCGAAGAACCTGCTGCTGAAGACCCTGCTGCCGAAGACCCTGTTGCCGAAGAACCTGCTGCCGAAGAACCTGCTGCCGAAGACCCTGTTGCCGAAGAACCTGCTGCTGAAGAAACTGCTGCCGAAGACCCTGCTGCCGAAGACCCTGCTGCCGAAGAACCTGCTGAAGAGCAAGTCTATGAACCGCTTGTCAAGATTCAAGTCTCTGCGAAGCATTTAATATTTGCGTCCTCAGTATTCAAAAGGATCCTCACTGGGGGTTGGAAGGAAAGCACTATTTATCTGCAAAAAGGCTCAGTGGAGATTACTGCAGAGAGCTGGGACATCGGAGCACTCTTGATTCTACTTCATGCTATTCATGGTAAATACCGCCGAATACCGCGAAAGCTAACCCTTGAAATGCTCGCCAAAGTTGCTGTCATAGCGGATTACTATGAATGCAAGGAATCTGTCTATAGCATGACGGACATATGGATCAATAATCTGGAGGAAAAGATTCCTATGACATATTCTCGGAATTTGATTTTGTGGTTATGGGTTTCCTGGTTTTTCCAGCTCTCCTCCCAGTTCAAAGAGACAACATCGGCTGTCATGTCATTGAGTAAAACTTATGTTCATGGTTGGGGGCTTCCGATCTCTCATGAGGTCATCGGTAAGGCCAGACAAATTCTGAAGCTGCTTAGTATCTAATTAAATCGCAGGATTAATGAACAAACGGAGACATGAGGCCATCAATCACTCAGTTTTCCGACTTCATGAAATACGCGATGCCCTCCTGAGTGGCAGTCGGGGCTGTGAGTTTGAGTGCAGGTCAATCATGCTTGGAGCCCTTACTATTCAGATGCAGTCAAGTAATCTTCTTTCGCCAAGGCCTGCGGCTCCTTTCCTGAATCTCAGTCACAGAGATCTCATACAGAAGGTATTGGCGTTTGAATCACCAGAATGGAGTACCTCGGCCCACTATCAAAATCATTATGGGTACATTCAAGCCCACACCTGTGCCGATTCATCCTTCAAATCCCTATTCGCGAACTTGAATGACTTCATTGAAGGGTTGGACTTGAACGACTTCATTGAATGGTTTGGCTTGAATGACTCCATTGAAGAATTGGACTTGAATAGCCTTGATTTTTATAAATGAGGATAGATGTACGTCTCCAATTCAAGAAAAGGTGAACTGTGAAGACTGCGACGAAACGATGTTTCATAGTACAAGGGCGCCATTTTTCATAATCACACACGTTATAATAAAGAAATTACGAGAAAGATGCAAGCAGGAACCGGCTTATATATCTTCGTAGTATACGAATAGCCACTACTCACAGTAGAGACGTGTTATTGGTACAACATAGCAGGTTGGTTGTCGAGTATGATGATTGTTATGACACTGGTAGGACAAAAGAATGGTTCTATATTTCGCTCAGTTAAATTCCTAAGAATACCACCTAAGTAATTCCACATTCATGGTCGGAGCACAATTCAGCATATGAATTACTAGCTAGTTATGCACTCTAATACTGAACGGTCAGACGTCGTCATATATAAAGAAGCTAGCTCTCACCGCCTACCACATCAGGTTGAGTGAATAGCTCCAGACTTGGGTGGCGCGGACTTCATCGCTCAAGAACGCGCTGATCACCACATCCACCACTTTCTCTCCCGATAAATTCAGTAGCGCATTGACGGTCGCATTTGACACACCGTCAATTCCCCTATATTCCGACTGTCCTCGAGCCACCTCACATCCAGTATGGCGCAGGTCAAGCAAGACCCGGATCGCCCGTACTTCAAACAAGACCCCGACAGCAAGGATATTGCCCTGAGAGACATTGATGAAGAAGACCTCTATGAAGATGCTGGGGATTTAGACTTTTCACAAGCAGGTCAGAATGTGTGGCTCTCCCGTCTGCCTCGGTCGCTGTGGGAGCACTGGGCCCATCTGGACGATGACGAGGAGATTGAGCTTGGCACTATGAGAGTGGAGGGGACACCGAATGACATCAAAAGAGTAAGTGGAAACATGCGTATGCAGGGTGCCTGGCGGATTCTGACATGTGTCCGTTTGCCAGGTCAGCTTGCGCCTACATGATCGCCCAGATAATCGGGAGATTCCCAAGGACTACACACTCCAGCGTCAAACGGTCGACCCATCAGGCACTGGATCACACCTCACCCACAATACGTACGTATTCACCGAGAAGGACATCCCCGGTGTTGAGAACCGCATGGCTACATTCGGCGAAACGCGCTCGGTTCTATACGAAGCCCAAAAACGTGAAGCGAAGCGGCGGGAACAGGGCAAAAGATGGGAGCCTTATGTGCGAAAGACGATACCAAGTATGTCCCACTGCATACCTGGCGAGTTGTATTTGCTCACAATTCTTAGAACACACTGCCCTCGCCGGCGCGGTCAGTGAAGAATTCAATTGCCTTCCTGTGGAGAATGAAGAATTCCGACGGATATCCGAGAAGCGAGCGCTGGAAGCTCTGAAACCTCGCAAGGAAACTGTCTTCATTGATAAGATTCCCGGGAAGATCATCCAGGCGCGCCATGCTCTTCCCACCGAAAGGGGTCAATTTGTGGTAAGTCTTTGGAAGTTCCCTTCCTTCTTAGGCTAGATTACTCACTTCGTCTACAGCAAGCCACACGACCTTCCAAAGGGAAATCCCAAGAGAACAAGTCCACCCGCATGCCACAAAACGAGCTTCTGGATCTTATCTTCCAATGCTTCCGCGAATTCAAATACTGGCCCTTTAAGACACTCAAAGCCCGATTGGCACAGCCGGAGGCATATCTCAAGCAGACTTTGGAGATGGTTGCACACCTTGTCAAGGCTGGTGATTTCGCTATGACCTGGGAACTGAAGCCCGAGGCAACCCACAGTCAGTACTCTAATGCGATGGACAATGCTAAAGCAGAGTTGCCACCAGGAGCCGATGATCCTTACGAGTCAGAGGACGATCCAGCTTCTGGAATAGATCAGGACGATGTTCAATTTGAAAACGTTTAAACAAATACACCCAGATAACGGCTTCGATATATTGCATAAGCAGGTCCTGGCGTTAAGGCTTTCAAGGAAAGACCGGGAGTCCTGGTTCAATTCGAAAATAAAATGAAATGAAATGACAAATGGGTTCCACACAATCATTGATTTGGTCCCAAACAGTTTCTTCGATTGATGTCTTGACAAATCCCTTTAGGATTCGCAGTGACCAGCCTCTGAGAATTTGACCAAGCTGTCTCACCAGAATCGTATGCATTTCTTGTTGGTTATTGGCGTAAGCACGTCGAGCCAGTAATTCTTGCCCAATATTATCGACTTCTAAACGCCTTCGATTGGCTTTCTTGTAAACTTCAGATCTCCTAGTAGGCGTGTGATAAAACAGTATACACATTGCGAACTATAGCGGCAGCATGTGGGGATGATTTTCAGCAAGACCTTAGCTTGCCCATTGCTTGATCATCCCTGGTGTGGACATCGAGTGTATTTAACAAGCCTCTGATCTATTATTGGACTATATCTATTTCTTCTTAACTTTTCTGTACTTGTACGCGGGGTACGGAGTAATTCGTTGGTGATTGTCAAGTTGGACGTGGAGCTGCTCTCCGGTAAGGTCAAAGTTAGGTTCTAATGCTAAAGCGAGTCCTTTTTTGGCCTCATGTAACTGCACAAGCATCGAAGACGTGTTTTCCTGTCTCCTTCGTACTGTTCAAGGTGGTTGGTGACGTTCTCATCCCGGGCACGGACCTCCTCGCCACTTTGTATTCATGCCTAAGGCACCTAACCCATGCAAACAGTACAAACTACCCTCCCAGAATCACACCAACGCTAAATGAGCGCGTCTTTGCTGCTTCCTCCGCATCACCGGCTCAGAACTTCTTCTGAAATACCACCCAGCTTCTGATCTTAATCTGAAAAAATCTCAGATATCCGGTCTGCCACCCACTTACCCTATCTAGCTTCAGTTAGTCACCATGAGCGAAAACGACGATCTCCTGGCCAAGATCGGTCAGCTTGCAGGTGCGCTCAGTATCAGTTCACCGTCAAGACAAAGCTAACATGAAAAGGCCAAATAAACCGCCACAAGACGCAAGAGACCCAGCCAGCTAACTACCAGTCTCAATATGTGTCTCGCCATGTCCCTTCTCACACAGGATGGGCCCCATACTACAGGGGACGCGGTCGAGGACGTCGTGGAGCAGCTGCTCCGCACCGACACCGCACGCTGGTTTTGAACACCGCGGGCGCTGGTTCGACCCCTAGCGCCAACTCATCACCCGCCCCGAGTAGTGCGAACGACAGCGCGGCGGTTTCGACACCATCTTCTAGCAATGGTTGGGTCGTGAAGCACGATCGCCACATGCAGCTGATCAACCCTGCTGTCTACGATCGGAAAACACAGGACAGGACAAAGGATATGGAACGAACGCGCAAGCTTAGAGAACAGAAAAAAACAGAGTATGAAAAAGCGAAAGTACTTCGATATGCACAGGGTCCAGGTACTGGTGCAGTGGTCTCCACCGCTGCAAATCCTGCAGCTGGCCATCAGATTCTTGTCAATGATGTTCCTTTCAGGGTCGCAAATGGCGGAAGCAAACTGATTCGTATTTCGAGTGCGTGCACCCTTCGCTCTTCCTCTCGAATTGGCTTACCCTTCATAGATGACCCTAGTACTGCCAACAGTACGCCTAAGCGCGTCACAGTTGCCGATGTGTCCTTTGTGCGAAGCAAAAACGGAAACCTCCACCGTCTCGGTGCTGTGGCTATGAAGAAGTGAGTCTTGGTTTTAATGATGGTTACCTTTATACTAACCTTGCAATAGGAATCATACTGTTAAGAAGCGCGATGAGCTTTGCAAAAGATTTACAACAACCGGTATTTTGTTTTCCGACGGGCCATACTTCTATGCTCTACCCTATAAGTATGCTCAAAAACTAATACGTCTAATTTTCTAGGCACTTGCTACAAAGGCCCGACCTGCCAATTCGTCCATGACCCTAGTAAGGTCGCTATGTGCAAGGACTTCCTCCAGACAGGCAAATGTGCCGCAGGTAGTAGCTGTGATCTATCCCATGAGCCTTCGCCCCATCGCTCCCCCACTTGTATGCATTTCCTTAGAGGACGCTGCGCCAACCCGGAATGTCGCTACGCCCACGTCCGCGTGACACCCGGTGCCCCCGTCTGCCGCGCCTTTGCAACCCTAGGATACTGCGAAAAGGGCGACGCCTGCGAAGAGAAGCACGTCCACGAGTGCCCAGACTATGCCAATACCGGCGCCTGCCACAAAAAGCGCTGCCAGCTGCCGCATGTTGACCGCGCGGGCCAGATCCGCAAGGCTGCTGCGGCTGCTGCTAGCAAAGCTGATTTGGGTGAAGATGAGTCTGATCAGTCTAGCGAGGAAGAAAACTATGACGCTATTGATTCGGACGACGTTGACTCGGATACATTCGACGACTCCCCCGAAGAACTGATCGAAGGTGTGGACAGCGGCGAGTTGTCGCAGCAGCAAGACTTTATCCGCTTCTAAATCCTAAATTCTGGCATTTGTAGTTGATTGGATAGTTGTCTTTCTTGCTTTTCATTCTTTTTGCCCATACCCCGAAAACATGTCGATAGCATTCAGTTGAGAAGAAATTGAAAAAAATTGAAATAAGTTATCTTGAAGTTTCTTATTGCATGTGTACTAAGCCTCTTAAATTCTATGTCTGCTGACCATAGTTGCACATGTCGACGTCAGGTTGAGTATAGTACTTCGGCAATCACCGAGCCATGTGACAGTGATAGCAACAACTGCAGGGCCCATGTCCTGTTGACTGGTGACATGAAGTATGAGGTTGTGTGACCGTAGAGGTATGGATAAGCCTCGCTATGCATGATGCTTGAAATATAGATAGACTGTTATAGGAGCGCGCAATATTGAAATCTGCACCCCAGGATATCCTTCCGAGACCTACAAGGATGATCCAAGCCTGTGAAACTTGCTAGCCACGAAAGCAATATTGGAAATAAGGAGCAAGACAGACAGAGCCTAGAATCTTTCTTGTATACTTTGTTTTCAATGTAGTGTGTTGTAGTATTTTGACTATGTGATCAATATATATATCAGTGCCCTCCAAGTATAGACATGGAGGGGTATATCAAATAGCACCTAGTGCTAGGCAGCAAGGATGCTATTTGGACCTCAAATGGAAAGCGGAAGAGTACAGTCATAGACAATAGTTGGAATGCAAGTTTAAAACATTTACAAAGATGTAACGTTGTGATCAACGCCGCGGCATGTCTCGATTGAGCAAGTCGAGATGGTGATAATGTACGGGTTGAAGTCAAGCACTTCCTTGTCTAAATGAGCAATTGTCAAGGTCAATCTAGAATGTAATTCCTGAGAACCAATTGATCTATTGTCGGGGGCTATAGCTAGACATAATCCTAGACTCTTCTCTTGACATCCTGCAAACTCTGCGTATCACCAACACTTGGAAGCGTCGGCGGCTAGGTCAAGCCACGCATATGGGCTTGTCTACCAACACCATCTTGTGTTGGTTTTGGTCCTTCGGCTTTGTTGAATTGTTGAATTGGAAGACTAATTGTTCTACTACGTTGGAATTGACTGTTGGGCTTTAGTGCAGGATAGAAAATCTGCTCTAAGCAAAATTGGAAACGTCATCCAACAAAAGAATATGAATCCTTCGGACAAGAATAGTAGCAGAAAGCCAGTCTATCGGACGAGAATAGCCAAAAAGAGATAGTGACTCAGTCTAGCGGAAGTACTGAGTAATAGCTTCTCTGTCTCAATATTGGGATTCCTGTATGTTGGTCCACCTGCTTGAAACTCATTCCGACGACGTGTTAGCTGGTCATAACCGCACCAAGCGACAGAAACTCTCAAGACCTTTCATTCATCTCTCGCCCTACTACAGAATGAGTCATTTCAACCGGTGAAGGAGGATCCTCGGCACAGAGATCAAATATGCTTCCCCCGACGGGTCCAAGAAAAGCTGAATTCCCCGATAGGCAGACTACATTCATGAAAAACGCCAACGAGTCCCCAATCCGGCATGTGGAGCATAAAAGAGGGCTAGCAGTGAGCAGCTAGTGGCCCAGTCACATCCAGTTTCCAAGGCAATGGCTTACTCCCATCCGATGTGCCCAATGTACCCTGTGCACGGCATATCAGGCAGGTACCACTTCAAAGTGAGGCTTTGAGATCGTATCCGGCTAGCTTGCACCGGGGAGATGTTTTACAGACCCTTGGGCACGTACAGTGTACGTCGTATTCCAAGTTGTATGCAGCGTGAAAGAAGTGGACCATTAGCTACATAAATATTAGAATGCAAGTGGAGTGGTGGACCGTGGACCTGCCACTGCCTTCTAGCTCATTCAGAGAAGGTAGATCACCAGTTTCATTCCGAGTCACATGGCAAAACATTGGTTTCAGCTTCACCGCAGGAAGGGCGAATATGCCAGTGTCGCAATAGGGAAGGTACGGGTGCTGAATCTACCGGTGTATACGCAAAGGACTATGATACTGGGACCGGCTTCTAGAAGACTATACTGCATTTGGTGGAAGCGTCATGAGCTAGTAAAAAACAAGAATGCCGCCGGGGGACCTTGACTGAAAATATTTCCCTGTTTATGACTAATGTAGCAGTGAACCCGTCCACGGGTGGACTGCTTGACCGGTGGCATACTGGATCTCCATTGGACAGACTCAGCTTTTTCACCGCCAGATCTTATCCGGGCTAAGTTGCCCACCCGCGAAGTTGCCGCCCAGGTGACAGGCCTATCACTGGCACAGGATATGTGCTGTGTGCTATGTATAGATTGTGAACAGACTCAGCGGCTGCCGCCGAAGGCGTGTGCTCCGGGGAATTGAACTGACAGGAACCCGGTCTACGCTTTGGGCAAGGCTAGAGATGGGGACTGATTGAATTGTGGGGGAAAGCCAGAAAAAAAGAAGAGACAGCTCAATGACAGCTCATGGTGAATCGTGGTCGAAGTTGGAGATGTTAGTAATAATAGTGGTAGATTAGGATATCCCCCCCGCAGCTCAGCAAGCCGGAAGGCACCCGTCAATACGATGGCATCATGTCCCCTGCACTCCGCATAGTCGATCATGGATTAAATGTGGTCTGTGAGCTCAGAAGAGTTGGAAAGGAGGCTGCTGCAGCCATATGGGAGCTGCAGAGAGAGCTGCAAGTAGATCACGGCAAGATTGAGCAAGATCAGGTGTGTGAGATTTTCGACCCAAGCTCTTACTCTAAGCTATCGAGCCTTAACCTCCAGGGTAGCTCCATTCGGGGAATTTGGTTTTGGAGGGGGAGGTTGTCATCTGGATGGGACGAGTGATCAGTGCATGACATCCGTGCTTTCCTATTTTTTTTTCCTTCTTTTCTCATCCATGGTCGGCCCAACAGTGGATCAGCGGGCCGAGCCCGTCCCAAAGATTCATTCTATAGAGACTCATCCTAGACTATACGAAGGAAGGGAACTATAATGAATCGGAATAAGGAGCACAACAAAGAAAAAAAGCAAAACATCCAAGGCGCCATGGATGGCAGCCCAAAGAAGCCGTCACACTGACTCGGGAATGATTGGCTGTTAGCGGCGGATAGAAAGAAGGATGACAGTTAGACTGGACATCTGACCATTCAAAGGGGATCAGTTTAGTACATGGGGGTACAGAAATATACTTTCAAACAGTAGTTTCAGGTAGTCGTGCAGGTGAAGTCCGAAGTAGCATTGGGTATTCTACCTAAGCGCCGTGAATAAGGTATAGCACAGACCATATCCTCCCCACGACAGGGATGTCTACGGCCGGCGGAACGAGGATCGATCGATAGGCTATCGTTTATCGATAAGCCCGAAAGAGAAGGAAGACTCCTTCCCCCACTTAGGATTGTTGGTGGCTCCGGGTTTACGGAGAGAAGAGGAAGGAAAAGCACTATGTTGTATACGATATCATTTCCCATCCTTGGTACCAATGTAGTCAATTATCCCCGCCAGCATGACCATTCAGACTGATCATAATAAAACCAAAATATACCAAAAAACCTTCCAATGAGAAATAAAATAAAACCCAGCCGAAAATTCAAGAATAACCAAAATACCAACCAAAATAGTCGAACATCAACAAATGCAGGTCTGCCCAAGCAAAACAATGCAGCCAATAACGGAGATGCTGTTCCGGGGGCCACACTCGCGCTCCCGCGTAGACGGCGGGATGAGTACTAGGTACTTGATCGACAGGCCATCCTCCATCACCTACATCGGTACTCGGTACCTGTGGGTACAATATCGAACCGCACGAGCACTGCTGCATCGGCTCATACATATCCTGCCTCCCCCCCGGAACTAGATCACAGCATATTTCCCCCCTCTTTACTATTATATGTCATCTTCATATTGATTCCCGACTATTATCTTCTCCCTTGGGTGGTTTGCCTCTATACCATTTTCTCTATAAACCAGCATCTTCCCCAGCCCCACTCCACCGTTTCTCACACACACCGCCTCTTCATGATGGCACAATATTTCCAGTCTGAATTCTACCAACAATCACCATCAACGTTAGACGTGACCCCGGAAGACGACGAGATGAGCGTGTTGGATGACAGGATCCTTGATCCGAATTCCGAAGACCACCCCGACAACCGCCGCACCTCCTACGACGCCCCAGATGCCTACTCACATCGGGATTCCGTCTGGTCCAATTACTCAAATACCAGCAGCCAGTCTCAGTCAAATTCCAATTCCAATTCGCATTCGCAACTCGGGCATACCATGATGAACTCGGGTGCCTCGTTCATGCCAATTGACGGCCCGCAACCATCTTCCTACCAGCAAAGTTGCTCGCAGGCAGCGTGGCCCATGCCGCGTACGGATTCAGGCTCATGTACCCCGACCGTGGGCTATGATCAGTATGCTTCCAATGGAGACCAGGGTGCCGTCGGTCCTTTCTCCGGTGGTGCGGTTGGACCCGTTTGCACGATGCCCATGAACCCCATGTCGTACCGTGGAGGTATGCCATTTGCGGCTTCTGGCAGCGTCGTCATGTCACCGCAATCCAGCCAGGGCTGGATGCCGGCGCCAATGGATCTGGCCGAGGCGGAGTTGCAAGCGAGAAAGAGCCCGGATTACCGGATGGCCATACCGTTGCGGCGAGGAGATGGGATTCGGAAGAGGAATTCCCGCATTGAAATCTCCGCCGAACTCACCTTGGCCAACATCGACGACGCGATCCGGAACTGCGTGGACGAGGAGAAGAAGAAGGACCTCAAGTCGATCAAACGACTGCTGCGGAATCGTGATGCAGCGTAAGTTGAGATTGATGCGTTGAGCTGGATCACATGTTAACCTTATCACAATAGCCTGCAATCCCGTCAACGCAAGAAGAAGGAAGCCGAGGGTAATATCGAAAAGCTCAAGGTGAAGGACGAAATTATCGCGGAACAGGCTAAAAAGCTCGCGCAACTGGAGGAGAAAATCCAGAACATGCAAAGCGCAATGAAGAACCAGGATTACGAGAATCACCAATTGACTGCCTACAACAGGCAGTTGACCGAGCACATCCAACGCCAGGACATGGAGAAAGATGAAACTATTCTCAGGCACACGCGGGAGACCGCCAACCTGTTGAAGAGGAACAACATGCTGGAGGAGAGAAACAAACAGCTGGAGCGCAGCGTCAAGCCCGTCCAAGAAATCATGACCGGTGAATTCACCGGCTTCGAGAACCCGACCATGGAAAACCACTCATGGGATGACTTCTCGACGGTCACGGGACCTCTCCTGCAATCAGACTGTGTCCAAACTCCCCATGCTCAGGTCAAGGTCCCGGAGAAATCCAACAATGGATCAGACCTGCCGATCAGCTGGAACGCCTTCTACATGTTCCTGCTTGTCGGTGCCTTCTTCGCCTCAAACAATACGTCCCTCCCGGGAAACTCCCTGCCCCAACTCTCCGAGGAGTACCGGGCGGAGTCAGCCAATGTGCTGAAAGCAGTGTTAGCCTCGTCGTCTGGCCACGAGCTAACTAACTCTCATTCCAACCATGGAACAGCAACCGGACCCGCGCCGGCAACTATCAGTGGCATGGAGATGGCGCAGATGAGCTCTGCGCAACCCGTGCCCTCAAGTCTCGACCAGTTGCATAACACGCTCGTCATGCCGACAGAGCAGCAACAGCGCGATCAGGTGTTCTCGATGAACGCTGACCATTACAACTCCCTGACAACGTTTGAGAATGACAACGGAAACTTCAAGCCCCAGCAGCCATCTACCCTGCAGCAGGCGTTTGCTGCGATGCGGGATACCGCCGCGCAGCAGAGTCGTATTCATTCCGCATTGTCGTCGAATGTGTATTCTAGATCTTTGATGTGGGACCGCGTGCCTGAAAAGGTTGTGCGGGACTTCCGTCGCATGGTCCAAGGTCACGGTTATGATAACCCCGTCAAGGAGGAGGGTATTTTCCACTCCTGATTTCCGGGTCAGTCCCGTGATCTCAACAAGACCATATTTCTTGTCACTTTTTCTTCTACCTTTCTTGCATTTCTTGCATTTCTTACAATTCCTGCTGGGAATTGTTGCTTGATCTGCCCTTTTTATTTTGACATCCTTTTTTCTTCTTGAAAAATACGTGCCAGCAATGGCCTTGAAATACTAGCGTGCAACGATAGGTCACGCAACACTTTACTGTTTTTTGTATCTTTTTCACTGTCTTTTTTTGAGTTCGGTCCCAGAGTCAGGTTCACTCGGGCACAGGTAGCGTGTGATGATTTCAGCGATTGGCTTCGGAGCGTGTTTTGTTTCTTGTTTTGATGGGAGGAGACTATATTATACGACAGGGTGAAAACCTAAATTATGTGTTTATGTATACAGACCTCGGATCCTCTCTGCAGCCTGGGAGATCTTGGGTATGGGATACGAGAAACGAGATGAGTTATGAAGAAACCTTGCATACCTTGCATTCAACTCCGCTTTTTATGATTTGTTTTATGATCTTTTTATGTTTTATGTTACTATTAGCGCTCTGGCTAGGGCAGTGTTAGGCAATTATGAGTCGAAATGGATGGGGATGGCCTCCTGCTTTCAGGTTGGATGAACCTTGCTTTTTCATGGTTACAAATATTTTCTCCTAGTGCTCTCAGACCTTGTGAGTTTCAGTCTAAAGTCCGGATTTAACTCGCAGGGTTGTCTTAGTCTGAGTGATTTTGTACTGAACCCACCAATGGGTGGCGACAAGGCTAACGAATGCGATGAAGCCATGACAATGTGATATCTTCACGACGCGACACGAACCGCTCTTACGATGTAAATTCCTTTGCTCAATCCATTATTGGCTCGGTTCTAGCCGATCCAGCACCGTTACCGCGCTTGACGACGGAAAGTGTCTCTGCGGAGCGGATCAGATCATGTTTATATTACGAACTATCCACATCTCTAAACATACTCAGTACACATGGGACGATGAAATGGACATGTAAGTTCGAGCTACTACGCACCACCTGCCCGTTTCAGTCATATCTCCTCGATGAAAAACCCGTGATGGCAGGGTTTGACCTCGCGTAATCTTAGTTCAGGGACCTTGGGGGAAACTCGTGGCGCTAACACCCAATCACTACGACGGGATTTGGCCCACCAGCAAGACTTGCGTGAAAGGCTTGCATCGTCCCAAGATTCGACAAGCAATTGGCCGAGCCTTGGTTTTCAAAAGAAACGTCCGTAGGGCTGGTGGTTGTTCCCGTCTGGGCATTTGATATCTCAAGGGGCATGGAAGCCCTAAGTTCTCAGCACAACAACAACAACAACAACAACAACAACAACGCGGATTAGAAACATTTACATTAATTAGATATTATAATAACATACAAAGGTCCAAGGCAACTAGAATAAGCGAGTAATGCAACCTGGAACGGACAATACAAGGTAACCACCAGACTAATATAACTGGGGCCGAGACGTCCCAAAGGTCCTCACTTCAACGGAGGACCCGAAGAGGCCTAAAATTTTTTCTCCAATATAAAACAGTCAGGCATTTCCTGCCATACCTGTAGACAAGATCGCCGTGTGAATTTCCCTCTTCTTCGATCTTATTATATCGGCCTCTTTCTTTGAACGTTAGGGCACGATTTACCAACATAACCGCCCAAAATGTCCTTCGATCCTCACAATGTCGACCTGGACACAGCCGACCCGACTGACATCGTGTGTTACCTTAATTCCGAAGGCAATGAATACAATGGCCAGCTAGGCGCGCGAATCTCCGCCATCTTCGTCATCATGTTCATCTCTTCGGCAGCAACCTTCTTCCCCGTGGTCGCACAACGTGTACCACGCCTGCGCATCCCAGTCTACGTCTATCTCTTCGCAAGGTACTTCGGTGCTGGTGTAATTGTCGCAACAGCCTTCATCCATCTCCTCGATCCCGCCTACGACGAAATCGGTCCCGCCTCCTGCGTCGGTATGACCGGCCACTGGGCCGACTACTCATGGTGCCCTGCAATCGTATTGACATCCATGATGATGGTCTTCCTCATGGACTTCGGTGCCGAGCGCTACGTCGAGATCAAGTACGGTATCTGCCGTGAAGACCCCGAGCCCATTATGTCGACTGGAGGCGAGGTGCGCCGTGTGGACTCGCGTGTTTCGGGACGCCACGCAGACGACAAGCAAGCCAAAGAGATTGAGTCGCAGTCCGAGGAGGTGGCTATCGAGCGCTCTGTCAGACAGCAAATTGCCGCGCTGCTGATTCTGGAGTTCGGTGTTATCTTCCACTCCGTCATTATCGGCCTGAACCTCGGTGTTGCCGGTGACGAGTTTGCTACACTTTACCCTGTTCTGGTCTTCCACCAGTCCTTCGAGGGTCTCGGTATTGGAGCCCGCATGTCCAGTATCCCATTCAAGAAGGGGAGCTGGCTGCCTTGGTTCTTGTGTACCGCCTATGGTCTCACGACGCCCATTTCCATCGCTATTGGTCTTGGTGTCCGCACTACTTACAACCCTGGTTCTTACACTGCCAATGTTGTCTCCGGTGTGCTGGATGCCATCTCCGCTGGAATCTTGGTGTACACTGGTCTCGTTGAGCTGCTTGCTCGCGACTTCTTGTTCGACCCTCACCGCACTCAGGACAACAAGCGGTTGGCTTTCATGGTCATATCTATGCTCCTTGGTGCTGGTATCATGGCTCTGCTTGGAAAGTGGGCTTAAACTGGAATGGGGTTAGATCTAAAGACGGTGTGTGTCTTTGGTGACAAAGGTGTGAATTGTAAGATTGTGAACTGTGAACTGTGATATTGGATATAGATTGGTTTTAATTGGTATAACTTAGTTTCGAGATAAATGATACCCAAGGTGGGCTGGTTTTATGATGAGTTTGAGTTTTCCTTTTCTTCTTTCATAAGTAGGATAATAATTGTCCTCATACTGCTGAAGGGCCAAATTCCAGACTCGCAAACAAGGGGCCTCTACCCATATAAATGTACCTTTTGCTAGGCAGACCGTACAAAAGGTACATGTAAGTTCTAGTTTCTAGTTCCACAATATTATTCAAAGCCTTCGTATAACCTACAAGAATAACAACCTTCTCTATTTAAACACTACATTCGGGTTTCGAGATAGGTTTTACGGTGCCCTCTTAGACACACCCCTACCCGAGCGTGACAATCGACCATGATATACCCCTTTGACACCATATTAGCATCATTGATCAAAGAAAGTCTTCTTTGGCCGTCTTCGTCTATAAGGCATTTGCTTCCTTATATCGTCTAGGCAATGAAGAAGAAGCAACCTCGGTCTTCACCCTCTGCTATCCAGATGCAATTGAACATTGTAGGATATGGCAGAAGATCCCCAAGCAATTTGCGTCGAAGAAGCGTTTCTGCACGTGGGTTTCTTGGGAATGCTAGGGGTTTATTCGCGGAATCCGCATTCCAGACATAGGCCTGTCTTAGGTCAAGAATGTCAATAAAGTCTTTTAGAACTTCCTGTAATTCTGCCATTTCGTGGGACAGAACAATGATCAAGTCGAAGTTTCTAGGATTTGAAGGTTCTTGTAATGTGGTTGTTGACGGGCAGGGTTCGTAAATATTATTCGTAATATACGTATTTTACCTGTAGAATTCATTACCGTAACCACAACTTCAAGTTGCCAGACGTCGCCATTCACTATCTTCTGCTATCACCCAGAGTTGACGTCTATCTAGACCTTGGCATTGGTAAGCTCAAGCAGACGATGGGATTTTTTGGTTTGCATATTTGCAGATTATTCTTATCATTCTATGAGAAAAGCAATCACTTCAAAAAATGACTCGGAGAAAGAGTCAGAGAAAAACTTCGAGAAAGACGTTGAAATGACTACCAACTACTAAAAATGATGCTTATGTAGGTTGACAACCTCGTAGCACTTGCTGAATCTTCTGGAATATCTCATGCATCTTGTCTTGTATGCTTCTTCAACCAGTCAAGCACAGTGCGGTACCACAAGAGTAAATTCTCGGGGCTCCGGATCTGATGACCCTCATCCGGAAATATGAGAAGAGCACTCTCAACTGACTGCAAATTCAGAGTGTTGAATGCAGCCAGGGCTTCAGAGGATGCTGACGATTTAGTGCTCCGTGGATGATCAATTGTGGCGTCTTCCAGTTCCCGGCATGTTGTGCAGGTCCCATTTTCTCCACTCCTCTGGTTTCACCCAAGGCGGTCCATATATCAAATCTTGTGTGCTGCTGGCTAGGTGAGAGAGCATGTTGAAGGTGATATTATCTGCGATCAATGCTGTGCCCATTTTCCATGACCTCCAGCCAGATGAGCTTTCTCGCTGCGGCTGAGCCATCTCGGATAATTGGCATGAGGGTTGTCGGTGATAGCCCAGGATCTTGGTGTATCCATCTCCCGCACGCGAATCTGTGCGAACGCGCTGTGCGATTTGAACGAATAACCCCGCTGTGTGTAGACCGCGAGCTTCCCGGATGCATCTGGGATAGGGTGACTGCATATCGGCGCTTCCAGTAGGGCCCTTCATGCGATTTTAATCAGTCAGAGACACAGGGTAGTAGAGAGACGAAACAAACTCGGGGGTAGACCTGACACTCTGTATAGCCATAATGATATTCAATCCGATTTCCGTGATAGACAAAGGTCTTGATCCTATCAGGAACGGTGGCGCGTCCTTTCACAAGTGATGCGTATCTTCGGGCACTTGTAAAGCCCCAAGAGTCTAGATAGAACAACGAAGTATCGGCTATGGGTCAGGTGTACGAGATACAATCGATAGAGATAATGAAGACACGTTTACTGGGAGTTGCGCTGGCGGTGTCGGCTCCTAATATGCCGGGGTCCAGGGTTCTTAGCGCTACGCCTCCATCCTAGAAAGCCATGTTGCTTGTAGTTTGTTGTCACATTGTCACATTTTCATCAAGCTTGAATACCCCGAGGCATCAATAATTATCATAATCATAATCGGAACCGTTCCCGACTAGAGGGACTAAAGAGTGTAGGATAGGCCTAACCAAGGCTCCGACCATGCGTATTTTAACTGTATGCTTCACTATATTCTGCGATTACCAGGGATACCGTCCGTGATATTTACTTCCGAGGCATTTCAAAGGATTAAATTAACATTTGTGGCGCTGTCAAGGTCAAATGCATATGATTTCTTTTTCACTCAAGGGAGAGAAGGCGCATATCAATGCATTTAGTTCAAATATGAAGATGCCCCTACGCATATAGCTACTTAGGGAAAATGAAATCTGTGAATCATCTTCATAAGACTAATCCTACCTGTGTTATGGCCAGATTAAATGAGTTCCATTGTTCTGTCTCTACGGAATAGGGCTGTATACATCCAGCCAGCTCTTATCGATAACAGGAGCTCGGATGTCCCCACCACTCCGCGTCCAACTCTCTTGACAACCTCTTTCACTCACTCGACCAGCATGGCTTCCCAAAAGATGACCAACGCCCTAGCGGGCATCGAAACAAACCCGCACCAGCCAACAAAGCTACAGCAATACACCGAGCTCCTCAATGAGATGGTAGCAACCTCCAGCGGCCACGAACTCGCCCAAGATCTAGTCTACTACCTAGACTCAATCCTCAGCGAAGAAGTGAGCATCGTCGCTGCCCGCCCCCTCCTCGACGCCTTCATCACAGTCCTCCAATCCCTCGACCCGGAAACAAAAATAAAAGTCGGCCAGCACGCCATCACCCTCCTCCACACGCGCTCGGCCTCCGTCGAAGAACAAGACTCGCAGATCCGCGAGATCCTCGCAGACGCCTACGAATCCCAGGAAGACTACACAGCCGCCGCCCGCACCCTACAGGGCATTCACATCGACAGCTCGCAGCGCCTAGTCTCAGATGCCGCGAAAGCCCGCCTCTGGATCCGCATCGTGCGCTACTACCTCGAAGACGACGACACCACCAACGCCGAAGCCTTCCTCAACCGCATCAAGAACCTCCCCTCCAAAATAGAGGACCACGATGCAAAGCTCTACTTCCAGCTCTCCCAGGCCCGCATCCTCGATGCCCGCCGCCGCTTCCTTGACGCCGCCCAGGAATATTTCAACGTGAGTCTTGCGCCGGGCGTCGACGAAGAAGACCGCCTGACGGCCCTATCCGCGGCGATCCGCTGTGCTGTCCTTGCGCCTGCCGGTCCGCAGCGCTCCCGCTCCCTCGCTCGTCTGTACAAAGATGACCGCACGCCCTCCGTTGAGGAATTCGGCATCTTGGAGAAGATGTTCCTGGACAGGCTGCTTACAGCGGACGAAGTCGCCGCGTTCGCGAAGAAACTTGCGCCGCACCAGCTCGCTGTTACGGCGGACGGCACGACCGTTCTCGACAAGGCGGTTATCGAGCACAATCTCGTGGCGGCGAGCAAGCTGTATGAGAATATCCACGTTGATGACCTGGGCTCGATCCTGGGGTTGCAGTCTTCGGGTGATGTCTCTGCTGGCGAGAAGGCGGAGGCTTATGCCGCGCGCATGGTTGAGCAGGGACGGCTACGTGGCCGGATTGATCAGATTGATGGGGTTATCTCGTTTGATGCTGACACTCTCGGTGGCTCCTCGGCGGGTGCTTCTAACGGGACGAAGCTGAGGCAGTGGGATCTCGGTGTGCAGGATCTTGCGGAGGATGTGGAACGTGTTGCGACTAGTATCTCTGATCAGTTCCCGGTATGTCTTTCCTTCTGTCTGAGGTTGGTCTTCTTGCTAATATTTGATTCTAGGAATTCGCCACGAGCCAGATGGTGCACTGAATGATCTGCTCTATCTCGTCTGTGTATCCTGATGAAAGACCTACGAACTCATGCCTTCTACTACTCTTGCATATCCTTTTAGCCTGTCCGAGAAATGGAAATCACGCTCGATTGCTGATATACGTTGCATCTGTCTCTCGAGTACTATACTTAATTAAAATACCGTCGTTGCAAAGCGAAAGCTGCGGCTTCATACACCTTTCTATCAACGTACTTCTGAATGTTTTCGACTAAATCCATGAATAAATAACAATTTTGGTATAAATATCACAACAAGAAAGGTATAGTATGAATTATTAGGCAAAATCGAAGAAATTCATTGTGTACATAGGTAAATCGTATATGTATGAACATAAAGTGGAGGAAAGGTGACATACTGATATGCCCGCTCTGCATCCTCTTCAGCCCCTTCTGTTTAGTCCTATTACGATATCCGGTAGGCCATTTCCGACCTAGCTATAGCCGAAGCAGATTCGGCTTTCCTCCAAGAAAATAAACCCATTCGCTCCAATATCCCGTCTCAAAACAGAAGATAAAAATATCATCACATCGTAACGGCGTAAATCAACAGCACACCACCTCAGTGGTTCAGCCTCGTAGTAGAATCATTCCCCGGGATGATAGAAATATCCGTCTGAACATTAATCGTCTGCGGATGGATATCATCACCAAGGTAACCAGGCGGCTTGCTCTCGATCTGCGCATTATACATCTTAGCATACTCGAGATCGGGCGAGCGCGGACCAGAATTCGACAAGAACAAAGAATTCGTGTAATCGGTATTGATATACGCCGGACCCGTTCCATTACGCGAGGTGGTCAGCTTAAACGCCGGGAACAGACCGCGGATAATCGGCAAGTTGGAGCAGATCAGACCAACGGCAGGCTCGATGTGCGTCCACAGCGTCGCCTGGTAGACGGTGAAGGTTGGGTCGGACGGGCTGATCCAGAAGAGCACGACGATGCGGTAGATGCTGGCGAAGCAGACGAAGGTGCCGAGGGCGAATACCCCGTTTAGGGCGAGCTTGTCTTGCCATGCGCGGTGCAGGTTCCAGATCATTGGGATGGGCAGGACGAGGATCACGAAGTCCATGACTACGTTGAAGGCTTGGTTGACGACGATGAATTCTTTCGCGTTGAAACATGTTCCTTTCGTGCTGTGGTCCCAGTAGGAGCGTAAGGGTCGACATTGTCCGGCGCACGCGAGGAAGATTCCTGTGCCCCATGCGGCGATTAGGCAGTTTATGCCGAAGCTGACTTTTTGGAACTTTGGGGTTGCGAAGATGCGGCGGTAGAAGCAGATGATGGAGATTTTGATAGAAGGGCTGAGTAGGAAGTACGTGAATTGGTTGGCGAGGAAGATCTAGCGGTGTTAGGTTGGGTTGTTGATATTGGATATTGCGGGGTATGTACCTTCCAGTAGTTCACGAGGGTATCGGGGGAGAGATCCGCGATATGGACTCCATTGCCTCCGATTGTACACCCTGGTAGCCGTTAGTACGGATGAATTCCAGTCGGTGGAGTCATACTTACAAAGAATCAGCTCGATCAACATGCCAATGAGGAGCACCATGGACAGCATGCTCAGATAATCATCGACGCCGAACCCGACTCTCCTGCGAATGCGAGCAAAGACACGCAGCACCAGCGAGATCAGGCACAGAGCGACCAAGACCGAAACGATCTCAATCATCTGCCAACCCCTCTTGCTTGGCGCCATTGTACTTTCAATATGCAACCCAATATTGAATGAGTGAGCTGCAACCGAACAAGAAGGTATGGTATGTATGAATAAGAAAGGAATGAATGGGAAACACAATCTCTGGGCGTTCCTCCGATATAAAACATGTACCACGCGAGTGTCCAGATCAGTCCGGGGCCCTGGAACCCTAGGCTAGCTCGAGATTCCACATTCCCATTGTTTATCCACTCACACGCAACCCCTAGTGGCCGATCGTTGTCCTAATGGGGATCTGGTTCGTGCGGAATATACGCGACTGAACCACGTGGATGATGCAATGAGATCCATCACAAGTTTCAGAAGAGTAGACCCTATTCTGATTTTTGGGTCTTTAGCGATGTATCGTGGAGACCGCACAACGGCATACAAAGCATAGCTTCTTTCAAGGAATGACAAATGCTTTCTCTGTAGAGTAGGTCAGTGGATCCAAGTAGGGGCTGTTAGCCGCTATATTAGGAAGGGATATCCCTGCGATCGCCATCTGATACCAGCTGAGACTGAATCATGCGAACTTGAGCCGATTGCAACCTTGCAAGGATCAACTATTGGACTATTGCCATTAGACTATGTATCCATATTCGCACTTGGATCCTACTCCATATATCCTCATGGATCTGTATGTGCACACTCCGTCTCCGTACTGCATACATATTCATGTATAACCTCCACAGCCTAGAAAAGCCATCCGGACGCCACTATGGTCTCACCCACAATTCACTTCTCTCCCAAGTCTCGGTTAAACTGGCAATGTAGATCCCGAGTCAATAGCGTTGAAAATCCGCGCTATTAAACAGCCGAGGCGAAGTTTAACTTGACACGCTACTGCGAACGCATCCGAATAAAGAAGGTGGCGGGGTAAATGCACATCCTATGAAGACAGGCCACACCGGAGTGGGTTCTTCAGATAGCTGGTTAGGGCGCTCTTCCAAGCCCAATTGCGCGCAGTGGACCTGAATCCCACAATCTTCAGTTACCTCATATCTTGTCGATCACTGGATACCCCTGAATGTGCCGATTTGTGTACAGTATAGGCGAAATCTGTATAAAAAAATCAGCATTAGACGGTGGAAAGCGATCAAATAATGGTCGCATATCGCGGAATAGGTCCATTAGGCAACGCGGTGCCTGAAGATCGTCCGCGATCAGCTCCGAATCCAATTGTTGCGGAATGAGATAGAATACAATGCATGTAAAGGAGTAAAAATATTCATGCCGAGGTTAATACTGCCTCTATTATCTCCTACAACACCTGCATACCTCCTATACTCATACTACTCCTATCTCTACCCTACCTCTACCCCGTACCCCACCATGCCAAACTCAACCAACCCCGGATTCACCGTCCCCCTCCTCATAAACGGCCATGAAGAAACAACCCCCAATACCTTCCCAGTAACAAGCCCCTACACCAACACGACCATCTGGACCGCCTCGGCCGCAACACCCCAAGATGCAATCCGCGCCGTCGAAGCCGCCTCCGCCGCCTTCCCCTCATGGTCGCAGACCAAACCAACCGTGAGACGCGACATCCTCCTCAAAGCCGCCGATCTCCTCGAAGCCCGCCTCGACACGAACGCCGAGTACATGCGGCAAGAAATGGGCGCGGACGTCGGCGCCTCCGCGGGATTCGTCGTCCCGCTCGCCGTGCGCATGCTCCGCGAAGTCGCGAGCCGCATCACGTCGATATGTGGCAGTGTGCCGGTCGTCGAGACGGAGGGTCAGAGTGCGATTGTTTTTAAGGAGGCGATGGGTGTTATTCTGGGGATTGTGCCGTGGTGGGTACTGGTTCCCGAGAACTTTATTTCCTATATCGACCTCGGGTGTGGAAAATGCTATTGATAGCAGGCTGATTATATTATTGGTTCTACAGGAACGCGCCCTATGTGTTTGGCATTCGCTCTGCGGCTTGTGCCCTCGCAGCTGGCAATACGACAGTCCTTAAGTCTTCTGAGCTAACTCCCCGCTGCTACTGGGCTATCGGCCGTGCCTTTGAGGATGCTGGCCTTCCCGCTGGCTGTTTGAATATCATTCACTGCGCCCCGCAGGATGCCCCCGAGGTCGTCAATGCCATGATCGAGCACGAGGCCGTGCGCAAGATAAATTTCACTGGTAGCACAGCTGTTGGTCGGAAGATTGCGCGCGCCTGCGGTCAGAATCTCAAGCCTTGTCTTATGGAACTGGGCGGGAAGAATAGCTCGATTGTTTGTCGGGATGCTGATTTGCAGACTGCGGTGCAGGGAGTGTTGGCGGGTGCATTCTTGAATGTGAGTATATGTCGCACGTCGCATATCTATATCTGTCTCTAACCTATCTCCTTCCGTGTTAGTCCGGCCAGATCTGCATGGCAACCGATCGAATCCTCGTCCACACTTCCATCCTCCCAGCCTTCACAGAAGCCCTGCAAAAGGCCCTCGCAGCCGGCGCAGCAGCCTCAGCCCTCCCCCCGACGCTCGTCAACACAGCCTCCAAGACCCGCGTCGAAGCCCTCATCGCCAGCGCCGTCTCGGCAGGCGCACACTTCATCTCCGGGTCTGCGGACAGCGTCCCCACCGACTCGGGAGTGCGGATGGCGCCCGCTGTCCTAGGCGGCGTGACGGAAGACATGGCGCTGTGGCAGGAGGAGTCGTTCGCGTCCGTTGCGGCGTGTATGCCCTTCGACAGCGAGGACGAGGCGATCCGTCTCGCGAATGGAAGTGGGTATGGACTCTCGGCGTCTGTGTTCACGGAGGATCTGCGGAGGGGCTTGGCGATGGCTAGACGCATTCAATCTGGGTATGTTGGTATTGCAGATCTAGATTCGGATTTTGGTGGATCTGTGCTGACTTTTGCAGGGCGGTCCATATTAATAGCATGACGATCCATGATGAGCCGGCTCTTCCCCATGGCGGTGTGAAGAATAGTGGCTGGGGCCGGTTCAATACTGATGAGGGATTGAATGAGTTCTTGGTTACGAAGAGTGTTACCTGGATGGATTAGGCTTTTTTTTGGATCTGCCATAAGCGTTTTGATTCATTAGAATATGTACGGAGTACACCATATCCATCGGCGTGTCCATTATATCCCAACAGCCCACTCGTCTCGTACAGATCCCGTTTGATGGTTTCTCGGTGGGTATTGACCCGAGCGACCGTAGCGAATATTCACAATAGGCAAATGTAATGTTGAGCTCAACGAGAATAAGATCTGGTGGAGTGTAAACCGATGAAGCTCCTCTCCAAATCTATATACAGCAGACCAAGAAGGTCGGCATTTGAAGCGAAAAACACCAATCGACGCACGGGGATCCATGAGGTCATCGGCCCCACCGAGGCATTTCCCATCCCCGGATTAGGTCAGCCCCACACCGAGATTCCACCAATCAGCAGCCACGTGTTCCTCAGCCGGCAACTGCTTTTGCCTCTTTCTGGCCATTTCCAAGGCCCCTGGGCTGGCGATTTGATATCGCAGACATCGACGGGGATATAAAGTCCGTATTATACACCTCTGTACACGATATATATGGGTGTAGCTGGATTACATGTCTGCCCACTTGCAAGGATTCAACTTAAGTGGTACTTTCTCCTCATCATGCCATCCACCCGTGGACAATTCGGATACTTCGGCCGCGATTGTTATTCCGAGGTTGGCACCTGGTACTGTAAAGACCGAGGAAGCCGGAATTCGATGTCTATTTATTGTATTTGTTTCTAACCCACCGGTCTAGTTGCAATAGTCTAATTCCGTCGACTATGGACCTATCCAATTCCTCCTTTTCAGCCCTTGAAAGGACTGGAATGTGACACCAAGACGCATGTGAAAATGAAATGAAAATGACATTCTAGACTTCAACCTAATAGCCTTGGAAACACATCCATCCCTATATCGCATGTGATCCCGTCTTCCCCAGATAATACGAACAAACCAGCGGTGGCCAATTAGTCGTCCGGCGGGTACCCCATCTTTTGTCTCCCCACGTCCTCCCATGTCCTGCCTCGGCCGATAGACCGTCGGCTTCTGACCTCCCCCGGTCCTTTTCTTTAAGATCCTTTCCCTCCTTCCTCTTTCTTTTCCTCCCCATATTTCCCTTTATCCTAACTATACATAAATAATGGCTGCACCTCAAGTAATTGTGGTCGGTGGTGGCCGTAAGCTTCCTTTCCCCGCATTCTCTGCCCTAGCTGACCCTCCCAGTCTCTGGCCTCAGTGCCGCACACACCGTCTACCTCAACGGTGGCAACGTCCTGGTTCTGGACAAGCAGGCGTTCTTCGGTGGTAACTCTACCAAGGCCACCTCCGGTATCAACGGTGCTCTCACCCGCACCCAGGTCGATCTCGGCATCCAGGACAGCGTCAAGCAGTTCTACGATGACACCCTCAAGTCGGCCCGTGACAAGGCCCGTCCCGACCTGATCAAGGTCCTGACCTACAAGTCCGCCGCCGCCGTCGAGTGGCTGCAGGATGTCTTCAACCTCGACCTCACCCTCGTCTCCCGTCTCGGAGGACACACTTTCCCCCGCACACACCGCGGTCATGACGCCAAGTTCCCCGGTATGGCCATTACCTACGCCCTGATGCAGCGATTGGAAGATCTCGCCGAGAAGGAGCCCAGTCGTGTCCAGATCATCAAGAAGGCCGACGTCACCTCCGTCAACAAGTCTGGTAACAATGTCACCGGCGTTACCTACACTGTTGACGGCGAGAAGAAGGTCGCCGACGGTGTCGTCATTCTCGCTACCGGTGGTTACGCCGCTGACTTCAGTGAGACTTCTCTCCTCAAGAAGTACCGCCCCGACACCTACGGGCTGTCCTCTACCAACGGTACTCACGCTACTGGTGACGGCCAGAAGATGCTGATGGCCATTGGCGCCAACGGCATCGACATGGACAAGGTCCAGGTCCACCCAACCGGTCTCGTCGACCCCAAGGACCCCGGCGCCAAGTTCAAGTTCCTGGCTGCCGAAGCCCTCCGGGGTGAAGGTGGTCTCCTCCTCAACTGCGACGGCCAGCGGTTCTCCGACGAGCTCGGTCACCGTGACTACGTCTCCGGCAAAATGTGGGAAGAAAAGGAAAAGGGCAAGTGGCCCATCCGCCTCGTCCTCAACAGCAAAGCCTCCAAGGTCCTGGATTTCCACACCCGTCACTACACCGGCCGCGGCCTGATGAAGAAGATGACCGGCGCCGAGCTCGTTGCCGAAATCGGCTGCGGCGAAGCAGCCCTCAAGAAGACCTTCGACGAGTACAACCTCATCGCCGAAGGCAAGAAGAAGGACCCCTGGAACAAGCGCTTCTTCGCCAACATGCCCTTCAAGCTCGACGACGAGTTCCACGTCTCTGTCATGGAGCCTGTTCTGCACTTCACCATGGGCGGCATCGAGATCAACGAGCACGCCCAGGTCCTCAACAGCGAGGAAAAGCCCTTCGAGGGCCTCTACGCCTGCGGTGAACTCGCCGGCGGCGTCCACGGCGCCAACCGTCTCGGCGGTTCCTCCCTCCTCGGCTGTGTCGTCTACGGCCGTGTCGCAGGCGACTCCGCCACCCAGCACCTCCTCCAGAAGCTCCTCAGCAACGGCGGCGGCGCCGCCTCCCAGCGTCTCGGCCAGCTCTCTCTCCACATCGACCCCAACACCCCAGGCAAGATCTCTGTCGAGTGGGGCAGTGGCGCCACCGGCGGCAGCCTGCCCGCTCTCCCTGTCCCCGCTGCTGCACCTGCCGCCAGCGCCGAGGCCCCAGCCCCCAAGCCCGACCCCGCGACCTTCAAGGTTCCCGAGACGGAGTACAGCATGGATGAAGTCGCCGAGCACAACACCAAGAAGGACTTCTGGGTCGTGGTCAAGGGCGTCATCCTCGATCTCACCAACTGGGTCGACGAGCACCCCGGCGGCGCAAACGCCCTGTACAACTTCATGGGTCGCGATGCTACCGAGGAGTTCGCCATGCTGCACGACGACGAGGTCATCCCCAAGTACGCCGCTCAGACTGTGATCGGTCGTGTCAAGGGCCAGACCCCCAGCTTGGAGTTGTAGGTTTACATTAAACCCTGCTTCTCCTTTATGTCTCTTCTCCTTGATGACCGCTCTCCGATGAAATATGATCCTCCAGCGTGTGATCTCTCATACCCCCGTTTCTTCTCTTTCTGTTGTTTCTTGTGCTGGCTTGACACGCTTGCTTTTGCAGTCCTCGGGATTCAAGATTTTACTTGGGTCAACTTTGGTTCTTGTGTAACATACATACATAGCTTATTTGGAATATATTCTTGGAATATATATGTTTGGGAGTGATGTAGTTGTACTGTAGTGGTAGCTGTGGTGAGTCCCTCTGTTCAGGGCTTAGGTCTGCTCCAAAAACTATGTTTTACCCATCATCTTTGTACAGCCAAATACATACTCACTCCCTCTCTAATATTTACATTTAAATGTACACGGTATATCGAAAAAAACCAAAGATCCCTACTACAAAAGCACTAGAATATACACCCAACCCTCCACTCCATATCCCAAACACATACAATCACCCCTTCATATGCATCAAAATCATCCTCAACCTCCTCACAGCAGGCCCATCCTCCGCAGGCCCCAATCCCTCCCCCTTCTCCTCAATCTCAGCCCTCGCATCCTCAAGCACAGGCTGCAAAAACCCCCAAACCTCATCATGATACCTATCCTGAACGCCAATCCAATCCCCCGCACCAGGAAGATTCGTCAGAACCGCATCACGAAGGGAAGTCGAAGCCGACGTCGAAACATTCCCTCCAAGTCCCTGGCTCAAAAAAACATCAATATCAGGCACGAGACTCGCACCCGTTAACCGTCCCACCCGCCCCTTATCGTCCCCATCCAGCCCCATCCCCTTCCGGAACGAATCCAGCGCCTCCCGCTCAGCCGCAGACAGCGGACCCGGCGCAGCAGCAATATCAACCTCTGTATCTGGCACCGTCGCGGGGTCCTCGAAATTCGGATCGAAGGTTACGTCCGAGAGCAGCGAGATGACCGCTGACCCGTCTTCCGGCGATGTCAGCGATGTATATGTATCCTGGCTGTGTGGCTCGTGCGATTGGCGCTGCCAGACGGATTCGAGCTGGTGCTGGGTTGGGTCGTGGGCGCGGGCTTTTCCTTTTGTTTGGAGGTCTTCGTGGGTAGTGTCGGTTGTGTTTGTATATGTGGTTGTGGTTGGAGTCATGGTTGTGCCTAGAAGGCCTGTTTCTCGCTTGTATGCGTATGTGTTCTGGAACTCGTCTTCTGTCAATGCCGGTAGACCGAATCCACCCGTCGAGGTATATGTATCCGGTTCGCGGAAGGATTGTGCTGCAGAGCCGGAACTGGAACTGGGGCCTCCATGCTGTGGTGTGGTTGTGGATAGATCCCTGCTTGTCTGTGTGCTTGGGAGAGAGGGCGGTCCGGCTTGTTTGCTGCTTGTGCTCGATGCTAGGGTCTGCGCTAGGTCGGGGCTTGGCTGGAAGGCGCTTTTTGCTAGGCCTGTTGCGGAGGTTTGGATGCGGGTTGCTAGCGAGGGGGGCGCGGGGGAGGGAGGGGGTTGGGATGTGTTTGAGGTTGAGGTTGAGGGTGATGGGGCTGGGGCTGAGGCTGGGGTATTGGAGTTTTGGGGTTTGGAGTTGGGATTGCCCCGCATGTTCTCTGGGTTGCTCATGGCTTTGGTGTTTGGTTTTGGGATTAGGGATTATGGGTTGGAGGTGTAGGATTAAGTGAGGTTGAAATTTGGGATGATTCCAAGGTTGTCGGCGTGTTCGGCTTAATATGCTTTGGGCCGGATATTGGAGGGAAGCATGTGATGGTGGGTGGGATTAGAATGTAGGATCCTATAGGCTGTAATAGGGAGATGGGATGTTATACAAGAGTTAATATCAGTTAATAAGGTAAATAGAGTCTTTTCAGTTATAGGATCTTAATTAGGGCTTAGGTAGAGTAGAAACGACAGGGCTCGGTAGTCAAATATATACTTCCAGAAGAACCGAGTATACCCAGCTGAGTTCTCAAATGGATACCCCGGACCTGAATAAATAGTTTCAATTCGATGGAGTATCGCATCTCTTCACAACATAGATAGCATATGATATATGCCAATGCTTAATTTAGCGGAGACTGCTTGGGCCTCAAGGATGACGACAGAGGCGCATAGTACAGCTTCGGGCATATAGACGATGAAATAAAGAATTGACTGCTGTAGACTCGCTCGATCCAAGCAATTAGCTAGATTATATCTCACGATTTCAATTGATATTCCACCTCTACCCCCAGGCGTAGTCGTATACGGGTTGCAAGGCCGGGGAGGGGCGCAACGGGCCATGTTGCAGTCGCCAACAGTGTTGATGTCAGCATGTTGCAGCCCGACCTGAATTCTGGTGAAGATAGAATATTCAATCTTCTAATCAAGTTTATATTTTTTCATCTTTGGCGAAACCACAATCTGTTGATATTGACGGGCCAAGAACCGTCAGCTGGTATCTCGTAACGAACTCTCTCCCCACCACCGCCTCGACTCAGGCAACTTCACCTGACAACTTCTTTTGTCTTTCCTTCATCGCTCCAGATCAGGTACGCAACCCCCATCCCCACAACCGATGGAGCGTTTGATATATCTTTTACGGAGTTCCGTTCTAACTCAAGACCGCTCAATAGAAACTTTTCTCTTATCCCTTCTCAAGCGCTGCGGGTCCACTCATAACACATTCATTGTGTTCTATCATCCAGCGACGTTGCCCATTTCATTCGGCAACAGCTCTTCTTCAGCTCGTCTTTCCAACTTGGATCGTTGCTGTTCCCCCCCTCTGCCCCTCTTTTCGCCTTACCGCTATCCGCCCTCCAAACCCCTCGCACACCATCTCCGGTGACCGACTGTTCTCTCCATCTCCGTATCCAATCGTTCTTCCCACCCGACCGGATTCTTTCGTGTCGGCTATCGCGTCTACATCGCTTCAATCCGAGGGTTTCTTTGCATCGACAATAGAGCTTTCAGAGGCACTTGCCAACCCGCATTTCCCGTCCCTCCTATCTTGGTCCTTGCCCTTGTCGCGTTCAAGGGCTAGCTAGAACGTGAAAATGGTAGACAGAGATCCAGGCACACCTACCTGGAAGTTCACACAGTAAGTTTGCCCGGCTCACTCCTATCAAAGGTTCTGGTCCTATGGTTTCCATTTTTCTTCCCTTTGTCCAGCGCCATCGACCAATCACAGTCATTGAATGATAGCTAACTTGATATTAGATGCTTCGGCGATAAAGGTGATGTAGAAGATATTACAGAAGGTATTTGGCCTCCCTCGCACTTCTCGGCCGAACCTGGTCATTTTCTACAGAATGCATCGACTGACTCGCGCTATGCAGCCGACATCATCTCAACCGTCGAATTTGACCATACCGGTAACTATCTGGCCACTGGTGACAAGGGAGGAAGGGTGGTGTTGTTTGAGCGAAATGAGACGGTAGCCACCCCTCCGTCATCAAGGTTTTCTAGTCTTGCGGCTAACCACTAAACAATACAGAAAAAAACCTGCGAGTATAAGTTCCACACAGAGTTCCAGTCACACGAGCCAGAGTTCGATTATCTCAAGTCGCTAGAGATCGAAGAGAAGATCAACAAGATAAAATGGTGCCGACGACAGAATGCATCCCATTTCCTCCTTTCGACGAACGACAAGACGATAAAGCTTTGGAAGGTCTTCGACAAGTCGCTGAAAGTGGTCGCCGAGAACAACTTATCGAGTGAACTCACCCCCGCGAATCCTGTCGGTGGTGGGGGTATGGCTCGCGCACCCCGCATATCCTTCAAGGACCCCTCTGCGCTCAAGCTGCCTCGTCTGACACACCATGACACGGTTGTCGCTGCCGTTCCGCGGAGAACATACGCCAACGCTCACGCGTATCATATAAATAGCATCTCCGTTAACAGCGATGGTGAAACCTTTATCAGCAGTGACGACCTGCGGGTGAACCTATGGAATCTCAACATCCAAGATCAGAGCTTCAACATCGTGGATATCAAGCCAGCTAATATGGAGGAACTCACAGAGGTCATCACTGCGGCCGAGTTCCACCCGGTTAGCTGTAACTGGTTCATGTATGCCAGCTCCAAGGGCACAATCAAGCTTGCGGATATGCGACAAAGGGCGTTGTGTGACGAACACGCCAAGCGTATGTACAGCTGGAATGGCGCCAATGACATTTACTGACTGTTTGCAGAGTTCGAACAAGAAGAGGATGCCTCGTCCCGTTCCTTCTTCTCCGAGATTATCTCCTCCATCTCCGATGTGCGATTCTCCAACGACGGGCGGTACATTGTGTCGAGGGACTACTTGACAGTGAAGATTTGGGATGTCAACATGGAACGCCAGCCAATCAAGACCATCCCCATCCACGAGCACCTGCGCCCTCGCCTCTGTGATACGTACGAGAACGATAGCATCTTTGACAAGTTCGAGGTGGTCTTCTCTGGCGATGCGGAGAACGTTATGACCGGCAGTTACAACAACAACTTCATGATTTACCCTACAGAAGAACAAAAGGATACGGAGATTGTGCTCCAGGCAGACAAGTCGGCATTCAAGGCAAAGAAGGTTGGTGTACCGACGCCGATGAGCAAGGGTAACGGAAAGAAGGCTGGTTCGCGATCCGGCAGCCCTGCCGGCCCCGGTAGTCGCATGAAGAAGGAGACCGATGCCGACCAGATCGACTTCAACAAAAAGATCTTGCACATGAGCTGGCATCCCTTCGAAGACAGCATTGCAATTGCGGCGACAAACAATGTGAGTATTACCTCTATCTAAACCTTACAATGCTAATTGCGATATAGCTCTTTGTCTTCTCCGCTCTTTAATCGGACCAAGTCCGTACCGTCACGAGGCCATTATCATTTTCCATGGACAGGCGCATCTGGGTTTGGATCGGGTGGCTGGAGGGCCTTGGTGAACAGGCAAGATATGAAGAATGAAAACCAGAAAATAATGACAGCAAGCCACAGGTTCCATAATCACAGGACTATCCTCCCTCCCCTTCCCTATCTCTGTTCTTATTGTGGAACTCATCTGTCTGAGTCTTGGAGACCTAGTCTTTCTTACCTACGTCCCCTTTTACTCGTTTCCTGCTATTGCTGTGGGGTTGCCAAAGGCGTTGTATGGTGGCCAACTCATGATAGAGAATGTCATGCCTGTTTGAGGCCATTTCCATAGTTAGTACAGACTATAGATATGGTAGTCAACTAGTGTTGAGATGTTAAGTCTTTCCCTATTTCCAAGTATATGGTTTAGATGTTTTGCTTGGTCGCCTGGATAAAGTACTGAAAGAAGGCCACGCATTGTTAGCCAGCCCTTATCCTCCGCCCCTTTCCGAGGCTTAACAAGCGAGAGGTACCCCAGCCTTCAGAACGAGTCTCATTATGCAGCTTGCTACAATAGAATATACAATGAACAATAACAGTTCTATTCAAGTCATTGATCTATTCATGACTCATGCTATTCACATTTGTTCACCTGCCCACTCAATGTCAGCCATTGTTTTTCTGCCGGCAATGGCGGGCGATGACGAAGGCGGACTGAAATTGACCTATCGCACAATACCACGCGTGACCAATGTACCGCCTCCCATTGACGGGAATCCCGCCAATGGATACAATAGATACAATAGATACCGTAATGAATTGAATTCTGAATACCACTCGGATAATCAAATCTCCGATAAGCACCTACTAAGCCAGAAGAGGCTAGCCCCGGAGAGGAAAGCCTCCACAGGAGCCCGCGATCGGTCGCGCGCAATTCCATCACCCCAGTGTGTGTCTCCTCCTTGTCTATCATACTTCTCTGCCGGTTCTTTCTTGCTGCGTGGAGTCGGTTTCTGTCTTCTAATCTGCAAGACTCCGGGTCATGCTGTGACCCTACTGCAACCTGAGCGTTGCCAGTCGATTCCTACCGACGAGACCACGAGCTCTAGCTGATTAGCAGACCCTGTTACTTTTTCTCCCCTCTCGACCCTTCTTATCCGCCAAACCTACCTTTCTACTTCTCTCACACCGGAGTTCGTGCATACATCATGAATTCTGGAAACGATAACTGGCACTCCTCCGGTGGGCCGCCGTCGCATCCTGGCTTGGATCAGATGAACCAGCAGCCGCGGCCCCTGGGGTCATTCAGGTACGAGCACTTCTATAGGTGGCTTGAGATCAAAGACTAATCCGATATTCTTGCGCTTCAACAGTCAAAATCCCTCTCAGCAAGGCCAAGCCTCGCAGCCCTCGGGCCCAGTACTCCCCCCTCCAGGTGGTGAGTGCCTCTGAACTATGATTTCTACGGAAAACCAATGATAAAAACGTTTTAACTAACAATCATTCGATTACAGGACCCTACCACCCTAGTCAGTCGGGTGGCCATTCTCTTCCTGGACTGGCAGAATTAAGCCAGACCCACGGAAATCCGCACCAACCTTCCGCGTACGGCCAGCACCAAGCAGGTCCGTCGCATAACAGCGGCCATTCACTTCCCGGAATTGGTCAAGCCATGCAACACGCTTCTCCCCAGCTCAATCGCGAGCGGGAGCGGGACTCCAGGGAGCGCGAGATCATGGAGCGTCAGCGCCACGAAGAAATGGCTCATCGTGAGCGCGAGCGCGACCACCGCGAACAAATTGAGCGGCAACTAGATCGCCGCGACCAAAACCACCACCCTGTCCAGAGCCACACTGGCTCGATTCCTCTCCATCAACCCGTGGCCAATAAAGTCCCCAACTCCATTCATGGCCCGGGCGGACTCCTCTCGACTCTTGGCGGAAACCCGCAGAACAGCCACCAGGGCGGACCTCAGTCTGCGGCTGGCTTGTTCGGTCCTCAAATGCAACACGGCGATGGCACACCTCGCTCGTACATGCAACACCCCGGTCCACCAGGACAGCCTATGATAACGTACAACAACGCCGGTCAGCAAATTCCAGGAAATGTTGCAGCTCTTGCCCAGGGCCAGCAACCGATTCTCAACGATGCTCTCAGCTACCTCGACCAGGTCAAGGTGCGGTTTGTTGATCAACCAGATGTTTACAACCGTTTCTTGGATATCATGAAGGATTTCAAGAGCCAGGCTATTGATACGCCTGGTGTGATTCAACGTGTTTCGACACTCTTCAATGGTCATCCTGCTCTTATTCAAGGATTCAATACCTTTTTGCCCCCCGGCTACCGCATTGAGTGCGGTACCGAAGACAACCCTGATGCGATTCGGGTCACAACCCCGTCTGGTACAAACACACTGAGCATGCCACGCGCAGGACGTCCCTTTGAGACGATTACCAATGCACCCCCCTCCGGTGATCCGCATGGTCGGTCCGATTTCTATCGTGACCAAACTCGACCTGGCTGGCAAGGCCAGCAGCAGGATCAGCAGGGCCCCACATCTGGTTCCTACTCTCCTGGCTCGAGGATGATGGGCGGCATGTACCAGCAGGATGGACCGGGCCCCGCTCAGGAGCACCACTATGGCTACCCTACCCAACAGGAGCAGCAAGCTGCTTCCGCCATGACTCATCAGCAAGACCACCGTGGAGTGGCACAGCTGCAAGGCGCTGCCTCCGCAGCGTCTGCTGGACTTGGTAGGTCGTCCCTCATGGGTTCTGGACAGAACTCTCTCACCCAGCCGATGAACAACCTGGCTGGCGTCGGAACTGGTATGCTCCAGGGTGCTCAGGATCTGAACAAGCGTGGTCCCGTGGAGTTCAACCACGCCATCAGCTACGTGAACAAGATCAAGAACCGCTTTTCAAGTGCGCCGGAGATCTACAAGCAGTTCCTCGAGATACTTCAGACTTACCAGCGGGAGTCAAAACCTATCCAGGATGTCTATGGACAGGTTACTCAGTTGTTCAACACTGCTCCGGATCTTTTGGAGGACTTCAAACAGTTCTTGCCGGAATCTGCCGCGCATGCCAAACAAGTAGCTGCGCAGCGCCAAGCCGAAGAACAAGCTCCTCTTAGCAACCTCCGCGGCGAACCTGCAGGTTTCACCTCCCAGACTCCTAACCGTGACGTCAAGATGCCTCCTCTGGGCCAGTTTAATGTAAAGGACCCCAAGGAGAGCAAGAAGCGTCGTGGTGGCCCAGGTGGTGTTGGCTCTATCTCGGGGCCTGCCGGTGCTGAAGCTGCTCGCTTGTCTGAGGCCAACCGAGGTCAGAATTCGCAGTTCGGCAACGCCAGCAAGAGACCAAAGTATCACCATGGAAAGCCCTCTGTCGACATGGCAAATGTCTCTCCCACTTTGATTCCTGCTCTCCCAGAGCCTCTTCCTCCCTCGGTCTCCATGACTCCCAGCCAGGAAGAAATCGCGTTCTTTGACCGCGTGAAGAAGTTCATCGCGAACAAGCAAGTGTTCAGCGACTTCCTCAAGCTTTGCAACCTGTACACCACGGATCTCCTCGATCGTCACATCCTGGTCAAGAGAGCCGAGGGATACATCGGGTCCAATGCTGAGCTCATGAACTGGTTCAGACGTTTCATGAGTGCCGAAGAGGCTGAGGATAAAATCATCGACCCCAAGGCGAACCCGGAAACAGGTATCGTCAACCTGGCTCACTGCCGGTCTCTGGGACCGAGTTACCGACTCCTTCCTAAGCGTGAACGCCAAAAGCCCTGCAGTGGACGCGATCCGCTTTGCAACGGTGTTCTTAATGATGACTGGGCCTCACATCCCACCTGGGCTTCGGAAGATTCTGGCTTTGTTGCGCACCGCAAGAACCAGTATGAAGATGCTTTGCATCGCATTGAGGAAGATCGCCACGACTACGATCACCACATCGAGGCTTGCACCCGCACCATCCAGCTGATTGAGCCCATTTGCCAGCAATTCCTTTACATGAATGATGCGGAACGCATGTCCTTCAAATTGCCACAAGGTCTCGGTGGCCAAAGCGAGGCAATTTACCAGCGTGTCATCAAGAAGATTTACGACCGTCAACGCGGCGAGAAAGTCATCCGAGACATGTTCCTCCGTCCATGCCACGTCCTTCCTATTGTTCTTTACCGCTTGAAGCAGAAGCTCGAGGAATGGAAGGCATGCCAGCGCGAGTGGGACAAGGTCTGGCGCGAACAGATGCAGCGAGCATACTGGCGCAGTCTTGACCACCAAGCCATCGCCACCAAGCAAACCGACAAGAAGCTCTTCGTCGCCAAGAACATCCAGCAAGACATACAGACTAAGTTTGAGGATGGACAGGCTAGTCGCAAGAGTGGCCGCGTCCCACCCAAGTTCCAGGCTGAGTATAAGTTCAGCGATACTCAGGTCCTTCTGGATTCTGTGTACTTGCTTTTCTTGTACTTTGACCGCAACACCAATGGCTTTGGCGCTGATCCTCAGCGGCTCATGAACTTTATCCGGGATTTCATTCCTACTTTCTTCGGCCTGGACCGTTACACTTTCAACTTGTACATGGACGAAGTCTACCACGCCATCAATGAGGACGATGATACTTATGCCAATGACGATGCGTCCAATGGGAGCCGCAAGGGGGTGGACCTGCAGAAGCTGGATCTTCTGCGCGATGCCCTTGAACGCGGACGCCAGACCGAGAAGCCTAAAGAGGATGGTGTGAACAACCATGACGAACCTGCTGCCCAGGTTCCATCCACCGTCTCCGATTCCGAGGAATCATTTGACGTGGCTGAACTGCGGTGGATGGAGCATCCCGGAAAGGGCAACTTCAACCTTGAGCATGAATACACACTGAACGAGAAGTACAAGAAGAAGGAGCACCATATGTACTGCAACCTGAACATCTTCTGCTTCTTGCGTACTTTTGAGATCCTTTACTCGCGTCTCCTGCGCATCAAGGAGCAAGAGGACACGGCCCGCGAACAAGTCCGACGCGGTGTTCTGCCTAAGGCTGCCCATGACTTGTGCTTGATCGATCGATACCCTAGTGATTTCTTCTATGATGTCGATCCCAAAGCCAACCTTTACAAGCAGATCGTGCGCATGTGCGAGGAGGTTATTAAGGGCGATATCGATCAGGTTCACCTCGAAGAGACCCTACGTCGCTTCTACATCCAGAGCGGATACCTGCTCTACAACTTGGAACGTATCTTCTCCTCGATTTCCAAGTTTGTGGCATCTATCTTCACCGGCGACTCTCGCGATCGCAGCTCCGATATTATCAATCTTTTCTTCAAGGAACGGGAGAAGGAGGAGACTACCCACCACCAGGAGATCCAATACCGCAAACAAGTGGAGCGACTGGTCAAGGATGGAGATATCTATCGCATTACTTTCGTGAGTTCTAATTTCAAAGATGCCCTGACACATCTAACCAATCCCAGTACCCCGCCGACCGCCGTGTCACCGTCCAAGTGATGACCAGCGAAGACGCAACCCTTGACAACGAGGAGCTCACTCCAGAAGAGCGCTGGTCCTACTATGTGACCGCCTACTCGATGCGCGACCCCACCGAAGGCGTGCAGTTCTCGAAGATGCGCATGCCCCTGCTGAAGCGCAACCTTCCTCCGAAGCTCGAGGAAGATGAGGAGTACGAGCGGTACTACCGCAGCCTGCAGCACCACGACGGCTTGACCATCCGCATCTGTGCCAACAACTACACGATGCTGTACCAGCCGCCCACCTACGACTGGTTCTGGCGCTCCAACGCGCCCATCCCGGAAAAGGATGCCGACGCTGAGGCCATCAAGGCCCAGGCCGACGAACTCGCCAAGGAGAAGGCCGCGCTTCACGAAAAGCGCCATGACCGCTTCGTGGAGAAGTTCGTGAACAACCCGGCCTGGGCCCGCGGCCTCAGCAAGGACCAGGTAGACGAGAGCAACCAGCGGTTCCGCTCTTGGGTCGACGGGACCCTCTCTGGTAGTCCCGCGGCCCGTGAGGGATCTGCGTCTGGGTCTGGCGCCGGCTCCGCGGCCCCCGCTAATGCGGAGGAGAAGGCGGCGGATGTTGAGATGACGGATGCCGAGCCTACAGAGGCGTAGACGGTGTTGCGTTGGTAACTTTTACGACGGGTCAGTCCCCTTGCGAAGCGGGGGGATTGGCATGCATTATTGTTGATTGTGGGAGGGGAGGATGGCGTACACGATGAGGAAATTGCGACGAATGTTTTTCTTTTTTTGCACGGGTTTCCGTAGTTTGTATTTGTATCTCTATTTTCTCTTCAAGTATCTCTTACTTTATTCTCACAAATGAAATAATGGCCATGGAGAGATTGGCTTTATTCTGATATGTATTAATGAGGATTTATCACTAATTCTATCATATCTCGGTTTCACCATAAAGGGTAATCCAACAGATGCCGATATAAGAACCGTCGGCTAAGTAATTAGGCATCAAGCAATAAAGGGAAGGTCTTCCCCTTAATCAATTTTATATTGTAAATAGTTAACCGTGTGGTTAACAACGTCGAACTATCCCGCATTAGGCTAACAGCTAGCCGAGCTTATAGTTACGGAGTCCCCGTACTCCGAGCCGTAGCCTCACAAAACGCCAAAGCTCGAACAAAATAAGAATCGCGTCGTACGATATCGCACATTCCCCAATGTGCGCCATGCCCTAATGCGGGATTCCGTCGAACTTCCGGGGTATGAAAAAGGGCCATTCCTCCAGATCATCGGCTTCTGTTACTAAATCGGAATAATCGGCATCGCTAGCGGCTATATATGCCGAATGGTGTGAAATGCATGAGCCATTACGGAGGTTATGCAATCTGAAATCTCCGTGTGGCCGAGCCCGCATAACCGATTCTGTCCCGAGGGTGGATCGGGGGAAGTTCGGGGTATCTGTTCCGAGATATGATTTTTCTGTTGTGTATGGGTGTGTGTGTGTGTGTGTTTATGTTGAATATATTGGAAGGATAGCATGTCGTCTGAAAGAGCTCTCTCTTAATTATAGATCTCCGTACTCCATATGCAGGGGAACAGCAGAGAAGCCGCTTAGTAAAAGCCGAACGATGACCGGCCGAACCAAAGCCGAATGAGGGACGTGACGTCACTCTGATTTAGTCGAATGCGAAGAATTGCAAATTAAACGATTCCAAGGCAAATTTAATAGAAGAAGAAGGATATATAACGATTGGATGCCGGTGCTTAAATACTAATAAGCTATGCAGTATTCAATGTCCAATATCCATGTCTAATATCCCGAGTCCATACATATAGCCAGTCCAAGACTAAATTTTTAAAACATCCATTCTCCCGGAGCTATCGGCCTTGCATTCCTGTGTGGAGACCTCTGCCCGTGGGGTTAACGAAATTACTTATACCCCGAGATCCCCTTTCTTCCTCTTCCTTCCAACATTTTTGACACTCTCCCCTCCTACATCATGTCTGCTTCGGCCTTGTTGAAGAGCCGTGTACGGCGCCCATCGTATCTGAAGAAGCTCGCCAAAGCCGAGGATCTGATTCACCACTTCCCCAATGGCACGTACATTGGTTGGTCCGGATTCACCGGTGTCGGTTATCCCAAGTATGTACCGCGACGATACTATAGTAAGCGAGGGCAACGCTAACCCGATCCAGGATGATCCCCAATGCGCTGGCCGATCACGTCCAGACGAACAGCCTCGAGGGAAAGCTGAAGTACAACCTGTTTGTCGGTGCCTCCGCCGGCGCAGACACCGAGAGCCGTTGGGCGCACTTGAACATGATTGAGCGCCGCAGCCCTCACCAGGTTGGAAAGGAAATCGCCAAGGGAATCAACACCGGCCACATCAAGTTCTTCGATAAGCATCTGAGCATGTTCCCTTCGGATTTGGTCTATGTGAGTTTTGCGTTACCGGAGAAAAATATTCACCGCTAACAATTTCCCAGGGTTGGTACACTTTGAACAAGCCCAAGCCCACTATCGACGTGGCTATCATTGAGGCTACTGCCATCACCGAGGACGGTGGCATCATCCCCGGTGCTTCCGTCGGTGCTTCTCCCGAGCTGATCCAGATGGCCGAGAAGGTCATCATCGAGGTCAACACCGCCATGCCCTCCTTCGAGGGTCTGCACGATATCACCGGCACCGACCTCCCCCCCTTCCGCAAGCCCTACCTCGTCACCCGTCCCGACGACCGCATCGGAACAACCTACATCCCCGTCGACCCGGAGAAGGTTGTGGCCATCGTCGAGTCCGACTATGCCGACAAGACCACGCACAACTCCCCCGAAGACGAAGGCTCGCAAGCCATCGCCTCGAACCTGATCGAGTTCCTCCAGCATGAGGTCAAGCACGGCCGTCTCCCAACCAACCTGCTCCCCATCCAGTCCGGCATCGGCAACATCGCCAACGCCGTCGTAGGCGGTCTCAGCAAGGGCGGCGCTGACTTCAAGAACCTAACCGTGTGGACCGAAGTCCTGCAAGATGCCTTCCTCGACCTCTTCGATAGCGGCAACCTCGACTTCGCCACCGCGACCTCCATCCGCCTGTCCCCCGACGGCTTCAAGCGCTTCTACGCCAACTGGGACCGCTACGCGCCCAAGATCCTCCTGCGCTCGCAGCAAGTCTCCAACTCCCCCGAGATCATCCGTCGTCTCGGCTGCATCGGCATGAACACGCCCGTCGAAGTCGACATCTACGCGCACGCCAACAGCACCTGCGTGATGGGCTCGCGCATGCTCAACGGCCTCGGCGGCTCCGCCGATTTCCTGCGCAACTCCAAGTACAGTATCATGCACACCCCGTCCGCGCGTCCCACCAAGACCGATCCCACCGGTGTCAGCTGTATCGTTCCGTTCGCCACGCACATCGACCAGACCGAGCACGATCTTGACGTTATCGTGACCGAGCAGGGTCTTGCTGATGTTCGTGGTTTGTCTCCTCGTGAGCGTGCCCGTGTTATCATCAAGCACTGCTCGCACCCTGACTACACTCCTATCCTGACGGATTACCTTGACCGTGCGGAGTTCGAGTGTCTGCGTAAGGGTATGGGTCATGAGCCTCATATGCTCTTCCAGGCTTTCAACATGCACAAGAATCTGCAGGAGAAGGGTACCATGAAGATTGACTCTTGGGAGTAGATTGGTTGTGTTGATACCTCATTTCTAAAATTGAGACGCTAGGAGGGCGTTTGGTATATCTATTAGCGGTTATGTATATATATAGTACTTGGAATATTACGTTTTCCTGTGATCATGGATGTAGACCGTTATGGTATTTCTAGAGTATTGACTGTTGATCTCGAGTGTATATTTACTAATGTACAATTGATTGCATTTCTGCTTACTCGCTTACATAGACCAGAAGGAACCATTATATCGAATAAGCTTATTGCATGTCATTGTCTATAGGATATATTAAATATATCCAAACACGATATGTATAAGAGCATAAACATATCAAAAAGAAATTAAAGAAACCAGCTCTTCCACCAGAACTCCTATATCAAGAAAGATATAGTATAAAACAAAACAATGCTCAAACAAACAGAATCAAAAAATCCAACTCCAAAAGCAAACATCAATCATCTCAATCTTAACCCAATCCCCTTTTAGTCTATGTCAGAAAAGACAAAGTCTAGAATCGAATCAAACGGAACCAGCAAAGCGAGTCCAAATCAAAGTCCAGTGATCCTATCAATAAAGTCAGCACTAACCCCAACCCAAACCCAAATATAGACAAGAAGTAAAACATACCGACTCCAAATAGACCCCAGAATCCCAGGCTGCTCAGTCTCAGACTTGCGACGAGCCCAGCCATGGTCGACGTTGTAGTGCTTCACGTCTTGTAGACCGGCGAAGAGGCCTCGTCCACCAGTAGCACGCTTTTGGATGTTAGCAATGGATCTGAATTGGTAGTGGCGGTGGTAGTGGTGTACATACTCGATGCTCTTGGCCATTGCGGACCCAGTAGTCTGCGCCGTAGTCATTCTGCAGACGGGCGTGCTCGCTTTCAGCGGCTTTGGCTTTGGCAGCGGCTGTCTTGGCCTTTGTCTTGGTTTGGTCGGTTGGTTGCATGGTGGCTGTTGTAGATGGATGTAGATGTAGATAGATGTATAGAAGTCAAGTATCAAGTATCAAGGTAACCGAAGTAGGTAATGTATGAATGGAATGTCTTGTGTGATGAAGAATAGGTAAACTCGTGTAACATCCAGCCTTATATACATCCTGCCACCTCTCCCATCTCATCATGCAAAGCCACAGCAAGTGGCCTGACAGCATCAAACCGTCACGGTTCCGAGAGGCTGGATGGCGGGACTGGCCGTTCGCCGTTCCTGGGGCATGTTCTGTATAGCGTGACCTTTCCCTGGGAGTGAGTTTATCCGGGATAACCCTGGCTGTGGTTGGTTGGGAGTCGTGACGTCGGATGTGGTGCGATGTATTAGGCGGGTTTCTCCGTTCCTGTTTCTGGGGTTAAAATTAGGATTTGTGGAGAGTGAACTGCCGATTATTATTCGAGGTCGGATGATTGGAAGATACTGGTGATGGTGGTGGTGGTGATGATGGTGGTGGTGAGGTGGTACGGTGTGTGGCATGATCGGGTGGCACGGTGATGGTCAGATTCGGCAGCGACAAGTTCTGCCTTTTCTATCTTTGCTCTGATTTAACAAGACTCAGATATCTACGTCTTGCATTGTGTTACTTTTCGTTTTGTGTGACAGTCTTATCTCTTTATTTTGGATGTACTGTTGTTGTGATGTACATCCAGGTTCACTTCGGGACCTACCGAGTACACCAGATACATGTTTAGAGCACTCACTCTACTCCGTATATTCCTAGCATATGACAACGCTATGCACACAATGTTCTATCTTCTTTACTATCGCCGTTGATTCCTCTATGCATCTATGCATCCTACCCCTTCGGGCTTCTCTACGACCGAGACAACCTTCCACGCTACGAATCAATATGTAGCACATCGCTCAGACACACTGCCCACAAGTACAATGAATGGTTGAGAACATCTTAGCAGGTTAGCCCTTGAAGACGTCAGTTTATTATATTCCCCAAACTCCTCTCCCAAATCTAGCCACTTTCTAATATGTCATTCTTCTATCGACCCCTGTACCTCGACGTCTATTATTCCATGCAAATTGTCCATACGAAGTCGACGTACATCTCAAAGATGAGGTAGGTGATAGGCAATCTAGATACAAGCGACACTTGTCTAAGAAAGAATGTAGAACAGAAACACGATTATCTTCCTCCCCCTCCTTCGCTTCTCGTACGAGAGACGGACAAAAGTGACTGGAAGGCCCGAAAGAGCCTGAGTTTGAGTCAAATACATTCAGGTTGCCTATGGTTTATTCTGGCAAGGATATTGGACCCTGTGGACCCTGATCATGGTGTCATTTCTTGATGTTCTGAGATATATATCCTGCAAGGCATACGGAATATGTCAATTACTTCAAAGTGCAAACAAATATATTCTGAACTCGGGATTAAGCCGTTGATAGAAACCACATCAGATAATGAAATGACCTAGAAATAAAGATAAAGCGACACATTCCAAACGCCATCCCATGTGGCCTGTATAGAACATCCGGAATGCCAGCGTAAAATAAATAGCCCTAATCCGACACGTCCCAAAAGAAACAAGTCATATGCAGGGAAAACCAAAAAGCAGAAACTTCCCCGGAACATAAACCCACACCGTTACTCTAGACCTTGGAACGTTCTATATGAAACAGAAACAGAAAACCAATAACAAGGCTGAACGGAGTCGAGAACCGCCACCCCAGTCTCTGCACGAATCGCAGTCCTCGGCCGCACGCCGACCCCTGGAAGCCCCCTGAATAACCTCAACCAGGGTATTGCCAAGCCTTGACCTAAAGTAAATTGCCCACGCCCAGATCCGCTATTATCTTGGCCTTCATTTATCATTGGAATTGTCAGTTGGCCAAGATTCTGGCGGTCTGGATCGTTGAGTTGGCTTGAGTTGTTTTGTTGTTTTGTGTATGGACTAAACGTGGCAGAGGCGATACAATACAGGGTTAACATCATTCTAGTTGCCCAACTCTTGAGTCAATAGTAACATCCATAAATCAGCTACAACATAGATAGATCAGACTATTTAGTGAGTGCAATTAAATCAGTCACGCTACGTATCTATAGAATACGGTAATCTCCGACACCCTTTGTCCCCATCCGTGTGATCTACCCCGAGTCGTGATCGCCAGTCGAAGAGATCGAGGATCCAACCTCGTCCTCCTTGTGGTCAACACTCAGTACAGGGATGGTAGGATTGTCGCTATACAACATATAGCTACAACATGCCTACTGCTTGATTGTACGCGTACATCCTAAGATATCGGTTGCCTCGGATCAGGCTACAGTGTTATTTCTTGATTCCACGATCCCACTAGACAAGGGCTATGCTCTGAATAGAAGGTGGCTCGTTGACCGGTCCTTCCTATTCGGCGCGACTCATTAATAGAGCAATTCAAGCTTCCTGCCCCGTTTATCATCTGTTTTTGACTTTGGTTAGACCGGGTGATCGGCCTGTTCATGAGTGTGTATATCGTTGGAGATCGACAGGGGGGCCAGCGCAATTACAGCGCATGTGTTTTCCAAGAGGATGAGGATGAGTAGTTGTATTAGTATAGGTATGGAGAGTATAAGACATTCGAGAATCTTCGTCGACTCCGTGTAATCCGAGACAACGGAGTCCGAATTAGGAAAAAGCAATAATATACACTGTATCTGGCCGGTAATCGTAAGATTAATAATACCGGTACGGTGGTTTTGGTGGTAAAGATCGGCAGGGCGGAAATTAGATGTAGTACCACAGCCAATCAGGGTCCAGCACCGACCCCAATTTAGCTGCCACCTTTCCTTTCTGGGACTGGCCGGGGACGCTATGACAGTTGGCCCCACATGGCGCGGGAAGAGACTTTTCTGTTTTCTTTGGGTTTGGGGTTTTAATCTGCCAATTGAGAATTCCAGATGCCCTAATTCTTGGATCGTGGAGGGCTCGGGCTTGCCAGCAAGATAAAGCCACAGGGTACAAGGCCTTGCATGATCGGGCAGATATATGAAACCCGGTATAATGTGGCCAAAGGAAGTTGGACCCTCACAGCGGTAAGGAGAAGACTATTCTGGGTGTGAGACACTGTTTTCGACGCTGGGGCCGAAGGCTTAGATGAAAAGGGGAGGGCGATGTATGATCCGTGCTGGATAATAATAGTAATACGAATACGGGACGTAGAATATAGAATAGTTAGAGACATAGAATAGACATAGAATAGACATAAACATAGACACTGGATATGTTGTAACCGTTGGGCGAGAATATAACGATCTGACTGTTTATAGTACCTGCATATGTAAGTTAGATGTATGTTATACCAATACCTAAACAAACCAATCACCTCAATCTAATCACATCTAGACTCGGCCAGGGGTAATTCGAGGAAATTAAATTGCCAATTCACGATCGGTGGAGCTGTACGTGTGTATGTGCGTGTATCTGCGTGTATACCTCTGTATTCTTTCTCCTTTTCCCTTCCCCCTAACTCTCCCCCGGTAACCATTTCTCCATCAAAAGGCCTTGCTTGCCCCCCCATCACTCTCTTTTCACCTTCTCATCCACGTTTCGATTCTATTGACCACCGCTTCACTCGTTCAGCGGGCATTCATTCTTTTTGCGTGGCTGTATTATCCATCCATAATGAAGGGAGCTATTTTCGCCGCCGCCTTGGTCGGCTCTGCCATGGCCGATGGCGTTCACCGTCGCCATGATGCTTTCCACCAGCGTCGCGAGGCTGCTGTCAGCGCCTGGTCCTCTGCCCCTGCTGAGGCCGAGCAGACCTGTGGTTGCACCACCAAGGTTATCACCGTCTACGGCTCCGCTACCCTGGTCGACGAGTCTGTTGTTCCCGCTACATCGACCTCTGTTCCCGTCGAGGCTGTTCCCGCTACTTCCTCGGTCCCTGCTGAGACTGTTGCTATTCCCTCTTCCTCCTCTACTCCCATCGCTATCCCCGAGACCAGCACTCACACCAGCACTGTGCAATCCACCAGCACCAGCACTTTGACCGTCACCGTCTCTGGTGTTGGCGCAGAGTCTGCTTCGTCCTCGGTGCCAGCTGTTAGCACCTTCGCTACCTCCAGCGTCGCTAGCACCCCTGCCGTTGTGCTGCCCACTCCCGGTGTGAGCACCTTCTCCACCACTGGTGTCTACACCATCCCGGCCACCACCATCACCGTCTGGGACACCACCACCGTCTGCGGTGCCACCTCCACTGAGGTCCCCAGCGGTACCGTCACCTACGGTGGTGTTACCACCATTGTCGAGACTGCCACTACAGTCACCTGCCCCTATGCCACCGTCAAGCCCTCCGGCAGCACCGTGACCAGCGTGATTGAGACCACCACCTACATCTGCCCCTCGGCTGGTACCTACACCATTGTGCCCCCTACCACCACCTCTGTGCCTACCAGCACCGTTCTGGTCTACCCTACCCCCCAGACCATTGTCCCCGGTACCTACACTCAGGATGAGACCACCGTCACCGTGACCCGCACTGATTACACCTACATCTGCCCTGCTGCCACCAACACCCTGGCCTCGACCACCGCCGCCGTTGTGCCTACCACTGCCGCTGCCGCTACCACTGCCGTCCCCGTCGTCAGCACCAGCACTGTCGCTCCTGTTGTTCCCGTCAGCACCAGCACTGCTTCCGTTGTCAGCTCCTCCAGCTCCACCTCCAGCTCTGCCTCCTCCTCCTCCACCGCCAAGGCCACTGGTGTCCCCACCGTCCTCGGTGAGGGCCAGTACGGTATGACTTACTCCCCCTACACCGCCGCTGGTGACTGCAAGACCAAGGCCGCCGTTCTCTCCGACCTCACCACCATCAAGAGCAAGGGCTTCAACCTGGTCCGTGTCTACTCCACTGACTGCAGCGGTCTGGAGTACATCGGCGAGGCCTGCAAGTCCCTCGGCATCAACATCATCATGGGTGTCTACATTGACGGCTCCGGTGTCTCCGCCGCCAAGGAGCAGGTCACCGAGATCATCGCCTGGGCCGAGTGGTCCATGGTCGAGCTGATCGTTGTCGGTAACGAGGCCATCCAGTCCGGATACGTCGACGCTGCCACCCTGGCCTCCTTCATCGAGTCCTCCGCCGCTAGCTTCAAGGCCGCCGGCTACACCGGTCTGGTCACCACCACCGAGCCCATCAACGTCTGGCAGCAGTACGGCTCTGCCACTCTCTGCAGCGCCGTCGACATCGTCGGTGCCAACATCCACCCCTTCTTCAACGCCGATGTCACCGCCGCCCAGGCCGGTGAGTTCACCAAGAGCGAGTTCGAGGAGCTCGAGGAGATCTGCGGTGGAAAGGACGTCATCAACCTCGAGACCGGCTGGCCCAACGCCGGTGACTCCAACGGCGCCGCCGTCCCCGGTGTCTCTGAGCAGGCCACTGCCATCAAGTCCATCGCCGCCAGCGTCGGCTCCAAGTCCATCTTCTTCTCCTTCTCTGACGACACCTGGAAGAGCCCCGGCGAGTTCAACGTTGAGCAGCACTGGGGTTGCTCTTCCGTCTTCTAAGCGCCATGTCTCTGATGGATTTTTGAATTTTGTTTTAGTTCACACGAACTTGTACAGGAGGACTAGGAGTTTTCCCTTTCTCGGCTTGGTGTGTCTACGGACGACGATCGGCCCTTTCTTCCTTTCTTGGATTTTATTTTAAACTTGACTCTGGTAGATACATCTTTTATTTGACGTTGTCTACTGACCTTGCACCTGATCTCTTTGCTGTTTATTGTTATTAGTCCTGTGTATATTGCATTTATGCCTTCTTACGAGTTTTGATCTGGTAATTCTGTAGTGTAGGAAATATGTAGTGTATTTCTGTCGATCTCAACACTTGATATCCTTGTCTTCATCTGCCCTGCCACCCTTTCCTCCATTCAGACCTCGGCTTGTCATGCAACACGTCGTGCACTGACATCATGCAACCGCGCCCGACAATTGGGGCAGTGCATATCATACAGCCCAAACCAAGTCAGAAGAGGATATGAGAAATATCATCCATTTACCACAAACCCTCAGAACAAACATACTACACTCTTCCTTCCGTGCCGAACAAAAACCAAAACAACCCAAATCCACCATGCCATGCCAATTCCCATTCGAATGCGAACCCTTCTACATGCGCCCGCTCCTAATAACAACATCCATCATCAGCGGATTCTTCAAAACGCTAATCTACTTCCTCATCCCGGTAACCGTGGCAATAGCCATAATCTTCATTCTCGCCTTCCTCCTCTTCGCTATACTCGCCGCACTATTTGGATGGGATATGAACTCTGAGGAGAGTAAAGCGAAGCGAGAAAAGGAGAAGGAGAAGGAGAAGAAGGAGCGGGAACAGAGGGAGTCAGATGCGGAACAAATTACTGCTCCCCCGGTAGCTGGGAATATCCCCGGTGATACCATCGACCTAGAAAAGCGTCTCGAGATCGAGATTGAGCTTCTTGCCGAGATGGTTCTTGCTAGGAGGAGGAGGTTGGATGCTTTGAAGGAAATGCATTTGGGAGATAATTCTGCGGATGTGGTGCAGAGTAACACCTACGTACCTGGTTCTGGTTCTGGTTAGGTAGTGAAAAAGCTATACTTCCCGAATAGGAAAGCGGCCATCTGGGTCCTGACTTTCCTGGACCGGGTTCTTTCCAGCCTTGAACGGACGACAACGACAACGACAAGTTCAGGCGTCGACTAAAGACTTCATCTTTCTCCATGCTGAGCTGTTACCATACTCCTCTCCTTTCTATCTCGAACGAGACAACCAAATCCAAACCAAAAAAATCAAACCGCCTTCACTATCTCACCATATACCAAAATGGAACAAATAGGCGAAGACCTCTTCGGCTCAGCCTTCAACGAATGGCCCATCCTCCTGCGCCCAATATGGGTAACCATGATCCTCGTCATCGGTGGTATCAAGCTATTCTACTACTTTCTGCTACCAGCCGCAGCCGCTATTATCATCCTACTTTTGGCGGTTGTGATAGTGGGCGCTTCGGTTGGGTTTCTTGTTAGAGGCAGACAGCTGAGTGCCAATGAAGATCAGACGAAAAGGAAACGAGATGATGATGAGACTCGGCCCTGGCGCCGTGTGCAACGCCGGCTTGAGGCTGGGGAGTTGAAATGAATTGAGTGGGGCTTGGATTACTTGCTGTGGGGATTGGGTTTGAGATATGGTCGAAGATGGGGCTCTCGTCTGTGGAATGTTTGCCGAGGGTTTGTTGGTTTCGTTTGAATCTTCACGAGTGATGTGCCATTCTAAGTCTGAGCCATGAGGACGATAGATGCATCGACTAAAGCTACCACTCCTGTTTTATGTTATATGGGACTAGCAATGAGGATTGAGAATCTTTGATTCGAATTATATACTATTAACAAATAGATAAATACAAGTGAGAGCATTGAGCACAGTCGCATTCTCATGCCAACTCAAAAAGGCGTGGTTGCGCCCATCCCTTTATCAGATTGTAACTCCAAAACATCTTATAGTGGCGTGCAAGTCTATCATTCATTAGCATTGAATCAACAAATCACGCTCGATAATCCATCAAGCTCGGTAGCTATGTACTTACCCCATTAGATCCGCACGTAAGTCCCTCACAGCAACATCCCTCAGCGGCACAGTTCGCAGCTATGCAGACCATGGTATCCTAATAACATTAGGAATTGTCTGTATTTGCCATATTGCTATTGAAGACTCACCGATTGACACGCGATCGCAGCCTTGGGGTATGCTTCAGGCAGCGCGACGGTAAGAGTAGCGAGGAAGCCGAGGATGATAACTGAAGCGCGCATTTCGTATTGTGAAGTTGGAAGATTCAGAAATGGATCTGGAGTAAGACAAGATCAAATAAATTAGCGACCGAGCCGAGTATAATAATAGAACAGTATGCTTTAGACGGACGCAAGGGCAAGAAACGGTGTAAGATAAGACAGAACGAACATACGTGAGAATAGCAGTAAGTACTCAAGCTAAAAGTTAAAAGTAAAAATGAAAGTGAAGATTGAAGATTGAATGGGTATTTAATATCACAACGAAAGCAAAATTAAGTCGAATGTATATCAATCAGGCGCCGTCAATGTCTTATACCTGGTTAGTTGGCTCGGGCGTGGAGTACCAATGACACAAGCCACGCACCAGCGCGAAGATCTATCATGTTCTCGCCTGAAACAGGGCCATTGGGGGATCTACAGGGGTAGCTGTGGGATTGATCTGCACTGATTGGATGGATGAGGGCTGGAGAGTCTTGTCATTCGGATTGCTCGCGACGTAGCCTCCGAGTAGCTACTATACTCCGATGATGTTCTACTAGTTAAGATTTAAGATGACCCGGAGGGGCTGTTTTGCCTCCTGTTATATTAATGTAGACAAATATCCACAAGGCTACACTGAGTGAGGTCATTGATAGTGAGATCAAGCAGACCTGTGCAACTTGACTCGTTAGGACAGACACAAGAATCTGGGCCCCGATGTGACTTGAATAGAGCTGCTAGTAAGCGGCTGGCAATGTCACCAGCCGCTTCGCATTATACTTCGCATTGCACTTGTAAGGGGTGGTGCAGCCGCTGAGGTTTATGTTGTTTGTTGGCTTGGCGGTGACACATTGAGCTTGCGTGGGCGGCCGAGATGGGAAGGGATATACTGTGGTGGGTCTAAGGGGCTGGGGCTGGGGTCGTGATATTGATGTTATTATTACCGCGGAGGCTTTTGAATTGAGGAGATGGACAACATTTGCATGACAAAATAAGACAGCGTGTGCTCCGTAAGCAACAGACATTGATATGGTCGACTTGACTTGTTTGGTCAAATGTGACCGGAACATCATGGTCCCGGTCTTAGCGTCCAAGATAGGAAATATACACCGTTCTATAGGAGTCTAAAGTGTTTGGCTAATATTAGATATTCATATCACAGCTGCATCGGCATATTATCTCCTCGATGGCTTGCTCGAGGATAGAAACTTGGTTTTGATCGATCCTGCATGGACAGCTTGACGCACAGAGATCCTAGTATAACAGACTATCCTCATCTCCATTAACTATTCCGCACATCCTAATCCTCGGGTCAGTTGAATCTCTAGCTGTAGTAAATCAACCTTCGTTTCAAACAATCATTGTTCTGGTTCGTTCCAAGCTTAAAACCGTCAGAGCAATTTGACCCCGGAAAGCGGGTACTAGCAGGAATGAGACTAGCGGGTCTATCACTGGCTTGAGATTAGGATATAGTCTGAATATGCTTCATGCATGGCCAACCTGGGGAGATGCGGGCCTGCAATTCACCGCCACTATCAGTAGGCTGCCGAGTCTGCCCGGTAATTGGATGAAATGCCGACCGTATGCATGCACAGGCTGAGCAGAGAAGCAGATGCCCGAGAGTCCGGTAGGATCTGGCCCGGCTCGATTACTTCTCCAATGAGAAGAATACCGGTGTAGTCAAGACACTGAGCTAGTGAAGCAAAGTTGGCTTCTATATTGGCGCATCTTGTACGTGACTATGCTCAAAAACTAAGCAGGCTGGTTCTATATGGTTGATTTATTCTAAATTCGAAACTATGCTTTCGACAGTGTTATCTATTTTGTATTCGGAATGTCTTGTGCCTACAGGAGGTCTTTTCAACGTTTTTGAATAGCATCGCTTCCTTCACCTTTCCCTCCAAAAAACGAATCAATAGTAGGGCTTAATCCTTCCCCAAAATGACAGGAGTTTCTCGAACACCTCCTTTCTTGCCCCAATCCCGATTTTCGAGGTACGCACGGCAGAACTCCACAAACTCTTTCAAGAGTAGGTCCATTTGCCGCTGAACGTAGGGTACGCTATTGCAGAAACCCATGATAGCGATATGAACATTTCCTGGCCCCGATGCGAAACGACGCATATCCGGCCGCGATGTTCGCGTCGGACGTACCATTGGTAGAAAAACTTAAACGCGGGTTCGCGCCTGGGCCGGTGAGTCGTATACTATATAATAAAGACAGGGAAACCCGTAGTAGTATGTCCCGTTATATAGCTCATCTTTCCTTGGTCATGTAACGGTTGAAAGGCGGCGTTAATAACCTCACGGTCCCTAGGACCAACTGGGTAAATCTTAGACTTAGGAAGCTGTATCTCTAAGCTAGATTTAAGGGGAATAGTCAACTGAACGGTCCCAGGATGCATGTTGGGTGCCGTATCGCCTAGTGCATAGGAATCAGTCCTTATAGCACCAGTAGGCGAGGAAGTGCCATATCCTGGGACACGAAGAGACACGGCCGGCATTTACCCTATGAGCATGTGAGAAAATAGTACCAGAGCATGAATATCGAAAAACTCACCATGCCAGGGACGAGCGTGCGAATACCGATGCAGCCCAACCAATATACCCGATCTTATACATGCCAAGCACTGATAGTTGGATTCTGAAAGCGAACAGCAAGTGTAGGCAGGTATCATGAAGCCTCCCATGGTGAAAGATAAAGAGTGAATGGAGAAGGTATCGCACGGTTTGGAGCAACGAACTATCACAGGTATAATTTGGGGCCCCTGATCGTAATCAGAAATGACTGCTCAGCTCAGAGCCTAGCTGGCTCATCGGAATATTTAGGTTCGTCAGGTTCCTCTTCCACACATGGTACGCCAAAGCCGCGCTGATAGAATAACAATAGCAGCACCGATGTGAAGCAGGTTGCAACGATGCCAAACTGATAGCATTTGCGGCTATTTCAAATAGGAGATGTAAGATGGCTGGAGGCCGCACGGAATAACAAAACGGCGCCTATACATTATAATGTTAGCACTTGCCAGCCTCTAGTTAAGGAAATGGCACTCCTACTAGTGTGGTTGGCGAGATCACTCTTCAGCCATGCAACCACCTCTGCGAATTCTTGCATGGCCGGGCTCATGCGCTCTGGACCTCTTCGTTTCGACGAGGAGATTGGTTTATTGATGTTCGTCCGTATCGTGATAAAACTCCTCGGGAACAGCTGACACACTCATAGCTGTCTCGGTGGGCACCTGCTCGGTTGAGACAGTCTGGGTGTACTCCAGAACAGTCTGAGTTGGCTGAGAAACAGTTGGCTCACTCATGACTGCTTGTGTAGACACCTGCTCGGTCGCAACAGACTCGGTGGACTCCAAGGTGGTCTGAGTTGGCTGCGAAACAGCTGGCATTCTCATTTCTGGCACATTCGGGGCTGTGTGCGTCAACTTTTGTTTCTGACCACCCTTACCAATCACCCTTCTCACGTTGGTGCGGAACTCTTGGAGGAGCAAGCAGACATTCTCAATTCCGGGCATCGGTAAAACCTTCTTGCTGCAGCCATTGTCTTAGATAAGACAGGTCGAAGCACCACGCTTCCAGGCTCGGGTATAATGTAAACATGACTTGTAAGCTGCCCCATCTGATTGTTGGAAGAGGCCCAAAGTCACTGCTCGTCACCCACATGGACGAGCTCGCGATGCCGATTTGGTTGGCTATATAGAGGTCCTAGAGATGATCGGATAGTCAGTATACAGCCAAAAGTAGCGCGTACTAGAGCCTGACTTAACTGGTTGGTGAGAGCAAAGTGAAACTGGAATGATCAACGTGCAGAGGTTGTTCGACAAAGGTAGGATAATGGTGAACCGAGATTTGACGGAGCTCAATATGTGATATCGATGGAAAGAATAACCCAGGACCATGATAGGCCATCTTGGCCTCGAAATCATGTCCTATCCGGGGACATCCACGATAATCTGTAATATCACCAGCAAGTGCAAGGTATGCTCTGCCGTGAAGTCGGTTGATGTTACATGCCAGTTCAATCAGAACAGTAAGTATAAGAAGAGAGAAGGAAAGGAAAGAGAAAGGAGGAACTGTTTGCAGGGTTTTATACGTTTCCACGCAAACCCTGCAAACTCGTGACCAGCTCGCTTAGCTCTTCTAGAAACTAGGAAGAGAAGATCTAACAAACCTTCAGATAGTCACACCTGATAGGGTACTCCCTCTTCCTGACGATTTCCTGGAGCATTCTTCAATGACTCTAAGGATATATGATATTTGCCTGGTTGCCTAGGTATATATAGGATATCAATATATAATGAAAGGTTGCTCAATATGCGAGACCGCTCATCGTTCGTGATAAGTGCTATCCCGGCCATGAAGCCAACTATATAGCTTTGTGGGACAAAAGAACAAAGGCTGCAGAGGGGCAAAGAGAGACATGACAAATTACTTACTTACAATACCTTAGTGCATCAATCTGTCTAAGAGATAATCAGTACTTTCAGTAAAGTAAAGAATGAGCAAGATGGAACATACTGGAAGTATGCGTGTATTTGGAGATGACTCCTTTCACTAGGATGAGAGGAAGGCGGCTGCAAGCTGCGTAACCATCATGCTGAGACTAGAAGAGGAATTGTTGCACTCCTCGTGCCGAAACATTCTGAACTCGGTTCAAAGATTCTGCACCTCAGGAGATACGTTTTGATTTAGCTAGGTTCTCAGTAGTTAATCCACTACTAAAGATGGGTTCTTAGGTGCTTAGAGACCTCCGTCAGCACATGTTTCGAGAAATGCACTAAAAGATGTCTCAGCTTCCATATAGAAGATCAAGAAGTAGATGGGATATGTGTAAGTTGAAGAAAGGAGCTGAGGTTCCCCTTCTATGGAGCAGACTAGCCCAAATCAGGCTTAGTTCCCGCGGACAGATCCACCCGTGACTATGGACATCGTGATGGTTTTAGATTATGTTCAATTTGGACATCGACCATGAATGTTTGACGTGACACGTAGAAGTTAAAGATACATCAAGCAATAAGACCGTAAAGCACATGAATCGTAGATAGAGGTGATAATAATCACCTCCGTCGTAGTAAAGAGCTAATGATAGCTACCTTTGTTGTAGCGGATTACTTCGGGTTGTACTTGTCTTTCCAGATCCTATAGTATCCATTAGATTCAAACTCCATATCGCAGTCAGTTGCACATACCATGAATTCCCAAGAGTAGGGCACCCATTCTCCTCGGCAAGTCGGTAATACTTAGCCGCTTTGAACTATAGCCACATCGAGTCAGAATAGGCACACACAGAATACATATCTAAGTGGAAATCACACATACCTTGTCTTTCTTCCCCCCAAATCCCTCGAGATAACACCATCCCGCTTCGTTCATTGCATCAGTGTCACCCAAATTTGCAGCGGTCTCGTAATACTGTCTAGCAGCAGCAGGATCCTTCGCTATACCCCACCCCTGGCGGAAGCAATTGGCCAGTTCGAAGATAGCCAAAACGAGCTCGCCTTTCGCAACTCCCCCTTTCTTAACTCCGGCACGCAGAGCCTCCGCCTCAACCGCGGCGGAATTGGATGCTGCGGCGGAGAGATAGGTCACGGCGCGTGTTGCATCTACAGGACAGCCCCATCCGTGTCTAGACACATTAGCATCTATGAATTGAGAAATAGGGGGCGTGATTACCGTAGCGCGAGGCCATAAAGAACCTGACTCAGAGGATTATTTGCGCCATTTGGATCAGCAAGTTGTTCGAACATGTGAGTTGATCGCTCGAGATCTATATTCAATGTTAATGTATATCCCCAACTGCAGATTAAAGCAAAACTCACCACCAGATTCGTGCAGTCGGATCGCCTCTTGAATATTAATCTATAATTCGTCAGCCCCACATTCCAACGACAACGACAACCATCACGCAAATATATAAGCAACACCACCTACATCCTGATTTGGATCCACACCAACCCGACTCTGACTTGAGCTCCTCGACCCAACCTGCCCCCCTTGCCCCAACCCTAAACCCAGCGAAGCTTCTCCCTCGCCCTGCCGCACCGGCAAAGACGAACCGGAGTGCGCAAACTGCGGGTTGTGCTGCACAAGCACAGTAGCCCTCTTCTCCCACAGCGCCTCGCGCTCCTGCTTACTCGCGCCGCGATCCTCCTCGATCTGCGGTAGGTCCGCGGGGATATTAGCGGACGAGTCACGCGAGTTACTGCGACTGCGATGGTGATGTAGGAAGCTTGAGAGGTGGCGCTCGCGATGGGGAGGGGACTGCGAGGAAACAGAGGGCCGTCTGGGGGAGCGGTTAAAGAACTGGAAGCTCCGGCGTGGAGATGTGGGCTCCTCTTGAGATGGTGAGGATGGGTATGGGGTTGGGTCGTCTGGGTACGATGGAGGTACGATTATCTCTTGGGTATGGGTGTCTGTACGGATGAGCTTCAACTCAGGGGCTGGGTTTGCTGGTGCATTTCGAGGTGTTTGGGTGGTGCTGAGATCGTCGTGTTTGTGGAGGATGTTACGTAGTGAGGGCATGGCGCATCTACTTGTCGGATGGCGCCGGGAGTGGACTTGGGTCTTCTTGTGTGGGGTCAGGTGGGAGAGAAGTATTTACAGGAATACTTGTAGGACTGAGGATGAATGATATGAAAAATAACCACAATGAATGAACAGTGGCTGTGTATGCCGGCTTACACGGGCTGGTGACGGGGGCCGGGGTCTTGGCCAGCGGCTAATATCCCGTGTGCACACAATGGAATTATGGAATATTAGATACTTGAAATACTTAGATGTCCTAGCGATATTTGCGAATTTTCCAACTATACGAAATCGTAGTATAGATCTCTTATCGCATTCTCCACGGCCCCGGTGGTGGCGCTGCATTAGACCTGCATAGAGCCACCTTGGGCGCATGGACTCAGCCTTGCCTCGGTAAATAAATGGCCAGTGTTTGCTTGCAAGTATATACTACGTAGACTCTGAAGTGGTACTAGTCACATACATTAAAAGGGCACTGATTTCATATTCTGGTCAAGGTGTTCTACGATGAAAGGCCAAAACAGATTCATATGCTGGGCATCAGCTGGGCATTTCAAGCCCCACTCGCTTCATAACATGTCTTGAAGCACGTGTCCGAATATAGAAAGAATCAAAATGGTATTGCAAGGTCTAACTCGGCATGCAAATAGCCCTTATAGTTTTGTACACAATGCCGAATGCAGTGAGCCCATTTACAGGGCCTTGGACGCCATGATGCCTGAGAATAGTTAGCACTCCTCCTTAAAGTCGGTAGTGGATTACTCACGCTCAACATCAGCAACGCTCTGCTGGAGGATCTGCTGGAGAACCTTGGGGTTCTCAAGCTCCTTGTGGATCTTGGCAATAACGGACTGGGCAAGCTCCTGCTGCTGGCGCTGCTTGACCTGGTTCTCGTAACGCACCCACGACTCGAGGACCGACTTGGCCTCATCAGCGAGGGCAGTGCGCTGCTCGAGCTCGTAGGCCTTGGCCTCGAGCTGGGCGGTTTCCTGAAACGGATTGTCAACACCGACCCAAGTATCAACATACGTGACCGAGTATCCCTACCTTGGAAACAGCGAACAGCTGCTTGGTAACCTCGACAACGCCAGACATCTGGGCGACGTTGTCAATACGCTGCTGAACAGCGTTGGTGTGGTCGGCACGGGCAGCGTTCAGGATGTCCTTGTGCTTCTGGACCTGACCCTCGGCCCACTCGCGGTAAGCGGGACCACCGTACTTGCCGACTGCGGTGAAGACAGAAAGCAAACAGAAAGCAGCGACGGTCTCCTCGTTCATGACGTACAGCTCGTTGCTGATGGCGGCGATGGACAGACCGGCGACGGCAGACAAGGTGGCGGTCTTGCTGATCAGGGAGTTGCCGGGGATGGCATTCAGAATAGACTGCGCCTTCTTCGCGGGCTCCTCGGCGGGAACGTTGGAGGCCTGACGAGAGGAGGTCAGGTTGGCAGTGACGGCAGGGACACCACGGACGGAAAGAGCCGGCCGAAGTCGGGATGCGCCTAGGGTGCGTTAGTAACTGAAGGCATTGAGTCGATCAGACGGTCGAGGTTCGTAAAAAGCGTACCAATGGCGCTCTTAGCAAGACGCGAAGCCATTGTTGCAGATGGAAGAATCTTGGTCTATGGGGTGGGTGAACGGAATTGAGGAGACTTGAGGTTCGGGATGGCTAGGAGGTGAAGACGCTAGCCGTTTCGGGCGATAGTTCCGTTCCTCGGAAAAACCAGCATCCGAGATGGTCTGAACGATAAAAAAAAGTTGCAGATAAACTATTCACGGCATTACAAGACGCCTGCCCAAAATGCCTGCACTTGTTACGGATTCGAGCTCTAAAAAGCGCAAGAGCGGCAAAAATGCCAGCGGCCCATCCTCCAAGCGCCGCGCTGTCGCCGAGGACAATTTCGCCGAGAAACTGTCTACTATTCAAGAGCTAGAGAATCAAATTGCGGAGTCGCGAAAGGGCTACAACAATATTGCGACCCTTCTCTCCATGCTCAATGTCGAGAACAACGCCGAGAAACCAGAGATGGCTGTGGCCGTCTCTCTTTGCCGTGTGTTCAGTCGATTGATCGCCGGAGGAAATTTGACCGAGTCGAGCCGTGCGGCCGAGAACGAGAAAATAGTTGTGGCATGGTTGAAGGAGCGTTGCCTTGATTATCAGAATGCTCTTGTGGCTATTATGCGCGAGGCAGATGCTTCCTCCCAGGTATGTGTGCTCTGATCTGGCGGGGTTACTATTACTGATGATCTAGATTGCTGCTCTGGCACTGAGCATGCGCATTGTCAAGGAACGTCTCGCCCATATCCCAGGTGCTGAGAATAATGTTTGGTCGACGGGTTTCTTCAAAGATATCTTTGCGGCCATCATTGAGGCCCACAACGGCCAGGATCTGCAGTCCGAAGCCATCACCAAGTTTGTGAAGGAGTACGAGGATGTGAGATATCACACTTTCACACAGATGGCGTATGTATATATTCTTCGCAGTCGAGTCTTGGGCTAACTTGTATCAGTGATTATGCCTCTACGAAACGATCCCCCGAAGTCCTTGAAATCCTGATTAAGATCCTTCAGGCCTGCGACGAGGTTCCTGGACCGGAACACAAGTTCGAAAACTTCTACGCGAAACGAGATACCAAGAATAAGCGCCTAGTTTCGGCAAACTCCCACAGGAAGCAGGCGCAGGAGGCATGGCTGGCCATTCTACGAAACAACCTCTCGCAATCGCAGCGCAAAAACCTCCTACGTATGATGGTGCATAACATCGAACCTTGGTTCAACCGACCGGAACTGCTGATGGACTTCTTGACCGACTCATACAATGTCGGTGGTGCGACATCCCTCCTCGCACTTTCCGGTCTCTTCTACCTGATCCAGGAAAAGAACCTGGACTACCCTCAATTCTACGCCAAGCTGTACTCTCTCCTCGATTCCGAGCTGCTGCACTCGAAGCACAGATCACGATTCTTCCGACTGCTGAACACCTTCTTGTCCTCAACCCATCTTCCGTCCACATTAGTCGCCAGCTTCATCAAGCGTCTCGCTCGTCTTGCATTGAATGCCCCTCCCTCCGCCATTGTGGTGATTGTTCCGTTCATGTACAACTTTTTCAAGGAACACCCCACGACCACATTCATGATGCACCGATCTATTCGGGATAAGGATCTCCTTGCGGAGGTGGAAAAAGAAGGCATGGACGATCCGTTCGATCCAAACGAGCCCGACCCCAACATGACCAACGCCATTGAGAGCAGTCTTTGGGAGATCGAGACGCTCCAATCTCACTTCCACCCCAACGTTGCGGCCATTGCACGGATCATTTCCGAGCAGTTCACAAAGCAATCATACAGTCTGGAGGATTTCCTTGATCACACGTACGCGGGCATGGTGACTGCAGACCTTGGAGTGGAAGAGAGAAATCTCAAGAAGATTCCTGTCGTCGAGTATATGATTCCCAAGCGTATCTTCACAGATCGTCTACTAGAGGAAGATGGTGGTGTGGACTCTGGTCCAGGGTGTTTCATGCGGGATTTGTGGGAGTTCTGAGGTTCATATATCAGCGTATACCAATTCAATTTGTTTAACAATGAACTCTGCTCAAGGGCTTAGATTGCGGGGTATAGTTGTAGTTCCCTGCCTGGAAGAGAAATGATCGTCTAGCAACAGATCCCTTGCTGCAAGTCTAAACCTAGACTGACCAACGCTTGAAGGTATATGCTTCGGTAATGATCACAAGACTGGAACTTCAACTGGCAATTTGAAGAAAGCCAACGTACTTGACATATTTTGGGCCCATTATTGCTCTGTAACCACTAGTATAGGCTAGGCTAGAGTGGCACTGAGACATAGCATATGTTGCACGTATGAGAGATATATTCTTGAGTTCCGCAGCACGGTTGTATACATTACTCTATCAACTCGATTCAACCCCGTACCATTATTGTTATTGCTAATCTTATTTCCTATCCCATATGAGTTTAGGCCTTGCAATATCTCTAGAACTGGGTCATTGGGTTGGAAGGCTGGGGAAATACTTGGTATTCCTCGTGCTGTATAGATGGCGATCAAGCTACCCCAGCCTTAGATTGCACCACACCATATGGCACCCCTTGGTATGAGATCCATAGTATAACAAGACCTAAGAAATGCTTTATAGACACCAGAAATGATCTTGATGTTCGCCGCAGCCCTATAGACTGATCCCCACCAAAACAACCCGGAAAGGGATAGCATTCCAGCATGTCGCGAGGAGTCGTGCTATTGGGCTACCATACTTGGGTCTTCTCATCGATGAGTTATGAGTCTTTCATTGTACGGTCGAACCATTCTTGTGGACTTTCGGCAACTATTAGAAAAATGAAGCCATCTCGCGGCCACCTAGTTAGTACGATCAAAGATACAGGATAGCCCTCCCACCATAATGACTGATCAATCTCCCCTAGGCAAGTTTTGAACTATCTTCGTCTCGAGAATTTCCAATTCTTACTAGTAGGCATTCCCCAGCCAAGGTAGAGACATGCTTCCTTAGGTAACGTATTGATGCTTCGCTGTTAGGGCTATCGGAATGCAACATTCTCCAAAACGCCCCTGGGGTCTCAGCGGAATACCAACAGGCGACTTTCGAGCTCACTCCTACGGGGCTGGAGGGGATCTGGGCAATTCTTGCCGCCAGTTAAGAATCGCGATGCGCCAGTTCTTGAAGTTGTATCGCGTTCTCCGTCACCGGCTCACCCAGGTCACGAATACAACACAATCTTCTAACTACCTTACTTTCCTTAAAGTCCAACCAACTATTGACTTTCTTTTATCACAATGTATTTCTCCAAGGGTGTTATTGCCGTGACGGCTTCCTTCGTGTCCCTTGGTCTCGCTGCCGACCCTCTATCCTTCACTTCCTGGCCCAAGGAGCCTCTCCAACCTGGCAAGCCGGTCACCCTCACATGGACTGGTGCGACTCCTGGTCAGGTAATACGCATCTTTTCCAATGTCTCATAACAAATCTGACCCCGTTTAGCCTGTGACCATCCTCCTCCGCCAAGGTTCCTCGGGCGATCTGCAGGATGTCAAGCCAATCACTACCGATGGAAAGGGCGGCACCTTCACCTGGACTCCTGACAACGATGTCAAATCGGGCGACACCTATGCCTTCCAAATCTTGCAGAAAGACCAGACTAACTATACCGCTCTGCTTAAGTCGGCCGGCAAGCCCGCGGCCGATATTCCCGAGGCTAAGGATACCACCGAAACTGGCACTGCTACTTCTACTGCTGCAGCCACCGGTACCTCTACTGGTGCTACTGATACCTCCACTGGTACTTCTGGCACCACCACTGGCACCGAAAACACTACTGGCACTAGTACTGGTACCACTGCCCAGACCACTGATGCCCCTAACACCCAGACCACTGGTACTACCGAAACAACGCATGGAACCCACACCACAATGACTAGCACTGCCAGCAAGGCCCTCATCAACTCTGCTGTCAACTCATCAGGCAGCCCTTCTAGCTCTTCTCACGTCAGCTCAACCGATAAGCCGATGGCTACCAGCACCGAGGTTGTCGATGGTAAAAAAGCATCCTCAACCGGAAGCGTGCAGACTGGTGCTGCTTCTATCCCACAATACTCCGTGCAATTGGTGATGGGTATTGCCGGTCTTTTGGCCTGCCTTGTCTAGGTCAATCATCTGTTTTGGCGTTGTCGGTCTTATCTTCGGTGTTTTGGTGGAGTTCGAAAACAAAATGGTATAACTTCCTGTACATAAAATACCCCTGGATATCAGATATCGTTGATATATAGGTGGCCTAAGGCATTGAGGAAGTAATCAATTCACATTTAGCATATTCAATGCGTCACAAACAAAAAGAAAGGCAAGAAAAAGCAAAGAAAAGAAAACAAGACCTGTCGCTCGCCGCTAGCGCCGTGGCGCTCCCTGACGGACGCGGAGTTGGAACACAAAGAACGATGATCGACTGATCTCCCACTTCTTCAACCCTTTACCGCTACTTCATTGTTTTGGATTATTCTGCTGAGATCATTTGTTTTAGTGATCTTTGATGATCTTTGAAGATCTCATGAGACAGCGCCTTTATCGATCAGAGGCACTCCTTGCGATGTCTAGATGAATAAGCAACACCATAAGACAACGACCTCACATCTTGCTCAATTGACTTCTAATACTGGTATGCGCCTTTCCCTTCACAGGCTCACTACTTTTTGCTCCCATCTTGCTCTTCCCATCTGGTTCCTCATGACAGGCGCGGGTGGTCACCATGGGGGGCTTCAAACGGGTCATGAAGCGTCTCAGCCCTAGCAAAAATCTCATGCCGATTGCTGCTGACCCCCCTATCCGTGCAGAAGCGCCACAAGTCAATCTCCCGCATGTGGACACGCAATTGAATATGCACCAGCATAACGGACTCCTCGACGACGAACCAGCCACCGAAGGCCAGAATGGTTGGTGATTCCAAACCCACTCCCTCTACCTTCCAAGCTTACAATCTCCACCCTGCAGGTGACTATAACCAATCCCTCTCGTCTCATTCGAACCCTCCAAACCCATCCGCTACCTCCGTCGACACGAGCAATGGCGATTCCCACACATCAGAATGGTCAGCGGTTGGCCATGCAGCGACAGGGAAATCCGGACGTGTGATCCACAATCTCCAGGAAGAAATAGCACGGTTAACGCGTGAATGCACACTCTACAAGTCCCGCTCGGAGGAGTACCAGAGAACCAATGAGGCCTACAAGATCCAGCAGCAAAACATGAACGAGCGTCTACGAAACCTCGAGCAAGTCAACGAGACCAACCTCAACTCAATTGCACGGAAAGACCGGAAGCTGGAGGAAATGAGAATAGAGCTGCAGCACGAGCGCACCAAGCGTCAGGACGCGGAAATGAACTCAAACCAGACCAACCATACTATGCAGGAGGAGCGCGAGAATCACAATCGAGAACAAGCCCGGTCACTAGAGATCGCCAAACACTACGAGACACAGTACGATGTATTGTCCGGCACTTTGAAACGCGACAAGGCGGAGTTTGCAAAACGCATTAATGCCATATGGGCCGAGTTCACGACTCTCGCCAACGCGCAGAAGACACATATACTCTCCACCGAGAGGCTGGAGGTTCTTGCAGATCAGAAGAACAGGGAATTCGACTCCCTCAAGGAATCTTATGACAAGCTGCTCGCCCAACACTCCGCATATAAGGAATTGAAGGATAACGACTTCCGCGAGACAATTGAGTCGGCCAAGGCCAGCAATAATATGGTCGCTGGGGTTCTTGCTCAGCTCAAGGAGACCGAGACAGAAATGAAATGGGCAATCCGGCTCAATGCAAGTCGACAAAGCAGCGAACAAAGCGGCGAATAATTCGTGTTGTCTCTTGTTTGTGTCAACCCCAGACCTCAATCATGCGAAGTATCTCTCTCCACCCCCTCTTCTCTCTGTTTACTGCTCAGATTCCTCAAAATCTACCACCGAATTGATGCCGGACAATACTTTTCCCGTCCCAACTCCCGTCTTGACAACCATCCTACCACTCTTGTTCATTTCTCATAGACCATTCTTGGCCGGTGCATGGCGTTTCATTTCAATTTGCAGCAGATACCCGTGGCAGAGTTCAATTCCGGTCGTGTGCCCTTCGATTTTTGTATTCCTGTATTCTTACTCTGCATTTTCACCCTTTTCCTGTTGTACTGTTACCCCCTTGTTAGATATGGCGTTTGACGACCTGCATATTTTTACCTGGACATGATTACACCGTGGTGAACATGGCAAGTCTTGTTTCTTGCTTGTGTTCAAAGGGCTTTTAAAGAGTGGCTGCATATTTCCTTTCTGCCTAGATGTTATGGGCATTTTATTACGCTTGACTCAGAAATTTATACTCTTTCAACTTTACTTAACTTGCCCTATGTATTCACTCCGCATATTCCTGAATTGCTATACTCCAATCTCATCGTCCTGGATACAAGATAGCACTGCGCGCGTTCACATTCCGTCACTTGCTACTGACTTCCAAGTTTGATATACGCGGTTGTTCCTTCCATCGTCGCTGAATAATAGAAATCATATTCATTTGACTCTCATCATCTTCCTCTCTCTTCTCTCTTCCTCGTCTTTCGTCCGTTATCTTCATCTCATGTGCACCGTTCATGACAGCCTGTTCTATCAAATCGATTATCTAGGTGAGGCTCATCTTGTTCTTCTCTACTCGACTTGCCTTCACCTACCTCTTACTTAATTGATTGTCTTCTCTTGGGTCCAATCAACCCACTGCTTGCTGGGTTGCTTCTTTCATTCCCCTTTCAACCCAATTAACGTCTTCAAATAGATTGAAGGCCCAAAACCTTCCGTCTCCGGGTCATTGGATCCGTTCACCTGACGTCGGTCTCCAATCGCTTCACATCCATCCCACGTCAATACATTCAACTCCGCATATCTCTCAAACACCGTCCAAAATGGCTAATAGCCGGACACTTCATTTGACTTCAATGTGGTCACTGGAGGACCAAGGAGTAAGTCTACACTTTAACATCTCATGATCATCATTCTGTATGACTAGGACTGACCGGACTCGATATAGATCCCAGAAATCCGAGACAAACTCAAGTACGCATACTATTCATGTATATTATCTTGATCAAAACTGACTTCTCATAGAGCATTGAATCCCGGTGCTTCGATCAAGGTCGAATATCAACGTGATAAACATGTAGGTTTTTCTGTACTATTTATTTGTACTATTTGCTATGACTTTGCTAATTGTGTCTAGATCTTGGTTGTTACGGGTCAATTCAATGAGGAATTTGATGTCAAAATCACATCGCTGCTTGCGAATTACATTGAAGAGCATCGCAATGATGATCTGCTCGAGGTATGTCTTGATTCCTCCCCAATTTCTAAGTTATATTGACCTAATATCTGCTTCACCCAAGACGACGAGAATTCGTCAGCTTCCAATCTCTACCTTCTTCGACCCCAATCCCTTTCCTAGCCACGAAAGCGATGCGCTCCCAGAGACGGAAACCCTAGTAGAGGACATTGCCCCGGCACAACCCACTAGCGATGGACTCATTGTCAAATTCTGGTATCCCTCGCAGATGGGAACGGGCCCCATCTCTCATGACTCGGACGCTCTTCTACTTCGCATTTCCAAAATGACGAAAACACAAATCACAGTGGAGGGAGCCCGAGGGCTCCGTATCTCTGCACAATACATGAACAACATTGATGAGGCAATGGATATACTCGACTGCCTCGAAGAATGTTTGGTACAGTCCCGAGTCCTTGTTTCGAAGTCCTGTATGTTAATACTTTCTAGGATCTCATTGAGAACACAAACCGAGGACTGATCGTCTTTACTCCACAACAGGAGGACGCTACCTTTCGCATCATGACATATGCACAGATCAGTACCACTGCCTTGTGGCGTATTTTGATCGACTTAAATGCCTCTCTTCGTCTCCCAAAGATAATGACTCTGGTCGTCTGCGAATTCGACGAGTCAGCTAACCAATATTGTCCACTTCGCAAACTTCGTCAGCCACCGCAAGTGGCTCAGAAAGCGAGCATTATTAGAGACTGGGAAGATTATCATTTTCCAGAGATCGGCCCGAGAAACGATCCCTTTCTGGGGGATATTGATCAACATATCGCGCCCAAAGGTGAGGCCCTTTATGAGAGGAATGACACTAAGCACCCGTATCTCTCGACTGGTAAGGCAAAAGACGTCGACAAATGGATCTCTCGGGGTGTCACCAAACGGCCTATGGCAAGCAACATCCATACAAGAGCATCACTGGAAGATGATACGACCTCCCCTACGCTTGTTAAATCCAAGCTCCAACCTGCGCCCAGCGTTTCCGCCCCACGGGAGAAGAGACAGTCCGTTCCATTCAAGCCCAATCCCGCTGGCGTCAAAGGACGCGTGATTATGCTACAAGATGGAACTGTACCCATTAACCAGTCTCAACAAGAAAAGCCAGACACTCCTCATAGCCCAAATATCTCTCTGTTTGGCAGACTCAGCTACAGAGAGAGAATAAGGGAGCAACAAGTAGCCGGTTCGTCTATCTCAGTCCCTCAACAAAAAGGACTGGCGAGTATAGTCCGCAGCGCAGCTGACTTTACTGCTTCAAATGCAGTTTCCAAACAACCGGAAACAATGTCTGAGGCAACCGGTCCTGTGGCTTCTATCTCTACTAGGGAATCAGACTCAAATGCCACCCCTCGTCGCCCAGTCCTATCCACTCATCCGGGCACAGCACCCAAACAACCGGGGGAAACGTCCCATGATTTGGCTATCTCTCCCGCTAACCGAGAAGAGAAGCTAAATAGCCCTCTGAGCCGACCAATTCGTTCTCCAAGAGTCAAGAAGGGCCAGCTTTTCGGCACACTCGAGCCAGTGAATTTACAGGTGAATACAAAGGCTCAAGGGCGAAGTGTTGATTCAGTGATGGGAGAGATAAAGCTAATTCTTGAGAAGACCAAGATCACGAGGGAAACTGGAATAGACGAAGTGTCCAACAATCCAACGATAAGGGATCAAAAGCAGCCAAGTACCACATCCACCCAGCTGGATCGCAGCGAAAGAGAAAAGGAGAACACAAGCCCCCTCATCGATCTTGATTGTGAAGTGAGCAGTCTCAACAGTGGCTTACAACATATTGTTGCGTTCGATCCGCTAGCCACAGTCCGATCAAGTGGTCCGGAGCAATCTACATATGCTCAGCATGTCAAGGCTCGCAATTTTACTGAAACTGGTGATATTTTCGATATGCCCAATATCGAGGATACAGCTATGCAGCCTCAGCTAACTGAGAGTTTCTCTCTTTATCCCGACCTAAATAAAGATCCGATGCTGCTCCGTGCGACGACTCCAGCCTCTTTTACTAGTGAGCCTGTCCAACTAGGGCTCGCTACAAGTGCGCCATTGCCTGATTTGGAAGTTTCTGGCTCTGATCATAAGAGCGCCGCATCGGACGACGGAAAGGAACATGAACAGGCCCCTGGATTCCGCAGCAAGGCCGATGAGGTAGCACTGGAATATTTGCTCCAGCAAATCAAGGAAAATTCTACTCCAAGAATTCCCAGCATTGAGGAGATTGCGATACCTCTTGATGCTAGCCTTTGTGACCCTGTACCTCGAGCTCTGTCTTTTAGCTCGGGTGGCAGTGCTCCGCACGGTGATATCCAGCAACGTCAACACGTTGGTCAGTGGGTTGAGAATGTGCCATCTCTTTGCCCGGACCTCATTGATATCTCACCTCAGATGCTTTATCCTCGCTTGCCTAATCTTTTGCAATCCAACTCTGAAGATGGTGAGCAATATGCGGAAGCAAAAGTGATTGAAACGCTTGCTGTCTCGGATGAAACTGAGACAAGAGAATTCCAGAGGTCAATGTATCATCAGCGGCCTTGCGGCAAATCCTTTCAATGGGTGGATGAAGTGATTAATGCCGTGGGAAGGGCAGATATTGAAGTCCACACTGCTAATGCCGGGGAGGGGAATGAAAACAGCACAACCAATGCAGAGAACGGAGAAAACGTTCAAGCCCCCATTGCTAATAACTGGCAGCGAAGAACAGGATCAAAAGCAAAAGAAGCACTGCCACAAAAAAGCACTGCTTTGTCCATGAAGATGGCTGCGAAATCAAGAGAAAAGAAGCAGATGCATGAATCAACAGAGAATTTGTTTCGTTTTCTTCAACCAATCCTTGATGCAGTTCGCAGCTTCCCTGGAGCAATGAGCCTTGAAATCCAGTTCGGGCTTATGTTCATGCCCAGCCTACCGGCTTCAACCAAAGAGAGGGAGATGAGCTATAGGGAGGTTCACCAGCTGTTCTTCTCTAAGAATAACTTGACGCCGCCTCCAATCTCATTCTTCGAGCGCTTGACTACATCTCCTGCCGATATTGACTACCTCATCGATTTGGAGGTCAACCAATCTCGTCTGTTCGACCGAAAGTACAGCCACCGAGGCGTAAAGTACGAATTCTGGTGCCGCGTTGGTCCGAACAGAACCATTGTTATTTCAGTCAATGAATATGGACACGCTATGATCCGCTATCCCGAGGTCTCCCTAGGCACTGTGCACTTGAGTTGCCCTTCACAAGTCTGGGATGCAGCTGCTAGGGTACATGGTTACATCGAATACATTACGGGGGCTGATCCGGAGCTTGACGAAGCTGCACGAATGATGGCGAAAAGCATTCGGGTAGAGCCAAACAATAAACATCTTCGTATGCTGGTCCGTGCTCCTCCGGCGTCAAAGATCAGAATTGAGAAGGTGTTCATGGAACGATGGAGCCGTCACCCTTATCGCTCGAAAAAGAGCAAAGGCTTGTTTCTCCAAATCAGCGAAAGCCAAGAACTCCTCGCCACCCCATCCGTCTTTGATCCTAGTATCACGGTTTTGCAAAACGCCTCGCTTGAGAAGATGGTCAAGGATGGAAAGCAGTGGTGGCAGGCCTCGATTGTCAGCAGCAAAGTGGACGACATCATGAAATCAAATTCCTTCCTTGAACCCGGTGATCGCAACGAGTCCTGGTGTGCAACAGATCTTCTCGGTGCAGATGTCAGGAGGGTCCTTCCCTCTGATGTAAACCAGAAGCTGAGCACCCTCGGAGGCGAAGTCGGCCATTCAGGAATTGGAGCAATGTTACAACTTGCCAAAACCGTGGTGCAGAAGATCGATGCTGTCGGGTACTGGAACAGAGGTCCTGCGAGTCTTGACAAGCGTGCTAACACATCGACTGGTCGCAGCCAGGGTGGTACAGGTATGGTCAAGGCGTCATCCACCTTGGGCAAACAAATGGTTCCCTGGAATCAGCCAACTGAATTGAAGGGAAAGCACAAGTGGTGATGAGACAGTGATGAAGATGAATCTCGGGGGTTGGAGTGGAAACGGGACAGATTGTATCCTTTCCATTGATACTGCATTTTAAGACACCAAAAAAATTAAAAAAACAATGTTTGATTACTTTATGGAGCTGTGTAGTTTGGCCCTATGATTTTAGCTACAGTATTATTGAATACTCCAGTCCGTTTTATAGAAGATAAACTGGGCTGAGGTAGTGAAGTTTACACCATAAATGTATTGACGGAGCAGCCAGGATTGTTATAAGAAGTACCCAGATGTAGCCAGTGATGTAGTTAGGTAGGTATTAATATTATGTACAGATTCAACACATTTCCCTCCCACTTTATCAGGAAGGATTTCATCTCGCAACTCATTTGGTATAGATCTCGAAGGTGAAGTGGCTCAATGCGTGTGTTGACCTAGTAGCGATGGGCCCTGTTGTTTTGCCTCTCCGGCTTTTCAATCCTGGTTTCTGACCGAAATCGATTGATCCAGAGAGGTAAGCATATATCAATGGAGATCTACTAGATGGATGGTATCGTGAGAAAAAAGACAGGAGTAGATTTTGTTGGGCTGCGTTCGCCTTCTTCTTAGGACATTCAAACGTCATGTGTCCTTTCTCTTTGCAGTAGAACCATCGGCCCTCCTTCATCAGGGTCTCCCATTCTATGGCTGACAGTCCGGACGACGACGTAGTTCCTTCGCGCTTCACACGTGGGGTGTAGGACTGGCTAGTGGTAGTACCAGCTCCGCTTCCGAATGAAGTTGCTGTACGGGCACGTGCAGTACCTTTCACCTCCTGCTGGAGATTGATCTCATGTGACATGCTCTGGCAGCTCTTGCTGATGATGGACAAGGAGGAGAGGACAAGGGAGGAAGGACGGAACTATCTGGTCTATCTAATAGTGGGATCTGGCTCCACTGGGTGACCGCCTTGCCGGCCACCCAACATATCTTCGCATTGCCATCATGAGGGTTCATGTTCCACCTGTAGCTCAGGGGAAGAAACATGATCCTGGAGGCCCTGTCACGCTGGTAGCTCAGGGGAAGATAGATGATGTATTGTCTATGATAGTAGCGGGGCTATAGCTATGTAGTCACGTGGGTAACAGGCCCCCTGCGAATAGAAAAGGGGTGTAGGTGCTCCTGGCTGGCATCCTGCAGACGGCGTCAAGGATGCGGTAGTAAAGCTGTTCGGGGTGGTCAACTCCTTCTGCATATCCCGCAGAGGTTACGCGAAGCTCACTTTGCTTAGCAGTGGACACTAGAGGATCCTCATCGACCCAGGGTATCTTTAACTCTCCAACCACCTTGAGTTTGGTTTTGCCATTTGCGTCTTGAAGCCCTATGACGTCGGGGATGTTTTCGGGGCCCGTGGCTCCCGGCCCCCATTCTTCGCTCAGCTGGCGTGAAGAGTTGAGACTCTTCGACCGCAGTGGAGAATGCGGTAGAGCGAGCATAGCGGGTCTCTGATGATCTGATCTAACAGTTCCACCAAAATCGGACATCGGAATTCAATTTTGATTCACTGCCAATGAAAAGTCGGGTCTGTTGGAGGTCCCGTGCTTCGGCTTGTGGTTCTTGCAATGCTTGTGATGGTTCCATATTAACAGAATCCGATTCGGAAAACCTCTGCTTTGTGCGCCTCTGACGAGGAGGAATGCACCTGTTTCCCGGAAGACTTTCTTTGTAATAGGATTTTCAATATGCTGGAGGTATTCTTAAAGCTCGCCACCCACGATTTCTAAGGCAATGGTTGAAGGCTTTTTCGGTTTTCCGTTAACGCTCCCAATGATAGGAGTACTATCCCTTAAGACCAGGGCGAGATTCGCCATGCTGACGGCTTCCAGGCAAACGGAATACCCTTGAATTTGGTTTGGTTTTCCTGCAGATCGTTTTCTGCTCTTCTCACGTCCTTATCCTCTTTCGTATTTGTAGTATCAAGGAGATTTTTAGGTCGTTCTCGTGCATAAGGCCAGGTATTTCGAACTTATCGGTGAAGTAATGGCCCTCTGCGGTAATGTGAGACCAGCCTCGCTCTTGTCTTCGATGGTGAATTTAGACACGGAGGTCGTCAATGCCAGGGATTTCTTCCATTCTCTCGAATCTCTTCGCCTAGGTGTGCCAACAGCAATCGTAGAGTGGAAACGGCGGGTAGGTCAGCATCGGCATAGACTTAAGCGTGTTCCAATTTTCGCGAAGAGCAGCAGCGCGGACCCGCGTGTACACCTTGAACCGATCCCCGTATGCAGCGTTGATGAAGAGTTCGATGGATCTCTTCTGCGCCTCATTGAACCATTTCAGCGATGACTTGGCTACATCAAACCCATAGACGTAGGGGACAACCTTGGATGCCCAGCGAGCCTGGTATCCATCTGCGCCGGCAATTCCTTCGGAAGAGCTCAGCCACATCCTCAAGAATAAATTCGCTCGGCGCAGAATCGCGGTTGGTTGGAGGTATAATCATCATTGAAGTTTTTGTGGGTGGGTGTATTTTCGCTGCTATACCGGTAGCTGGATGACCCATCGCGCATTGAACGCCGCCCATCGGGATTTCAAGAGAGAGATGCACGATGGATTTTACGCCCTCGCAGTGCTGGAGGGGCACTAAGGCTAGAAGTTAGAAAGAGACAAATAAAAAAGAGATTGAAATAAAAGGGAACCAAACTTACAGGACAGAGAAGCCCACAGAGAAAAACAGGATATATTGATCATGATTGTTGATATATTGAAATGATGCAGTTCTTATATGCTCCCCGAGACTGTTTTGTAGACTGGGAAGAGATGGAAGCTTGGAAGGTAGTTGACGAGGACTTTATATACCGGAGATTGTGGTCACTTGATATATTTCCATCTCGTGGAACGCGCGAGGCATTTCTAAGTGAGACTAGACGCTGTGGGTGCAGGTCAACCATATATAGAGCTCTTTCTATGAAGATATAGTCAAGTCATTTCCGAATTTGATATATAAACGTTTTCAGAAAGTATTATCATTCTCCTGGGGTTTACAATTACTATTATAGCTGTCCTGACTCAGCCATTGTTCTGCTTGCTTGCTCCCTGTTTGCTATTTTCTTTGTCCATAGAATGTTTACTAGCTAAGCGAGATGTTTGATATTCACTCTCAACTTGCTCTCTCTTTCTTCTCTCAGTCTTAGTTGGTTTGAATTAGATGTACTCTTACTCTTCGGATCTGGCACATTACAGTCACAGCAGGGGTGTCACAATTTTATACTGCACTCGAATTCCTTCTACGATTACACCAACGAGAACTGGAAACCCCGATGTCCATCTATGCTCAATATATGATAATAAACAACCTCTAAATTTAATGCGAGTATATTTTTCCATTAACCCAAAAATAATCATTCTTCCTCGTCCGGTGCATCATCCACACAACGCAGCCAAGCGGCTCGGGCATCAACCGCCGCCTTCCGTACATTACGCTTAGGGTCGTCAAGAACGGCTCGCAAGGACCTCAGAACCTGATTCTTGACAGGTAATAGAGGCGAGATACCCGGCGGAGCATTAGCTGCAGCGCCGGGCACCTGGTGCGTAGCGAGGAGATTGAGACATTTCAAAGCATCGGCGCGGAGACGGGGGCTGTTAACCGCACCAGGGCCGATATTTGTAGATGTTGTTTTGAGGAGTCTCGTGACAAGACTCTGGACGTGGCCGCACCGGTCGATGACGGTGACGCCGTTGTCACGGATGATGACGGCGAGGGTGTCGAGCGTTGCTGTGCGGACAGCGACCGAGTCGGCGGTCTGGAGGTCGAGGGATTGCAGGAGGAGGGGGAGAAGGGTGGGGAGTTCAGGCATGACTAGGGCCGTGGGGATGGTGGAGAGGATACCCGCGAGGGCGGTTAGGTGCGCTGGTTTAATATGGTCGGGCGCTTTTGGGGTGGGGTGGGAGCCATCTGTGCCGGCGATGTTCACCTCGCGAATGCGAGTGGAGATCAAAGGGATGACTGTTGTGAAGAGGCGCTGTCTGCACAGGAGGCGGATTGTAGCGCCATTGGTTGCGGAGATGATATCGTCTTCGCCTAGAATTATGGAGAAGCCTTGTGCTGCCGTCGCGCTGGTTTCTTGGTCTGGGGAGGAGAGGAGAGCGAGGAGGGAGGTCAGGATGTGAGTTGTTGCGGGGGCTAAGCGAAGGATCAAGGCTTTAGATAGCCAGAAGATGGTGCGAATGATAGGAGGACTGAGGCTCTGTAATTCTGTGTTCTCGCCTTCGAGGAGAGAATCAATGAGTCTCTCGGCGATTGGCACATCCTGCTTCGACAGGAACTTGTTGACGAGCAAGGCCAGGTGGCGCAGGTAGGCTTGATGTGTTGCTGGTTCGGTGCTCAAGATACAACGATAGATCAGATCCAACAGCAACCCCGCCATGTCTGGGTCGGTGTGCGGGATCTTGTTACCACAGTCCTTGGATAATCCCGCGAGCAGGTATGTCGAGATAATGATCGTACGTTCTCGATCGGCTTCTCTAGTCTGAGTAAACGGAAGAGGCACGAAATCTCCAGCTGCAGAGAAGAGGCTGTAGACGTTTTCGGCAACTTGCTCCTGTTTCTGAATGGAAACAGACCGCACAAGGAGATTACAGAGTCGACCCAAAGTGTCAAGCACGGTAGGATCATTGAAAATCCGATTCTTGGCCTTGCCAGAAGCCGATGCTGCGACATCGCGGCAAAGTCCAACCACAACCTTGTCGAAGTACAAATCCACACTCTGGTCTTGTTCCATGTTTCTCTGTTGCATAACATAAAGCAAGGTGGCGAGGATCGCACGTGGGTAAGCAACTGACCCGGGTTCCTCCTTTTGCAGCAGAACGGACAGTTTGCTGAAAAGACGACGGAAAAGTGTCTCGAAGATGTCCCTCTCGACGCTGATCTGGGCAAGGGTCTCGAGCGTCGGCAGATACCGGGCATCCGACCCTTCATCTTCCTCTGGCAGAGTTGCCACAAATGCAGGGAAAGTGATATCCACAATCAGGCGGGGCTTGTGCTTGGAAATCTCAGCAAGGGCAGCAATTGCCTCTTTCTTGAGATCATCCCGGCCCACGGACTCCTCCTTGAGAAGGATTTCGTCAAGGTATTGTACGAAAAGCCCAATCTCATTCTCCTGGAAGTAATCACGCAAAGTCGACAGACGCAAGAAGCCTTTCAAGGCAGTCACCCGGAAGGAAACCTCTTCCTTTGCTGCACCCATCAATACCTGACCAAAAAGGTCTGAGAATTGGTCTTTAAATTCGAGTAGCGGGTTTTCGATAGCCGCCTCACCCCCTCGGGTGGTCCATTGTCCAAACACGGTTGTAGCAGAATCGAACAAGACATTCAAAGTTTCGAGAAGCGCTCTTTGTTTGACGATTCCGTCTGCTTCTTGGTAAAGTGTGAAAATCGGAGGTACGACTGTTTGTACAACAAGGACAAAGGAAACGGGCGAAGCAGCAGACACACAGCTGAGGATCGATTGGGCCGGATTGGCCTTCTTGTTTTGGGGCTCCCGGAGTTGCTCATTGCATTCCTTGGTGATTGGCTGAAGGTACTTTGCAAGAGGCAATTCTTGCGACACTTCGGTAACTCCTTCGGATAGCCGTTGGGCAATTGCTTGCAGAGCCTCGAGGGAGGCTTCGGATAAGAACTCCTCTTGGGCATTGAGAATCTCAAACTTGAGGACTCCCCATATGGTAATGGAATACCTAGACACTGTGTCGGGGTCGTATGAATGGATACATGCGATCAATGCATTAAGTGCATCTTTCTATAGATTTATTAGACGGCTTTCGAATCACGGAGTGTTGAGCAATTTTACCTTTACATTAGGAGAAGTAGAATCAAGCTTGTCCAATAAGGCGGGGATAGAGTGGGGCGCAAAATGCCTTGTCGAAGAGATACACTCTTGAAGACGACCCTTCAGATCCTGTGCGGTGATTCCATAAGGGTCGTTGGGCGGAGGTCGGAATGTGATTGGGAAGTAGTTATATACCGAGTCGAAGAGAGTCTGTCTAGTGTTAGCGGGATCGCCGAGCTTGGGAAATTACACATACCTCAACGTGGTTCGAAATGTCCCATTCCACCATGACCACTTTCAGGATCGAGAATACAATCATCAAATTTCTCGGGTCTTTCTCTCCCGTCATAATATCAACAACACCTAGAAGCGAGATATCTCCCATATCACACATAGCTCCGCGGTGGTTTGACATCAAGTCATTAAGCAATTCATAGACATGGAATCGTTGTGTTTGAGACCGAGACTGGAGATCTTGAAAGTTGGAAAAAAGTCTATATCAATAAATCAGCACTGGGTCATCTTGAGTTAAGCTTTATCCCCGGCGAATACAGGGATGTAAAAGTATAGCACCTACGCTTGCGCTACTTGGGTAGCCAAAAACTTGTTAAAACGGTCCAAGCCCTGCAGGGCCTGCAGCCCATCAACAGCACCTCCATCCTCAATTCTATCACAGAAGAATGTAGTCAGGACTTGAATCTGTTGTCTCGAGAGGTATTTCGGCGAGAGGGCTTGGATAATGGCCGTAAGGAAGGAAATCGCTTTTCCACGTAAGATCGGGTCTTCGTCGTTAATATATTCGCCGAGAGATTGGACAGTATCAAGCAAAGTCACTTTTTTAATCTCAATATCTATCGCTTCCGTTAGTAATGCAACGATTTGAAGTGGGCTCGAGTGCGGGGCGAATTAGCATACCATGCGCGCTTCCCTCGGCAATGCGCTTGGCTTCTTCTTTGTCGTGGTCCACGACCAGCATAAAGGTCTGCAAAGCCGACATGATACCAATTGATCAATTGGGAGACCCAGGTGTAGATTGCGGGGGGAAAGATCAAGATCACATCGGCCAATTTCTTGTGGCCGGATGCCCTTATCGATAAGGATCAGGTGATTCTGTTATCTCTCCACATCACGTGCCACTGCCTGTTGCGTCATGGTTGTAGACCTGCTTCGCTGCCCAGCATCATTGGCAGCAAGATGGCTCCAACCCGCAGCATGAAATCGAATCGACTAACATCCATTTTATTTACTTTTCTTCTCGCTACATCTGCATCTGCACTTTGGGGCCTATCATCTCCCTTCCCTTCGCGTCAACAGCCACTAGCTCTCGAGCACCAAGAGCACCGATCCATAATGGATAAGATTCTCCCTGGTGTTGTCCAGCCACAGAAGACGGTTCCGAATGAGGATTTGACCTCGAAAGACAGCGCTAGCCCTGTCATCTCAGATGTCCTGCCCAAGACCAAGGGCATCAATATCTTTGCGCGGTTGACCCGTGACTTTGATCCCATCGCCAGCCGCCTTAACGATGCGTCCAAGAACATAACAGTTCTAGCACCACGCAACAGTGCAATCCAGGCTCTTCCACGGAAGCCCTGGGAGAATCCAGAGGATTACAAGAAGTTCGGGGAGGTAAATGCATATGAAGGCCAGGATGGTCAAGACCGGGCGAAACGGAATCTACAGCGATTCGTAGAGGCCCATCTCATCCCGGCTAGTCCTTGGAGAATTGGGGAAGAAGTTGAGAGTCTTGCAGGGGAGAAGTTGAAATGGACGAAGGAGGGTGATAAGATCTTTGTAAGTTTTATCCTCTACAAGTCATTGGTATGGTAACTGACTGTCTATAGATCCAACCTGGCAATATTGAAGTTGATTCAATTGCGGAGAAGGTCAATAATGGGGAAGTCTGGATTCTGAACGATGTTATTAATTACCACCAGGAGTGATTGATATTAGTTATGAAGTACGAGTCATGGAAATTGAGCAATATAAATCATTCGAGAAGACACGAGTAAATCATGTGGTCACGAGATTACGGCTTGTTTACAAAGATGGCACATTCTATTCTGTATGCTATCCAAAACCAGCGATGACCTCAAGACAGGTATATACACCACTAGACATCACATGGGACATCAAAACGGAAATTAGATCCCTGCGGGAGCAAAATTTTGCAAGATTCTCTCTTCCACTCCATCGAGAATGCAGAAGTGCTCCATCACCTCCAGGTTCTCCGCTTCGTTCAGATACAACTTGTCGGGATCCTGGCCGGGCTGGAGCGGGTTGACCATTGCGGCAGGGTTAGCCATACCCATCTGCTGGGCCATTTGATTGGCAGCTATAAATATTAGTGAGAACTCTTATTGGGAAGGTCAGATTGATGCATACCGTTATCACTGCCGAGGATGAATCCAAAAACGGACTGAAGGCCCATCAAGTTGAGGAAGTACCATGAAAGACTGGAGACCCATTGCACATCGAGGTCGCGAGTCATGACACCAGACTGCAGCATCGACTTGAACCGGATAGTAAGCGGGAAGGGCAATTTCACTTCAGAATTTGTAAGCTCGTTGCTCATGTTTTATATCAAATTGCAACATACAGATGACAAAGCCAGAAAAGAAGGCATTGATCCAACTCATGATCAGGGTTTGCGGGATCATCATCATCATGTTTCCCTTAAGCATTCCCATCATAGCTTCCATGCCCGCAGGATCAGTCATGGGGTTCGCGGGCGGTTGGCCGCGATTATTGGGATCCTTGAGAAATGCGCCATTGCGGAATCCAGTAACCATGTAGTTCTTGCGCATCTCAAAGGACTCGCGGTCGAGCACGGAGCAGGCATTGTTGCGGAGATTCACACCGCGGAGAAGAGCAAGGCGCTCGCGAGACTCGGCAAGAGTGGATGGCGCCTTTGGGGTCGTGTTCATGAGGACCGTAGCATAGTGGCGAAGGATTCCAGTCAGTATCTATCCAATAAGAGAGGTTAGTTTCAGTCTCAGAGGCATCGCGAATATTTAGCTTCAAGCACCGAGTGCAGGTCATACCATAACAATTGAAATGGGAAATAGAATCCAATAGCTATAAGCAAATGGTCAGTCCAACTTCCGCTTGATCGAATCATGTTCTCTCACAATAATGCCGGATCCCTAAGGATGGTCTGATCAGCCCCTTGAATTGCCATGTTGAGGCAGAATAAGAATCGAAGAAGTGCCTCCTTCGAACCAACAATAAATTAGTGGTGGCTGCAGGTGGGGGATGGAAAGTTGAAGGGGCCGCGAAGGAGAGGTTGCCAGGCGGAGAGGGATGTCATTGGCCCGCGTTAGCTCCAGCTTTCTCCCAAGGGCCACGCCGCATCTTTGTCCTGCGGTAAACAACAGTCTGCTAAACCACACTCGGTCTTTTGGTTTTTAAAAAGCTCTTTACTCGCATCTATTCTCGAATATATTATGGCTTCCAGCAAGGTGCCGGTCTACTCGACCAATGGTACGTAATCCCGCTATACTCTATACAGCAACAACACTAACGGCGTGAGCAACAGATCTCAAATCTACGAGCGACGATGCTCTGCTTCCTTATCTCACCAACCTTCCCGCGCCATACGCTTTTACACCGGACTACTCGAAGACGAACATTCGCTTCTTGCTTGGATATAGTGCTGTCGCAATTGCAGGGTTTACTTTCTATGCAGACCGCAGGCTTGGCTGGGAAGCAACTACCTCGCCCTGGATTATCGCGGCAGTAGGGACATACTTCTTCTTGAACGCCATTCTCACATACTGGATTTGGGCCGTCGAGGCTGGCGAGGTATATTCCGGGAAGAGGAAGACTGGGGAGACGGTATGTCAATTAGTCTTCGTTCTGATATTCTTTTTTTGGCCAGGTAACTAACAGGACTTGTTTATAGATATCTGTGTCATCGTCAACCAAAAAGTTCTCCAAGCTCTACAAGTTGCATGTCATTTATAAGTCCGCCTCTGGCAAGGTTCTCCAGGACAAGCGGTGTGAGGCGCCCTTCACAACTTGGTTCTCGGTAGATGGTGTATTCCACCCAGAGCCTTTCCGTCGCTGGGTTGCCAGCGAGATTGATGTTTTGAGATTGGCAGCGAAGGAAAATGAGAAGAAGTTTGGCTAGAGGAAGGTTGCCTATCAATTACTATCAGATATTATGTTTTCAGGGTTATTGCAAACTGCAAAGCCAGTTCATTCCCTAAGAGAGATTGAGGAGAGTACATGGGTATCACATGTTCAAATGAGCAAGGAAGAGGTCGGTCTTCTGTGTTTTTCTTTTCACTAGGCATAGTTAATCAGAAGCATCCCAACAGTGTACGTGACTTGATCACTATCGACCAGCAGTGAAAGCAATCTCGTATGCAACACCTGCACCTCACTCGACATGAGAGAAAAACTATTATATGCTGGGTGTCTTAGCCTGATCTGTTAGAATGTGATGTCCTAGCTAGGGCTATTGAGCTCACGTGGATCACTTCCTGGAGCTGTACTGCACTTTCCCAACTTGAAGAGACCTCGGGTTGACTCGAACCTTCCAAGTCAGAGCCTGGGGATTAATGATGTTAGATTTCGGACAACTTTGCACCTTGCTGCTCAACTGCTCTTAGACTGTATGGTTTGACTCTCAATCAAGTTCGAATCATCAAAACTCCTTCACAACTATCTTCCACAGTCGTGAAGACCACCAACATGGGATACATTGTATCTACTCTGCGTCGACCTCGTGGTAAGCTCTCGCCGCGCCGAATCCCGGTGTTTGAGTGAGAAACTGAACTAACAATCCGATCATTTCAGCTCTCCCGGAGTTCCCAGTAGTCATTGCCTGGGTTTCCCCCGAAGACATTGTCTCGCTTGTGGATGCCACCGAGACCCTTGAAATCAAGGGACTGGAAGCCTGTTCAGTCACTATAGAACAGATGACCAATGTAACAACTACGCCGTCCGTGGATGAGTCTGGAGGAAAAGAAACAGAGCGCACCGCCGAACAGTATTCACATGGCTATTTCTATTGTATCCAGACAAAGAGACTCGACCGGCGTGTGAATTACACCTGTTGTATCCACCTCATCGTCCTGGCACCTGGGCTTCAGGTCCCACGGCGCATGATCGGAATCGTGGGTCCTAGCGCTATAAGCCCTTACGTTCAAGTCATTCTCGTGCCGGAAACGCCTTTGTTTCCTGCAGAACTCCTCCAGAAGGTCGCTATCAGTGATAATAGTCAACTGTCAGCGATTGAGTCGCTAAGGTATATTCTGACTGGGGCTGATGAGTTCGCAGATTGGGAGAGTGACTGGGGCGATCTCATCATTTGGTGGCTTCTTCTGTTGAAGCCCTATTGGTTCCTGATTGCGTTTTCTCTTGTGTTTTTTCCCCTGTTAGTTCTTGTCATCGTTCTTGTCTTTGTTCGTTAAGCTTGTGTCAAGGTGAACTGAATGGCTCTTTGCGCGTTACAGGTTTGAGTGTTACCAGTCCCAATTATTCTCGGGGCAATTTGTTAGTATATTAATATCATCCTTCGAGCCCGCCAGCAGTTTTCTATTGAGGTATTATGCAACGTCAGAGTGTAAACAACAAGCTATGGTATTAAACAAGAAACAGTCCTTGTTAGAAGAATAGACAAAGGCAACAGAGCCAATCTCTATAAGTTTCAACCATGGAATGCGACTGGATATCTAAGCACAGGAAACAAAAGAAGAAACATAAGTCTCAGAGTATAATCGAAATGGCTAATAACAAACAGAATATCTATAATTTTTTTACGAAATGGCCAGCTCAATGCATGGCCATCGAGATTGAAATTTCAACCGGTGGTGATCGACCTACGATGATGCCTCGAGGGTGCCAGGTCGTTCCGTAGCCTCGGCGGGCTTGACATCGTCCATTCGCTTGTTCTGGATGAGTCTCTGTAATTTGTCATGTTAGATGTTACCAAGGACCACTGAGCATGCGAATGAAGTATAGAGATAAAACATACCAGCAGGTTCCGCAACAGAACAACAATAGTAACCTTTCCAATAGAGGGAACGAAAAGCGAGGCCTTGTCTCGGACCTCGTAGGGGAAGTTCTATATCAGAACAGTCAGCAACAACCTCATAACCAGACTCAAAAACACAAAGACATACCTTCTCGCTTGAGAAGTTGACACAAACAGCACCCTCACGCAGAAGGCTCGTATCGAACTTGTACTTTTCACTGGGAACACCAGTGATAACCACATCACAAAGCGGCACAACATCCTTCAAAGTCTTTCCCTCAAGATCAACAACCTCATGCGTGTTCTTCTGCAATCCCTCGCCACGAGTGAACTTCTGCACACCAGTAATATCAACCGAGTAAACACAAGCGCCGTCGTTAGCCAGCAGAGCAGCAAGCGGACGACCCACGACCTCAGAGCGGTTCACAACACAGATCGTGTGTCCGAAGAGACGGTTGCCGTAGGGCAGGATTGTGTTGTAGATGTTGAGGTACTCGAGGATCTTGATATTCGCCAGGGGGGTGCAGGGCAGGATAGATTTCTGGCGCTTGGCCTCGCCGTCCAGGAAGCGGATGTTCTGGTACATGTTGAAGATGTAGCGGTGGCTCAGGCCCTCGACGTCTTTGGTCACGTCGACGATCTGCTGCAGGTACTGGTCTTGACGGGTGCCGAAGATCGGGTAGTAGACGATTATGCCGTCGACGTCGTTGTCGGTGTTTGCGTTCAGGATGGCCTGTTCGATATCGTCGCGGGACACCTCGCGCATGGTGTACTTGAAGCCGCTGGGAAAGGCATTGCGTTAGTCGGTTGCTTCAATTGGATTTCTGGTTGTGTTTTGAGGTGTTGGCTGTGCTTTTAGGGTCGTTCTAGGCTTTTTTGGTTTTTTTTTTTTTTGTTGGCGGAGGGGTATGTATGAATCATACTAGCTACCCCCACCAAAGAAGCCATTGGATCCATTGGAGCCGGATAATCAGAATATTATAGAGACTCACTTCTCCTCGCAGGTCTTTTGCGTCATCTGCGCGTACATCAGCGCTGCAGGGTCATTATTGGCCAGCAGGCCGACCAAGTGAGGCGGCTTCTCGAGGGTCTTAAGGCCCTCGTGGACTTCGGTGAGGAGATGGTTGGCAACATTCTTGCTCAACATCACCTTGCAGGAGGAGGGAGGTTTATCGGTAGGGGCAGACATGACGGCGATAGAGCGATAATAACGATATAATCAGTAACAGAGAAAAGCGAAGTTGCTTGCACGCGGGGGACTTGGTGATCTCCGGGAAAATCTTGATCGCTTATCGATAACAAATCGGATGCCGGTTTCGGCCTCTACTACCGGGTCGTCGTGTCTTTTCAATGATATGCCGTGGTATAGAATGTCGTAAAAATGGGCATAAAAATAGGCTTATATTCAGTTCCGTCGGTCGATTGGCGTGTATCTAGACTGAAGTTGCCATGTTTCGCATATCTCCAACCCGGTACATCCGATGGAATACTACGTCTAGCAGTCGTGCAAACCAAATCTACAGTCTAGAATTACGATATAACAATGAACAAATGAAAATAATTGAGGTCCAACATGGAGAGCATAAGGAGACCAGACGGAATTAGAACGGTCGTCCACCCATCACGCGCCCCCGATGCGCGGATAAAATCTAAACGTACAGGATATAATCACATTTTGGCAGACCAAAGTCATTTGAGTTCTCGCTCGAACAGCACTACGAGAAATCCTTGGTCCGCCCCCCAGGATCATGCAGATAATTACATCGCTACATCCAGGGGCAGACTGAGATCTCCTGCCAGGCACCGGCACCAAGAAGAACAGAAAAACAATGGGCTCAAAATTGTACAGGCTATCTTGTCTATACACATAGAGTCAAGAAAACAAAGCCGACCACGAGGGATCATCCGAGTTGTTTCTTCACTTATGCGTTGAAGGTGGCGTTGAAGGCAGCGATGGTCTTCTTGAGGGTGGCCTCAGTCTCCTTGGAGACCTGGCCCTCCTTCTCAATGGTAGCCTGGATCTCGGGGTGGGTGCTCTTGAGGTGAGCAAGGAGGTCAGACTCCCAGGTGAGGATCTTGTCGACGGGGATGGTGTCGAGGAGACCGTTAACACCGGCGAAGATGAGAGGAACCATGTCGGTAACGGACATGGGGGAGTACTGCTTCTGCTTGAGGAGCTCAGTCAGACGCTCACCACGGGCAAGGGTCTGCTTGGTGGAGGCATCAAGATCGGAACCGAACTGAGCGAAGGCAGCGACCTCACGGTACTGAGCCAAGAACAGCTTGAGGGAACCGGCGACCTGCTTCATGGCCTTGACCTGGGCGGCGGAACCGACACGGGACACGGACAGACCGACGTTAATGGCGGGACGGATACCCTTGTAGAACAGCTCGGACTCCAAGAAGATCTGACCGTCAGTGATGGAAATGACGTTGGTGGGAATGTAAGCGGACACATCACCACCCTGGGTCTCAATGATGGGCAGGGCAGTCAAGGAACCAGCACCGTGAGTCTTGTTCATCTTGGCGGCACGCTCGAGGAGACGAGAGTGCAGGTAGAAAACGTCACCGGGGTAGGCCTCACGTCCGGGGGGACGACGGAGCAGCAGAGACATCTGACGGTAGGCAACGGCCTGCTTGGACAGATCATCGTAGACGATGACGGCGTGGCGGCCGTTGTCACGGAACCACTCACCCATGGCGCAGCCAGTGAAGGGAGCAATGTACTGCAGGGGGGCGGCCTCGGAGGCGGTGGCAGCAACGATAATCGAGTACTTCATGGCATCCTGCTCCTCAAGGGTCTTGACGAGCTGAGCGACAGTCGAACGCTTCTGACCAACGGCAACGTAGATACAGTAGAGCTTCTCCTCCTCGGTAGAGCCGGACTTGTTGTTCCAACGCTTCTGGTTGAGCATGGTGTCGAGAGCGACAGCGGTCTTACCGGTCTGACGATCACCAATGATCAACTCACGCTGACCACGACCAATGGGCACCATGGAGTCGACACACTTCAAACCAGTCTGCACTGGCTGGCTGACGGACTGACGGGGCAGAATACCGGGGGCCTTAAGCTGGGCACGGCGAGTCTCCTTGGTGCCAAGGGGACCCTTGCCATCAATGGGGTTACCGAGACCATCGACGACACGGCCGAGAAGCTCGGGACCGACGGGGACATCGACCTGGGGATCGTGTTAGAGAATTGCCATACGTGGATAGATTCAATGTCCAAGTATAAGAATGAACCTAGGGGTTGGATTGAAGTGCTTACAATCTCGCCGGTACGCTTGACAGTCTCACCCTCCTTGACGAGACGGTCGGAACCGAAAAGCACGACACCGACCTGGCCAGCCTCGAGGTTCATGCACATACCCTTAACGCCGGAGGCGAACCTGAAGATAAGTTAGTTTTTTGAATAGGCATAATGCCAAGACTTTGGGGGTTCACGTACTCAACCAGCTCCTCAGCCTGGACGTTGGTCATGCCGTGGACACGGGCGATACCATCACTGTTTGAAGTTCAATTAGTTTCTGTATCGGTAATTTTTCGAATGTTGAGAAATAATGGCGGATTCAATGGCATTGTAACCGGGGACCGAATTTTTCTTCGCGCCCCCAGCCGCCTAGGGAGAATTGACGTACCCGACCGACAGGACACGACCAGTCTCAGCGAGACCAGCCTCCTCAGAGACACCACGGATGCGCTGCTCAAGGATGGAGGAGACCTCAGTAGGGGTAGCCTTGGCCTCGGAAGCGTACGAGCGAACGCCGTTGAGAGGACCGGCAGCAGCCGCGCGGACCTGTAATTGACGAAAAACCTGTTAATGACCATCCCAGAGAAGGACAATGCGTCCTAGCTATTGTTGATGTATTATTGTCGAGGTGTGAGGAGGTATGAGGATCAATCGAGCTCAGGATTGAGATGAAGGATGTCGAACTGGCGATGGACGAAGGCGGCTGGGATGGGATAGACTCACCGAGGCGATGCGGCCAGTGGCCGAAACAGCCGCAACGGAGCGGCTGGACGACCGCAGAGCGTTTCTGAACATTGTGAAAGGGGGTTCAGAGGATGAGAGGATGAATTCTCTGAGGGAGAGATGTAATTGGGGAGAGGAGAACGGGAGAGGAGAGAGGGATTGTGGACGGGAGGGAGAGCTTTGTCGTCGGGGGGAGGATTGGATTCTCAGGACTCGCGCTAAACCGTTTCGGACCCTGGGCCCTCCGAGGTGGCCCTAGTGTAGCCACGGTGTATCTCCTACGACTTTTCTTAGTCCTACAATGTTATATGTATTTTTTTCCCTTTTCTATATTTCGATTTCTACAAATTCTCCCAATTTTTCAAAATATTATACAAGCCCAGAATGAGTTGCTTCCATTTGCATTGCCGACCGGAAGAGTGTGCCACGGGTGTCCTTCCGTTTTTTTCTCTTCTCGGATCGGCGGAATTCCTGGTCAGGTGAATCGCTTATGTCATGGCTTTCGTCACGGCAACCGAAGACGGGCGGTTTGTATACTTTGTATGCTGATGTTGTTATCTACGGAGTACGCAGTATTATTTGCTTGTTTCCAAGTCAGTCGACTGACTTGGCATTGCCATACTACCATACAATAGAATCACACATTGGCCCCAAAACAGCAACGACCACTCCACGGGAAAGGGATCAGCATATCCCCATTGGCCAAAGACAATGCGAAATGACAATCGCAAAAGCATAAAAATGCGCCGGAAATCGCTTGCTAATAACAGGACATATGAATCAACGCGCCCATGGAACCACTGAAGCTTCCAACATCAACCGCGACAACCCGAGAACATACGGCCCTCGATCTTGGCGAGCAATACCTCCCCTTGCTGCGTGCTGCACCCACACCCGCATTTACTGCTCCGCCTTGCCCTTGCCCTTCCCCTGCTTCCGGAACTTCAGAATCTCCAGCTCCACGCCCTTTTCGAACCGCTCCTTGAGCTGTGGGCGATATCCGAAGAAGAACAGAACCTCCATCCAGACAAATAGCGGCGCAAGCAGGAGAGCCTGAACAAGGTTATCCAGCAAGGCAGGCGCACGCTTCTCAAACACGCCGTGTCCGACAAACTGCGCCAGCCATGACACGACGTGGATGCCCCCGGCCCAGTAGTTCACGGTGCTTCCGTACGTGCCGAGGAAGTAGTTTCCGTAGTATGCAGCCGAGATCAGGGCGGGTGCGAGTAGACCGCCGGCAATGGGCTCTAGGAGGATATAAAAAGTAGCGTAAATAAGAGCGCCGATTGTGCCGGCATTCGCGGGCAGGTATTCGATTCGGATAATGTCCGGGAGGGTGAACAGGGGTGGGCAGTTGCAGGCCTTGAAAGTCACTATTAGTACTTTTGTACACTGGGAATATCTCGTTCGGTTGTAAAATGCCGAGATGCACGTACGAGGACGATGCCGGTAAACAGTAGGATTGGGACGCAGGTGATGTGGATTGCGACGTTGACCTACGCTGTTAGTGAGCGTTGATATTATTCGAGATGAGGGTAGGGCGGATGTACGGGATTGCTATGGTAGGCTCCATACTGAATCACAGTCAGCTCTAGTCGTTCTGGGAATTGGATGCGGATACTTACGAAGAGTAACTGTTTCTCAAGATTAAGCGCCATCTTGCCGGTTTGGGAACAAAAAGATGGGGAATTCTAGAGGAAGAGTTTTGCGGGGTGATGGGATCAGGCAAGTGGCATTCTCATTATCGGAAAGCGTTGAGTGGTGCAATTGATCTTCGTCCTGGCCCTGGCGTCATGTGCTTAGAAGACGTTGGTCTTGGCATCGTAACGGTATACACCAACCCGCCATGCACAAGCCTATCAGATCATCTACATTTATAGTTTCACCACGAGATCCTACATTACCTAGGGACAGGTAATTGATTATATACATAGTGGTTTTAATTGGGATTCTCTTTCGTATCTCATTAAATTGGTCGTTAACTACGGAGTATATAATACTCCAGTGAGGCTTTAGACTATTTTCCTACAAGTTTAGGTATTTTCTTACATGGTCCCTAGGGTTATAGGATGAAGATCTAGTATGCCTTCCATATTGTCAATTTAGCGCTCGGTTGTAATGTAAATATTGAAATTGACGACAGCAGTTTGGAGTAGACTGATATATATAGCTAGCGGTATACATCCAAGCCGATTTTTGAAAACCAATAACAAGTCAACGCTAGCCGGTCAAGGCTATATACGGCGTAAAAATGATATCATAAGCTGAATCGAGAGCGAAGTCAGGAAAGTTCACTATTTACTTCTGTACATGTTGTTTGGTCTGCTATAGATCATCCAATCATTCCTCACATAAGAACTAATCCTCCACCAGGTCATGGCTAAATCATCATCAAGTGCAATATTGGCTACGTATTCCATTAACTAATATACCGGAAAAAAATTGAAGTTGCAGTATTTTTGAATGTGCAAATCTCAAGTCAACTTCTCACCGTTCAAGAATCGTACCACGTGACTCCACCCACCCAAACCTGGCCCACGAGATGCTCTTGACGAAAGGAAAGCTTGCGCCTGCAGCAACGTATCTGCCTCCTCGTTCAAGTTCCAAGGCAGATACAATCTCTGCCACTCCCACGGGTACTCGGATCTCATTTCGCTCATTTCTAGCAGCCACATCCCACATCTTGTTTGTGCTTTACCGTTGCAGGTCATGCGCGCGTGGTCGAAAACGCCGTCCCTCGACCTCGATTGACAGCATCACTGTCCCGAAAGCGACTTGAATATTTCCACTCCGCAATTCATTAGCGCATTTTCATTCAACCATAACCGCGACGATGTTCTTCCTCAAAGAAGAGACCAAGGTGATTTCTATGCACCCGTCCTATTTCGGACCCAACATGCGAGAGTACCTCATCGGCCGACTCAACGAAGAGGAAGAGGGACGGTGCACAGGTGATCACTTTGTGATCTGTGTGATGGACATGGTTGATATTGGCGAGGGGCGGGTGATGCCTGGAATCGGACAGGCGGAATACACAATCAGATATCGTGCGATCATCTGGAAGCCGTTCCGTGGCGAGACGGTATGCGCTTGGAATACAAGGTTTTGGCCTTTGGCTTCCCGCTGACTGAGCTTAGGTCGATGCCATTGTTACCTCCGTCAAGCCCACGGGTATCTTCACCCTGGCGGGCCCATTGTCTGTCTTCATTGCGCGAAAGGTATGTTTTGTTTCATCTGACCATGGATCTCTTGAGTTTCGCTGCTGACAACCAATCAGAACATTCCCTCCGATATCAAATGGGAGCCTAACACCGTGCCGCCGCAATACACTGATCATGCCGATCAAGTGATTGAGAAAGGAACCAGTTTGCGGTTGAAGATCCTCGGTGTCAAGCCCGACGTGGCTGCTATCAATGCCATTGGCACCATCAAGGAGGATTATCTTGGGTAAGTCCTTCGACCACGCCCAGTACATGGGATCTTTTCTAACGCGGTTTCCGTCAACAGACCTTTGTAATGAGACACGATTGCAACACATACCCACCTTTTTCGCCCATACGATAATTTACCATGCTATCTATCGTTCCTCAAAGATACGACAAGTGCTTAGGAGGGCTTTACTGCCTTACAGGAAAAAAATGAATTGGCCGGTCAGGAGCTGGAGTTTGACAAGTCCCTACTCGGTACATATGCCATACTTCGACTTTGGCTATACTTCAATGAAAGACCAATCATGTCTTCTACTCGAGAGTGTCTGATTTGAATAATCGGCATTGCAGACTGTTGAAATGACTCCCGACTCGCCAGAGATCGTGTCACCCACTGGAGGGGCATTTCAATCCAGTACTTCTGAAATGTACAATGTACATTATGCTGCATGTGCCCTGTGCAATCCATCCCCCTGTAGAGGTTGAAGCCTTTAAAGTGTATTCTCCAGATTCTCCAGTTACCGGAGAGACGCGAGGCCAAGCCCCAAGCCTAGCCCGTATGGTGAAACACTGGCGTGTTTTCAGACGGTTCCAGAAGATTTCAGGGACTTCAGCGTGTTTTCTACTGCATTTTCACTTCATTTTATATCTGCATTAACTAAATATGCAAGGTACCGATGACTAACTGGTTCTGGCGTTTCCCCTGTATATTATTTATGCCGAGTAATGTACGTTGGGACTCCCGCGCTTGGGCATCGTAGGACATCGCTTCCTTTCCCTTCTCCCCTTCTCTCTTTCCCCTTCTCAATTGGAAAATAGTTTCTTTGTAACTTCAATATCGTCTAGCTTACTTCTGGAGTATCCTAGAGTAGCTATCTTCTCTGGAATATCTTCCCCCTTTCAAACCCCCTGTCCCTATACGGTTGACAATGTCCTACTTCAAGACCGAATACCAGCGGTTCCTGGATAACCCCAAGGCTGCTAAGTTGGCCGACGATGTGTCCTTGATCTATGTTCCTACCACGACGAAGTTCGAGAAGTCCGACAACGTGATCACTCATGTATTGAAGAACGCGAAGGTGGTCAAGACGAAATCGAACAAGGTCATCAGCGCCATTGAAGGATCAGACTCGCTATGTCTCGACATGGAGACAACCCTCGAATTCACCGAGGGTGGTGGGGTTTATCTCCCCTCACTCGACGATAATTTCCTGGCCGACCGTGTCGCGACCTTTCCCACGGTAAATTCCCCGACGCGCGTCGCTTATCAAAGCTAATGCATCATCCCGCAGATTCATATCGTCCACTTCGACACCAATCAACAGATCAAGCAGATCCGAATTTACTGGGATCAGGCCTCATTGCTGAAGCAAATCGAGGTTATTGGAGCGCGCGGACGCCAGTGGCCCATTCGTGATGGAAAAGACCAACTCCGTCTCCTCAGAGACGCCGAGACGGCGCGTGGGACCCCCTCGCAGCCTTCTTCCCAGAAGTTGGATACCGATCTCCCCCACCGCCCCTCATCCTCTGGCAAGCGCCGCATCAAGGACCCCTACGCAGCCGACTCCCTGACCGAGCTCATCTCGCCAGTCAAGGAGGTCGCTGAGCCCGAAAGCGGCGCGAAGACCCCCAGCAGACCATCCACAGCCAAGAAATATACCCCAGACCCCTACGGAGCGGGTTCTTTGACTGAGCTTCTGTCCCCTACCAAGAAGGTTCGCGCCCCTGTGGCTCCCTTTGCGCCCTCGGCTGGGCGACCTGCCGAGCGCAACTTCAGCGATATTTTCGTGAAGGATGATCACGTGCCCGACTCGCGCACCGGACCTGTCGATGAACACCGCCATTACTACAAAGCCGTCCCCGGAAAGTACGACCACTTCGAGATCGGCGGAGACAACTCGGAGCGCGAGGCCAAAGCAGAAGTGAGGCAGGCCAACACCAAACACGAAACCCACTGGGACTTCAACGACGTTGAGACCCCTGTGAAGGGCCAGCGCGTCCTACGCGGGCAAGAAGTGCGCCACTTTGGCTTTGGCGATGACGAAGAAGGCGCCGGATCCCCCCAAACCAAGCAGGACGTGGCCAAGCCCCGTCGCGACGCAGATCGCCACTTTGACATGACCGATTCAGAATCCGCGGACGAGGGGCGGATCATCAGCTCATTCGGGGGTCGCGGCAAGCGCCTCTACGAGAACCGCCTCTTTGACGACAACGGCCAGCCCCAGCTCTCCGAGCGCGAGCAGAAGGACGAGCCCCTTCCAACAGGCGGAAACGTCGCCAACCGCAAGAAGAACTTCGCTTCGCAATTCGACCTGACGGACGAATCGCCCGTCAAGGAGAACAAGCCTACCCAAAGACATGATGCGCACAATAAGATGATGGAGTCCCACTGGGATAACTACGACGAGCAGACCCCTCCTAAGCCTACCCAAAACCACGACAAGCACAACAAGGCGATGGAGTCCCACTGGGGTAACTATGACGAACCGTCCCCCCCTCATCCTACCCAGCAGCATCACGCGCACAACAAGATGATGGAGTCCCATTGGGATAACTACGACGAGCCGACCCCTCCTAAGCCTACCCAAAACCACGACAAGCACAATAAGATGATGGAGCCACACTGGGGTAACTTTGACGACGCATCCCCCGAGCCGGTTAGGAGGAATGCCACTGCGCAGCGCAACCCCCTTGGCCACAACCAGCCCAGCTGGAACCACGGAGACAACAACTAAGTGAGCTAGTCGCTGGTCTAGGGCTTAGCTCGATACTACGTGTGTATCCTTGTCAGCGGCGTCTTCTGACGAGCAACGGCCGACTTTTTCTGAACAATATGTATCGATACCCGCATTAACTTTGGACATTTGTCCGCGAAACTGCAAAATCACAAAAAAAAAAGACAATCGAGGCTGAAGGCTTTCCTTTTATTTCGCGCTTGGAAATTCAATGTTAGTTGGAGTCGAGTGTGGAATGCCTGGCCTGCGTGTACTATTCAACCTTTTGCCTTCTTGTTTATCTCTGTACCTTGCCCTCAAAATGTTATTAGTGTACAAGTTTATTTCCATGAGAGCGGGATTCGTTAATCTCTTAATTTATGGTGTTATACTTCCGATTCCTTGGTCCTACTTTCAATAGCGTAGAACAATATAATACACCTACCCAGGGATCACAAAAGATGTCATCGTTCAAGATTTAATTGAGTCTCACAGCTAAGGTACTGTCTAAGATAAGAAACAGTCTCCAGTGTCCAGTATCGAAGCCAAGCGAGACAGAATATCCCAAACGGTATTTTCCAAAGACCAACGATGAGCGAGCGAATGTAAGTAGGTCTTCCAGGTCCAAATGATATCCATAATTCATTCCTCCATCAAATTATTTCAATTCCATTTCCAATTCTCTCCACCACCAAATTTATCCAAGTCGAGTCAAGCAATATTCAAAAGATACGCAAAACGCATAGTAGATAGCAGATAGATGACGGAACGCAGATTCTCAAAAGCAGACTAGATGTAGAACATAGTCTCTGCAATGTTAGGGTGGATCACGACATCCCGCGTGCGAGTCATTTCCAACGCGCCGTCCGTGCCACTGGTGCTACCACCGGAAGCATCAACGGGCATAGGGTCGAACAGGTCACTCAAGAAGCAGCGGGCACGGGTGCACACCAGATCGGCATAGTACGCCGGCGGGCAGACGCTAACCGCCTTCGTGGCACGGCCGAACAGGTAGCACATCTTGTGAGTGAGGTCCTGGAGGACATCAGCTGCGCCGGGCCCGGTGCTGTTAGCTGGGTGGCGGGGGTAGAAGATCTCATCCCAGACGGTGAAGTAGTGGGCTGGACGGGCTGTGCCCTGGAGGGCGGAGTGCGCCTGCAGGAAGAAGTCCCAGTCGCGGGCCTCGGAGACGCCGCGGTCGACGACGGTTCCGGGGATGGGGTTCTCGCGGTTCGAGTCTTGCTCGGTTGTTGGGTAGAACCGGGTGTTGTGGCGCTTTCCGACGACGACGATGGCCAGGCGTGGGAGGCCTTTCTTGGTCTGGTCTGCTGGGTACGTCTTCTTGCATGCTTCCTGGAGGAGGGGGAGTTCCTCCTCGATGACTTTGTTGTACTGGCCTTCTGAGACGCCGTCGCGGTAGACGATGATGTTCTCTGGGAGGGATCTGTTCAGTTTGCGCCAGTGCAGGAGACGCGAGGCGAGCAGGGTTTCGAGGTCGGCGACCATTTCCTGGCGGGCGCCTTGGACACGGATCTCGGCAGGCCACTGGGCGAGGGTTGCGTCGACGGAGGCGACGATGCCGGCGACACTGGGGGCTGTGCTGGCGGAGCCCGGCGAAGGGTGGGTGACATCGATGCCGACGAGCATTGTTTTGCCTTCGGAGATTATGCCGAGATCCTGGGTGCGAAGAGCCTGGTTGGCACCGCCTAGTTTGAGGTTGATTTTCAGGCCCACATTGGCATTGTACTGGTCGTTGGAGTTGATGAGCTTCTCTGCGAGGACGTTCACGTTGCGAATTCCGCAGCGGACGTCGCAGACTTGCTTGACACAGTTGTAGACACCAGTGTCTTTAGTGTATAGTATACCCAGAATGAAGATGGGGTTGTGCTGTTTCTGCAGATCGACGACGGCTTGCTGAATATCGTGAGCGTCGTTCTTGCCGGTCAGGACAACACGTTTGCCAAGCTTGTGGGGGTCCACAGCCATTCCCATATCCCTGAGTGTCTTTCTGAAGCCTTCCAGAGACGCGTTGAGCTGAGCTGGGTTTTGGAAAACTGGCCGGGAGCCCTCCTGATCAACGTAGAGGTAAGTCCAAGATTTCATGGATGCAGCCTTGGAGAACTGGATTTGGCGCATGTTCCAGCTGCCATATTGAGTCCTGATCTCCTTGGTCCTGTTTCCGTCTTTGTAGTAGACATTTGGGGCGGAGAGAACGCGCCCAGGAACCGTGATCAGTTGGGTGGAAGAGTTAATACCGAAAGCAGACTGTAAATGGAAAGTTAGAAAGCTTGACAAGATTTTGGGAGCGAGGGAATGTTTACCAGTGTGGGATTCAATGGCTCGCCTAGTCCCAGCACACCCACACCCTTGGTGACAATCGACTGAGCGTTCTGACCCGGCTTTCGGCCCATAACGGCGAAGCGGAGCATACTGGCTGTCTGATCACCAGAAAGCTTGGACTTAGCTGGCTGACCAGGCTCGACTTCGCAGACCTCAACGGGAAGATACACAGGTCTCTCACGAGACCCGACATTCACCACTGGAAGGTTCGCATTCAAAGTCATGTTATACTCTAAGAGGAAAGTCAGCACAACACGAGGAGGAAGGGAGCCGAAGGAAAATTAAAGGAAAAAATATCGACGGACCCTTTTTGAAGAAGTCCGCAACGGTAATGTAGCGACCGGCTTCCGCAGGACCGGCCCTGGGAGCTTTCTTTCCCTTCTTTCCCTTGGGCTCAGGCGCACCAGGCACGGCGACGGGCTGAGGGCTGGATTCGGCTAGGAAGAATTGCACATCCTGGGGACCAGCACCGTGGCGGGGAACCTTGGGTGGGTTGGGCGCCGAGCCACCATCACCGCGGTTAGCCAGGCCATAGACAGGTCTGATGCGAGGCCGGGGCTGACCGCGGCTGTTCTTGCGGGAAATATGAGTGATGCGAACGCGGAGGCTCTTGAGGAACTTTTCCAAGCGGTAAGAGTTTCTATTGCCGTAGTCTTGGATCACATTGACCAGAGGTCCTTTATTGTAACATGCCAGATATTTGACCTGGACGTTCAAGAGCACACGAGCAGTTGCGGCACGCACACTGACAAAGAATCCGCGCAGGACGGATAGGCCACCTCCAAGGTTGAACGATTCCATGGTATCCTGACGCAGACTGTAGTGTCTGTTGGCTCCGACAGAGACGACCTGATCGTCCGTCTTGGGGTGGTTCCCCATGATCATGTTGAGGGCAGCTACAATCTCCGACTTGGATTCTAGCATGGCACCAGCATTGGTGGAGGTCAGGTAGTTGACCAAGTCGGCAGGATTGACCTCACCAGTGTACTGGCAAGTAACCTGGTGCACCCGGGGAGGATCGATGTAGTCATCATCCAGGTGTTCCTTGTATCGCACATCGAATTTACCCTCGGTCAATTTGACGCACGAGACTAGGGTAGAGCGGAAGTCCGAGGCAATGCTGTTCTTTTGCTGTGGGAAGTGCTCCTCCAACAGCAGACGCACGATGTGTTGGGCCTTCTTGCCCACAGGGGCAGATCGGCCTGCAGAGTCGGCTGCAATGGAAAGATGGTAGCGGAAAAGCTGCTTGTTAGGCAGGCTTAACGGCAGGTAGTTCGCATATAAAGTCACAGGCCTGCCAGCTGTGCCGTAACCAGGACGTTCGGGATATTTCGCCTGTCTGACGGTCTTCTGGCCACTCACAACCAGAGCTTTGGCAAGGTCGTTCTCGGTCTTGGTGACGGTGGGGTTAGGTGGTGGGATTGGTTCGCCCTGTCTATAGCCAAAGGATTAGATTTGTTTGATGAGCAGCGAAGAGTGAGGAAGGCAAACCTGAAGATAGGCGGGCCAAAGTTTGTAGCACCCCCACGCCCTCCTCCACCACGGCCACCGCGGAAATCACCCCTACCACGAAAATCACCACGGCCACGGAAGTCACCTCTGCCACGATCGCCTCCACGACCTCTATCACCGCCTCGGCCTCGGAAATCTCCACGATTTCCATCGCCTCTACCGGCTGGGCGGAGGGCTAAATCACCACGACTGTCCCCGCGACCACGGCCTCGATCGGAACCGCGACCTCGATCACCACGGCCACGGCCACGGTCACCCCCACGATCACCACGTCCACGACCCCGATTGTCACTCATAATAAGATAAACTTGGATGAAGATGACTTTACGGGTTTGAGGATGTCAAAATAAAAAGGAAGGACGGTGCGGATTGGCGGGAATGGGGATTGACGGCTTATTAAGTATTTGGAGTGGACGCACTTATCGTTTGTACAAGTTCTTTGTTTGCTGCGCTGGCCCCAAGTAGCAGGGGTATAGTGTGAAGATAGGTGACAATTGGATACATCGATGCAAGTACCCAGAGGCAGCTGTAGAATGGTGTGGCTATGACACTTTGACACTTCCTCACCTCACGATTCTCTACTATCATGGGCTTAGTATGTATATACAGGATTGCTAATATAGTAGATAGTTATTGTGACTCTTAACAGCTCTTCTACTGCTTAGAAAAAGAAAAAAAAAGCACATATATCTACTACTGTGACTATCCGTAGTCTATACGGTTAACCGGTAGACATAGGGATATAGCGGTGTACTTCTAGTCTGTGTTTCAGTTAGTAGATGTATACTTCCATTGGCTGCTGTAGCTCTGCGTGTACATGGGTTCAAGTAGTATGTTGTATATGGGCTAGGTAAAGACATTACGAATTCGAGGATTCGGCATATCCAATGATTTCAGCCCAGTTCAGCTGCGCCTTGCCCTAAAGGGAAAGGCGGGCCTGGATAGGTCAGTTGCATGTTGCAGCCTAAATATGCGCAGATGGTGTGGTTGGTATTGGGCGGGGATTTTCTTTGCTCTTTATTCTTGGATCCCTGATATTGAATCTATAGGATCATAACTAGTGACAAACCTGTTGTTATATCAGGAGCATATTACTCTATTTAGGGTTACGATACAAGAAAGGCACCGCCGCATCTTTAACTAATTGATAGGCGCCGTCTGCAAAGCTAGTCAGAAACAAAATTATATATCCCGAAAGAAGTATCACGTCAGCATTTCATAAAAGCTTACTTCTTTTTTAAACCTGACAATTGTCTAGAAAGAAGATCTCTGTTGTTGAACTTCATGAAAGAAATGTCTTTCTACAAAGTATAGCGACTCCCAAGTTTCAATACTTGAGCTAAACGATGACGGCAAATCATACTATAATCTCTTTCGGAGTAAAGATCGTCTTGAAGTTGTGTTGACGTACAAACCATGCATTCCACAGTTTCCATTCTTGGTCAGGGTGTGCTAGCTGTACCTATCAAGAACTCAGCATCACTGGTCTCCGCCTAGGAAAAAGAACATACCTCAAATCTCCGCAAAAAGCTGGGTACAATCTTATAAATCTCCATTAGAGAGATATTCTTCCCAATGCAGGTCCTTGAACCGGCACCAAACTGGAGCATCATTCCATCCATAACCTTTAATTGATCCGGTGGAGTAGTAAGCCATCGATCAGGGTTGTATATGTCGCAATCTGGACCAAAGATATCTGTCCGGCGATGAATAACCCAGGCGCTGCAGCCAACGATTGTTCCACCGCGGATGAAATGCCCGGAGATCTCTACCCCCGACGCAGGAACAACACGCTCCAAAGGAAGTCCCGCAGCAGGGTGCATACGGAAAGCTTCCTTTATGCAGGCATCGAGATAGGGCAGCTGCCGCGACTCTGTCCATGAGACAAGTCCTGTTGGGCGGTTCACGATGATACCGTTCTCAACAGCGTCGTCCAGCTCTTGTCTAACCCGTCTCATGCACTCCGGGTTCTTAAGTAGATAATAGAACACAGCTGCAATGCTGATGGCGGTTGTTTCAGACCCAGCAAAGGCCATAGAGACAGCCATTGTAAGGATCCGTTTGTTCGTCATGAAATCTGGACGAAGGTCACCCGCCTTGAGGAACATGGTGAGAAGATCATCCTTTGATCCCGGGTCTGCTAAGCCAGCCTTTACTGACAGACGTTCTTCCATGCGGTGCTTTGCGAAGATGGCCACAGGGTGTGAATTATCTGATAAGCCCAATTTTTGAAGGAAGTCAAATATCGGATTCTTCCAAAATAGCTTATCTAGCCACGGCATCTGACCAACAGGGGCAGCGTAATCGAAGATATTTGCCAGGGAATTGATGATGCCATCGATGTCTTCGTTTTTCTCAATGAACCCGTGCCGTTTGCTATATGTAATGCTTCCAATAACGTCAAAGGCGAAGAATTGCAGCCATCGTGCGAAATCGCACACTGTGGCTCCATCAGCAAAGAGGCGGTCCGTTTGGTCGAGGAAAATTTTCGTAGTCTCATCGACCATTGGCTCATACTGTACTAAAGAGCTCATTGAGAACGCATGATTGACAGACCGGCGGAGATTCGCATGGAAGCTCTCATCTAGAGTAGAGAACAGCGATGGCAATGGCTCGCCTTTAGAAACAGTCATTTGTACTGGGTAAAACTCGGACTGTTCTCTTGATTAGAAGCTGTAGATGTTTCTGGGCTCGGCATGACACTGCTCTACCTTGGTGAATCCTTTGTTTAGACCGTAGATCACCTTCGCTGCCTTTGGATCTGCGAAAGACAAAGTGCGTGGCCCAAGGCGCACGATATCGCCATACTTGCGATGCAAGGCTATATGCGTAAGCTCAGGGCGTCGACCCTTCACATCGATATACCGCCAAATATCAGTCAGGTGCGCCCAGAAAGGGCCAGGAAAGAGGTTTAGCGAATTGTAGAAATAATTATGGGCAAGGTAAAGTAGGAGTAGAAGAGGAACTGCATAGAAAATATAGTGAAATGCAGCATCAGGGAAAACCGCTGTAATGATAGCCATAGTTGTGTCCGATTGCTTAGACCTACATAGTTCAAAATAGAAGCCACGAGGAGGCACGTTATATACAGGATCACATCCCACGATATACGTAATCTTCCCCGCTAGAAAGAAAAGAAGTCAGCATTTGAAAATGCTTTTGGCGTACATAAAGACGCTGCGATCGGCAGTTGTGCATGTTAGGATCCGATGAACGATGGTGGTTGGTAGGAATGAGAGGTATCTCGACCAACAAGCAGTACCCTATACAAAGTGCAAGCTAATCATTCGTTAAACCCCGCAATATGGGTCCGTTAGACCGTACCCAGGCTATTCCCCATATTAGTGCATGCCTAGTATACCCCTTCTTTGAGTGTAGCCCGTGCGTCGGCACCTGAGACGACGTTCAACAACCGAGGACCCTTCGCAGCGTAACAAGGTTAAACTTGTCTCTCGATACTAAAAATATAGAGTCAAACCATAGTTAGCCTAAGCTCTTATACATAAGTCCTATAAGTCACCAGACTCGACCACCTTGCCCTACCAAAGAATATAGAAGTGGGCCTTTCTAGTCATTTGCTAAACAAGCCCCGAAGTTATTAATATCCATAGGCTCCATACAACAAAGCCAAATGTCCAAGCTCAACAATTTGAAAGCTCACCAAGTCTCTGAAAGTGGAAGAAAGCTAGTAAGATGTCCATGGGAGCAGATACGATCGATCAAGATAATGGTTCGTTTTCCAACCCACCTGTTCCTTTAGACATAAAGGATGAAAAAGGGATGTATATAATACCGACATCTTCCTGGATGCATACTATATGGTTGCGGAGGGAAACGACACCGAGTTTGTCTATACAAAGTATGTGAATTGTGCACGAGAAATGTGTATTTGACATAATTCAGGGTTACTTAATCAGAGTTGTACATGCACTAGTTACCTAAAGAATACACAGCGATAAAACGAGGCGTATCCGTAAACCTAAATAAACTAAACTAACACCTCTTTTTAAGCTTAAACTCGGAATATACGAACAAGTACCATAATGGCGAAGTCAGTCTACATAGTGTGAGTCGAACTTCCAAACTAGACATCAGTCTAGATCCCACTCACAAGGTAGAATTCGAGACATGCATGTCTGGTTGAATTCTACCTATGAGTCACTGATCGTCGATTGCTAGCCAATCGGCATCAAGTCTAGGAAAATAGAGAAGGAATGAATATGATATAGGGGTAAAGTATCGACTGGATCAGCTTTCACAAGAGGGAAGAAGGTATTCATGTATCGAATCGAAGATAATAGACTATTTCACAATATATACGGAGTGCGGATACTCCGTCCTCTCTATGTACTTGCAGGAGGTGAGATCATCTGGTGATAAGAAAAATCGCCCGGAGATAACGGATTAATCATCATTTCGTTGGGGCCTCGTCCACAGGTGTCTACCTAGCTTTATTTCCTTATGATCACCTCTTTGTTGCTATCGTTGACTCGAGAAGAATCCTTGATCGCACTTGAATCAAAATATCTCTATAGTCTTTCGAATCTGTACTTGGCCTCCCGACCACACTTATCCACGCGGCACCGAACACCCCCTCCTTCGGCCATCGCACATCGCAAGCTTCGACAACGCACATCCGTTCGTCGCATTGCCCCGCTATCTGTCTAGTGATACTGTGCGGCTTAGTTAACCCCTGACCGCCCGAAATAGTCGCGTACAACATCAACCACATCTCAAGTTCTGGGTCTGGCACGGTTGCCTAGAACACGAGCCAAATCTGGCATTGAAGTTGCGCCCAACTGTACATACCTTGCTACGACTAGGGAAGGAAGCAAAATCGCGTTTGGAACCCCGCGCAGATATTCAGAAGTGGGCTTGCAATCAGACTGAGAAAGTTGTTCGGATGAGCTAGCAGAACAACCGAGTAGCATATTTGATTCGATCCTAGAGCTGTGCGGACTGCCACAGCGTGCTTGAGAGCCCCGCCCAGCTGGAACGTTGACTCAACGTGCACTGCATCATCCGCGGATTACCGTCGATATTACAACAAGTCGGTTACCCATACATGATCATGCCATTCAAAATGACCCCAACACCCCCTTCTACAAATTCGTCGAGTGCTGGCCACTCTCCAGATTACAGAGTTGTCCGGAAACGAAACCGAGTACCTTTGTCATGTGGGCCTTGTCGACACAGAAAGTAAGTATTCAAGACATGGCTGAAATACCTTCTATTTTATTTTACTAACGGTTCTAGGCTGAAATGCAATCGTACGAATCCTTGCGAAAACTGTGTCAAACGAGGAGATGCTGCTTCATGTAACTACGCGCAACCCAACTCGCGCAAGAAGAACTCGTCCCAGCAGTCATCCACTACACCGGATGATATGCAAAACCGCATCGATCGGTTAGAAGGCTTGGTTCTTTCGTTGATGACAAATGGCTCTCAGTCTGCGGGTCCATCTGCTGCCATGGCGGCGATCTCCGGGGAAAATAGTGTGGGCTCGACTCGGTTCTCCCATGATCTCGATATCGAAGAGGAGGGCGCCGAAGAGAGCGACACGGACCAGGTGACGAAGTCGTTTGGTATTATGAAGATGGATAATAACAAGTCCTATTACATCAGTGATGCTCATTGGGCGTCTGTATTAAACGATGTAAGTCTGGGAGGTTTGACCAAACTCGAGTCTTTCTAACTCATCGAATAGATCTCCGAGGTGCGAAGTTTCTTCACAACGCACAAGAAGCAACTTGATGAGCAATTTGAAAAAGTCAAGGCGGCCCGACCATCTACTGATTCATCAGGCTCGACTTTGTTGTTTGGTATCAATAAGCCGATGAGCCGTAGCGAGATCATGACTGGCTTGCCGTCTAAGTATACAACTGACATTCTTATTGCTCGCTATTTCAACTGCTATGACCCTGCAACCCGTGAGTATTTGCTATCTCCGTAGCTTGTGGTCTTGATCCTGACTTTACCTAGATGTTCTCCATGGACCCACATTCCAAGCACAGGTAAGCTCCTCGAGAATAATTGCATTGAGTCCAGAATCTGACTCTGCTAGTATAATAAACATTGGGATGATCCTGCCGCGACCGAACTAGTCTGGATTGCCATGCTCTTTGCAATGATGAGGCTGGCAATGCTGTCTTACCACCGCGAAGGCGATGAGCCACCTGAATTCCGGGGCAAGTCCATGGACATGGCTGGGGGATTCCGGAATTCTGTAGCACAGTGCTTGACATTGGCTGACTACACGAAACCCCACCCGTTCTTGATTGAAGCGCTCGTGTTTCATCTGCATGGCGATTTCTCCCAGACCCGAGAGGCGGATATTTCGATCTGGGTCATGACCGGCGTTGTTGTTCGCCTAGCAATGCGATCAGGATATCACCGTGACTCCAAAATGTTCCCAAATATCACACCTTTCCAGGGTGAGATGCGACGGCGAGTCTGGACCTTTGTGCGCCAAGCCGACCTTCTGTTTTCATACCAGGTCGGGTTGCCGGGGATGATCCGGAGTACAGATAGCGATACTGAGCTACCACGGAATTTGTACGATGATGATTTCGATGAAGACTGCAAGGAGCTCCCGCCACCACGTCAATTGAATGAGCCAACCCCAATCTCATATATGATTGCTAAGGCGCGCCTGTCATATGCATTCGGACGTGTGGTTGAACAAAGCTCTGCTGTATCGGCGGCCCCATACGAAAAGGTGATGGAAGTCGACGCGGAACTCCGACAGGCAAGGGACATGATCCCCGAGCACTTGCATATTCGGCCTATGGAGGAGTGCCAGTTGGATCCTATCAATGTTATCATGTCGCGATTTTTCGTAAGTTGTCTGACAGCGGCCACAATTCGCATCAACACTAATCGTTTGTGCAGGTAATGGCCGTATACAACAAGGCTCAGTGTGTGCTTCATCGCCCATATCTGGTTCGCGCCCGAGAAAATCCTCGTTTCACCTATTCTCGAAGGACATGTATCGACTCAGCAATGGAGTTATTGCAAGTCCAGGCGCTCCTGCACGCGGAAACTCACAGCGGGCGCCTCCGTGGTCGTCAGAGCCGAATAAGTTCTCTCAGTTCAGCCGACTTCTTACTGGCAGCCACCATTGTCAGTCTCGACCTATACCACGGCGTATCATTGCAGGTGACCGGCCGGCCATCGGGAGACACATACACATGGGGCCGAGAGCGGCGGGATGAAATGACCGCGGCGATCCAACTCTCGAAAGATATTTGGGATGAGTCGCGTGATGAGAGCATGGAAGCATGGAAGGCGTCTAGCCTTCTCGGTGTGATGCTCAGCAAGCTGCACATGTCGGTCCCAGGCCTTGAAAATAGCGCCGGAGCTTCATTTGAGCCACAAGACGAGAAGCAGAACGCGGCCATGACCCTCGGCCTGTTGAGCAGCGGAATGAGCCCGATGAACCCGGGCCCTCCGCCCTTTGCTGACCCTATGTTCAAGATGGGAGATACACCAATGGGAACAGGAATAGGTGGCGTGGGCGCTTCGGCCGAAATGCCGGGTGTACTTTCGCCCTTTAGTAGCATGTTCGGGCAAATGCCGGACACGCAAGTTAATCTGGATTGGGTAAGTCTTTTCCTTTTCGGGACCCGGTGTTCAATGTTGACATGTTGATATCAGGATGCTTGGGACACATACATTCAAAACCCAACCCTCGACACAACAAATCAATTCTGGCCTATGATTGATGCACAGCGCCAAGCAACCCCACAGTCTGGAGGCATGTCACAGCCTTCAGTGTCTAGTCCTCTAGCCTCAGGGCGGGTACCATCAGTTAGTGGTATTCCTCGGCCTACGTTATACTCAGTATCCTCCAACAGTCCCGATAGTGGAGGTGTGCCAGTAACAGGGTACGGCATGGCGCCCATGCCTCAACAAAACGATAGTCGGGGCCAAGGTTCCCAATGAACGAGTTGTATTGGTATTCTACATGATTTTTTCTCTCCCCTTTTTGCCAGAAAATGTTGGCCATTTGTGATACCTGGAAATGTTTTGTTTCTTGATCGGATGACTTGAAGTAACGAAGCAATTTCTACTTCTTCTTTCCTATGGATATGTATGCGTGCTGGCGAGATTCAGCCGATCTAAGAAAATATGTTGCGTTTATGGATTCTGTCGGTGTTAGGGTTGGACAATGTATCATACTATGAGGCTACTGCCATATTTCCACTCTTGAGTTATCAAATCTCACGTTTACTTCGTGTTTTATCACCTAAACCCTGAGTTTTGTCTATATAAAATCTCCAATCCACTGCTTTCCATTGCTTTGATCTACCTCCTTATCATTGGCTATATCAGTCACGTGCCGGGTGTTATCTTCCGGGAAAAAAAGTTATCTGGCTTCGCGCAATTCTTCTCTTGTCATCATATTATCTCTAATACAAGATCAACGCATCTTGTGTTATTTTAATTCAAAATGTGAGCTATACAGAGTACAGAGTCCGAGTCCGAGAATGTATACATTATGTACTCGCTGGTGCATGCAACATTGAGGACAATTGCTAAAACAACTAATTTCTAGGCATTGCTTCCGCCGGGCCGTTTCTCGGCTTCAATTGTCCCCAGCTGCTTCACGCTCATCAATCAGCAGTGCAGTGTTGCGTTCAACATGCTCCACTCCGATTCTCGCCGCTCGGTTCGCCTACCCAACCCTCACACAGACACGGTTAAACTCGACCGATGAAGGCCGTTCACGGATTCCGATTAGGTATATCTCGACTGTCAAACCGGAGCCATCCACGCCCGGCCAAGTCCGTGTGCCCAAAGAAGAACGCCGACGTGAGTATTTGAGCGAGGGCCCTGTACCGAAGACCACCGTGTACGTCGGCAACCTCTTCTTCGACGTGACCGCGGAGGACTTGCGCAAGCATTTCGAGAAATTCGGCGCCGTAGAGAATGCACTGATCGTGCACGATGTCCGCGGGCTGAGCAAAGGGTGAGTTCCCAAGACCGATGCAACCGAAAGCCTACTAGAGACTGACCCATTCTCCCTTACAGATTCGGCTACGTTACCTTCAGCACCATCGAGGAAGCCACGCAAGCAATCACGCAGCAGCACGGAGGCATCCTGGAAGGTCGCGAGGTGGTGGTGCAATTCTCCAACACGACGTACAGATCCATGGCCGAAACCAAGCCCACTAGGACCCTCTACATCGGCAACGTTCCCTACGAATTGACCGACCAGGATCTGCAGGATATGTTCGACGATATCCCCGGTGTCACTGATGTCCGTATCCCCATCGACCGTCGCACTGGCTTGCCCCGTGGATTTGGACACATCGACTTTGCCGATCAGGCCAGCGCTTCTCACGCTAAGGAGGTTCTCTCCCGCAAGGCGCCTTACGGCCGCAAGCTGACTGTCAGCTTTGCTAAGCGCAAGGTCTTGAGTCCTGAGGAGCACAAGCGTAACCAGGAGAAGAGGCAGCAGAATAAGAAGAACTCCCTCAAGCAACACTCGGATGCTCAGACTAATATCGAGTCGGTCTCGGGTATGAGAGATCGGAAAGTGCGCGGAGTGAAGGAGGTTGCGGAAGTTACTGAGATCAAGGAGACTGAGCCGGTAACCGAGCAGGTAACTGAACAGGTGACTGAGCAGGTAACTGAGCAGGTAACTGAGCAGGTAACTGAGCAGACCGAGACCGAGAAGAAGCAATAGAGAGGGTTATATGTGAATTATACAAATGTACAATAGTGTCCCAAAATGGAAATCGGAAGCATTCTTAACTCGCGATATTTATTAAGTACTCCGTAGAATGATCATATCTACACGTACTATTGCCGTAACTAAGTGTCATATCAAATCCCATGGAATACACTTGACGATTGCTGTCGCAGTTCACGAGAGCATCTTTTGATTGCCTGGTCTCCAGCCGACGATCAACTTCGACTGATGAGACATTCGCTGAACTCGGCACAACACATCACCGCCAGCTGGGCAGGAACTAGAAATCTCTTTGGCAGTATCCTTGCGCCTCTTGTAGGCTTTATGTTGTGTTGGCAGCTTCTTTATCTGACCTGCAGAGGCTCAGTTTGGCACTCTCTCTATTTGCTCATCTTGCAGAAGATGCTTCTCCTGGTTTCCAGAGGAGAAGATCTTTATGTCTTTGTCGACATGAAACTATTAGAAGAGCTTATGGCAATAGCTAGATTATCATCTTGTTTTGGACATCTAGAATATATATCGGCTCGGTTGGATTCATAATATCAGCGCTAAAAATGACAACCCGCCATGTCCAGTACTTGTGACTTGGATCAGAGTCTTCTTCAAATTGACGACAATACATATAGATGCTATACCATGCATCGTGTTCTATACACGAGCCGAGGCCAGTATGGAAACCGACCTTTACCTCGAATTCGTAGCCGCAATGGCCCCAAATCCAGTTTTCGTCTAGCAGCCTGTCTTCAAGAGACTCCTTCAATTCTTCTCGTGCTTTCGCGATGTCAGGAGGAGTTAGTGCTTGAACAGCCGGACGATCCGTATATGCATACTCGCGAATTTCCATTCTCATTGGAGGCACGGGCTCCCACGGAGAGATGCCCGAGTGACGAGAGTCCGGATCGTGCACACCATTGGCATATTTGATGAAGTGAGCCAGTTCATCACTTCTCAGAATATAAAAGTCCTCATCATCGTTGTCATCATGCCGAGGAGCCTCATTAGACACGCTTTCGAAAGTCTTCATAAACATTTCGCGCCATTCATCTGGCGCCATAGTTGATGGAACGATCCCATCCATATACTGATGAAATGTGGTCTTCAGGTCCTCTAGCCGCGAGACCTTTGCCTCCTCGCGATGTTGCTGAACAGGGCCAAGGGGAGCGTTACCATTCCAGCTCTCACTTGAGCTTGTCGTTCCTAAGTCGTACTAGTAGCGACGCATATGACTCAGTTTCTTTTCATCGGTCGAGAGATGCATAGTTTCGATCTCATCGACGCGGTCTTGAATGAATTGCCGATCCGCGGACTCCATTTTGATGCGAAATCGCTCCACGGCCAGACGTATGGTCTCGCCGGGGTTGTCTGATTGTGTGCTGCTCGACATGGTCAGTGTTGAAGGATGGATGTCAGCGGGAAGAACCTCAGGGAACTGAGGGTTCCTATCTTAGCGTGAAAATTCCAAGTGCTGCCTAGAATTTTGCATAATTTCTAGGTAAATGCCCTCTGTCTACTTCTAAGCCTACTATGTAAGGGATGAATCTACACTGAATTCAACATCCTTACCCTTCTTACAGAATTACAGAGGTTCGGGAAAATGTACCTTTTACTAGGTAGACCATACCAAGGGTACATGGTATCGTCCCTGAGACAGAGACCGCAACGCAGACACCTTCCACCTTCTTCTCTTCTTAGTAGTCATCCAATGGTATTCTCCTCTCTGGCGTCCTACTACTCCCAGTGACGACTTTGCTCTCACCTGTATCGCAGGCAGGGCTGTCGGTGCCTCTGCTGCCCTCTTCAATGTATAGATCTAGGATCTAGTTTTTAGTACTAAATCTTTCCGCAAAGCCTTAATATCACCTATAGTAATATACTTCGTACAATATTCTGGTCGGTTTGAATACTGTTGTTCAGGCTTAGGGATCTATAAGGGCTGTATTTTGGATCCTACGGCCAAAGGCATCAATTACGACGCCCTAGCTAGCCTTTTCTTCAGGTTTTACTATGTGATGGATTCGTGTGTATATAACTTGCAAATTAGATCTTATCGTTTGAAAACACCATGATGTTCAATAATTAGGACAAGTGACAGGTGGCAAAGATCCGGAGACGAGAGCTGTATCTGCAAACTTGCATATCTGACGCCTTGGCGCACCAGTTAACCTCTGTCGACAACGATGAATGGTATCGAATAAGCCCAAAGTCGCATCCTGGTATATTCTGCAAATTTTCATATGCAACTGTTGTATGTACCTGGTACCTCGTGTATCTCGTGACTCTCAAACTGCCGTCGGGGAACCTCGGCTGACGAGGCGGAAAGCCCTTGAGCCCCACGTCGAACGATATCCGGGGGAATGCACCTCGACCTTTACATTGTCCTCGCTTCTCTTCCTAATTTCCATTAATACTACCTCGTCTTAAACCGCCACATACCCACCATGTCGTTCCTCGGTGGCCCAGAGTGCTCTACTGCGGGGAACCCGCTCTCACAATTCACGAAGCACGTCCAGGATGATAAATCACTACAGCGCGACCGACTGGTAGGCCGGGGACCAGGCATGCAAGAAGGCATGCGCTCACATAGTATGATGGGCGGACAGGATCAGGTGAGCCACACAGCCCCTCGCAAAGGAATCAGCAACGGAAAATTAATCTCGGAGTTGGGAACCTCCTTATCAGATGATGGACGATTTCATGCAACAACCAGGACAACAACTAAACGGACCCTCACCGCAGCCGTTCGCAATGGAGCACATGCGCCGCGAGCTGGATAAGTTCCAAACAGGCCCGGCCCGCACAGGGTCGCCAGGATGGGCAGGGGAGTTTGACTCGGGCGAGCAAGCGCGCATGGAAGCCGCGTTCCCGGGCCAGATGAAGAACGGATCGGGGTTTAGTCCTGCCGAGTTTGCACGATTCCAACAGCAGAGCCGTATGGGCATGCCGCAGACCTCCAGTCCTGCTGCCGCGAACGCATCGCCTATGATGGCGGGGTATCAGCGGCCGATGGCGATGGGCGGTGGTTATATGGGTGGTATGGGTATGGGCGGTATGGGGATGATGCAGCCTATGATGGGTGGGCAGATGGGCATGCAACAGGGGCCTATGGAGGGGCAGACACAGGATAAGGGGAAGGGGCGGATGGTGGAGCTCGACGATGAAAACTGGGAGGCACAGTTTGCTGAAATGGAGACTGCGACGGTTGGAAATGAGACCCGGACGGACGAAGAGGCTAATGCGGCGATGGAGGCGGAACTGAATGATTTGGACAGGTCAGTGCCCTTCAATGACGTTTTTGAGTCTGTATGGCAACGGGTCCAGGCTGAGACCACGAGCAGAAAACTTGCCGAGGAAGATAACTTTGAAGTCACCGATAACGTGCATGTTGGTGACCTCGGTGACTGGGATGGCTTTGATAGTCTCAACTCTCGTTTCCGAGATCCCCAGCTCGGCGACTATATGTTCGAGGAGGATAATGTCTACCAGGCTGTCGGCAATCCGTTCGAGGAGGGAATGAAAATTATGCGTGACGGCGGTAATCTGTCGCTGGCAGCGCTGGCTTTTGAGGCAGCGGTTCAGAAGGATCCACAGCACGTGCAAGCGTGGACGATGCTGGGCTCTGCGCAGGCGCAGAACGAAAAGGAGTTGCCCGCTATTCGTGCATTGGAACAAGCCCTAAAGGTCGACCCCGGGAATTTAGATGCCTTGATGGGCTTGGCTGTCTCGTATACAAATGAGGGTTACGACTCAACCGCCTACCGCACACTCGAGCGTTGGCTGTCCCACAAGTACCCCACAATCATCGACCCGAAGGAAGTATCCGGCGATTCAGACCTCGGCTTCACAGACCGTCAACTCCTCCACGACCGCGTAACAGAACTATTCATCCAAGCGGCCCAGCTCTCCCCCTCAGGAGCCCAGATGGACCCCGACGTACAAGTCGGACTGGGCGTTCTGTTCTACTGCGCCGAGGAATACGAGAAGGCCGTCGACTGTTTCTCCGCCGCCCTAGCCTCCACCGAGTCCGGCAGCACCAACCAACAAGAGCAGCTCCACCTCCTCTGGAACCGACTCGGCGCGACCCTCGCCAACTCCGGGCGCTCGGAAGAAGCCATCGAAGCCTACGAGCAAGCCCTCAACATTAATCCCAATTTTGTGCGCGCCCGCTACAACCTAGGCGTATCCTGCATCAACATCGGCTGCTACCCAGAAGCCGCACAGCACCTGCTAGGCGCACTATCCATGCACCGCGTTGTGGAGCAGGAGGGCCGTGAGCGAGCACGTGAGATCATCAGCGACGGTGTGCATCCAGATGGCCTGGACGACGAGCGCCTCGAGCGCATGTTGCACATCAGCCAGAATCAGAGCACGAATCTATACGACACTCTGCGTCGTGTGTTCAGTCAGATGGGCCGCCGTGACTTGGCTGACCAGGTTGTCGCCGGCATGGACGTTAACATCTTCCGCAAGGAGTTTGAATTCTAGGCTATTGTTGATTGTGATATGGTCGTTGCGTATATGAAGGTATGGGATATGTTTTTATTCTGGCTGACAAGGCCTGGCTGCATTGTATCTACTTTTTATCATTGATGGCTGCTTAGATGGGATCTCCAAGCCATGGAGGAAAAAGCATTTCCTCATATATATGTTTCATGAACGCATTGCTTCCTTTGAAAAAGCCCTATAGTTTGTCTGCCCGTGTGGCGGGGACAAGTGCGCCTTGTCAATTTGAACATCTAGCCACAGTTTCTTGGAGTTTAATAGAATTTCCAATACTGTAGTCGTTGTTATTTCCAATGCTAATCATATAATAACGGTCTTTTGAGTTGATTATGCAACTCCTTTGGGTTATCAGCCCACGTATGGGTTATTTGAAGTTGCCCTCATTCGTAGGGCAATATACAGCTATTTTGCAACCAGAAGGAAGAAAGATCTCGTTTCTTTAGAGCTAGGCACAGAAAGACAAGGTGAGGAGGAAGAGGAAGAGGGAGAGGAAGAGAGAATGAGTAGGTGAATGGCCTGCCATATTTGTCCTCTTTGATAGGCTTCATCTATATAAGTCTCTGTTTGTTTGTAGAAAATACACGAAAACAGTCTGGCTTCTACATATACACGGCCATACTCAGCTTGGTCACCCTTGCCATTTCACTAAATAGATATTGGATATCCCGAACAGATCAAAGTAAATAGTTTCTATTGACCTGACTTTAACTATATCTTTTGTACATAAGCCGTAGTTTACCTGGCTGCCTAGCTCACCCCGTTTTACACATTGTCTCCTTCTCACCACACCCTGTGCTTGAAGTTGATCATATTCAGACTCGACCTATCTAAAAGGACTCCTAAAGGACTCTTAAAAAGACCATCAAAAAGACCTCAAAGATAATCTACCGGTCCCGTCATTTCAGCATTCAACTTCACTTCTCTCTGACATGGATCGACACAATCAAGTGAGCATCGAGCTTACCAACAGCTTATCCGCCTTACTTGATGCTGCACGAAATGAAGAGCTTGCTTCAGCGTTGCATCTTCTTTCCACCGAGCCGCGTGAAGTCTTAAGCCGGGTTTTATCGAGTTCCGTCATTTCTACGTCCCCATCCGCATTACCCAACACCGAACAGCACACAGCCTCTATTGGTTATCGCAGCATCGGCTTTGGCCAATGTGGAATTATCTTCGAGCGGCCTGGGCATGCCTATGCGATAAAAATCGCCCGTCCATCATTCGAAAATGCCCTTTGGACAGATTTCCAAGCCCATCTCGCGGTATACCAGGCGTTCACAAACCAGTCCGTCGAAGTACGGGTTCCCAACATTTTTTCATACGTCCCAAAGACAAACGATAAGTGGTGGGACTCCCATATCAACCTGTTTGGATCACACCTCTCTTTCCCTCTACCGGCAATGGCATTGATCACAGAACGAATACTTCCACTGCCTAAGCTTGCTCGACAAGCTCTCATCGATACCTATTGCCCAGCTTCCTCGAAGCTGGCCGTGGCATCTCAAGACACTAACCGTGATTGTCTCGCCCGTATCTATCTTGGTCGTCGGCGTGGTGCGAATGACCCGCCATCACGCAATTTTACATTGAGAAACTTCAACTTGTGCCTCGATCAGATGATCGAGCTGGATCTACCCATCCAGCATTATGCTAGAGCTATTGGCCAAGCTTTAGCGATCATGCACTGCTCAGCAAACGTGGATTGCTACGATGTTGAATTTGTGCTGGGGAGCGAAGGAGAGACATACACCCAGGATGTCTCTCGTTCGTTGGGACTCAGCGCAGAAAATATCATGGAGATGGCCCCTCACTCAGACCTGGAAAGCATGAGACGTGACAAGCTTCAACGCCGAGCCACTTGTGTATGGGTTCTCGACTTCAATTTGTGCAATATATGGGAGGAACGAAAGGGACTGGAAAGGCCGGATGACTTGATAGCTCATCTCGTGGATGCTTTTTTCGAGAACGATCCATATTACCCCCGCCCATCGGAAGATTCTGAGCCCGAAATGTCTCTCTGGATTACGTTCAGCTCTTCATACCTAGATGTAGCAGCAAGGCTACTGTCAGTTGCAGGGAAGGATCCACGACTCGGGTTGCTTCCACAAAAGTTCATTGATGCTTGTGTGTCAGGACAATCGGAGATTATAGCGCAGCGCAATTGATGCCGGGGGGTTTGTTCCTCTATGAAAAATCCAATGATCCAAACATGCCATAGTTAAATGAATTAAGCCTCTCACACTTGCAATTCAACTTTAGACATAGAAGTTTCTTGATTCTTGATAGTCAGATAAATAAGCTGAGAGTATCACTTATAGAAGAGTTTGCTCATTATATTGCAGACATTATAGACTGGGACCGCAGTTGCCCGATGAGTTCTTTCATATCAGTCTCGTCACTCGCTCTTTCCCACGAAGAATCAGAGCCTGCCTTGCCTTCAGCATGTGACAGAGTCGTTCCTTCCTCGTTCGTTCAAGTAAACAAAACCCCCGACCTTCTCCTCTTTTGTTTTGTTTTTCTGTTTCTCTCTCCACGCGCGTCAAAATGGAATATACGTGTGTAGAGTGCATCTAGAGTCTCATCCAAGGTCTCCGCTAATAAGGAAATATTCAGGACTACGAATAAGCGTGCCAGAGTTGATGAAGCTGAAGACCAATACGACTACCCACGGTACAAGCGCCCACACTTCTGTCAAGACGGCAGAGAGAGATCCTACCAGGAGACCTATCGCTCTCGCTGCGACAGTTGCGATAGAAATCATATTGGGGCATGCACCGCGTTCTGCAGGAAGTGTGCAGAGATCGGCCACTCCTGGCGCCACTGCCGACTATTCGTCCCTGAGCACATCTGGCGAAGACGGTATCGTGGCTCACGCACAACACTCGAGAACTTCAACATCACCGTGCCTGTGATAAACCCTGCAGCAGGTTGCACACCAGCCTCCCTGAACGCTGCTATTCTCTACGAGCTAGATAAAGCCCTTAGTGGGCTCAATCGCAAGGCAGGCATTTCTACGCACTCGCGAATTTCAATCAACAACGTGAACATCACAACGAATATTCTCGCACCGGAACCAAAGGATCCTCCTCTTCCTCCAGATACCTCATTGATGGAGAGGGTTCAACGAATTCCGAAAGGACCAAAACCGAATATTCCCCATTTTCGTCCTACTGAGAAGCTCTCCTTTGCCCAGCCACTCTTCGGTGGTTTGGCTTTTTCTCAGCCTGTCTTTGGTCAGACCGCATTTGCTCAGACCTTCATGTAGAATAACTTAGGAGATTACCTGGCCTTAGGTGAAATGCTGCTTGTGTCAGGGAGAAATGATATGTATGTGTATCCTTTTGTATCGCCACTCTCCTGCTCTGAGCCGGCTTGAATGAATTAATGTTTGATTACTATCCTCTCTTGAGTTATGTAAAGATTTATTTGTTTGAAGCAAACGAAAGTATACTTTCGTAGCATCTATCAGTATCATCAGTTCAAATACTGATTTAGTGCCCCTCAACTTGGTAACTTGCGCTATTTTCTTGCTCAGTGATCCCAGCTACTTCGACAATATCTCTTTCATCGCGAGTTAGGGTTGCATAGATCGACGATAACACCCCTTCAGGTAGGGATCGTCCAATATACGCCACCAGAGCTCTCACCCCAGACACCTCCATAGACTCAACACGCGCCCAAAAAAACATGTCTCCAATCTCCCTCAGCCTCCCATCAATATATTCCAGCTCAGGAACCAAGAACCCCCCACCAACCGACTTCATAATCGGAACATGGCACGTAACCCACTCCAGCCTCCCGCTATGGAAAAACAAGCGCAACGTCAACATAACCTACACACTCCTCCCCCCCTCCTCAACCGGAGTCCAAAAGATCGACGACCTAGTCCAATACCAATCCATCGACTCCGAGAAAATAAAATCCGTCCATGGCATCGACACCCCGACGCCAGGTGTTCCCGGCGCCTGGGACTGGCGCGGCAAAGGCTGGCTGGTGATCGCGAGCTCGCACTGGGAGGTTCTCGGCTTCGGGCATGGCGATGATGGGAACGAGTGGGTTGTTACGTATTTTGCTAAGACGCTCTTCACGCCTGCGGGCGTTGATATTTACTCGAGGGATAAGGGGGGGCTGGCGCAGACTACTGTTGAGCAGATACTTGATGCGCTTAAGGAGTTTGGGGTTGGGGTTCTTACGGACCTTGCTAATGGTGTCTTTCGGATTCCGCAGAATTAGGAGGTAGGCTGGTGTTTGCTCTTGTGTTTTTGGGGTTTGTTGGGAAGTACAGCGCTATAACCTCGGAGAGCTGGATATTTCTAATTTTGGGTTGGGATTGTCAAACTGGAAATTGGTGTCTCTTGAGCCTGGATTCATTTTCATTGTCGCCTCGATTCCGAAGCGTCTCAAAATCTCTCTCGATTACCTGGCAGAGAAACATTTGATGGTGACAACTCCAGTGGGCGGCCTTTGCCACGACATCTAGAGCCTAACGGAGACTCCCATATATCACAATCTGCGTGTGTGATGGCCCCGAGCGTCATCGGGATTATCCTTTATGGTGAGGATGTGCAATGACTTCCACCGAGGCATTGAGTTGAGGGTTAAACCGCTGTTGAGGCAAATTACACTCCCGCAGAGAAGGAGCTGCTATAATCGAAGCCCAAGGCATGGTTGAATGATATTGACATCGTCCATATCTACACAGTCATCAACATGCTAGCATTCTTATACCAGCTCAGCAGCGGATTCTCCCCATTCCGCGTCTCCGTATCCTCAATGTAAGCCCAGCGGTGCACGAACTCCTCATGGCTCGTGACCTGCGTCAGCTTTCCCGTAATAGCACGGTACATATCCTCGACGACATTAAAGTCCGTCGGGAAGAAGATATCAAAGTAGCCTTGATGGACCTGCAAAAAGTCAGCCAAATTCAAAGTCACATTAGAAACATCCACATACAAAAGGAGTCGACACCGGCACTGTCTGCCGCTGATATCGAGTCTGCACGACCGGCGCGTTGACCCCGGGCACGGCATCTGGCAAGGAATTGAAGTCACTAGAGACGAGACGGTGGGCTGGGAAGTACTGGTTCAGGACATCGAAGAACTGCATCAGTCGGGTGGGAATGTACTCCGGCAGGGAGTATTCCTTGTGGAAGGGCGCGGCGGAGCGGAGTCCGCGGAGAAGTGGTGGGCCCAAGGGACTCGGGAAAGGACGACGGGCGGCGGCTTGGCGCACGCGCAGGAAACGAGCTGCGACTGGGTCGAGCTGGTTGTTGTAATATTCATGGAACTCGCCGTCGGCATCGACCAGCACACCACCCTGCTGTGGCATTTCCGTGCCGAGCTTGTAGCGGATGGTGTCGTGGGCGAAATTATCGAACACCTCCAGGGCGAGGAAGAAACACGGGGAATGGACGTATGTGTCCCAGTCGAAGATTGACCGGTTTATAATCTGGACCTTGTCCCGGTGTCCTTTGGCAGTGAGCTTGTCGGTCAAATTCTTGTACTGCAGATCTGCCAGCGCGGGCGAGATCTCAATGATCTTGAACTTGGTGCGCTGATACACCTCGTAATCGGTGTCGCGGATGAAATCCAAAATGTTCAACATCATTGTGCCGTTTCCCGCGCCCATTTCGTAGATGATCAGGTCGTGGTACGGGTATAGGGTCAGCTTGTAGTTCGACACCAAATACCGCGCAATCGTCTCGCCATAGTATGGTCGGAAGAGCTCGGTCGGTGTGTGCCACAGCTGCCGCGCGATATCTGGTTTCGTTGCATCAAGCTTGTCTTCGAACTCGGTGTACCGTTGGCCGAGGAGTTTGTGGAACGCGGGCCCGTCTTCGATGTTGTTGAAGTCGAATGGCTCTCCGGGGCTGAAAATGGTGGCGTGTTTGGAAAAGTATCCATAATGTGGGTTGTAGAGGCTGTCTACGGCTATATCAGAACTAGTCACGCTTCACCGAGCTGTCGAACTCACCGTCGATGAACTCGCGTGTCAGCATTTTGACCTGCCGCGGCCGTTCGCGGCGGTTGCGTAGCTCCTTCGCTGTAACTGTCGGGTACTTCCTGTACTCCTCATCGATGTTCTTGGGGTAGTCTCCCCGCTTTGTCCATAGCTGGATTTCTTCGTGCGGTTTGCGCTTCACGTTGACAGGGGTGCGTCGCGTAAGAAATGATCGAGACTGTGGTCGAGCAAGTACAGAAGGTGACCGCCTTATAGATCGACATGCTGGATGACGGAAGAGCTGTCGGAACAGCTGGGTAAGGACTGGCGAGTCCATTGTGACTGCAGAGCTAAGCTCACGGTTGTTCCGGGGAACGGAAAGAACGGCTTCTGGATGACCGGAGCCACGTGCCTCAGGCGAAACCCATCACCTTCAATTTTCGAGACTTTGGACATTACAATATTCGAACTGAATGCAATTTGAATACAAGGAACTCTTTGAATTAGCTTTCAATATTTCTTTCATCGAAGTACGGAATATAAGCTGACTCCTGTCGTCCACCAAAAAGCCTGACGGTCCGAGCTTCATATCCTATGCACATAACCTCTATCAAGACATAACGGCATGGGAAGATGCCAGATCATTCAACGGCGTATATAGGCACGGCCTTCGTGACCGGTGTCTGCTTGGCACTCGCATATCAAGAACTGTCACGTCCCAGACATGAGGATAATGAGCCAGAACTAACCTCCCCCAAAAATGGCACCCGAGCTGGCCCGCCCTCTATTGTGGAAGGCATTGAAGGTTGTATCGGAAACACCCCCCTATTCCGGATCAAGTCCCTATCAGATGAGACGGGATGTGAGATTCTGGGCAAGGCAGAGGTATGTGACTAGTACTTAGTATACCAACCACCCCAAAAAAGAGCTAAGAATGCGCTAACAGTGCCGCAGTTCCTGAATGGCGCTGGCCAGAGCTCAAAAGACCGAGTGGCACTAAGCATGATCGAGATTGTATGCTAAAATACGCAAAAACCAAAAAGTTTCCTGCACTAGACCAGCATCGCTGACCTCAACCAGGCCGAAGAACAAGGTCTTCTGACACCCCATTCAGGCGACACAATCTACGAAGGCACATCGGGATCGACCGGCATTTCCCTAGCAACACTAGCCCGGGCAAAAGGCTACCTAGCACACATGTACGTATGCGCCACCCTGGCATCACACCAATAGCAAAAAACACTAACGCCAATGCAACCCAGCTGCCTGCCGTCCGACCAGGCAATTGAAAAATCCGACCTGCTGCTGAAACTCGGGGCAATCGTGGATCGGGTTCCGCCAGCGCCAATAGTGGAGAAAGACAACTTTGTCAATCGCGCACGAGCACTAGCAAAGACGCACACGGCCTCATCGGGAACCCCCTCTGCATCATCTGCATCAGCGGAAGGGCAATCCGATCCCCCCGCGGGACACGAGCCCATGACCCGTGGCCGTGGCTTTTTCGCCGATCAATTCGAGAACGAGGCTAACTGGCGCGCCCACTACGAAGGGACCGGCCCAGAGCTGTACGCTCAGTGCGGTGGCCGGCTCGATGCGTTTGTAGCGGGCGCCGGAACAGGCGGCACTATTTCTGGCGTGGCCAGGTTTTTAAAGCCCTTGCTGCCTAGCCTTAATGTTGTGCTGGCTGACCCGCAGGGAAGTGGGCTTTTCAACCGAGTGGTCTACGGTGTTATGTTTGATGTTAAGGAGCGGGAGGGGACGCGGCGGCGTCCGCAGGTTGATACTATCGTTGAAGGTATTGGCATTAACCGGGTCACGGCGAACTTCGAGGCGGGGAAGGAGATGATTGATGATGCGGTGCGGGTTACTGATGCACAGGCTTTGGCTATGGCGCGGTGGCTTGTGGAGAAGGATGGGATCTTTATTGGGAGCAGCAGTGCAGTGAATTGTGGGTTGAATCCCTCTTTGCCTAGCGCACATGTGTTTTACTTATGGTGCTTTATAGGTGTTGCCGCTGTCAAGACAGCGAGGAGGCTTGGCCCAGGTCATCGGATTGTCACGGTCCTTTCGGACTCTGGTTCACGGCATCTGTCTAAATTCTGGGCCAAGGCTGGTGATGTTGGTGGGGCGGTTGATACGAAGCTTGAGGATGTTATGAATGCACAGGACGAAGACTTTCATTAGATATAGATTGAATGGTATGGTAGTCATGTTATGAATACGTGTGGATAGATTATCGATTGTCAATCACTGGCCGTATTGGTATAATCCGGTTGCACTATCGCTATAGTCAGAAATCTATAACAATACCCAAGAAGTTGTGTGGCGTCTTACTGTCGGTGGCGTTGGTCACTTCTTGGATGCCAAGCTGCTTAAGCTCTTCCTGGGCAATGTCTTCGCATGCAGCATTACTACCTCCTACCTCATCTGGGGCTTGCTGCATGGCCGCTTCAGATCCCGGCTCATTATTTATCTCGTCTTGCATTTCTTCCGGCTGCAGCTCTGCCGGCAGCTCTTCCGGCTCCGCCTGTTCCTCTATGTTCCCTACCATGGCAGAGGGAAATCCCTCACCCACAAAAGCACGTAGCAGCTCAAACTCAACCTCGTGTCGGGATCGCCCCTTGAAGCGACTTTGTATCTGACCCCAGGTAAGACCCGATTGGGTGCTGAGTCGGGACAGGGATACCAGCTCAGGCTGCGACCAGGCAGCGGAAAGGGGAGGCGGATTGGCAAGACGCCGGGTCCAGTGATTGTAGAACCAGTGCCAGACTGTCGGGTATTCGCGACCTGGCAACATATGCATTACGTCGCTGGCTTTCTTTTCTTGTTTGTGCATCATGCACACGATCAACTTTGCTTCGTCGGGTGTGATGGGCTGCCTTTTGCTTGGGGTGTTTTCGGGCTGCGGGGACGAAGCCATGCTGGCTGTGGTCTTGGGGGTTGAATCGTGTACCATAGGATTACATGGCAGTTCGTTTTTATATTCTGATCCAGATGTTTCGTTTTGGTCATTTTGTTCACAGCCTCCTTGCAGCTGTTCTTCGGTGACTTCGTTTTCTTCATCATTTGGTTCGTAGTCTCGTAGTTGTTCTTCGGGCACTTCGTCTTCTTGGTGGCTCGGTTCGCAGCACTCTTCTTCGGGGCGTACTTCAGGCACCTCGTCTACCTGAATGCTCGGTTCCTCTTCTTCAGGGCATGCTTCAGGCAAGCTCGAAAGACCACTTTCTATCTTAATAGGGGCTACGTCCCAGCGACGTTTTGACTCCTCGGGGGGCCCATTCTGAAAGGTTGATGGCACACGGAGCTTACCATTCGAAAGACCCAGGGTTGGCGACGAAGAACTATCATTCGATAATGTCTCATGCAGACATGTAACCGGAACTTTCGGTATGACAATACATCTCTTCGCTTGAGAGTTCTCTTTCTCGTCCATCCATCTCTTCAGGGTTATATAAGTTCGGCTTCGACCAAAAGTAGCGCGATATTCTCTGACGAATCTCGATTGGTTCCATTGTTCGTGTAAATGAGCTTTCATCCACGTAGCAGCCACCGATCTCTCTTGATGGTCGGACATGTGATCGGACCTTCGCGGGCTTTTTCGTGCTTCCGATACATTGATCGATTGCCGTACTTCATCTACCTGATTGCTCGATTCACAGCCCCCTTCTTCAAGATGTGTATCAGGAACTTCATCGCCACCACTTAGTTCGTAGCCCCGTTCTTCAAGATGTGCGTCAGCCACCTCAGCCGCATGGCCACTTAATCCACACCCCCCCTCTTGGCGATCACCCCGCTCAACTTCAATAACAACAGTCGGCCGCTTGGAAGGAGTAGAAGGACCATCATTAACCTTAGTCGGAACGCGACGCTTTCCACGAATGATTTTAACCCTCGATGGCGTCGGCGACGGCTCATAGTCCTGCAACGGGTCATCGGACTCATTCCCATCTGGCACTTCCGCAAAAGACCAGTCGCGCGTGACAGGGCTGGAATGATACTTGCGCTTCGCGGCTGGCTGACGCTTGCTGGGCGTGGCCTTGGGTTTCGTTTCTGTGCGTGGCTTGCGGGGTCTACGCACAGCCCAGATTGAGCCGCTCCCTGGCGGGGACGGGGATCTGGCTGTGGCAGTGGCAGGTGAAGAGAAGCCCGCGTTTGTTTTGCGGGTTTCGGTGGTGGGGGTTGAAAAGGATGCAGGTAGATCTGGGACTGCCCAGATTGAATCTTGTGGTTTGGAAGGTAGGATAGGGTTGGTCGGATGGGAGGCTTGTTCTTCCTTGGTCGTAGGACTGTGCCCTGCAGTCCCAGATGATTTAAATGTAAACACGAAGTCTAAAGAGGTGTCCATGTCTGTCTGTAGCTGTTTCGATGGCGATTCTTCGCGTGGAGCCGAGGAACGACCAGGAGAAGATGCCATAGAGAAGAATTCATCCTCCTCTCCCTTCGCGGTGTCGTCGTCTGCATCTGGGTCCTCTAGATCACCCTGGGAGAGCCATGATCGCGGCTGGCCGGCGTCGTGCTCGCTCCGCATACCCAGGAGATGTCCATTGTCTACCACTATATCCCCGGTCTGCAGGTCAATCTCATCACCGACGTCCGTGAAGTCCTTGCTATATTTCGCGAAAATGTGTTCGAAGAGAGACTTCAGTCGCGAGTCATTCTGTGCGCGTGCAGCTGGGAGATCGAATTCCGCGGGAACCTCGTCGTCCTCGGTTGGGGTATATGATAAACATGGTCTCTTCGCTGGTCGTTCCATATCGTCCTGCATGGAGTGGTCGTCCATGCTGTCCGGGTTCATGGTCGGAGAAGGATCGATAGATGCATTAGAAGTGATCGAACATTGAACGCGTAGTAAAATAACACATAATCAAATTGGCATCTGTTGATAGTAGAGTAGAATGTGGTGTGCAGGCGCAAGCGCGAGCAAATATGCAAAGGAACAAATGACGTTCGCCGAAGCTCCTTGAGCTCCCCCGACTTCACTCCCCACACCGAAATGAACAACAACCACCATGTATTGCCAGAAGTGTCGCACGCCGTTGAAGCTGGATGGCTCGGTAGAGTCACTCAACCCAGCTGCCTTTGACTTGCTATCTAGTAAGTTCATCCCACAGGCGATCGTTGATCCCGCTAATCGGTCTAGACTCTACAGGCAAGACGTTGTCGGATACCGGAGCTGTCTCCTCGTCAGCGCGATCGTCATATCCGCACGAACGCCGCGATAAGTACGATCAGTCCTCTAAACATGCTACGTCGCCGGTTTACAGACGGTCTATCCCTGCGCCGCGGGCAGGCCAGCCCAACCCAGTACCCCGGGCGGATAGCGGCAATATGTCATTCGTGATGCTCACGGAGTCCCAAGTTGCGCCACCACCGGTCAGTGAGAGTGGAAGCAAGCGAAATACACAGGCCCAGCTGCATGACCAGGATGGGCCGCTCGTTGATCAGGTGGAGAAAACGACACGGCTGTTTGAGATCGTCTCGGCGCGCTCCGATATCGACCATCCTATTTGCGTGGAATGCACCGAGCTGCTTGTGGAAGGATTACAAAAACGCTTGGCGGGGTCTACGAAGGAGCGAGACGCCTACATCTCCTTTCTCAGGAACCTGAACGCGTCGATCCCGACCGAGGAGGAGGTGCAGGCGGCACAGAAATCATTGAATGAAAGCCTCGACGCGGAACGAGCCGCCTTCGCTGAGCTGCAGGCCTTTGAGAAAGAAAAGGCTGCTCTAGATGCCGAGATTGCCAGCTTGGAAATCGAATCGCGCCGCCTGGATGCGGACGAGGAGAGCTTCTGGCGGTCGCGCAATGCGTTTGCGTTGACGCTAACCGAGTTTCAAAACGAACGGGATGCGCTCAATATGCGGTATGATCATGACTCCCAGCAGCTGGAGCGACTGCAACGGACGAATGTCTACAATGACGCGTTCTGCATTGGTCATGATGGATATTTCGGTACTATCAATGGACTACGGCTGGGCCGGCTGGCCAATCCTTCGGTTGACTGGCCTGAAATCAACGCTGCATGGGGACAAACCGCCCTCCTTCTGGCCACGATGGCCGAGAAGCTGGGGTTCCAATTTCAGGGGTATCGGCTCAAGCCGCTGGGGTCCAACTCGCGGATTGACAAGATTGAATATCCCACGCAGCCAGCCGGCCAGCCGGTCGAGGGCGCTGCACCCAAGGTGACCCAATTAGACCTGTTCTCGTCGGGCGATCTCCCGCTCAACCTTCCTTGGCTTCACCGTCGCTTTGACTCGGGCATGGTGGCGTTCCTTGAGTGTCTGCGGCAGCTGGGGAAGTTTGTGGAAAAGACCCCTGCACCGGTTGTATCTCCCCGGCGCGGCCAGACCGGCGCCACCGCACCGGGATTAAAGCTGCCCTATGAGATCAAGCGGGATCGGATTGGAGATGCCAGCATCAAGTTGGGCTTCAACCAGAATGACGAGACGTGGACTCGAGCCTGCAAGTACACGCTGACTTGCTGCAAGTTCCTCCTTGCGCATGCCAGCAATCTGGCTAGCACGGGGTCCAACTCAGCAGCCGTCGCGGCTGCAGCCGTTGCAGCCGCGGATCAAGCCCGACAGACCAAGAATAAACCATGAACACATGAAACTTTCCAAAAGCAAGGATCAGATGTCAATGCGGGAAACCGAAAATCGAAAATCGAAAATCAAATCGAAATCGAAATCGAAATCGAAATCGAAATCAAATCAAAAATCGCGCAGAGGATGAAATTAAAGACTGCCCAGCGCATCACTCTCGTACTTTGTCTATGCATGTACATTATAGGGGATGGCCATGACGTGCCACTGGGTGTTTCAACCAACGCCTGTCCCCACCGTTTCATTGGCCTGTCACAAACTACTGGACTCGGCCCAACCAATCCCCCCCTGACCGATGTTACCAGCGCGTGGGCCAAAAGAACCCCCACTCCTCTCAATCCCTTCCCCGTCTCGTCTGCGGATGAGCGAGCTGCGTCCGGCATGCAGTGCCCTTCCAGTCTGCGCCGTACATCCTAGTACCTGCATGCGATCCGAGCCGGTGAACGGTGGTCCGTGGACCTATGAGCGTGGCCGCGGCAGATATCTCCGGATACAGGCGGCTCGGAGTGGAGGGGCTCCACGCGGGATGGCCGTTGTGTTCCCCTCAGGAAAGCGCGGTTGTTTTTAATCTGTGCTGAGTTTAGTATGTTGTATGTATCTTGTATGCCTTTATATTGTTTATCTTGTTTATAGGAGAGACCAAAGTACACCCCGCACTTTAAGAACGATCATGTCCATTTGGGGGCTAGCGAATAGCTTGGAGGCCCAATGCGGGAGGAGTTCCATTTCTTTTCTTTTCTTTTTGCTTCGCGGCGTATCGTCAATTCATTGTTCTCCCCTATCCCCTATGGAATCGGATTGTCAGGAGGTACCCAACTAGCCACGTTTTATTCAAGAATCCAAGCTCAAAGCAAAGATCCCTTTCATCCCTATCCCTCTCGGGGACTAGTATTCCAGCTCCCCGAAAGCCCAGAAACGAAACCCTGTAGATCAGTGCAGCACCCATCGCCCAGAATGATCCCAGCTGACACTAGTCCCTGGGAGATGCTGATTCTAGCCCTTGGGATACGGGCCACGCGTGCAGGTGATAGCGGGGCAAGTGCAGTGCACCGTTGTAGATGAGCGTAGGATTGAATTACCAGTGACCCCTGCTAAGCTCGTACTACGTGTTCAACGGAGGGATCCAGCATCTAAACTATATTCTATAGATCAGAGTTCTGTACTTCTGTCGGGAGGAAGTACGGAGTACGGAGTATTCCGTAAATAATATATTATCATATTTTACTATATCATAATAAATAAATAAAAAGGGTAGTAGCACGGACCTTGCATCGTACGTTTTTCATAACAGTCTCGGCCGCGAAGGTTTATAATTAACAGTTTAGCCTATAAATACATACATATACAGCACCGTTGGGAGATTGGTCGGACAGGGTAACCTTGTCCAGAGCCCAAAGCGCAGTGAGTTCCCCTCTTGCGGTGGATGTCAACGGGTTTAACGGTTTCCTCCGTTGAGATTGGCACCTTATACTCCGTAGTTATAGTCATGTTGAGATATATTATTATTGTATTTTACTATACTATACTATACTATACTATACACGATATTACTCCCATTCTGTGGCTGATTGATCCACGCCCCTGGGATTTTAGGATTTTAGACTCGGGGAAGACAAAGACCTGTCAGGGAAGATTCGGCCCGCTCCCGGCGGTGTTTTGGATCTGCAGGTAATCTTTGTATTGGGTATTATACCGCAGTAATAGGGGTAGATGGGGACTCTCGGCGGCGTATTATCTGCGTACTCCATACCGAGGGCTCCGTAAAAGAAATGAAAAAAACCAAAAAGGCAACGGAAAATGCATCCATTTGCGGCCAGTGCACTGCATGTAATAGTTCGCTTAGGCGTAAAGGCCAAAGTACAGCTCCACTCGAGGTCTCCAGCTAACGGTGTGATCGAGTCATCCTGGTTTGATATTAATTCGCGATACATGGAATAAATAAATTGAACTACCTCTCAAATGCATTAATTCAATCAACAAAACAAAGAAGACTCCTACCTCATCAAGACCAAAACCCGGAGATATTCTCCCCCAAGTTGCGGCCGCGGACATGGCTGGTCATAGCTGGGTCATAGCTGGGTGTGGGTCTGAAGTGCTGGGATGTGATTGGCCCGGGGAACCAGGGGATCGTGCGTCCGCGTGCACGTCGCCCCAAAGAGAACTCGTTGGCTTTGATCTCTTTCCTCTTTGCTCTTTCGGGCCATTTGGGGGTTTGGCGATTTGCGGATTGGGATTTTACGGATTTTACGGATTTCTAGGGGGACGGGGGCTATTTTGTTTTGCATTTATTACATGATTTGCATTCCAGTTATATTATAACCCGACCTCGCATCTTCATCTAGACCTACCTATACCTATACCTCACCCTCACCATGGAAAATAATTACGCAACCCCCATCTCCCCTCAGTCGCCAAACGTCTTTCGGCCCCGCCGGTCCGATGACTGGCATGAATATCGTGAAATCATCGAGCAACTCTACCGCAACGACCAGTTGAAACTGCGCGATGTGAAACGGATTATGGAGAGAGATTATAAGTTCTTTGCATCGTAATACACCCTTCTCTTCTACCTTCGTCTGAATAGATCTAACTCGCTCTAGAGAAAAACAATACAAAGATCGTCTGGCCGCATGGCACGTTCGAAAGAACATCAAAGCCAAAGAAGTCCATCTGATGCTTCGCAAGCAACAGAAGCGCGCCGCCCAAGGCAAACAGACGGCCTTCCGCGTAAACGGCCAGAACGTCGATCCCAAGCGCATCGCCCGCTTCGTGCGTCGCTATGGAACAACGTGGGATACCAACCGCGGCAAGGACCAAAAGGCCGAGTCAAGCCCCGAGCCTCGTGAGTGAATCATCATGGATATGAACTAGACGGTATCAAACCAAACATACATACTAATAATCCCATAGAAACCCCCTCCGACATGACCTGCTACACCCCAGAGCCAACAGACGAACACAGCGCCACAACCCCCATCTCACCCCCCGACATGCAATCCCCAACCCGAGAAATGCCCTCCTACCCACTCGGCTCATACGGTAAATCCACAGCCGTTCCGGTGAGTGTGAGTGTACCGCATGATATTGATGGCAGATATCTCGCTCTAGACCCAAACCACCTTGAAAGCCTCCCCGATCTGGAACTGGAAGAAAGCCCGACCATGCCGCTGTCCATGCACCCAAACCAGCCCCGCCAGATCCAGTCCTACCACCAGTCAATAGGCAACCATCTCGCGCACGGGGCAGGGTCTCACTCGCACGGCGCTCACAGCCCGCATCCGGTCCATGTGCATAGCCCCCATGGGCACAGCCCGCTCCCCGCTCATGCTGTACACAGCTCGCATGGGCAGAGCGCGCACAGCGGACACAGATCCCACAGCGTGCACAATGCGCACACGCACACCTCGCACCCGCATGCTCGTCCTGGTCCTGCGCCTCGGGATCTCGAGGATGCGCCTGGTGAAGCTGATACCCATCCGCCTGACTGGAATACGGTCGAGTCGTTCCAGACGCGGTTGCAGGATTTGGACTTTACGCTTACGCAGTCGATGTCGAAGTGGGCTAGGGATCATGACCCTAACCACGAGCCTCCTCACCATGAGGGATTGGGGATGTGATTAGTTAATTTTGTTGTGGTTCGGTTTTGGTTGATTGAGATCTTTTCATTTCTTTTCATTTCTCTTTGCCTCATTATCTCCATCTTGTTTTCTTTTTTCTTGATTTCCCCATTCCCATCAGCGTGTGAGCCCGTTTTCTTGTCTCTTTGGCCTTTCTCGATGTATATGGTTCCCATGCTCCGTCCCGACCCCCATCTCCCTTCCAAACTTAGCCAACGGAGGAAGACTCATAGCACGGGCGTTCTTATTATGGATATGGATATGGGTATTCGCGTTCTAGATTGATGATCTATTCTATGCATGGCATCTGATTTTCTGTATCCAACATATCTCGCATATCTGTCCTGCTTCTCAAGTATGGGTAGCACGAAAGGGGCATCAGCTCCACAACGATACTCCATCCGCTCGACCGATATTGTCCCTGTTCTTATCAACTGACACTGAACACCCCGGCTCAGTCCCTGTCCCTGTCCCAGTCAGTCTCATCATGTCTCACCCGACATGATATTTCTTTTCTCAGACACAACCCTGGAAGATACTGCAACCCGAATCTGAATCTGCTCGGCATTTCATTTTCATTTTCATTTTACGACTCAACCCCGCCCTGTGCCTATTACCCCGACCAACCCCGGCACATTCGCTCCATCATACTCGCTCCATCCGGACACTGTCATCTGTGTACTCCGTACTCCACGCCCCATATATTTTCTGGGATTCCCATGCATAACATATCGATCGACACTACACTACGTTTGACTCATCCTACACTTCTATTCGATTATACATAGTGGCTAAGTACATAGCCCTGACACGCAGATCACCGGCGATCATATACACATCCACGTAAACGTACATACTTCGCGACGTGACACAACCGGACAGAAGGAATCGTAGAAAGTATAGCGCAATGAAACGAAACTTGATGAACGAGACCCATCTAAGCGTTTAACCTCGTTTTACTCCGTAGATCAACTACGAAAGAAAGTACCATAATGACGACACGGCACATCAATATTTCTCCAAGGCAGGTATGTGGGTGGTAAAACCCACTATTTAGACAAAGTACTCCGTACAAATGTCCCACAATCAGCGCAGGGTAAAGGGACACGACTTTCAGCCCCTTACCTTCCTTACTCCAGAAGTACATACTACATACATTGTACGTTGTACCTTGGACATATGTACATATTGGGTAGTCGACAATGATATACGATGTATCTATTGCAACGGCAGTATACATATTGAGTAGTCAAGAATGATATTCGATGTATCGACTGTCAAATGTCAATGTCAAATGTCAAATGTCGGTGGGGACGGATACGGATATGTGCCGGGACGGGACGGGAATGGCATGGCCCACTGTGGGCCAGACGATAGTCCACGAGGAGGATTATGGGATGTTGGATGGGAAAGGATAGGTACTTTTGTTAGGAAGAGGGGCTTTTGTTTCGAACTAGAACTAGTGGGAGAGGTTGCGTGGATGTGTGTGCATGCACTAATAAGTACTAAATACAAAGCCAATGAGAGATCGCTAAACGAATTCAAGCCGACAGAAGGAGAGGAAGCAAATGGACAAAGAGGGGAAGCGCTGGGGAGAATACTGAGCCAGGCAGAGCAAGGTGCTACCTGCACAGCTGGTCATAAGAGATCGAGAAGATCAAGGCACGCGAGGGGATATATAAAGATGAGCAAAGCTCAAAGGGGAGTTTTTGGCCGGTTCACGTCACTATAAAAAATCATATACTGTTCCAACTTGTCTATTTCAAAGACAAGGACCAAGGAGAAAGCCAAGCAAGTCTAGCATAGCTCATGAGTAGAACGTGCTCTTCTGGAAGCTCTCAGGCGTGATATCGCCCATCTTGGTGTTGAGCTCGGGCTTGCTCAGTGACGACAGGCTCTGTGTGCGGCCTGCGGGGTCGCCCCTCATCGTAGTAGTGGGAGTAGCAGGCTCGCTGCCTGTTGTGATAGCCTGCTGAGTAGGTCGGCGCTGGATAGTCTCCAGGTACGGGCCGGGGAGATATCCGACGCGGCCGTCGCGAGCACGGCAGCGCCACCACTCGGAGGCATTGCCCATAGGATCCGACTTGCTGAGAACAGCAACAATGTCACCCTTCTTCACGGCCAGGTCAATGCCGTTGCTCTCCTGGGTCTCGGGGGTGTAGTCGTAGAGGAGACGGCAGAAGTCCAGCTTGGCCGGGTCGAGCGATGCTGGGCCCTCGGCCCCAACACCCACGAGCTGGCGACGTTTCGCCTCTTCCTCCTGGGATCGGGCCATGGTCTTGATGAGCTTGCCCATGAGGTAAGGGAGGCCAAAGAGGGCAATCAAAAACATGAAGAATGGCTTCTTGGATGGCTTGGCGGGAACCGGTGAGCCATCCGGGAGTGTAGCAGCGGCGTGACCGCCGAGGAAAGCCGCAAAAGCAGCCGGGGTCAAGGAAGTCGCATCAGCTGGCGGAGGACGCCCGGTGAGCTTAGCGATCAATGTGCGGAACCACCGAATGAGGGTGAAAATGCCCAGGGCCGAGCCGAGTGTGTTTCGCAGGTTTCCAAATTGTTCCGCGACCGAGACCATTGCTAAAAAAGTCAGCAGTGTCCATGTATCATGTATTTCTTCCAGGGAACTAACCAAAGAATGAACTGTGCGTAGCCATGTACGTGCTCTCGAGCATCTGGGCAAAGCCACCAAACGCACCAACAATACTCTCAATCATGACGAAAGTGGCCTGTGTGCTCTGCCCGAACGAGTTCGTCAGGCTGTTCGGATCATTAGGATCTTGTCCCGGCATGCCACCGTACATCCCTCCCATCCCTCCCATTCCCCCCATACCGCCCATGCCCCCGTACATGCCACCTCCGTAGCCTCCGTAGCCGCCACCGCCGTACATGGAGCCCATAGTGCCCATAGAGCCGAAGCGGGAGTAAGGTGAAGCCATGCCACCCATCCCGCCCATGCCTCCGTAGCTGGATCCGTACGCGCCTGTTCCAAGGCGTGAGGCTCCATATGGCGAGTTGTTAACTACGGAGTTGAGAGCGCTCGGACGGGAGGGAAGTTCGGGGGCGGTGGACGATGCGGGGTTGGCTGTAGAAGTCATCGCGGTCGAGGCAGCAGGGCTACCGGCGATAGGTGCTGTTGATAGTGCGTTTCCTGAGGAAGGAAGTTAGTTGTGGACACTGTGGATTGCGCTGACTCTGTGGCGCTAGGATATCGGCAATCGAGAAGACACTTACCAGCTGCACCGGCTCGCTCCCACGGTTTTGGTGGCGAAGGCGTCGCCATGGAGTTGGATATTAGCGGAATAGCATCGAGATACGATATACGTCTGTTCAGATGGATTCGCCGCGAGGCTGGGGGGTGAGCGATGAGAGAAGATGGAAGAAAAGACGCATGTGGTGGAGATGCCGAGGTCGGGGTTTGCCGAGAACACGGGGTATTACCTACAACTAGACAACGCCTAGGTAGATCTTCTTCATAATTTTCACAAGGACGATCCTCTAATGCCTGGCTCTGTAATAAGCAGCGATGTCTAATTAACTAGCAGACTTCTCTTGTCCATCCTGTTTGCTCAGCCTGTCCCCTGCCCGGTTCGCTCTTCCGCCTGTACGGAAGAAATCTTTTCGGTGGCAAATGCATGTACCTGGGGGCGACCGAAGTTTGAGATGGAGATGAGCGAAGGATTGAAGTAGATATAAGTCGTCTAGTCATACTTATACATATCTAGACACTAGCAGACTTATTCACATCCGTCTCTATATTTTAGCTTCAATATGTACTTTGTAACACCCAAAACTACACTGAACATATAACTCCAATAGTTTGTTGAGCGAAGCGAGGCAAAATAACCTGAACATTAAGGAGTATATATTCAAGTACTGAAACAAAACCATTCAGACAAAGTCTATCAACGCCATAGCACAGAGCCATATGTACAAATGCCAATGCAAAGATGAAATACAGAACTCATAACTCGTCACGATTAGCATAGGCAGCAGGTTGAGTATGTGCACGCGGCTGCGGCGTCTTCAGCTTCCACATGCGAGGAGGCACCGGCAATCCGAGCCAATAATTGTACAGTCGGATGAACTCCGACGTGCCGATTTGGTAACTGCAAGAGTCAGTCAGTCTATCCAATAACCAGATCAAGAGCAACTTACATTGTAAATGGGATGTCCAACCAAGACTGCCAGATATACCCAACCGTACCCCAGATCATATTCCACTCGGACATGAAATCCTCGACCCAGCCATCGTCTGGGCCAGGCGGTTTGCGCTCCCAGGGGTACCGTTCTGGCGCGGCGCCTCGGCCGTAGACATAATCATCTTCGTTATCTTCACCTTCGAAATAGAAGTTGTTATTGCCGTCGCTGAACACGCGTCTGTTGTCGCCGAGGGCGTTGGCGTGGTGAGAGGAGGGTACGGCGCCGTGGACGGGGAACATGTGGGTGGTGCCGGTCAGCAGAGCGCGCTGCATACTGCGCGAAGCAGCGATACTGTGCGAGATGCGGCCGAGTGTGTTGATGAGAGCGACCAGCTCGGTGCGGCGCAGGGGCGGGTTCTCGCCGTTCTTGGTTTCGTCGTACTCGAACAACACCTTGAGCGCGGTTCCGTACCCGTTTACCTGGAGCTTGCCCCAGAGGCGGCACTTGTCGCAGCCGACGCAGTCCATAAGGCGACTGACGTTGCGGAAGCGGTTGCGGAAGTCTTCTTTCAGGCCGATGGCGTTGGCGTCCTGGAACATGATCTTCTCGTCGAAGATTTGAGGAAGCTCCGTCAAGGTCGCTGTTAGCTTGTTGACGCGCTTTTTGGTCTCACGGTCTTGCACTGGGTCGCTGGCGCAGTATGTGTACCCGTCCAGGTGCTTACGGAGTTTGGCCACGGCGCGCGAGACTAGTGCGTAGTTGAAGTACATGTTTGAGATGCGCTCCGGGTGGTCAAGGAGTCGATCCTTGAAGCATTGCACGTTGGGGTGCCACAGGCCGGTGGTTTGGTTGAGGTAGTCCCAGCACAGATGGGTCGAGATAGAAGCGTGCATGCCGCTCAGCAGCCGGTGGAAGACTCGCTTCTCCAAGCACTCGTTATCAAGCGACAGGCTTTCTACCCGCTGCGATTCCTTTTGGAGAACGTCGCGGAAGTCAGAGGCTGCCTGGAGGCCGCCTATTGGAACGTTGACCGACTGCTCCTCCAGCTCCTCAGCCACGGGCTTCAAGAAGCAGTTTTCGCGGTAGATGGCATCCCACACTTGGTTTGCACCTTCTCCAGAGTATCCCGTGAACCGCTCCGGATTATCCACCAAGCTCACATAGTCTCCTTTCCCGGCGGAACCCTCGTCCTCGGGGACACAGTAGTCTCGTTCCTCACATTCGTCATCATATTCCACCACACAGCTCTCGCCGACATCTTCACCCAGCTCTCCCTGTAGCGGGCGTTCTTTCGGCCGCTCGGCTTGAATATTGCGAGGTGGGTGGTTCGCCTTCGGGCCCTCTAGTTTGCTGAGTTCTTCCGCGCGCCACGTCAGCGGAATATCCTCCTCTGAGTCGATAGTGTTCACGGCACAGGCAATGTTGCCACACATGCTATTGGCGTCGTTCCAGAAGGGACATTGTCTATTGAACAGGTTGAGGCGATAGTAGGAGAAAAAGTCCGTTTCTTGTGTGAGGGAGTTGAGCGTCGTGAAAATCAGGTCATTCATGCCGTTGATCTCGCCGTATGTGACACACGCATCGGATACCATGGCCGAAGGTTCGATCTAGGTACTGTCAGTCATCTGTGTTGGTATCCTCGGTCCTGATAAGACTTACAGCACACTTAGTTGGGTCCAATGCAGGATTATGAACGGCGGCATGGCTCAAGCTAGCAAGCGCAAACACTGCTGCATAGAGCAGCCTCGCTGCAGACCGCATCTTGGTCTCCGACTGTGGTGTATGATCAAGCACGTAGTCGTCCGGTTGTTGTATATGCAAGGTGGCGCAAAGGCCAGAGAATCAACGCGAGGGTCTGTCGTTGGAGGTAAGCCGTGAAGTCTACGCAGTGATAGCTTGAAAAGAGAAAAAAGAATCTCAATAATATTAGAAAAGAATAGAAGAATCAAGAATGTCAGTGTCTGCTGACTGAAGTGGACAAGCTGGCCTCCAAATAATATCCGCGGAGATCGGCCGCCAAGAAATGATAATGGCCTGACTGATCCTGGCCCCTGATTGGCTGGCTTGTTGAGGTTCAACACATTTGGAAAGTGGCAAGATGGAAGGCGATGGACTGATGTGGTGCCATGTATAGTATGTTGTATAGTATATTGCAAGGTTATATACATGTACCTCGTATAGGAGGTGCAATCCTTCTGGCCAACATACCACTTTACAAACATATATTAACCAACTGTTTACTTTTGACTAGACAAGTATACTACCAAGGTTGTTATTGAGAGATTCACAAATTGTCTGAATAAGAATATACAAGCCATTCAGATCCCGGTTGAGGAATCCACCGATCTAACCATAACCGAAACGGCGCACAAGGTTCCTTGTCTTTATACCAAGGAAGTCACTTACTATTTAGATCGATACTACACAGATATACGGAGTATGTGAATACGAGCAGGAATAAAGCCGTATTCGCTGAACAGCCTAATAACCCCTGTTTATTGCTCATCGATCTTGTACTTCACACCGAAAATATGCTCGTATTGGTAGAAGTTGCAAAGCTATCTCTAGTTATTTAATTTAACCGACTAAGATCCATATTTAGTGAATACCTGCTATAAATTCTATTGCGCTCAAGGCTCCTAACTTTGGAAGTACATAACCCGAAATTTATTCAGGAACATCCCCGGAGGACTATGGCGACTAGCTCTTCCAGGCATCAATTTCTTGTGTGTATAAAGCGTTCTGATTCCATACAGGCCATTATCATTTTATTTTTTTCCAAAAGAGAGGGCGCAATCCATAGTCGATCAAAGCACAAGGGAGTATAAGAACCTACCAATCAAAATCAGCGTTAGCAATAACCACAAGTCAACCGGAGTTCTTAAACTCAGTGGTAGTCAATACCAAAGCATGCATTGTGGTGACCCAGGGTCCAATTAAAAAGCTCAAACGAGCTAGATTGCCCACTATCTCAACAGCGAACGCCATCCCGACAGAACAGGTGTTTATTCAAAGTCTCCCCGACATGGGCATTCAAAACAGACAATGAATCACCAGTATCCGGGGCTGGCACAATAGACGGGTACTGCATACCACGTAGGGGTGGCACAGACATATTTGGTATACCGAACAGAGCATGTCCGGGAATGCTGTATGGAGTGAAAAAGGAACGAACAGCAGGAAGAGTCGGCAGTGGAGCATGGCGAATATCGCTATTATGCATGATATTCGGGAGTTGGAGGTCCATCTTAGGCATCGGCGGGATTAGCCTAGCATTCCCACGATGTCTCGGGCGAGCACCTCGTTCAAGGTATGGTGCAGGGCGATGGCGAGTCTGCTGTGCCACGCCGTAAATAGTATCGGTTGGAGCAGGCATAGTAATATGGACACGGACTGGCCCAGTCTCTGTCTTGCTGCGCCCAGCGCCTGGTGTATAGTATGGTGGACCATCAATATGCACGATATCGGCCGGGTGCTCGACATGATTGTGAGTAGTGAGATGGCGAGGAAATGCTCTCATCTCGGTCAATTGCCAACTCGCCAGCAACTGCTCCAACTGGTCGGCTACACGGGTGTGATCTCGCTGGTGGAGAAGGTCTGCAATGGCGTAGCCTAGCTGGCCTTGGGTATACCAGCAGGAGTACCCAAAGTTGGTACCGAAGTAATTTTGATGGCGCTGAGCGCGGGCAGTGAAGTACTGAGGTGGAGCATCGAGGACGACGTCGCTAGGTGGATAACTCAACCCCATCATCTCTCCGACTCGTCGAAGGGTCGAGAGTTGGAGATTGAGTTGGCCCATCCAGCCAATGACTTTGTCCTGGTTTGATGGGTAGTTGTTTCTAAGGCCATGAATAATTTGCTGCATGAGGGTCCAGAAATTAGCATGTTCCTCGCGGAACTCGTCAGACGCCCTGTGTCCTGCCATGCCTGCGGTTTGATAGATTAGTGGTATGGTAGTGAATATTGATGCTAGCCTCGTGGGTTCGAGTGTGAGTGTGTTTGCTTTAAGCGAATGCAATCAATGTATAAATAGTCTGAAGATGGTCCTAGAATTGATAAAAAATGAGTAGAATGTGGCTTAGTGGATGTGTCCGGTTACTTTGAGATTTATGTGCTGACCATGTGCGATTATAGCTTGGTTGTTGCTTTGGTTTCTCTTTTGTGCAGGGTCGTGAAATTTGTATAAAATATCATTTTTTGAGCCGATGCCCAGTGTTAACATGATCGCGTATAAGCCCACTCTCGATATATATACGAAAGAGTATATGTCAAACGATACAAACTACGGGTCACGAACCCGTGTAATACTAACTCTTAATCCTTCACCTCTTTCTTTTGGAACGCCAAAGCCATACTCCCGATGCGTGACGATGTTATCTGCCGTCACCCCATATAGATCCATATCGAATCTCCGCACCAGCGTGGAAATGACCAGGTACAACTCTGCCAAAGCCAAACTAGATCACTGGTAAGTTTGAGAATCCAGGAGGAAGTGAGTTTATCTTACTGGTTACCCATGCATTGCCTAGAGCCCTTGCTGAAGGTGACAATCATATGCTCCAGGCGTTGGCCGGCCGCTTCAGCCCGGATCCAGCGCTCAGGGTCAAAGGCAAGCGGATTAGGGAACAGGTCCGAATTTGTGTGAACAAAATGAGACGATGTGCTCATCAGGGACTTTGAGGCGCGTTAGTGTTGTTCATCTCGGAGAATATATGAGCTTACGTTTGGTGGAATTGTCCATTGCTTGTATACCAAGGCTTCATCGGGTGCACGCCGGGGAAGGCGAGTTATGACGCCGGAGAGCCGAAGTCCCTCATTTATCGTTCCTCTCTGAACAAATTTCATTGATTAGTCTCGCCTTGGCATACCATATTGCATTGCTCACCATGTAGGGCAGTTTTTCAAGGTCGGCCCATGTGCTAGATGGGTATTGCTCGAGCTCCTCGCGGAGCTTGAGAAGTAATGCCTTCTCATTGAGCAAGTGGAACATGACAATCTTCAATGTTCCTGTTGTAGTCTCCGTGCCTCCACCAATCAACGAAAAGCCTTCGTCCTGCAACCGATCCAATGTTCTTTCCTGCACAGGCAAGGATGGGTCACAGAGAGCACCGAACATTGTTGCTTGACCATCCACTTTACCTCCATTTTGGAGTGCGACGTCGGCTTGAGCACGAACCAGTTTCTGTAGTCGCAAAATGTTGGCTGCATGGAACCAAAGCTTCTCAAGCACCTTATCAGGGATGAACTTTGAAAGATCCAAAAGGAAAGGGAAGAACTTCAACACATGAACTACAGACGCAAGACTTAATATGGAGTCCGCAACTTCATTATTGAAATTGACATCGTCCAAGTAGTCAAGACTCACACCATGCGCGTACTCCGAGATAATATCCGCAGTCAGAGCCGAAGACGCAGCATCCAGCTTTACAACTGTGCCTTGATCACAGGCCATGCTCAGCCGCTTGACAAGCTTTTGCACCTTGCCCTGGATCATGTCTTCTAAGCCTGCGATTGACTTTTTGGAGAAATAGCTGTTCAGGATAGCTCGACGCGAACTGTGCAGGCCATGATCAACAGTCGCGAACATGGAAGTTGGTTGGCCTGCTAGTCGCACAAGTCTTGGGTCTTTGTCCCGCCTCCTGGTAGGGCCTGCATAGATTTCCGTATAGAAGTTTGGATCTGCCACATGAAGCTCGTGGGGAGTAATGCGCACAATAGGACCTCGAAAATGTTTAGTATTGACATATGATCCAGTGTCTCGAATAATGTTCTTACCATATTTCTCATGCATTCTCTCTATCTCCCACAAATACCGGCCACCCAGGACCACATTGTAATAAAATTCATAAAGACTTGTTAGGGCAGCTAGTTTCGGCCCCGGGAACTTGCTGAGAGGATGGAAATATAGTCGATAGATCACCACCCCAAAAATGAAGGAAAAGAAGCCAAACCACAGTAATAGCATGGCGATGATGTGATCGATGCTGAAAATTGAGCGGCTAAAGTTTGAGAGACAATTCACCTACCACAAGGGATTATGATTGTATAAATCCGAATTGAGAATGTTGACCAATTGCTCTAGCTGGGATTGGATGCCGAGTACGGAGCACTCCGTAGAAGAGCTAACGATTGCTACGTGGCATACTTCCGAATCCCCACTGGAAGTTTAGCCACAGAATTGTAATTTTGTTCGGATCCCAAGTCAATGTGCCCCGGCGCTACTTTTGTGCAAGGATTCGAACGGCTTGCGCGACCGCGATGTGGGTATCCGTGGTGACAGGGGTCTGCCGTGAGGATTCCATGTGAAAAATATTAATATATCTCTGAAACAGCCGGAACATTGCATATCGCAGCGTACAACTCTTGTAGGAGCTTCAATTCAGATTCGGAAAATGCTTGTGAGGCTCCTGGGCATGTTTAGTTAGTATCGAGGGTGACCACGTAGACCAATGGGATACTACACAATCGTATCGGATTGGCATCGGGCCGACGATAATAATTCGACAAGTTTTGTTCTATACAAACTCGTCGAGATGCATACACTAAGGCAGGTTGTGCATGTTTTGGGCCCTCCTAAGAAAACCTTCCGTTTTCCATTTTAGGCTCATCTCTTGCCGCTTTTTGTCAGCGGGTAGAACTGAGCACGCACCGGCTGACGTAATCACACACGGGTCCAGGGCTAGATCGTCTTGGAATTGGTAGGCCTTTCAACCTCGGAAACAGTTGAACGTTGCCCGTTATGTAGATATCATAAATTAACAAGGTACACATCAATATGCAAATGCCCAGATGTAGCCTCGCGGTAGGACCCACCGCACTAAAAATGTAGAGATCGTTGAAGTCCGCTGTCCGTGATGAGTGTTGTACACAGGCCTGCATTCCATGCTATTACCGTTATATGACAGGTATTGGCTAGAACAAAGACGCAAGCGATTGGTATAGAGAGATGGAGTTGAGTATTTCCGGCTCGCTTTCATCCGGCGTCAAGTCCAACTCCGCCCATATGCCTGGCCCATGCACTGCATCTGGCTGCATTGCATGCTGCGCATCACTCGCCCCGCAGCTGTCCGCCGACCATGTGACTGAGTCTGATACAACATCGCGTAGATCTTCCGCTGGTTTGCCCGCCCTGGAGACTAGCTCCTTGACTTCCTCGGCCGAGATAAGATGCATGGCTTCCATCAGGATATCGACACTTTGTCGGGATAAAGGACTGCCCGAACCTGCCACTTCCAGAGATTTAATGAGACGGGCCAGTCCTTGCTTGCATTCAGACAGTCGTGGGGAGGACAGTTCAGATAAGGCCAGCATCGCCAGTACCACACCCGCTGTGAAGCACTGGAAACAGAGTTGAACGGCAGAGGTGGTGTTCCCAAGAATAGATAAAATATTTTGCCACCGACAGATGCTCGACATGCGCAAGGCAGAAGTGAATAATTGGTCACGGATCGTGGTATCGGATCTATCTTGCGATTCGATCGGGCCATCGTGTAATCGGACACTGAGGTATTTCCTACTGAGAAGGAAAGGGCGAAACAATATCAGGTGTTTGTAGTCATAAGACACCTGTAGCGTTAGTGCCTGCAGGGAAAAAACACGCCGAGCAGGGTCATCGATCATGCTCTGATCCTCCGAAAAGCTGCCAAGCTTGAGCTCTCGTGGGACGGTCTTTTCCCAATCCAGGAGACGGGCATAGGTGCGCTTGATATGAGGTAAACGTATACTATGCGCCGTTGGATCGGCAATCGAGTACAGCTGTGCTTTGTAGCGGTTGTACGAGAATATCGTCACAGGCTTGAACGTGCCGTCTTCTCGTACCTCGTATGATCCGATCCCCGGGCAGGTGGCCATCGTATCATCTAGATCTTTTGGCTCGCAAACGTTGAACTGTACGGTTGGGAGGACTGATGGTTTCCCGTACGCTTGTGCGATATATCTGGAACGTGTTAGGTTGCTTCGTATGTGTACAAATAGTTGCTCAACTCACACATCGACCATGTAGATGGACCACCAAACTCGTCGGCGCACCTGTATTTCAATGAAATCTAGTGGTTCCCACGTGGCCTCGTCATGAAGGCTCATCGCCTGCGCCGCTCGCGATCCCAGTCCTGACATGGTAAAGGAGAGCTGCGTCTTGCGTTCTAAAAGGTACTCAATGGACATGAGAACGGCACAGGCGATTGATTCTAGCGTGGCTTCTTTTAGAATCCAGAATATATGATCCTCCACAGCCTTGATCCACGTTGCCTTGCACTGCTGAAGATTAAACTGTGAGTCCAGGGAATGTAGGGTATCGTGATTAGAAAACCGGGCTCCAAGAATTAAGACAGCTAGCAATAACAATAAAAATGACTTCTCACAGGGGAGAATACCCTCAGTCCGAAGGATGGTGACCAGACGTGCGCGAAAGCTGGGCTCATGAAACATGGAAAGGTACCAGTGATTCGCTTGGAGATATGCGTCTAATAATGCCAGAGTAACGGGTGTCGACGGGAGCTGCATCCCAATTATGTCGAAAATTGGTATTCTCGATCCTTGAACTTGAGGCAGCTTGTTTGCGGGGGCCCCGTCAGGAATGGCATCAGAGTCCCGCAAGGTGGTCATATGATTGCGAAAAAGCTGATGGGGTTAGAGCAGCAGAAGAAAAGCTTGACAGTACATAATCTTACCTCCTGGGCATGATGAAAGGTTGAGTGGGCTCGCTCTCGCTGGCTGGTGACCAGATCTGTAGCATGATTGCCACCGGGCCCAACATGCGTCTGTAGACCGGGGCTGGGATCGTGCGAAGGGGCCGTTTCCGTGAGCAGTGGACGATTCTCAGGCGGCTTTCTGCTTTGTGACTGAGCTCTGGTATTTTTTCTATAATTATTAGAATATATATTATGCTATGGTGCGTCCTACTCACCTTCGTCGCTTGTTTATAACATCCGTACATTCTGCATCGGAGCGAATGCACAGCTGGCAGGGTCGGGTATCATCACACTGTAAAGAGTAAGTAGAATCCGTGATGTATGACAAGAAAGGAAGACCTTGAGTTTTTGCCGTCGGCATCTTGCACAGGCAGATCGGACCCTGGAGGGCGCCATAACAGCGGAATACAAGGGTTGGATATTGGGAGGGATCTGACATCCGGTGGAGCTCGGAAGTCAAATGTTTATGTCATAGGATGCCAAGGATCTACTCCTCGTACTGGTAAAAGGTATGTATGATTGACGGTGTTATATTCAACTCTATTTGCTATTGAGTACAATATTTACTGACGGTTGTCTGAAAGTAGACAGGAATTGTCTATTGATTTGAGGTCACGTGATATACAACCTCGGCTCCGCTTCATAGCTTCGCCTTGGCTCCCATCGCAGCAGCTCGCAGCTCCTTTCGAAGGATTTTGCCAGTCGGGCTCTTGGGAATCTCAGGTACGAAGATAACACCACCCCTCAATTGCTTATGCGAGGCAAGATTATCTTTAATGAAGCTTTTGATGGCATCTTCCGTGATTTTGCTCTGATTAGCCACCACATACGCACGGGGAAGCTCATTTCCCGCCATGTTGACATCCGGAACTCCAATGACAGCGACATCCTGAATTAATGAATGCGATAGCAAAAGACCTTCCAACTCTGCTGGTGCGACTTGAAGACCCTTATACTTGATCATCTCCTGAAGTGCAACCGAAACTGTCAGAAATTACTTCAATGCTTGAGGTATAGTCGCTCACCTTCTTCCGGTCGATGATGAAGATCCTCCCATTTCGTCGCAATCCCAAGTCGCCGGTCTTGAACCATGCTCCATCGGCTGTGAAGCTCGCTCGCGTGGCTTCTTCGTTTTTCCAATACCCCTTTGTAACCATTGGACCTTGGACGATGAACTCTCCCTCCTGTCCGTCTTCGACATCATTCTCGGCCTCGTCAACGATGCGCAGCCGAATATTCGGAAGCAGAGGCGAGAGACTTCCATCAGACTCGAATTCGTCCCAGGGAGAGATGGTGACACTACCAGTTGTCTCACTAAGACCCCAAGTTTGTGAAACGGGACATCCCAGTGTCTTGGTTGCTCGCACGACCAAATCCGGTCCCATGGGCGCCGCACCAGATACCGCATGGATCATATGCTTAAATTGATCATTCACCAATGGGCTTTGTACCAGTAACTGGTAGATTGGTGGGACGGTAAAGAGGAACGTGGGACGATATGTCGCACAGTTCCAGAGAAAGCTTTTCGGCTCAAACTTGGACATCCAGTACACTGTTCCGCCGCATAGCACCGGTTGCAGGAAATAGCCCTGGCAGCCGGCGATGTGCGCTGCCGGGAGGTGTGCGACTGTCCGGTATTCTGGTGTGAAGTCTGGGGTTTGAGCTTTTTGTCTGGATATGTAATCGCGGTAGGCGTAGAGGTTCACGACGGCAGCGGACACCAGATTCTCATGTGTAATTTCAACGCCTGGGTCTTGATTAGTTATGAACCACAAAAGGAGCGACGCAACTAACCCTTAGGCTCGCCAGTTGTTCCGCTGCTGTAAATCAGACAGGCGGCCCTATCATGCAGGATCTGTTGATCAGAAATCACCTCCCAAGCCAGCTGTCCGGTGGACTCATGGAGCAGTTCCTTCCCGTGTCCATCTCGAAGACTTCTCTGTCCACGTGAACTATCTAGAACCAACACCCTATCCAGTGGGATTCCACATTCAGCGGCAGCTTTGAAGGAAACTTTGATGCAGTCCTTGCTAGTAACAATGAGTCGAGATTCTCCGTGTTTCACCTGTCGTGCCAGCTCTCCGGCCGTGAAGCTCGAGCTAGCCGCACTGTACACCCCGCCCGCGGCAATCACGCCGTAGAAAAGCGAGGGGAGAAGAACTTGTCCGGTCGAGATGCAACAAACGGTATCGATCCCTGGACCTTGGGCGCCAATCGCAAACTTCTCGCGCAGAATGTGGGCGATTCGCATGGTGTACTCGCGGCATTGTGACTTGGTGATACTGTTGCTGCTGTCTGCACCTTCCACATGGAGGATGGTATCATCTTTTGCTAGTACGTCGGGGTGGTCTATTCATAATTAGAGACTGTATGTCTCGATTAATGTAGAATTCTCACCAAAGACGAGGGACAGTAGGTCTGTATTGGGTATAGTATAGTCCTTCACAGGGTTGTAGATAGTGCAAGAAGACATGGTTGCGAATTGAGGAATTGGAAGTAAATATCTTGCACATGCATATGAAGACAATGATTTACTTTATGTTCTACGTGGAACTGACTCTGGAATTGCCAGCTGGGTTATATCCGGTGGAATAGATATGGTATACTCAAGTTGTGGGGACAGAGCTCCTCGCTCACCAATAGGATTCAAGGTACATCCGGTGGAAGTCAGATATCCGGTGGAACTAGGATATCAAAAACGAGTCCCACATGGGGAACCTCGGTACTGATGGACGCTATCCGGTGCTTATATAGCGTGCACCCAAGCCGTAAACCGATACCCCAACTTTATTTCCCCGCAAATACAAATTGAACAAGCATGATGGTACACTCGACCGGCAGAAAACCTTCATCGTCTACGGATGGCTTCTTTCAGTCCATCCCCACGGTTCCTCCAGCATATACCTTCGTCAACGATGGGTCAGCAAACTCAAGCTCCCTGGCCGCTTCGGATGATATAGCCCTTGCGAGAATTCTCAATCTCTACCTGCCGCGGGAATCCCCTGTTGGCGTCTCAGTCCACAACCTATCGCGTCGTGCACTGGATCCGGCTATCCTGAACTTGGCCACCGATGCCGAGGTGAATCAGCCCATCATCCGACCACTTAGTACCTTCGGCATCCAGAATCGTGTCGACCCGTTAATCACCGGAGAAGGGTGGAGAAAGCTGACAGCCATCGCACAAGAGGAGGGCTTGGTTGCAGTCGCCTACAAGAAGAGCAATGAACAATGGAATCGACGCGTGCAACAGTTCGCAATGAACCATGTCTGGTCACCCAGTGCTGCGATGACGGGGTGTCCTGGCTCGATGACGGACGGAGCGGCTAAATTGTTGGCGGCACGGCTGGACGACGTGGACGGTGATCAGCCCGGCCGCCGCGCGGTCTTGCAAGAAGCATACAGACGTCTTGTATCAGATATTCCCGGTGAGGCCTGGACAACAGGACAATGGATGACGGAGAGAACGGGCGGCAGTGATGTTCGGGAAACGGAGACGCTGGCGTGGCGGTTGACGGCAGAAGAGATCTCACGAGATGCCGAACAGGGACGAGATGTGGATGCTCATGGGTTGCAGTTGGGCCCGTGGCGCATCGACGGATTCAAGTGGTTCAGCAGCGCCACTGACTCCGACATGGCCATGCTGCTTGCGCAGACCGAGAAGGGTCTCAGCCTCTTCCTTGCACCCATGCGGCGCCGCTCCGGAAAGAACAGTGACGCGAGCGAGCTGAACGGCATTCGTATCCAGCGTTTGAAGAGCAAGCTGGGCACCAAGTCCCTACCCACAGCGGAGTTGGAATTGAAGGGGGTCCGTGGTTGGCTGGTGGGAGAGGAAGGTAGGGGAGTCAATGCCATCTCGACCGTTCTTAACATCACCCGACTCTACTGCGCAGGTGTATCAGCAGCTGGTTGGGGCCGCGGACTATCCATTTGCCGGGCGTACACTCGTGTCCGCAAGACGCGTGGAGCGCTTTTGCAGGATAATGTGCAGCACGTGCGGTGGATGGCGGACGAGACAGTCAATTACTCTGCGGCAATGCATTTGGCATTCTTCGGGGTCGCACTGCAGGGTACCATGGAGCAGAATTGGGACTCCATGGTCAGCAGTACCAAAGCTGCTGGACTTATCCCGCAGGATCCTGTCAAGGCTGCCACTCTCCTGCGTCTGATAACACCCGCATTGAAGGCCACTGTTAGTGTGAACGCGGTTCATGGACTTCGGGCCTGCATGGAATGCCTGGGCGGGGTTGGGTACTGCGAAAATAATGAAGATGGCGGTATTCTGAACATCGCCAAGATTTTCCGAGATACCACTGTCAATGCCATCTGGGAGGGCACAGTCAGTGTTATGGCGGAGGATGTTATTCGAGTTCTTACCGACAAACGCTTGCAGGGTAAGAAGTCGGCAGGCTCAGTTTTGGTTGAATGGACAAAGGATATTTTGAAGGGCTGCCAATCGGGGTTCGCCGAGGAATGCGTTACTGTGGAAGGAAGACTAAACGCTCTGCTCGAAATTACACAGAGTACTAACAGGGACGAACTCCTGTGGCGCGACAGGGAGATCCTGCAACATATTGCTGCCATAGTGTCCTCATGTTTGGTCCTTTACGATGCATCATCCGATGGCGATGAGCGTGCGACACAGATAGCATCTAGGTGGGTGCGCTCACAAGCACTTGCAGGTACTAAAGATGCCTTGAAGTCCTCTTGGCAGCACGAGTCTGCCATTGATCGATTGATCTTTTTGGGCGAATCCACGTCGGTCTCCCGCTCGGCGAAGATTTGATTACTATTGATAATTCATCGAATCATGAACTGGCCTTTTGACTTGTCTATATCGAACAGAATGATGACCTTTGTACGGAGTACTCCGTCCTCCGTAAATCGATATCTAGACGCTAATCCCTTCTTGGTATAGTCTAAATCACTAAGCATCTCATTCCCACGTGACTGACCCCTCGTGCTGACATCTCCTCTACCTCGGGAACTCGTAAAAGCAGCGACAGCTCAGATAGGAAACCCTGAGGAAGATCTTGTCTAGACGCAGATGTACTTTTTACTGCTCCATACTCCATCTGGGCTACTAAGGGAATCTTTCAATCTTCCCGACTCTCATCTCCACCATCTCCACATTTCCCGCCATGTAACTCGCCAAATTAGAGCGTACAAGCGCCGGCCAAGGCGTGGCTCATGGCGTCGGCCGTTTCGCAAAGGTCCCTCCGATCCTGCCGGTTGTAAATAGCCCAGATAACGAGCAAAAGACTCCACGATGCACTAACGTGCTTGTTTCTTATTGGTGCGACCCGTTTGCACGAAGTGCACTAAAAGTAACGGCCCCCAACCGAGATTATGATTTTCAATGCTCCTTTCGCTGTGGATATCCCGCTTGGCATAACCCCCATGGCGTGCTGTCCTTGATAGTAACAAGTTAGATTCGCACTCAAATAGGCAAGAGTAGACGTAAAAGGTACATGATCGTCACTCGAATTTGTGCGCGAGTCAATTGCTCAGTTTCTATCGAGATAGGAGCCTCGGATGAAAACGTGCTTTAGATTTACTTCTAGTGGAGATCATAGTTGGTTCTTGTCTCACTCATGTTGTATGTGTCAAGGCGGAGCCAATTGGTGTCATTGGCTGCTAGACACGTTGATTATTGTGGGACTTGTCCGGTGCAAAGTGGTAGCCTCCCTTGCGCGTACTTCGTATATCGTACGGTAGAAACGAATGAACCGGCATCGGAAGAGGACGTTTATAGTGCCGGGCTAAACTAGCGCACCTGTCTTAGCAAGGGTGGTTTACTTTTTCTAATTCGATTATTTATACCACCCGGGCCCCCTCGGCTGTTGCATGTGCATCGTGCAGCTCGGTATTTTCTCGAATCACAAAGCAACATTGAACATGGGCGAAACAATAGCCGACGTGTATGCGGAGAGCATTGATCCCGAGATCTACGCCAATAATCCGGCATACTCCTCTCTCTTTACCCCATATATTCACAAACAAACGATAATTGCCGATCATGTTTCAGTACAATGCCACATAGACCTCAATGGAATTGACGCCGTTGGGTCGAAGTTTGGCAATCTCAATGCACACGCGGGTAATTTTACCTCACTGTGTGCGCCTAACTGCCTACCCGAAAGACTTGCGCTTGTCGCTTACACTGTGGAATATGCATTCCTTCATGATGGTACGTGGGAATAAATCACTCTATATGCCGCAACTAACATCGAGTTAGATGAAACCGATAATGCCGCTGATCAAGAAGCTGTATGATAAATCATTCTATGTATGCGGATCAAGAAACTGACGCGCGATTTAGTTGTTGCTCGAAAACAAAATGCTTCACCAGGCTATTAATCAGAGCAGTATGACTTCTGTATCGAACAGGGTTTCAGCTAAAGCACAACGCAAATCCGAGGTCCAGGCCAAGATTGCGGCCGAGTACCTGCGTTTGGATCCCGTGTTCGGCGAATTTTTCCTTAAAGCGTGGCAAACATTCACTGCCTCGGTACAGGACGTGAGGAGTCTTGAATTTCCCAGTCTGGATGACTACCTGGAGTTCAGAATTGTTGATGCAGCAGCAGAGTATGTCACCCCATTCCGAAGTTGAGAACTCAATCTGATTATTCCAAGCTGGACACTTTATAATTTCCGATGGGGATCAGGCATCACACTCACCCCCGAGGAAGAAAAAATCGCTGATCCTATGAGCTACGTCGCATATGCGGAATTATGCCTGGTAAATGACTTGTTCTCTTGGGACAAGGAATACGACGCTCATGTGAAAAGCAATGGCGAGGTGCCATTAGTCAATGCGGTACATATTGTCGCAGTTACACAAGGCCTGACGCACTGCGCAGCAAAGGCAGTTGTCCAAGCGGAGATCCGAGCCCACGAAGAGCGATTTTGTTACTTGAAGGAACAGTACAAGGCGACGGCTAGTCCATCAGATTCAATCCTCAGCTGGCTGAAACTGCTCGAGCATTCAATGGCTGGAAACTGGGTTTGGAGTCTGTGTGTTCCTCGTTACTTCAAGGTTGAACGGAATCCGTATAAAGACCACCTTGAGAAGTTTGGCAGCGAGGCTGTGCGAGTTCTCACGCCTGAAGAGCACCTTCGTGACTCAAAACAAGAGATTAATGGTACTAAAGAGATTGAACTCCAAGAACCTAAGTCAAGTGAGTATAACACGCTATCTCAGTTGGTTTCAATCCGGCAAACGAGACTAACAATATTTCAGACAACACAGCAGAGAGTGATGTCCTGGCCAAGTACACATCTGGGTATCCCACAATCGATGAGGTAAGTTTCTATCCGCAAGAGTCGCTGGAGACAAGGAGACCTAAGTGCTAACTAGAAATCCACAGCCCGTGTTAAATCCCTACACCTACATCAACTCTCTGCCTTCTAAGAACGTGAGACAGACAATGATAGCGGCTCTGAACTCATGGTACAAGGTGCCCGTGAAGTCCCTCCTGATCATAGAGGGTGCAGTTAACTTCCTACACAACTCATCATTATTGTAACCGGGCCCATTCCAACCTGCAATTGTTTTCCTTACTGACCTCGAAATAGACTCGATGACATCCAGGATGGAAGTGTCCTCAGACGCGGAAGGCCAGTGGCGCATCAGATATTTGGCGTTGGCCAAACCATCAATACTGCGACATATCTCATGAACGAAGCCTTGTATCTCGTACAGATGCTTTCCCCGTCTGCGGTTTTAGTTTACACAGGTAGATTATCCCGGCATATTTGCTTGAGATTTCTCGAACTGACAGTGCTAGATGAAATGCGTAACCTACAGCTTGGGCAGGGACGCGATCTCCACTGGAGCTACCATACGCATGTGCCGACCCCTGCGCAGTATATCAGCATGGTTGACGGCAGTACGTATTGGCGCATCCATCTTTATACACCAATTTACTGACCATTACACAGAGACTGGTGGTTTATTCCGTCTTATTAGTCGTCTGATGAGATCCGAGGCGACGGTGAATAGGTATTTTAACGCTCATCGCACAAGAAAATAAGATCAGGCTAATATATCCTAGGGACCTTGATATAAGTCAGTTTGCGACGTTGCTTGGAAGACATTTCCAGATCCGAGATGACTACCAGAACCTTCAAAGCGACGATGTAACAAATCCCCACACTGTGTTTCTAAACACAAATCCTAACTAACATGTTGCTTTAGTACACAAAAAACAAGGGCTTCTGTGATGATCTCGACGAAGGGAAGCTATCTTTCCCAATCATCTTATCAATGCAGTCGCCAGGATTCTCCAACACAGCGTTGTCAAGCGTGTTTAAGGGATCCCAAAAGGGAGAAACCCTGTCACCTGAGATGAAACAGTACATACTGGAGGAGATCACTGCTCGGGGGGCATTCTCTCAAACGAAGGCCGTGTTGAGAAAATTGCACATCGAACTGCTACGCCTGCTTATGGAGACCGAACAGAAAGCTGGTGGTATAGAGAATTGGGCGTTGCGTCTGTTGATTATGAAGCTAGACCTCGGTGATGAAAAGAAAAAGGAGGCACACAAGAGTGACTCTGCTTGGAAGGTCAACCAGCGACGAGCGTGGAAAGGAAGCCAGAAGAATGGGCGGCCTATTGATAAGGCTTGCTTTTTGAGGGCTATGGAAGAGGCATCTCAGAAATGAGTCTCGGTCGCAAATGAATATTACCTAGAGGTGCACGAAGATAAGAAATAAATTGTACAGACGGTTTGGAATTAAATGTCTCTCTTCGTACTGTAGTCGTAACTCGGGATAACTGAAGACAGTATTTTCTACTCAAGGTATTTCTAATGTCCCTTTCTATGGAAATATGTCCACCGTGAAGCGGTTATTTCTTGGTATATATAGACGGGCAATTCAACAAAGTTTGCATGGTTGTTGGATTTGGTGTCGGAGCCTGGTGACCTGCACGAAAAGCCCATAGCAACCTAACCCCAAGTGAAAGTATGTTTCCCTTTATAGGAATTGGCCAATGATCTCCCGAGTAAGTTCCACCGTCTCGTTGATCCGATTCAGGAATGGCGCGCAATGACTGGACACCACTTCCCTGACAATCCACGCCTGCTGCGTGGAGGCCATCATGCCGAATTGCGCCTCCCTTGGCACCGCACAATCCTCAGTGGTGACGATGAACGCCAAACGCCCTCGGAACGCTTCGTCCGCCCAGGCCGGATGGGGCTGGGGCGAATTGAAAGCTAAGGTCGCATGCGGTCTGAGTCCTGCGGTCAGGGACTGGGCGAAGACCGCATCAACATCGGCAGCGAAGATTTTAATGGGGTTATCCACGACAGCAAGATTCGCGGAGGGCTGCAACATGTCAGCAAAATGCATTATATAACTATAGTGGGGACGAGGAGGTCCTCTTACCTGATCGTGTAAGACCCAGGGGGGCAGGATTCCACCCTGGGCACCGGCACAACTAATACCCTCGGGTACGATGAAAGCGCCCAGGAACAGCAGTCCAATCACACCACCTGCTTTGCCCTCTTGAGCCCGCTGCGCTTTGGCTAGCCCGGTAGCCGCGGCGGATCCAGGCATGCCGCCATAGGAATACAAAAAGAGCACAACATCTTTGCCCTGATCCTCCACGAGAGACTGGAGAATAGTCGTAATAGCATCGGTGTCGGCTTGGCAATCAGTGACCAACGGGTCCGAGGAGTCTACAGAGGGGTACCCCGCGTAGTGGACATCGTAGCCAGCGACCGTGAGAGCTTGGAGAAATGGTTCGTAGAACGTCCGAGCGGTCCAAGCACCAGGAACAAAGAGGATTGTGGTCATCGTGTGAGTGAGATATGTAACTGTTATATGCCGACGCGCAGACAATTATGTTGTACCAACTAGCGAGTATCTCGAGGATTTCTCATTTTGAACTGCAGAGGATCGCCCAACGTGCATGAATTTTCCGGTTTAATCGACCAATACCATATTGCCCAAGACCTCGACCACTCTGATTGGATCTCCAATTAGCGACAAGCATTGTGGTGTTGTTAGCATCCTCACATCCAACCCTTGCAATAGTACGCTATAAACCTCCTCGAAACACGATCTGATACATACGACCATAGGGTGTGGAAAACAGGGCTTCCCGTCCGCTCAGCCGTACTTAAGCCACACGCCGGTGAGTTAGTAGTTGGGTGGGTGACCACCAGCGAATCCTCACTGTTGTATGTT